ATCGAGTGGACTGTGTGTATCGAGTGGACTGTGTGTATCGAGTGGACTGTGTGTATCGAGTGGACTGTGTGGTAGAACTGAGAATCACTGTAGACGCGAGCTGATACCTTCCCCTCCGCTGTCCGCTGTCCGTGTCCTGTCGATGCTTTTCTGATTCGATTCATCTTGACGTTATTATTGGCTTGAAAGGGATTCCTATAAGTAGGCCTCCCCAGCGCTGATCACCCAATCCCACACACCTTTGGTGACTTCCTCGGCGTGCCTCTTCCTCCTATCAACTTCGCAACGTCCAAGAAAGATTAGAATTTTTCTTTCGTCTTTCTTTGCTTTCCAGCTGTCCACTAGGGTATTTTGCCTCTCTTTTTACAAGATATTTGCGATATAAACTTCACTCGCTACTTCGCAATGTCGGCAAGGACAGGCATTATGGAGATGCCCGATGCGCGTGAACACCTCGAGAAGCTCGACGAGGCGATGAAAAGAGTGAGTCGATACCTCATACCAGACAGACTAATATCCAAGCTGACACTCCGGATAAAGCTTCACAAGGCGTCCCAGGTGTATGTGGCTAAGAGAAGGGAGTTCAGTCAGGTGCGGTGCGACCTCTCGATCATGGCCAGACATCTGAAACTCCTCTACCGATTCTTCAATGAAGATGGCGCGAAGGGGGAAGACGTGGTCGAGAGACTTCACAAGCTGAACCTGCTGGGGCTTGAGATGCTCCAGCTCCACGTCGAGGTGGACAAGGAGATGGCACCGGTTGATTCCAGGTACAAAGAGTGCATAGAACAAGTTCAAGTCCTTCGCCGGCAGGCCAGCCGAGCGACGGGTGCCTGAACACCGCGGAGGGGATTTGATGGCCAAGACGGTTGACGGCTGTGCTTGGCCAACCTTCCCTTGTTGATCATCCTCCGGATCATCGAGGAACTTTTTAAACCAAACCACGGATTCTCAAAACTCTACGCACAAGCCCGAGGAAAGACGACCAGCCGGCCACCAGGCCAACCATAGCAACAGCAACCGCAGGGCCCGAATGACTCGCAAAATTAAACGGTTGACTCCTGGCGGAGGTGTGGCCTAATGCACAAACCCGGCGCTGCAGGTTGGTACATGTACGCAGGCGCCTATCTTTCTAATCTAACCCGGCGAGGTCGAGCTGCAGATTCCCTCGCGGCGCTCTTTGAATTCGGCGGGAGGCTTGTCGGCGGCGCGGGAAGCCTGGTAATCGCTTGGCGGTGAGGAAAGAGCAAAGAAGCTCAATGCGGTCGTCCCTGAGCTAGATGCGGGAGTTACATGTAAGGAGCCGGACCATTGCGTCTGCTTCGCTGGAGGTTGGGGGTCTAATCAGCAATGGTGATGACGGAATACGATGTGGTGGACTAGTGGTAATGGTCTCCCGGTATTGGCAGCGAATCCACACCATATATGCGATATTCTGTTGTCATAGAGTTTCGGCGGATGGACACAGCAACTACTAAGGTACCTTATACAGCCGTGTCATTGGAAGCGATCCCTTCGGCCACTGATACGTTGTGCCTTTAGCAGCCGTGCTGGATCAGTCCGTGGATTGTTTTGAGGGTGAGCCCGTCCTTAAATTCACTGCTTGATATCCAATTCGACTTAAACGGTCACTCTTCTTGCTAACGGCATCCGGAGCGAGCGGCTCTTCTGAAAGACTTCGCAATGGTACTACTTCGTTGGCAGAGTTTCTGAGGCCGTAGAAGTAACCGCGTTCAGTAAAATACGGTTTAGCAATTTGGACACTTGCTGCTGGCTTAGGTCTTGGTGTTGGACGATGCTTTGTACTGAAACGGCAACACGGGGGAAACAGCAGGACATACCTACGGTGGCACAGGGAGGAGGAACAGAAGTTCTACATCCTGGCAAATGCTGCCACAGGGCGAACTGATCTGGGGCTTTTCTCAGGTCGTCTTACTTATACAGCAAATCACCTGGACTTCGCCATCCTCTCCCTAGTCAGTGTAAGTATCAGGTGTTCGAATCATCCCCATCAAATCAATTCCAGAGCAAAAAAACAAGGATGGGAAAGTGCGCTGAAATCATCCCCGGTCGTTCACCTGGCTGACAAGGTCCGGCTGAAAAAAAAAGGAGGGCAATGTGTGTCCTTCAACAATACCGAAGGAGAGCCCTGAAATGGGCCTTTGGGAAAACTCTGCTACTAGTTAAGGGGAGATGTCAAGATGAATATGTCTAGGGTCTATAAGTCCTCCCAAACGGCTCCGGCGAGCCTGGAAGACCTCTTCTGCGCCTGTGTCCCAACTACACTATCTGGGCCCTGGGAGTAGCGCGCCATAGCCTGGTCGACCCCGGGCTCGTGGTAGTTCTGAGAGAAACCACTCCGGATTCCCCATGCAACCTTACTTCTTTGACATGCCTTTAAGTGCTGGCACCCATGGCCCATTGCTCTAATCACCTGGGTTTATTTTCTTTATTTTGTTCCCATTTTTCTTTACGTGTAATTATGATAAGCGAGTGAGCAACTTTTTACGCGACGCGCCACCTCTCTCCTCAACACCAACTTTTTTGTCTACCATTTATCATGCCCGCTACTTCAGATGAAGGCAGGGTAATCTTAGCCCTCCAAGCTCTCCAAAACGACAAAAACCTAAGCGTCTCAGCTGCAGCCAAGATCTACAATGTTATCCGTATAATTTTAACCCGAAGACGCACGGGCCGGCCTGCACAACGCGATACTACGCCTAATCCGAGAACGATCACGCAATCAGGAGAGGAGGCTATTATTCGATATGTAATTGAGCTACTACACGAAGTTTTTCACCACGGTTGCGTGGTATGGAAGATATGGCCAACCAACTGTTCCTGAATGCGACACACCCACCTGTCGGCAAACGCTGGGCACACAACTTCGTCAAACGCCAGTCAAAGCTTCGAACGCGTTATACACGTAGATACCACTACCAGTGGACCAAGTGCGAGGATCCGAAGGTCATTGGCGAGTGGTTTACACTCATACGGAACACCATGGCCAGGTATAGCATTGTCGATGACGACGTCTACAACTTTAACGAGACGGGGTTTATAATGGGCATTATCTTCACGGGCATCAAGTTACAACCTCGGACGGCCTTAGCAAGGTAAAGCTAGCCCATCCTGGCAATCGTGAGTGGGCAACGGTTATTCAAGGAGTCAATGCCCTTGGCTAGGGCATTCCCCCCCTTATTATCTTAGCCACGAAGTACCACCTCGCCAACAGGTACACCGAGTGCAACCTCCCAGCCGACTGGCTTATCGCGACCACCGAAAACGGCTGGACTGCCAATGCAGTAGGCTTAGATTGGATATCAAGCACTTCGATTACCATACAGCGCCCCGGGCAAAGGGCAAGTACGGGTTGTTGATTATCGACAGCCACGAGAGTCACCACTCAACCGAATTCGAGCACTACTGCCGACAAAACAACATCATTACGCTCTGGATACCTCTACATTCTTCGCACTACCTCCAGCCACTCGATGTTGGCTGCTTTTGGCCACTGAAGCAGGCGTACGGTCGCCAGATCGAGCACTTGATACGCATGTATATCAACCATGTGAGCAAGCTCGAGTTCCTCTATGCCTTCCCCGAGGCCTTCTTTACCTCCATGATGAAAGAATATACCAGATGGCTTTACAGGTGCTAGCCTTGTGCCTTACGACCCAGAGGGGGGTGCTCTCCGAGCTGGATGTGAAGCTTCGTACGCCAACGCCCCCCAACTCGGGTGCAGGCACTCTACAACCTTGGGTCTTCCAGACACCACACAACTACCGAGAAGCCAAGTCGCAGTCAACACTCATCAAGACTCGCATTGTTAGTCATCAAAATAGCTCCCCGATATCAATGTTGGCCGCTGTAGACCAGCTCGCCAAGGGTACGGTGGCTATAATATACGAGGTGGCTCTCCTCCGGTCAGAGGTCTCTTCGCTCCGCAAGGCCAACGAGGCGCTAAGCAAGCGCCCGAGAGCCAAGAAAATACGCGTGCAGCTTTGAGGATTACTTGCGGTGCAGGACGAAATTGATCTACTGGGCCAGTGAGGCGTAGGTGATCAGGGAGTGCAAGAAGCGCTGCCGGGTGGTAGTGGTGCAGGGGACGGCCGTACGAAAGTTCGGTGCTGTGGTGTATGCGGCAAGCCTGGCCATGATTCCCGCACTTGCCAGGATGCTGCGGAAGCATCTGATACAGTTGTTTCATATGTAATTGTAGTTGTTTCTTAGCGTTGTTATATCGCCGTGAAGGTTAGTTGTTATAGTCCAGAAGAAAGTTGCTCACTCGCTTATCATGCCCACTCGCTTATCATAGTTAGTTACACGTTTTGCTTTTCCTTTTCCTTCTTTTCTCTCTACCCGCTGCTGAGGCATCATGGTCGTGGGGATGCCGCGCCCAGTCTGACAAGGCATGCTCCATCGTCACCAGGTGCCAAGTTGGGCCATCAGTGACAGACAACAAGTAAAGAGACGTCTGGCGATCATGTCGACGCAGTTCAGGCCGCAAGGCCAGCCATATGTAGATTCCATACACATGTGATGTGGGAAGAAAGAACGAAAATGAAAACCACGTGAAAACTCCAGCCGAGAGACCGCCCATCCCATACTCCTTGGATGCGCCATCTCATACCCTCCACGTCCCTTGATAAACTGCAACGTATCAGAAAGCACCACCGCATCCTAAGCCGGTATTACGGTGAGCAGAAAGACCGTCAGGCGGCGAGGGTATATTGATAGTGATTACCGCCCTTTTGAAACACCACAACTCCGGCTTACGACGAGAGAGAAGGCCTTTAGGACTTGACAATCTTCTGGATGTTCTTAATGACCTCATCCACCGCATCGGTCAGGTCGAGCAGCGACTGGGAGACAGGGATCTCCTTCTCGTTCTCCTCCTCCTCCGAGCTGTCGTCCTTCCCGGCTTGATCAATGCTGCCCGTCAGGGCGGTCTTGGACACGGTGGGACCGGCAACAGCGTGCTGCTCCTTCCCAACCGCGGCGGCAGCAGCCATCGCCTCCTTCTTCATGGCGCGCCGGCCCTTGCGCTCCTTGGTGACCTTCTTGGGCATCTTCTTGGTCATCTGCGCCTGGGTCGCGGCAACTTCGCGCTCGTAGACGGCCATCAGCTTGCGGTACGTCTCCTCGTCCACATTCATGTCCGGGATGAATTTCTGAAGCGCTTCATTCTTGAAGACGGTATGCTCGATGTCGTCGTGGCACTTGTTGCGGCAGTAGCACATGTCGACGGATGCCTCCATGAGCGGGCGGCGCGGCCTCGAATCGCCGGGCTTGGCCTTTCTGGCGAGGTCCTTGAGCAGCTTGCGGTCGGCATTCTTGAGGATGGGTTCGGTGATGGGCGAGACACCGTTGACTTCCTTCCAGCACCGGCCGGGAATGTAAACTTTCTTGACAAAGGCGCGGGTCAGCGGCAACATGGTGAAGCACACCAAGTCCCACTCGCTCAGGGCAAGGGCCACCCAGTCAATCCGCGTGTTCCAGGGTGGCATGCCGGCGCGATTGGTGATGAGGTGGGTGACCAGCGTGGCCGGAGAAACCCATTCCATCATCGGGCTGCGTGAGACGTGGTTAACTGGTCTTCCTTTGCCCATTTTCATTAACTGATTTTGCGAGAAAAGTCAACTTACCAGTCATCTGCGTCGTGTTCAACCACGTTGCAGAAGAAGCAGCCAGTCATGTCGCCGTGCTTGGAATCCGTCGGCACCGGGCAGACAGCGAGGGTGTGGCCAAACTTGCCACAGACGGGGTTGGCGCAGACGGGACCCTTGGCCGCGACGGGGGAGGTCGTGGCCATGGTTTTGCTGAGCATCCTCTTAAACTCTTCGTGATTGGCCTTGTCTTCGACCATATCACGGCTGCTCTCCAGCAGCCTCCAGATCAGCGCCCTGGCATAGTGTGAGTGCGTATCCTTCGTTTGAGAGAGGGAGAGTCGGCGGGCCCGATCTTGCCAGTGTGATGAAGGGAAGAAATCGGGGCAGAAAGCTTTGCAATAATTACGTACCATTTCTCGCCGGTGCCAGCCTTGGGTTCCTTGGCCGCGTCTGCCGACTTGGCCAAGGCGGCGGCGTCGTCGTCCGCCAGAGGAGCCGACTTGTTGGCCAACTTCTTGTCCTTATTTTTGCCGGACTTGCCGGCGAGCATCGTTGTCTCATCGGAACCCGTGGTAGTGGTTGTGTTGTTGTTGTTGTTGACGACCTTGCGGCTGCCAACGCTCTGTTGGTTTTCGGTCGGCATTGCGACCTCATCAGCGCGCTTGGCCTCTTCTGGCGCCAGTCTGGATCGTTAGAAAAAGGAAAATTGGTTAGCGGCCGCTGAAACCAACAACCGAGCGAAGACAACATTAAACACAATGCTTGGATGGGGAGGAGCACATGAGGTGGCTTACTCCAATTTTCCCGACTCAGTATGGCTGCCTTCCACAGCCGTTCCCAAAACACTGAGGGCCCATTGTTTGTTAAAAGAAAACTTAGAGGTGAGGGCCAGGCTTTCCGGGGGTTCTTGCTCGGCGTCATGCCTAGGGCGGCTGCGCCGGCCCATGCCGGTCACCCTGATGACCTCGCCATCGATGAGGTCCTTCCAGGCCGGGGGACCTGGGGATTCTTCTCTCGGCGGCTCGGAGCCGCCGCTGCTCCCTTCTGTGAATGCGGGTCCGGTCAGCTCCGCTTTTCCAAGTCGGCAGCGACGGTGTATGAGGCGGTGATGGTGTGTTGGTGTAAGTGCTTACCATAAGCGCCGTCCATCTTGGCGGGCAGTCAAATTCAAGTCTTTGGGCTGTGTAAGTGGAAAAAGGCCAGAAGGTTGATGAGGAAGTGAGGGCTCTGACGTTAAGGTACCTTGTGTACGGTCGTGTCTGGGGGAAAGAAGGTTCTGGTTTGCAGACGAAACGAATATGAAAGTAGGGAAGGTGTAGAAGATATGGGACCCTTCCGCTAAATCAGCTTGCAACGCTTGTGGACAGTCACTTCTTCCAAAGTACGTGTCACTACGTGATTCTGACATGGGTTCAAATCAAGGAAAGATCGGATCAAACTGACAATACCAGAGGATTCCTAACTTGAGACTTCTCAACAGGCCATCTCTTATGAGTTGGCATTCTAAAAAGGTGTGTTACATGACTCTCAGCTACAGGTAACGTTAGTCTATCTTATGCACATCATAAGAAAGGGGCGTGCAAATTGGAACACCAGTTATATGTCTCGAAAATGTCCAGCAGGCCTTTTGCCCTTTAGTAGGCACACAGACAAGGAGTGGGTTATAAGTGCTTGATGAAAAGAGACAAGTAGTAGCACCCTGATTCATCCAAACCAAAAAATGGAGGTTCATCTATGCTCTGCAAAGTCTTGTGGTGGAGGTGAAAATCAAGGGTAAATGTATAATTCACCCATTGCCGTAAGAAGCATTCAACAACACAACTCTTGAGTTATAACCGGGCTGACCCTCCCTTTATATGTCTATAAGCTTTGGTTAACAATCTTTCAAGTGCAATATTCTAGTCGAACTAAGCTAATACAATACGTGAATTCAGCACGCAGTAGACTCAATTGATGTTCGTTCATTCCCTCCCCTTGACTCTAGTTAATTAATCAAGGTTTGTCAAACACGGTCCGGCAAGATGCTGGGATGAACAAGAAAGGGCAGTGTTAAGGGGACAGCGCCAGGCGGGAGTTTGGATCCGTCATACTCTGAAGCCATTGCAGCGAAGTTGAGAGCAACTCAACCCCTGTTGGTGCTGCGTATTCCATCAAGCTTATACCAGGCCAGAAGTTGAACTCCTGCTTTCTCTGGCCTGAAGCTGAACCTGCAGCTGAACCTGAAACCAGTGACCCACGAATTACGCCATCTGACTGAGTCCGTATTTTCGTCACGAGCCCAAGGCCTTCACTACCACAAACAGTGTGGCCAGTCCATATTTTTCCCTGCCCAGATCCAGCTCCATCTGAGACTTGGACTTCCGGGATTCAACACCCGTACAAAAACCGGATGAAGTTCTCCTTAGATTTTCGTCCATCTGCTGCCCGATCTTCCACTTGAATTCAACTCTGCCTAGCCGTCCCACTTACAAAGGGACCAAGACACTTAGAATAAATCGTGAATAGATGAGGTGATAATGGCAATGCTATCAACCTTCAAGACAAGGATATCACTAACATCTCCCTTACATTATACTCGGAGCCTCGAGTCGCAGTTCTTACCGGGACTGGAGAACTCTCCGAACTACGAATTTTAGGTAGTTACGGTAACGTGATTTATATGCGAGTGTGCTATATAAGCGAGTGTGCAACACTAACGAATTTTGCTATGACTACACGCAAAAATTTGCTAAAACATTGGTTAAGGCCCACTAATAATTGTTTACCAATTTTTACAACTGCAGGTTCACCAAAATCTGTTAGCGTTGCACACTCGCTTATATTGCACACTCGCAAATAAATCATGTTACCGTATTAGAAATCAAGGTTCTAAGTCGGCATGAGTCAGAAGTAACTGTTCACCCCGGGTGTATACCACAAACATGATGACAAATGCCCCATTGGTAATGGTTCAGGGAGGGCTCCACCAGTTCCATGACGAATCTTGTTTATAGAACTTAAGATGCAAGGCCTTCTTCGTTCCAGGGAAATTCAGAAACCATCTGGAAACTTGAGTCTCTCCTCAAGGTCTCTGGCACCACCATTCTTAGTGAAGGCTCGACTATCTCCATTGTTAGCCTCAACCGCACTCGATTCTCCCTCGCCCCACCAAGTGTTACCAAGACAACAAGCCCCTGAATCCAATACCATCAGTTCACACCACAATCCACTTCCTCTCACAATCACCCACCAAAATGGCCCCTCCATCCAGCGGCCGCCTCTTCGAACCCCTCCGCCTCACTCCCAACATCACCCTCTCCCACCGCATGGCCATGGCGCCGCTAACCCGCTTCCGCTCCGACGACGACCACGTGCCCATCGTCCCGCTCATGGCAACCTACTACTCCCAGCGGGCCTCGCTGCCAGGGACCCTGCTGGTGAGCGAAGCAACCTTCATCTCGAAAAACGCGGGCGGCTACGACAACGTGCCGGGCATCTACACGGCCGCGCAGGTCGCGGCCTGGAAGAAGGTGACGGATGCGGTGCACGCCCGGGGCGGCTTCATCTTCTGCCAGTTGTGGTCGCTCGGCCGGGCCGCCACGGCCGCTGTCGCGGCCAAGGAGGGGTTTAAGGTGCACTCGTCGAGCGCGGTGCCCATGGACGAGCACCCGGGGACGGTGGTGCCCGAGGAGATGACGGTCGAGGAGATCAAGGAGCGGGTGAAGGAGTATGCTACTGCGGCCAAGAACGCTATCGAGGCCGGCTTTGATGGCGTCGAGATCCATGGCGCCAATGGGTACCTGATTGATCAGTTCATTCAGGACACGTGCAATCGGCGCGGGGATGAGTACGGCGGGAGCGTGGAGAACCGGTCGCGGTTCGCCGTCGAGGTCGTAGACGCTGTCGTGCAGGCTGTTGGGGCGGAGAGGACGGGTATTCGGCTGAGCCCGTGGAGCACGTTCCAAGGCATGCGCATGAAGGATCCGGTGCCGCAGTTCGAGGATGTTATTCGGAAGATTAGCGGGTTTGGGCTGGCGTATCTGCATCTGGTGCAGGGACGGATTGCTGGGTCTGAAGATTCGGGCGGTGCTGATGAGGAGAGCCTGGGCTTTGCTGCCAAGCTGTGGAATGGCCCGTTGCTGATTGCAGGCGGGCTCACGGCCCAGAGCGCGACATCCCTGGTGGATGAGCAGTTCAAGGACAAGAACGTGGTGGCGGTGTTTGGGCGATGGTACATCTCGACGCCGGACCTGCCGTTCAGGATCAAGGAGGGCATTGAGCTGAACCCGTACGAGAGGCTTTCATTCTATGCGCCCAAATCGCCGGTTGGGTACATTGATCAGTCCTTCAGCAAGGAGTATGAGGCGGTGTACGGGGTACAGACATTGAATTAGAGACAGATCAGACTCTGACAGATGATAGATAGAGATAGGCAAGAGGGAAGTGATCCCGGAGTTCTCGCTCGCGCTCTTCAGCTTGATGATTCCTCGCTCCCCCGTGGAAGATGAACGACGCTCAAATAATGTTTGCTGCCTCATAGGGTACATTCGGTTGGCCGCCACTCGTAGTTGAGCGCTCACCGAGTCAGTTACTTTCTTATCCTCCCCTCAAGCCTGGTCAGTGAAGTCGCTGAAGCCCTGAGCCCTCGACAGATCAGCAACATTGAGACCGCCATCTGCAAGAGGAGTGACCAGAGACTGAGCTGAATTGGCGTTCTGCATATCGGCCCCTACCAGTGCGGGGCCGACAGCAGGGAGGATACCCCAGAGCCCCGGGGGTAACTGGGAGGGCTGCATTGCTGCGGATGGCCGGGATGATGTTGGCAAAAGTGTTGCTGTTCTTCTCGGCAGCGACGAGGGCGGCAGCGCCAGCAATGACTTCCAGGTCGTTACCAAGCGTGGCAACAATCTCGTCGGCAAGCTCAAGCTGTAGACGCCCCTTTAATTAGCATTTCAATACCAAACCCGATGTTTGGCCGCTTACCTTTGCGCAGGCGTTGGCACCGGCCAGAAGAGCGCTGGGTGTCTGGTTAGCGAGGGTGCCGGCAGCGCCTGGGGACCAAAGTTGCCGAGGGCCTGGATGATGTTCTGGACAGCGCCTTCCTGGCCGAAGCGGGCGTAGCCGACGCCGGCTAAGGCGATGAGAATGGTTGACTGGGTATGCATGATGGTTGCCTAAGAATCAGATGCCGTCCAAGCGGTCGTTGTGGATCAAACACGATACAGAGGGCAAGCCGTGTCGAAGAAAAGGGTCTTGCAAAAAGAAGGGCCATCGAACCGGTCGATCGTATGGATTGTGAAGCCAGCCTGGAGATGAGTAGTCAAGGAAAACAAGAAGCAAGAGTTAGGCCGCGCACCATTCTAACATGATGGAGAAAATAGACCACAACCAGAAGAAGCCGGGTGAATGGCATCGACATGGGAAACCGGCTCAATGGGTGACCTTCTGGGACGGTCCTGGGCTCTTCATGTTCGGCGATCATACACACGCGTGCGGCAAGGAAAGCGCCCGGGGCATGTAGTCGCGGCTCGAGTTCGCCAATTAGGTCCGCAATCGGTGTTTGAGGATGTGGTGCATCATGTCCGTCCGCGCGCCCACGGACGGGACACGGCGGGATCCCGATCCCGTTCACTGGCTGCGCCGCCACGTTGTCGTTGGAATGGCGTGCCGTGGCGTCGAGCCAAAGCAATCTTGGCTGATGCCATGCCGTGACACCTCACTCTCCGCTTACCCAGAACAGCTCGGCAGTTTGCGTCGCACAACGGACTCCCAAACCTATCTCAAACCACATGGGATAGCGAAAGGTACAGAGCCGGTCGTGTTGTCATGTTGTCATCCCACAAGGTTACCGGCGCCGAGTAGTTATGCATGTTTTTGGGCCACCGGGCTTGTCGTCGTCAGTTGCTGGTTCATCTCCACAGTCGAGTTAGATGAGAACATCTGGGCGAAATTGGCTAGTGTCATTTGCCTAGGTAACGGAATTGAGCTCTGCCCGTGGACTTTTCAGATGACGTTCGCTGCGAGCGAATGCGCGACTTGAATCGTGAACTGTGCCACAGCAGTAGAGGTGCACCTGTTGACAGAGGTAGTTGGGGGCGGTTGAGGTTTGTCCAACTCAACCTCGAAGGTGCTGCGAAGTGACAAGGATGCCGCAGTGCAGAACCTGTACCCATCAACTTCCATTGAACCTGATCGGATTTCAAGATGTTCAGTTGGATGCCTTGGAACACAAACAGAAAGCGACCACCCGTCTCGGCCCCGAATCCAGTGTGTCGTACCTGCCGGGCTACAGAACTGACTTGTGCCGCATCTTGCGTGTTGGTGCCTTCCATATCCCTCGAAACTTGCTTTGTTGTTTTTCGCATCATCGTCCTCCATCATCGACGCTGAGAAGCGTCTGTCTTCTTCGAGTCGTTTAATACATCGTCGTCGCGGAACTACGGTCGAGACTATTTGCTTTGTTTTGCCCGATTCCCCGTCGTCGTTCAACAAAGGCGGGGTCGCCGGGCCGGCGCCATCGCATTGTCTCCCAAGCCGAGAACACCACCTCGGACCGCGTCGACCAGTGGCCAGCTCACCGTCGCCAAACCCGCCTTCAAGAAAATGGGTATTGTTATTAACTTAAACGTATCTAATGCCCACTCGAGTTTCGGGACAGCAGCGGTTCAACACACGCCCCAACAAACCCAATCCAGCAACGCCGACCAAAGAAACCAAAGCAAGTGCCCGGACTTGGTCTAAGCAAGATATGTACATGGAAAACGTAACATGTGAGTAATGCATCCCATCCCATCCCAACACCGACCGTTCCATTTGGGGGCGGCCGCTGACCACCGTCGACCGCTTCCCAGCGCAAGGAGTTGCTGCCGGGAGCGCGCCCCATCGTCGCTCTGCCTGGCCGAAACTCTCGCTTGTCGCCGGGCCCGCTGTGTAAAGGACGTCTCTCATTAGCAGAACCACAGGAACCCCAAGCCTAAACACGCCGCCGACCCCCACGAAGATGCCGAAAGCAAAAGGAACCTCATGAAAACCACCCCGACTTCTTCTGCTTCTTCCCATCGTCTCCCTTGCCGGCTTGCGCGGCCAAGTCCTGCGGCTTTTGCTTGGCTGCCGTCTCCTCAGCTTCCTCCTTCTTTTGCTTCTCGTCTTCCTCCTTCTTTTTCCGCTCAGCCTCGGCTGCCTCAGCTTCCTCTTTTTTTCTCTTTTCAGCCTCTTCCTGCTCCTTCTTCGTCTTCTCTTCCTCGGCCTTCCTCTGCTCCTCGGCCTCCTCCCGCTCCCGTTGCTTTTCATCAATGATCTTCTTTTTCTCTTCCTCTGACAGCTTCGAGAAGGCCTCGACGTTCCTGTCCCAAGTCTTGACGCACTCGTCTTCCCAGTTGCACCTTTCAACCTCGCCGTACGCTGGATGGCTGTACCGGGGATGTCTGCTGGGCCAGTTGGACGCGTGGTAGTGGTGCTTGACCAGGGCAGCTCGGGAATCGTGGTTGCCAGAGTGGGAGTGGCCCTGGCCCGCGGCGAACGCCTCGACCGTGAGGACCAGCACCCGGCTCACAACCTTGGACTCGTCCAGGTCGTGGAACAAGTCCCAGGTAATCTTGGTATTGGGGCTCTCCTTGTGAAGTTCCATTTCCGTCATAATAGCCTCGGTGAAGGCAGACGGGCCCGTGCCACTGATAATCTGGTCAAAGTCCAGATCGACGTCGGCGAGCGAAACACCCTGCTCCTTGGCAACGCCGTTGAGCCAGGACATGATCTTCTCAACGAGCCTCATCATGACGGGCAGCTGCGGCTTGCACATGAAGGTCCACTGGCAGAAAGAGCGCGACTTCGGGCCGAGAATCGGGTGGTCCTTCCAGTCGGGCTCGTCGATCTCAACGCCGATCACCATATCAATATCCTTCTCGTCGTACCGCTCGGGGATGAACTTGGACAGTGGCTTCAGGGCCTCAACGTCAATGTCGGCATAGAGACCGCCTTCGGCGTACATGATCAGGTATCGCAAGAGGTCCGCCTTGACAATAGCGGCCTTCACCTCGCGGTAGAAGTTGACGATATCGGGCCGGTTGAAGCCGTCCGGACCGAAGTGGTATTCGACATAACGTAGGTCATTGCCGTCGGTCAAGACCTCGTACCGGTAGTCGGGATTCTTCTCCAGCCATGTCCGCGCCGTGTTCAGATCCCGCTCCTCGAATTGCAGCGGATTCACCTTCCAAGTCTGCCAGATCTTCTTCGGAAATTCGCTCCGAACCTTCGGCGCATTTTGAGCCGAGACTGACGGACGGCCGAGGGGCGCCCGTACGCTCGAATGGAAAAGGTTGAGATTGAAGATGAAAAGGATGAGGCAAACGGCCACGATGTATATGGGGAGCGCCCGTCGGAACTGTGTGGGCAGACGGTTCCTAAACTGGGCTGTCGTGGCTGCGAGGGACGGAGAGCCCAGCGGCCCACCGAGTTTGGCAATCATGCCGGGTAGAAAAAGAAGCACAGAAACGTCGACTCAGCGAGAGTGATGTGCTGCCCTGAGCGATAAAGCGAGCGGCATCAATTGATGATGGAAAATATGCTATGGACAATGGGGAAGAAGCGAAGGGCAGAAGGGGAAAGAATTATGCCTCTGTCAGCGAGAAAGGGGGTAAGGGGGAGAAGGCCGGAGCATCACGAACTCGGCGCTTGGGAACCAGGCCCCTAATCAAGTGGCCCAGCACTCCTTATCACGTCCCTCGATTGGCCTAGCCACCACACATTTGCCCGGCCAATTCATCTGCTGGCAGTCAATCTGGGTCACTTAGCGCGGCAGCCTCGACCGGGATGCCCAGCCGCTCACCCAATCAAGCCGCCGAAAAAATCTTCGTCAACAGGGGACAAACCGGTCTTGGGCTGCGCGCGGAGCATGCCTTCATGTGGCAACGCCGATGCGAGACCAGGGAAATTTCGCCAGCTGCCGTCCCCGGCCAATCGTGCAGACCGACTGCCTGAAGGCGGATGGGCCAGTGAGAGAGCCGGAAACGTCTTCAAGCGAAATAGGGGGCGCCCCACCGATCAGCCATACCCGAAATAGGGGGCGCCCCACAGCCACCTGGCCAACGGGATGCTGCGCGAATCTGCGCGATCGGATTTTAAGCAACGCTGTCGTGCGAGCGGATTGCCGGTACTTTCCACCGCACTGTGCACATCGAGGTGGCCTCCGGACACGACGTTGCATTCTCGAATTTCCCCAACCTGTCTTGCTCCGGAGTCAGTGGCAGATCTTGGCTGGGAAAACAAACGGAAGCGGCGCAAGATTCGAGGAAGCACGCAACAGCCAACATTCCGTCGTTCTTGGGATGGAGTCGGACTAAACTCGCGGATAGTCATTCAACTTCCAGGTTGGCTCAGGAAGGTCTCGCGACCGCAGGCCAACCAGTGTACTGAAACGCATTCGTGTTGAACGAAGCCGAGTTGTCTCACCGGCAGCCGCAGGCAGTGCTCTCTCAGGTCTTTCCGTCTTCAGGACGCTTGAGGCCATGTTTCCTGCAACTTACAGGATCACTTCGTCAACGCTGTTGCCACTTCTGCGATCTTACCAAGTCTTGTTCAAGTCCTGGCTTTGAGCTTCGAACCCCAATCGTTGCTCCGCTTTTCTCAAGCAGACAAGTGGCTGCGCCCCACTCCAACAGAAGAGGGTCCGACCGCCTCAGGACCGTGTTCATTTCACCCTGAGCGTCCAGGGTCGAAGGGTCCATCGCAACACATCAGCATCATGAAGGCAATTTGAACCGCGCTCAGAGGATACTCCTTGATGAAGTGAGGTCATCGACCTTTGTCCGCTCTTTTCCTCCAACATGAAATCGGTCACAATCCGTGGGCTGCGGCAGCTGCTCTGGCCGCCAGGCGCTGCCAGCTTGGATGGTCCCCGACAACTGCGGCCAACGGCCTACCTCGACGGACTCAGGGGATTTGCGGCCTTCTTGGTGTATATCCACCATCATGAGCTATGGGCGCATGGCGAGAAAAGCGTTAGCATCTTCGAAAATGCGTTTGGGTATAAGGGCGAATTTTACCTGGCGACCTTCCACTTCATCCGGAATTTCTTCACGGGCGGACACGCTGCCGTCGCGGTTTTCTACGTCATCTCGGGCTACGTCCTCTCGGTGAAACCTCTATCACTCATCCACGCCGGCGAACATCTCCAGCTATTCGACAACCTCGCATCCTCTTTCTTCCGCAGATGGTTCCGGCTCTACATCCCCCTCATCGTGACGACGTTTGTCACTGTCACGACATGGTACATTTTTGGCATCTGGATTCAGAAGTATGAACCGAAGGGATCGATCAGCGACGAGCTCTGGGAGTGGTATGTCCAGTTCAAAAACTTCAGCTTTATCTTCAAGGAGGGATGGATGTGGGTGGACTACAACACCCACCTGTGGTCGATCCCGCTGGAGATGCGCGGGTCCCTCGTCACCTTCATCGCCTGCATCGCGCTCTCTCGGGCGGCTCACAGAGCTCGCCTCCTCTGCCTGCTCGCGCTGGTGGTCTACTACCTCTACATCGTCGACGGTTACTACTGCGCCCTGTTCGTGGCCGGCATGCTGCAGTGCGATCTGGACCTGCTCGCAAGGAAGGACGGCTACTTCCCGCGGTGGCTCCGCCGCCTTGAGCCTTACAAGACCTTGATCTACTACCACATGTTCTTCCTCGGCCTGTACCTCGCCGGTGTGCCGTCCGAGAAGCGGGAGATGGACCAGCTGCGCGCGAACCCAGGGTGGTACTGGTTGTCGTTCCTCAAGCCGCAGGCCGTCTTTGACTTCAAGTGGTTCTACCTTTTCCTGGCCGGCAACATGATCGTGGCCAGCGTGCCGCGCATCCCGTGGCAGAAGCGCTTCTTCGAATCGAGCTTTTGCCAGTTTCTCGGCCGCGTCTCGTTTGCGCTATACCTCGTCCACGGGCCGATCCTCAGCACGGTCGGCGACCGTGTCTACCACGCCGTCGGCTGGGTCCGTGAGGAAGCCGATCTGAACAACGAGCAGGTGCTGCGCTGGGCGAACGTCTTGCCGCTGCCCAAGACGGGGCCGCTGGGTCTCGAAATCTCCTTTTTGGCAGCGAATATTTTGCTTCTCCCGCTCACGCTGTGGGTGGCCGACTTTGTGACGCGGACGGTGGACGAGCCGACCGTCCGGTTTTCGCGTTGGCTGTACAAGCGGATTCAGCGGGACGGTGAGGTGGAGCAGAAGCCTGTTGACCTAGCGCCGCTCATGCGGGTGGAATGAGTGGAAGGGCCACGTCTTTAGTGTCTTGCTTGAGTATTCGCGTCGTATATATTCGTGTATCGTTTTTGGATGATGACTCAGGAGCCATCCAATTGCCGTCTGTAATGTTACTGGGATGTTAGAAGGTGATCGGGCTGGAATAGAAGGAGACCGTTTTTCAATTTACGTAGGGATGACACTCTCAACAGGTGCATGTTTTCAAGACCGCTGGTTCATCCAAGGTTCAACGTCATACGTGGACTTGATCAACGTTTCGCGAAGACATTACTCCGTGCGACCATTGTCGAAAACAGGTACCATTTAACAGCCTCGGGTTATTGAAACATCACCTTACATCCGAGGCTGATCATGCCGGGAGGTTGTTTCGTGGCCTAGCAGGGCGAAAAGGGGGGAAGCCAGCCCCTCAACTAATGCGTCAAGCTTGGTGAACAAGCCCACCTTGCACTGCAGCTGAGAGAGATAGGCGAGACAGGCCACAAAACCATCTGAAGGTCAAGCCATGCGCTCTGAAACCACATAGACACTCGATGGTGCTCAGCATTGTGTTGCACGTGCCATTTTTCCCCAGATTCTCCATGTCCATTTAGCCTTGTCGAAAACCACGTCGCACAGGCCAGACCTCGTCAAAACTCAAATGCCACCCCCACAGTGCGCGGAAATGAAGGCCTTTTTTCCCCATTCTCCGGCCTCCCCACCATCCCCTTCTTATTAGCGGTCTTTTTGCGATTGTGTCAGGATGCTCAGGTTAGGTGGGCTACTGTGTATGCCTATCAAATGCAAGAGAGGAAATAAAGCGGCCATCCCAAGTCCCGAATCAGGGGAATGGAAATCACCGAGGTTCAAACGCTGACAGACGGGTGGTGCTGACATATGCGCATGTGCTTGGCACAAGAGGGAAAAGGGGGAGAGATGCCGGTTGTGGGTGGGATCTGTCGAGTTCAGATCTGCCCCTTGCCTGCTGTGTCGGATTAACGTTATTGCTTATGAGCTAAGAAGCCCCCTTGCTTTCTTTATCAGTTTCTATCTGGACAAGATTTGTGGAGTGCTCCACAAACTTTATAGAATGCCGGCGACATTCTACAATACTCGACACTTGTAGGTATGGAAAACTGTCGAATTTCGTGTTCCATGTTAAAACGGCAAGCTGCGATCGGCAGGCCCGATGCGAAGGACGGAAACAGGTGCTGACCTGTGATACGAGCTGACATGCCGACTTTTTCCTGGACAATAAGATGCCGGATCTGCATGCATCCATTCTTCACCCGAGCCAAGAGATCGAGGTTGCAATGTCGCATGTGAAGAAGATGAGAGCGACTCGACTTGATACGATGCTGCTGCTTCCTGCTCCTATATACACAGTATATAAAGTCTGCGTAGTACGCTCCTTGCATGGGAACACAATTCAACCTGGTTTGTTTATTAGCGTGGAACTTCCGTGATAGGTATTACACCTCATCTTCCTCCACTTTAACTAACGTTAGTTATACTTTTCTTTCTTCTTTCTTTCTTCCTTTCTTTCTTTCTTTCTTTTTTATTTCTTTCTTCTCTTTTCTTTCCCTTACTCTTTTCTTTCCCTTTCTCTTTTCTTTCCCTTTCTCTTTTCTTTCCCTTTCTCTTTTCTTTCCCTTTCTCTTTTCTTTATCTTCCTCTTTGTCCCCCTATTTTGTCTTTGCATTCCATCTTTTTCTCTCTTTCTTGTTTTCTTATGTTCGCTTTCTTTTAGTTATCCCATTCATTTCTAGTGCCTTACCATGCGCCACGCTAACGAACAAACCAGGGTTGAACTTTTTGGAACCTGCAGGGCGATGACCGCTGAGATATGCGCTGGAAGAAGCTATTCCGAGTCAAAGCAGTGGATTGAACAGAGTAAGCAAGTCCTTTTGAGAGGTGGTAACAGTGCTTGATAGACCATGCTATTATTTGATGGGCAGGGAGAGGACTAAGTAGGGAAGAAAGAGGGGTTGCAGTGCTGGCACCAACCTACCACCGAGGTCCGTTGAATGCAGCCATCAAGGCGGCTTCGTTCCGACAGAACTGTACCAGGTAGGTATACGGTATAACTTATGTAAACTTGCAATACTGTGTAACTATCCCTGGTTCTGGGAAATGAATTCATCTGGGCACGCACCCGGGTTTCGAATCAGACATGTTGGTTCACGTGGAGAGGCCCAAACGTGCAAACAGTGCAATGGATGAGGCTATTCCCAATATGTCAAGATAGGAGGGATCCTCTACGGATATGGTTCGTTCAAGAACTCTTACGGGTAGTGTTCCCAGCGTCCGAGTCCTCACTTGTTCTTCCGACAGTTGTCACCGTTTTGCGCTGTAACTATCCTGGATGAGCAAGGTGCAGTTCACCACCCCTTTTCAGTGTCCTGGGTGACAACTTAGACGGCTGCCGTCGCCTTGGCTCCAAGCCGGTTGATTACGCCTCTTTGACCTTGTGATATGGCCGTTCTGAAAATCTTGAACTATAACGTGGCAGGGGAGACAAGTAACGATGCAGCAGCGCTGGTACTCTTCGGTCTCTAGCGATTTTCCCCCCTCCCACCCTTTAGGCCGGGAGCTCAAAGTGGGCGTCAGCTCAACATTGAGCACGTCGGACCGGTTTAAAACCGAGATGCGTTGTCTTAGGTACAGAGTTTCTTATATTATGCCTGAATTTGATGCGTTGAGTGTGCCTGAACTAGGGTACAGCTAGATTGTAAACGCAACTGCAATGGTTCCAGGTTGATTCCCGTTCTAGTTGCCTACCTCTCGGTTTCATTGCCTATACGGAGTATAGAAATAGATGGGAGAGACATTGTATATAGACGTACAATACATGACTACGAAGTTCCTTGCCGAAAACCCACCACACATTTCCATGATTTCATGTATTTGTCTTGAAGCACCTTGTGGCAAATACAAGGATTACTCGTACCAAGTTCAACGAAGACTAACGTTAGTGCAGAGATGCTTTGGTTCAGTCGAAGCATTCAGGTTGCAGGAGCTGACCGGGATCAGCTGATCGATCAACCGTGAATATTGCTGACAATAGCCTTCGGCACGAGAAGATTTTTGGAGTGGATGTGTCCAACTATGCCCGTGACACAGCGGGAAAGCTGCACCACAGGAATATCCATTTCTGTGCCTGTTGAACATGTTGAGACCAGCAAGCCAAGATACACCGCAAAGACCTACTCGTCAATGAGGACGTCAAGCATAGGTCAGCACGTGTGCGTTGGAGCCGTCCTTGCAATGTCCGCCGACGGGCAAGTCGCCGAGCTGCGGCACAACCACCGGTCCTCCTAATCGCGAAGTTCTGACCCCGATTCCCAAAGTCATGCTTGTCTCCGTCCTCGAGGACGGACCCAGTCCTAGTCTGACTTGCTTCTGCGAGAACGCCAGGCCATAGCACCTGCTGCACCATTTCCACCCGCCCTGCATGTTGGCCTGCTGCTTTGCAAACATGATCTCGTAATGGTGTTCGACGACGCCGGTGTCGGTATGGGCCGTCGTCGGCCACGCAGCATGTCTTGCCGTCGAATCATGCAGAGCAGGTAGGCAGCAGAACTTGCACCGTATCCATTAGCTTGTCCTGGCCGAGGGGTGCGTTGGGATGGGAGGAAAGTTGGGAATGATGTACCTCAGGCTGTCTGAGAGATCGTGCACGACGTGCGGGTGTGTTGTTGCCGCGGCAGACGGCGTCGCCAGTGTACCGTGTAGAAGACACAGGAGCACAGTAGCACTTGGAGCGCATCTCCAGTCCTCTTCTTCTGAGCCATAAGGGCGTCGCGCCGATAGTTGGAGAAGACGGGAGTTTGCTTGGTGTTGGAAGGTGGGTAATCTATCGTCCCGCCTATGTGCCCTGTCAGAACTGCTCGGCTGTTGAGTGTGCTGCCGCTGTCCTTCTTCTGTAACATGTCAGGTGTGATGGGCTGAGCCCATGATGGCCTCGGCAACCCTCGGCCGTGGTATCATGATAACGTCATCCTGAGGCAGGCAGTGTCTGTGTGTTCCGGAGCATATAAGAGCTGCCCTCTCTTCCTGTCATCTAGTTCTCTCTTTTCTTCTTCTCTCTCCATTCGAGACAAACTCGTAGATTCGTCACCAGCTAGTTGCAATATACTCCTGGGACCGTTACATCAGGCACAGCTGCCAGAAAGGGAGCATTAATATCTCAAAGGGCCAGACCGGCACTACCATTTCTTGATCGGTAGTCCAGTGCCGTTCTACGGTTATCCTGACCCGTCTGACGCCAGCAGGACTCGACGCCCGATCACCTGCAGCCGCACGTAGAAACCAGGAAGTGGCGGGCTGGCAGGCGGCCTACTTCAACGTTTCGGTGCGACTATCCTCTCATGAGCTTTATCAACAACACAAGAGAAGGGTAATGTCGGGTCAGACCAGGGCGGGCTTGGTCGAGACCTCAGTCCTGGAAATCTGAGCGGTTAGATCTAAGGTGGTAGAAGCCCCGTTGCGCGCGGCTGTTTCAGAAGGGAACTGCATGCGATGGAAGCTTGATTTTTTATGAATTATTGGACACTGACAACACGCAGCCGAGGGTCAACTCCGACGACTCGCAGCGCGGAAGCTTATAGGCGGAATTCGAAGTGGCTGCATGTGCCTTGGTGGCCGGTTTATTGGGGACTCTAGTCGTCTAGAGCTGTTGTCATTCCTTGCCGCAGAACGTGCACACTCGAGGTATCTTCCGCATAACAAGGGTCCTGTCGGCTATCTGGGGACCGCAAGATCTCTGCTGATGGTTGTCTATCGGGCATCGGGGCTAGCATAAGTTAGTTCTGAGATCGCGACTCTCAGTTGATCGCGTCAAAACCCTTTCATCCAGCAGACAGCCTGGAGAGGCGCACTGCAGAAGAGGCAAGATGGGATGTTTATTTTGGGCTGTACGGCTGCATCTCTGGCACCTTTATCGGTGATGCCCGTAGCGGCATCTCCGCGATCCCCTCCTGTTCTTTGACTTGTATCTCAAGTAAATCAACCGCAGTTGCCGCAGGTCTACTTGAGTGGCAAGTGTTGGGGCTCTGGTAGCTCGAGGTCGTCCCATAAGAGCTGAAATGACCCGGCCCGCTGTCTGTTGCTGGCGACACCAGAGAGTATTTATCGCGGGTGTCCTGGAAGACATGGAAGTTGTCTGGAAGTGCATTCCAGCAGCCGAGGGGTCAAGCTGACGAAGACAAGGAATTGTCGGTACAAACTTCAACTCTCCCTGGGGATGTACTTGCGACAATCGTCGGCTCCAATAGGCTTGGTGCGTCTATGTGGTCAGCTCATCAGTGTGCCGTTGAGGTCGCGGCTCGCGCATCCGGATCCATTGTGCAAGTTCCAGCAATCAAGGGTAAGGTAACCGGTCTCAGCAATGTGGCGTGAGTGCGAATTTCAGTATCTCACCCATGCCACAACTCTTTTGCGCGTGTTCACAACGTGTTGGTATTTGGACCACCTTCTGGAAGATTGCATGTTCTTTGCACGTGTAATGTATGCATCGCGGTTCAAATCTTGGCTGCAGTTGCTCAGGGCTCTGCTTGGTTCTGTAGCTTCTGTAAGTCGCGACTCGTTGGGACTTAAAGTACGGTACAGCTTACTCTCAATGTCTTCTTGTACCCTGCACAACGGGAAGGATGGTTAGGTATTGGATGGCCGGGATGAGGATGGTATCTGGAATATCTGACAGCGCTGAAGTGCCGCGGCTAGGCAATGCGATGTGAATCGCCAAGCATGTCGACACTTCAAGATATGGAACACCTCAGGCAAGATAAGTAAGTCACTGAAGCCCGCCAAACCAAGTGAACGCTTATAGTAATGTTTTGCGTCGATCTGTGTGTTAAACCAGAAACAGAAAGAAGGGCTGTTGCTGGGCGATGCTTTTACATTCAGTTGTGCCCGTTTCATAACGTAGCTGATTGAAGGCTTTGGAGCCAGTGCAGGCAAGGTGATCCTTTGCAGTTGATCTGCAGTTTTGAAGACACCCTTTGAAACACCACATCAAATGTCCGAATGCAGCGACGCGGAAACAGCCCGGATCTCAATTTGAGATGGATGCAACCCTGTGGCCCGTGCTCGCGGAAGGAACAGTGCTGGATCGGGGTTCGGCCAAGGCCAAGTGGGCTAGGCTCAGGTACGACTTCCTGAACCAATGGCAGCCCTACGGTTGACGCTTCTTTAATTGGCTCTGGCGCCACTGCTGCGACTTCTCGATTGAGATGATCGGACACGACGTGGTTGCTCGTTGCTCCCGTCAGGGGGAAACCGCGAGGCTCTGGCAATGTCCCGAATGAAGAAAGCTGACGAGCGCCCAGCAAAGAAGCTGAGCGTCTTGTTGTGGATGCATTGCTGATCTCCCGGTCTTTCCTGTTTCTTTCTCCTTTGTCATGCGAGTGGCCCTTCGTTCATTACACATGCCGTACAGCGTACCGACACTCAACACACTCACTCGCTCACACACGCTCGTTACAGTCGCTCTTTTTCCTCTCGCATGAACAAATTTACAAGGCGACAAGGTCCCACGTCGCATCCAACGCCTCCGCCGTTGTGTCAGCAATCCAGTAGCTGCTGTCCGCGCAGGCCCCGTCAACGGTCACCGGGGCGTCATCGACGAAGGGGGACCCGGCCATCGAGACGTCTCGGGACCCGCGACTTTGGTGGAGCGCGTTCCTGCTCTGCTCGGCGCTCGTCGGGCTCGAGTCCCGAGAACCGGAAAGTAGGATGGAACCCAGTGCCAGGGACAGGTCCCCTATATCCCGGCGGGTCGCACAGAAGCTGGGCAGCGACACGACCGTCCGCATTCCGTATCGTTCACGGAAGGATGCAGCCCATGCCCGGCACACCGCAGCCGCTGACCTCGATACGGCCATCACTGCCCGCCATCACGACCCCGAGACTGATCCCAAACGACACCGGACTGCCGCCGATGCGCTGTCCCTCTCCGGCACCACCCCACCAAGCAGCCCAACCATAACCAGTTTCCCTGCCATCGCCAAGTCCATGACTCCCGAGTCCACCAAGGCCGTCCGACCTCAACTTGTTCTCATCGACTCCCGAGGCAAGGTAGCCACTAGAGACGGGGACGATACTTCCTTTCGGAAACACAACCGTGGCATCGGCTCCATCGACTCCATCCTTACGTCCACAACCTGCGTCAACACGCAGTCCGAGTGTAGCCGCGCCGAGTCACGCCTGTCCCGGGAGATCCGCATCGAGGTCGAGGACACTGACGGCGGCGCTCCCATCGCACCCCCTCTGAGACCGCGGAAGCAGACAAGCAAGTGCGTATTGTCACATGCTACGGCCACCTCCTTGAAGTTTGACTTTGCTCACGCTCTTGACAGGCTACAACTTGCCCCATCAAGCATCTCTGAGCGTCACTCCACCGGCAGTTGCAGCGAGAGTGAGGATCATGACGCTGGGGACGAGGAGGCCAGGCTGGTTGATGAGATCTCGTCCTTGGTCTTGAGGAACACCTTCGGCAAAGACCTGGACGACTGCGCCGCCCCGCTGCTGGTCTGGGACTGTACCTACCGTTACCTGCAAGAACTCTGGACGGCATGCGAGGAAGGAAACCTGGGGTTCCGTCAGGCGACATCTGGCCACGGCACTCCGTCATCGCACTACGGTGGCACTCCGGGTTCGGCGAACAATGATCAACAGTTTTCCGGCCAGTATGGGAAAGGGAAGAGGAAAGTAGAGGGTGGCGATGATGACGGCGGCGGGCTAGGCGGCCGAGACAACCAAGGGAATGACGGGACGGAAGAGTCACCAGCATCGCAGGCATACAGCACCAAAGGGACCTTTACCCACTTCAGCTGTCCTTACCGAAAACGCAACCCTCTTCGCTTCAACGTCCGAGACCATTACGTCTGCGCCACACATTCCTTTGCCGACATGTCCCAACTGAAGTAAGCCTCAGACAGATATCAGGACTGACGACAAGATGATGCTAACTTGGAACAGGAAGCACATTCGTGCCCACCATCCTCCTGTCCAGAGGAACGCAGGGCCATTCCCATGCCCGCGATGTTGCCAGGGCTTCGTGTCGAAACCCGACCTGGACTCCCATCTGAGGCAGCCGGATGTCTGCCGCATCTCCTTCGACAGCGGCGGCACTGATCCTGAAGATGGCATTACCCAGAAGATTATCTCGTCCTTGGAGGCTAGGAGCCTCAAAGCCAAGATCGACAACTGGATCTCGCTATGGAAACTTCTTTTCCCAGCTGATCAAGTCATCCCCGATCCAGGTACATACCCTTCCTCCTGTGAAAAACCAGCAAGCTGCTAACATTGGACAGTCTTCGTTCCGGTAATGGAAGTCTTTGACTTCATCGCTGAGTCCAAGAACTTCCTGAGCACACTGAAAGACCTCCTCGAAATCCAGTACCGCCACGTTCTGGATGGAGCGGACCATGTGAAGAACGTCGACATGAAGATTCGCCAGGGTCTTGAACGGAGTGCAGGGTCTATCTACACCTGGATTGAGACGGTTGTGCAAGATTGGGAGCATCGGTTATCCGGGACCATGTCGCTTTTCACGAGGTCGATCATCAGCCAGCCCGCCACCAGTGACAGTTGGGCATCCACCCCAAACCTCCCACCATCCCCTGCACCTACACCCACAGTTTCGGGCGGGAGTGTCGCTGCAGCGAGCACCTTGCTTGGATCCGAGAGCCCTGTTAGCACCACGGCTCCAGGTCCAAGGGGTCCGTCTGTCCGCAGGCGGCCTGATCCACCACCGAAGAGGATCAAACGACCCGAAATCCTGCCCAAAGCTCCGCCGCCAACCCAACTACCTCTACCTATTCAACGAGCACGAACCCCTCAGTCGCAGGCCAGGATGACAACCAACACATTCAGGGCACACCCAACAGTACTCCCGAGCCAGTCGATTCCCATCCCACCAACAACTACGCAGAATCTCAACTCGGCTCCATCCTACCATACCAGTTGGGAAAATCCGTCCGTTACAGTTACGAGCGCCTACAGTGTTGCCTACACCAGTCCCGGAGATGTCTTTCAGCATCCAGCCATGGCACCGACGCATTACCCTCCCATGCATCCAAGAGAGTTGGAAGTTCAGCCACCAGGAACATACCTCGCGCCAGAACCGTCCACAGGAAGTGTATCACCGGACGCAATGCAGCACGACATGGAGCCTCGTCCGCAGTCAACAGGAACCATGCACGCAAACCGGCTTACCATGTCGACCACACCAAGGTCCTCGCTCGCCAGCCTCAGCTGGATCCGCGACGAAAACCGGGATTCGAGCCAGACGCTGGTTGAAGCACACCCGCCCGGAAGATGCCACAACCTGTACTGCCCAAGCTGCAACAAGACGTTACCCGACGACATGGCCGCCCAGCCATCGCCCGTGGCCATCCATCCTGTCACGGGCGCGCCGCATCCAGCCCACGCTTTTCAGACGGCCGGTGCCGGACCAGGAGCTCCCTTCCAGGCGTCTCCTGATCCGGGAGAGATACACAACTTTGCAGACCAAATTGAATGGTCATTCCATGCCTCTGGAGGGATGCCAGGCGCGGGGGGCAACGATAACATGTTTGGAGGGGGACAACACGGGCCACAGGAGGGGTACTAAGACTGCCTCGCTCACTAATGCGACAAGACTGATGGGAACTTGCAGCAAACAAAGAAGCCTTTTCTTGGATACCTCAATTGTATACTAACAAATACTGACAAGGATATCGGGCTAATGTAATGCTGAAACAGCAACTGCCTCGCCGGCTCAAGGTGTGGAGAGGCGTCGTTATGTACGCAGAGCGGCGAGCAGGTGGTCAACGGCACACTGCATGCAACGAGGTTATGATTGTCATGATATATTTTGTTAGGGATTTTACTCTACGACTTCTTGGATGGTTGCTTAGTGCTGGAGGAGACAGGCCTACAGATAGGTGTAATTCTAGTGTCTATTTTACTGAGGAACTCAAGTACACATTGAAAGTGCTGTCAACGTTGGTTCAGAGGCATTGCCATCGTTGTCTTTATCTCCACCGGACGCTCCTGTATCGCCGTTCGGTCGAGGCAACGTCTGGATGCGCTTACCCCCAGCGGTTGTCGAGAGATCAGAAGAGTCCAAGACGCACCGACTAAGGAATACTCAATAGCAAGCGTTCAACGCAAGACAACCAATCAGCTTCCTAGCAGTAGGCATGGGGCGTGTCTCTAAGGGGGACCAGACTCACACGGCGGTGGAAGTAACGGCTATAGTTCCAGACAAACTGAGGGTCCGCATCGCTGGTAGTGTAGTCTGGCGTCAGCATCATGCGGAGGAGAAGCAGAAGCAAGATGCCTGCTGCAAAGAAACGATGGTAACATAAGCCAATGCTTCACATTCTGTAGCATAGCATACTGGTAGACCAGCGAATTCTCGGGACCATACCTGCATTTAATCAGTGTTCGCAATTGGAGCAAGCAAGGACAACTCTCTCACACCGCAAATGCCGTAATGGAAGTGGAAGCTGAGGCCAGGTACGGATACTCACTCAGGCTCCCTTGTGTACGTGGCGTCTCGCCAACCTCCGCTCAAAAGTCACCTGCGGAGAGCACTGGAAAACAAAACAAAACAGTTATTTTGCACAAGTACGGGGAGATGGAGGGTTTGGGGTCTCTAGAGGAAAACAGACTTTTGCCCATCCACCTGTTCATGGTAACTCGGCGGGTCAAGGAGGCTGACGACGCGCTCTTTCTCTCTCGGTTTCTCTCTCTCTCTCTCTGGCTCCCCCTTCTCTCTCTGTTTCTGTCTCTGTCTCTCTCTTTCTCTTTCTTTCTCTCTCCCTCTCTTCATTCAGTTTGTGAGACGATTCCGTCTCTGGGTGTTAAAATCTCGATATGTACTTACTTGCGCCGGGGTGGGCTGTGCGGATGTGGTCATGAAGCTGGGAACATTTTGTCAGCACAGCGTACCGGTACGATCTGGGCTGAGGAGGACGTGAGCTCAGTTTTCTGCTCTTTCTCACATACCAGACTCGCGTCACTGTTGTTATAGCCGCACATCATACCACTTCCAAGGAATTCGATCTCAACGCCGTAACTGAGAATTGATAATACTGTCAATGGGGCATCAATAATTGGCTCGCCTTTGCTTTCGGTGCTGGAGGGATAAGGGAAACAGAACAAAACTTGCACGAGGGAGTGGACGGCCGAAAAGCACCATGGCAGGGTTCGGAGCCGCTGATCAGCAAATGTGGCCAGCGAATTGCAAAAAGCATGCCTGGTATATGGCCATGAGGAAACGAGACTGCTGTAACGGAAAAGAAAAAAAAAGGAAAAAAAAACAAGGGGCGCGAAGGGAGGGGGGTAACAAACATACCAGCATTCGCCGCTTCAGTGATAACGATCGCTGATACACGGCGGTCAGGAGAGACAAAGACGAGATGAAACGTGGTGAAGACTTGCGTGGGAGCCGCAAATCGCGGCCAAGATGAGCTTTTCAATTACAACAGGCTGTCCGCGACACTGCCAGCACATAAGTCGAGGGAGGGTGGGATACGGCAAAGACTCACAAGGAGGGATCCATCCATGGTTCATGTTTGGAATCGGGCCTGGCACAAGTTAATTGACATGGGCTGACCACTGCTGAAGGAGTCTCAGTGATGTAGACTTTGCCCATGATGGTAACCGAAGTCTGTCGGGCTGTGCAGGTTGGCTGTGCGCGATGAGCATTTTTGCGTCGCATCTTCCTCCGGGGTGTCCAGATATCCTCACCATAACTGCGCTGCAGGGTGAGGATATCGCTTTCAGTGAAGGAGATGTTATTAGTATTGCTACTACTACTGATGATAGTCTCTTCCATATCAAACAAGCTATTGTTGTTCGTGGTACTGCGGGTTCTGGAAAAAACTGAGAGATGGTTGAGTTGTGGTGAAAGATGGGATGAGTCGTTTGCTCGCGCCCGGAGCATTTTATCTCTGGCTGACGAGCAGACGCGCTTGAGTGGCTTCGGCAGATACCTTACGCACATAGGAGGGTCGGAGCGGCAAGGTAAGGTAGATGTTAGGGTTACCTCCAGGTACAGTGTAAGAAGAGCCTTGGGGACTTGGAGATTCAAGGGATGAGCCGGCGAACTGGAAGGCAACACGAGCGTTGACTTTGGCAGTCCAAGCACCTAGCGTAGGGTCTTTACTTATTGTTTCCTTCGTCGAGTGGGAGGATACCTGACCTAGCCTCCAAGTTGGTCTCTCCTTTTATGTTGATCCAAACAGGTCACCAAACCGACCGGAACCAGGGCGTGAGCTTCGCATATAAACGACATAGCACTCGGTACTAGCCATTACATCCATCTGACATTTCGCTGTTGTTCTCAACGCAATAGAAGACATCACAGGCGCCCCCGACCCCAACCCCAAACCCGATGATTGCTCCCTCAATATGCTCTCATCTCCACGTCAATGACAAAGATCGCTGGATATGTGCAAAGAACACCGGCACTGATGCTTCTCTTAGATAAAATCATCCAATTCCCCGCAGGTCAACCCTCATTCACCCTCTAGCCACTGCGCCACACCCTCTCCATTCCCCTCACCCTCTAGCCACTGCGCCACACCCTCTCCATTCCCCTCCCCTCACCTCACCCTACGCTTTCTCTCCCCGTCCAGTCCCAACGACTTCCCTTTATCACGAAGCCAGCACGGAAGCAGTCCAAACCGCCGTCTTCTTAATCCCAGACCAGGTAAATCTCACTCTCACTTCGAAGACTCAAGCAACAGAAACATCCGCCAACCCGCGGCTCTGCTGCGCCTGCAGCGCCACCACCAGGTCCGTCAACCGATCAATCTTGGCCGCGAGGTCCGCAATCCGCACCTCCACGTCCGTCGACGGCTCGTCAAACGCCTGTTCCTCGGCAGCTTCCGCCGCCGCCTGCTGCTGGCGCGGGGTCAGGCGCGACGAGTCATTGGGCCCGATGGCGTAACCGCGCGAGACGGCCGTGCTGGACGAGGCGCTGGTGGTATTCGCGGTAAGGGGCGGCGGCGTCGAACGGAGATACATTGCGGAGGCTAAGTCCGTGCGCAAGGACGAGGAGGACTGCTTGTGCTGTTGCTGGAGGCGGTGCTGCTGCTGCTGCTTGGCGGCCGGGTTGGGGCTGCCGATCGTTGTTGCGTGGCGTGGGCCGCGGAAGCCGTTGTATTGCGTCCCCTTGCCGGCGGTGCCGTGGAGCCATTCGTAAAACTCGATTACTGCCACGATGGGGAGGTGGGTTGCTTTGAGGAGGAGGATGCGGGCTTTGCGGAACTTGTTGTCGGACGGGAGAAAGAGACGCAGCGGCCGGAAGATGACGAGGGCGAGCAGATTGAAAGGAGGATAGAAGTGGGTCAGGCGGTTGCTGGTGGAGGCCTCGAGGACGTACACGCTGTAGACATACAAGTACTCCTCCCGCGCATGTGTAATGACGCGCGAGAAGGAGTTGGAGAGCATACCGGTCAGCGAGCCCATCAGGAGAATGGAGCTGAGCATGACGAAGAGGATCATTAGGGGCGGGCCGAAGACAGGATCGATGTTGTGCATGATGTCTAAGCCGAGGTAGCTGGAGCCGAAGAAGATTCGGGTCAGGAAGCCTGCCATGTCGTAGAGGGTATACGAGTCGCGGCCGACGAGGGAGAAGGTGGTCAGGAAGCCGAGATAGATAACGACGACGAGCACCATGAATTTGAGGAAGTCTTTGCCCATCTCCTTGAGACAGGGAATGAGTGTCTGGGATCCAGTTAGCACCTATCGTCTAGTCAGGCGGAGGAATGACTTACACCCCAGTAAGGGCTCAAGCTGAGGATGGAAAAGACACGAGGCACCATGAACAAAGCCTCGAGCGCCAAGACGTCAAAGGCCAAGTCAACGAGTCGAGAATTTCCGGTTTCCAATCCGACGATTCCTGTCGCCGTCAGTGGGGAGAGCGAGCATTGAGGGACGGGCAGACTCACTGAGAACAAAGTACGTGACACCAATTCCTATCATGGCCATGTCAAAAATGTTCTGCAGACTCAGTTAGCAGTCGCATTCGAACAATATCAATGAAAGGCAGGTAGGTGTACGCACCCAAACGTCAGCAGCGTAAAAGATGGACCCAGCGTCTATCCACTCGCTCAGCTCGTCATAAGCAAACGCTGCGAGCCAGAGACACAAGAAGACCTCCAAAGTGGTTATCCGAGTGGGATCGCGCTCCATTAGCACGGCGTAGTAGAGGAATAAGAAGCTAGCGAAGAAGACGACCTCGAACGACTTGAGGTATTTGGGGACTCGCAGGCGGGAGAATGGGTCGGCGGTGCTAGGCTTGTAGAAACGTGGCTTCTTGACCGAGTGAACCGAAAGGGAGTCCCAAAATATGATGTCGCCGTTCCATATCCCCGTGATGATCTTCTGGACAATGGCCTGGCTGAGAAAGCGCTTGGCGTCTGCGATGGCAGCGATCTCCAGGGCATTAAGGTTAGTGAAATGGGCCGTTGGGTCCTCTTCTTCGTCGTCGTTGTCATCATCAGCTGCCATGCTGAAGGTGAGGTTGGAAATGGACTGCAGGAGTAAGTTGCGTCTGCTGCTTCCCGACCGGCTGAAGACGTGGCGGGCCGAGTTTGCGGTGCCATGCAAGGCCTGGCCGAGAAGGGCGCTGTGCTCATCAACGACGGCCTCTTCGTCGCTGAGGCTCTGCTCCCCGACGTGCTTCGGATCTGGAATCTCGTAGAGGCAATAGTCGACGGCCTCCCTCTCGGAGAGGTGAGTGAGAAAGCGCCAAGCGACAATCTCACACCCGTTGGCGCGGGCCTCGTTCAAGCCCTTGTCCTCGGTAATGGCAGCATAATGCCATTTGAGTGCACTTCCGGGAGATTAGCATACTTGGCTACTTGATGAAAACCAGGGCTTCCAGAACCTACAGCAGCGCATTCACAATGGCGGGGTGGGTGCAGTTGCGGCCCAGATGGTCGACCAGGGCGCGCAGCCCGTCTCCGGCGCTTGTTGTCCTCAGCTGCTCGAAAGTGACGGGTAACAGAATGACGTCGGCTATGTACACCGAAAGCTTCTTGACCAGCACGCGGAAATTGTCGTCGTCCCGGATGTCGGGAAGCTCCGCACCGAAGCGGGCTTGGCGGCCTATTGGCGACGGCGTCCGGAGCGCAGCTTCGCCCTGCGCGGGACGTGACCTAACGCGGATCGGCATCTCGGTTCAGGTCGATGGACACCAATGGGTAATATGATAGCAATACTTAGCCGACTTCGCTGAAATAAGACAGCGGAAGCAGTCGGCTCCTCGAACCGTAAAGACTCAAAGAGGGGAAGGTGCTGGCGAGGAATGTAGTGTTGATGGAGCCCCCAACTCGTCGGCTGACAATCCCTGCAAAGGCCTAGCGCGACTCGGCAGGGCGGCCCTGCTTCTGTGCTTTCGGCGGCAGCTGACTGGATGGGACTGCGACCTGCAGTGGGGTTCCAATTCCATGTTGCTTGTTTCAACTTCGTCCATTTCGATCGCGTTGGATCCCGTCACCCGCCTCCCTCAGGTCTGACTCATAAAGCGCGCTTTCGCCACCCAAGAGACTGATCAGGCCAGTAGGAGAGTAGGTAGCGTGTGCTCTAAACCACCGGATCACAACTAGTCGCCATGTTCGGATTGGCCAGTTCCTCAATTCATTCCTAGGTTTATTAGCGTGGAACTTCTATAGTATCTAGGTATTATAGAGTATATCTCATCTTCTTTTACTTTAAGCTCTTTCTTTTGTCTATTGGAAGAGTGCAAGTCTCATTCCTTTACTCTTTACCTCGTCCATCCATTCCACTACAAGCAACAAACCCTCGCTAAGAAGGGGGAATCCCCACAGACGGCGCCAACGCCAGCTGCGACATTCAAAGGCCGTGGCAGCAGGCCTCTCTCGGCTCGCCGCCAGCGGCATGGCCGGTGATCTCTTCTGGTAGTGGGGGAATCAGCTCAGCTCGGGCCAGACGCACAACGACGGCAACACGGTCTACTACGGCTAGCAGCTCGCTACGTTTCTGGTGACGGACCATGTCAGGGCTATCAATGCCGCTGGGTACAGTGGGTAGGGCTCAGGGCCGTTGGCAACTTGGATGGTGAGAGGATGGGTAGCTTCCCCGGCATTGGTCATGAGTTTCAAGACCCAGGAGCCGTCAAAAGTATTGACCCGGTACTGCACTGCGAATAAGAATGCATCGCTTGCTTGTCTGTCAGGCACAAGTACTTATCCGTATGCAGGTACCATCGGTTGTAGGTACAAGTACGGTGGAATCATAGCCTCGCGGATCTGGCCGGATCCGATCTGGGCCACAGCACTTCCGGGAGCGTTGGAGGTGGCGGTTCGATGCGACAATGTTGGACTGCTGGCTCACTCTGTTGTCCCGGGCGCTTGATGCGCTTGTTAATTCCAGTAGGTGTGTTGGCGGCTCCTGTCATTTCTAGTTTTCTTTGGCTCCGGTTGCCCGCCTGCTTTGTACAGTATATCTCCGCTGAAGACCCCCACCGCGCTAACTTGCCATTGTGGAGACCAGGACGATCTGAAACAACCTCAGGTTGAGGCGAGAGCACTTACTGTGTACATCCGTACATTGAAGTTTAATTACATGTTTCCGTACGTAAGTAGGCAGGGCGGTCAGTTAACCTCATTTTCTTTGGCCACAAACAGTGCCAATTCCAACATCAGGGCATATGCTCCCTCGGCGGTTGAGGCCTGTCTTGCAGGTTGAGGATCATACACAAATACGAAGTAGAGCCAATCTCTCTCTCAGGGGCGCGCCGGACTCCACCGACGCGTACTGCAAGCGACGGTGATATCGCGGGGCTCTAGACCGGCTTTACTGTTCACGTTTGCGGCACAGGTCCGCGTTCATGCGGCGCACTTCTGATTGAGGCTGGCAGGGCTGCTGGATAGAGGCATGATGAGATGGAGTTTCTATGTTAGACAATTACGACGAAGTAGGAGGAAATATAAGACGTATTCAAAGACTGCAAATACTCGGACTTGTCCCAGTTTTACATCGCAGTTACTGGATCCGGCGGTCCCACCATAAAGCCGTTGAGGGCGGGGCACTGCCACCCGACATACAGAAACCTTCTTGGCGCCAAAAATAAAAGAACCAGGCAGTCACTCCAAACCGGGCGAGCGAAGGGGCAGCACACAGCACAGCCTGTTGCGACCTCGGTTCGTTGTTGCTTGCCCGCACGGCATCCAAGCTAGGTACAGGTACTCAGAGAGTCGATATTCAGACAACAAACCGCCAGCATTTCGAGTACCCCGGGTTGTCGCGCAGTGTTTCAATACGACTCATGCTCCAACATCCATGCCTGCTTCCGTCTTGCAGCCCTCTGTACTTCACTTCAGGTGAACAGGATTCAAGATCCGCGACTAGGCCCGCTCGCAGGCGGCCACCACCTCGCTACTGCGATGCGTTGATGCACGGCGTCGGGAAGACGACCTGCAGGATCCCGATTGGTGATTCTCCATTCATCGCTTCATCAAGCCAAGGAATAAAACTGGATTGAAGGAAGGAGCGATGCTTGACGTGCGTCTGACCCATCCCTGCTACCCACTCAGGCCTGAGAAGCCGAACGCTGGGGCTCGGAAAGACCCACGCGCACCCGAAGAGCGAACCCTGGAACCGGGGGGCGTTTCTCAGACGACAGCAGACATCCAGCCATTTCCATTTATCTGGGTCGCGCCACTGGCACTGTGCCTCTCGCTCCGTCGGTGTCGCTTTGCACCCTCCTCGCATCTCAAAGTCCGTTCGTTCAATGATATTTCATAACTATCGCATCCCTTGCTTATTTACTCCGGTTTTTTCGGGTTTTCCTCTGTTTTGCACCGACAATTTTGAGCATCGCGACCCCACAGTGCTCGGACGCATGTCCTAACCAGCACTAGCCATTGAACCCCCCACGACCATGAGGACCTTCGACCACCTCCCGCGGCCGATAGCGCTCTTCCTCCTGACCAGCATTTTACAGCTGACTGACGCCCACGTTGCACCACAACTTCCAAAGAGAACACAGTCGCCAACAGTAACCATCCCACATCGTGTCCTCAACGTTGTTTCATGGCCGATCCGTCCAACCCCGCCTCCACGGGCGGACCTGTTCGCTCACCGTCGCCGACAGCTCGATGACGAGTACAACACAGTGTGCGGCTACATCAGCGGAGACTTGGCTCTGCCAGCGACATGCGGTTCGGGGTCTCACTGTGTGGTAGACACGGAGCATAATGTGGTCGGCTGTTGTCCAGATGGCGCAGCATCTTGCACCGACGGTGTCTTTACGGGGTGTGTGGACGGAAACAGCGGCCCACAGACCGAGGTGAACCCATACATCTTTAGCTGCACGGGCGGCAATGTCTGCTACATGAATGTTTTCGATGGCGGCTACTCGCAGTATGGCTGCGGCACCGCCAGCGACCTGGCAGCCACCGTCAAGAACAGCGCCAGCGGAGCCACTGCGCTTACACGGTTGACCGTCAGCGTTTCGTACACGCAAGGCATCAGCATTCTCAGCACACCAATCACGCTCGGTACTTCGACAAGTGGTTCCAGCACATTCAGCAGCTCCTCCTCTTCATCCGCTACCTCTACCTCTTCTTCCGCTACATCTAGCTCTTCTTCCGCTACCTCTGGCGCTTCTTCTACATCAACCCCTTCAACGGCAACCGCTGACCCGACGTCTACCAGCTCCGCCTCGGCCGCTGCCGCCGCCACCGACAATGGGTACCGCACCGGGGCCATAATAGGAGGAACGATCGGCGGCGTCGCCGTGCTCATTGCCCTCATTGGGTTAGCCTTCTTCTTCCTCCGACGGCGCAACGCCAACGTCCGTCAAGGTCCCGGCCCTGGTGGCGTCCGCGGCAAGGTGATCAGCCCGCCCAAGCCCGGCGGGGGCACGGGTTTTCACGCCCTCGCCCACGACGACAGCGACGCTTTCGAAACAGGCCCCGGCGGCAGTGTCTTCAACCAGCCCCCTACGCAACCATCACCACCACCACAACTGCAGATGGCCGCCATCAACACGGCCGCAGCAGCCGGTTCCGGCGCGGCCGTCGCAGCCGCCGCCCACCGCAGCATGCTCCCGCCCATCGCGACCGGCCCGCCGATGCCCTTCCAGTCCGGCCGCGAGAGCGAAATCTCCCCCGTCGACTACCAATACCAGCCCGACAGCGGCACCTCTGCCCGCTCCCCCTTCGCAGCCGGCGCCCTGGGCGGCCTGTCCGCGGGCGGCGCCGCCTCCGTCTCGTCCTACCCGCCCAGCTCGTCGGGCGGCATCAGCGGCGTGACCGACAACGGCCACAACAACAACAATCATGCCATTCCCGCAGGCGCGTATCATTACCCCGGGCAGTATCCGGCCGCGTACGCGGGCGGGACGGGTCTAATGATGAGCACGGGCACGAACCCATTATTCGTGAACCGCGGCGCGGAGAGACAGCTGGAGAGCGACCAGGTGCCGCTGACGGCCGCGAGAGAGCTGGATGATTTCTCGCAGGGGTTCCATGCCGCGCTGGGTCGAATCGGGGAGGAGGATGAGGAAGAGGCGGAGGAGGAGGACAACAGGGAGAGGGGAGAGGGGATGGGGACGCATGATAGCGCTGGCTCTGGAGCGGGGCGGCCGCTTTGGCAGCAGAATCGGAGGCAGAGTCGGAATTTGATGTGGATGTGAGACTGTGCTGCAGTGGCTGTGCTGGTTTGTAGATGGGTTATGGGGCGGGAGTATACCAGGACCATGGGCGTTGGGCTGAGCCGCGGCGTTGAATATGTTTACTGGGTGCGATACGAATCACAGAGGCATTGGGCACTGCATTTCTTGGGTCAGGAAGCATGCTTTTCTCTGGATATGCCAGCGGACGTTGGAGAGACGCATTGGCACAGTACCTTATCCTGTAAACTTGTACATACTCGGTTCTTGTGGGTTATCAGCGATGCGGGAGGATGTTGGGTTTCTATCACTACGAAGTAATGAGGATGACATTGGCAGAAAGCCGTGGTGCAGTTGGCAGTATGATGATACCATGCGCAGACCGAGCTATCCCTCCGTGTCGCCCATCAGCAGCTACACAGCAGGAACGGGGAATAGCCCACGTGGCGTCAGCGGGGCCCCCGAAGACAATGCCGCGCCGTCGGTCCCACTGGCGTCTCCGACCGACTCGATCCCGGAGGTTGCAGCTCAGAGCAACTCAGTGGGCATTCAGAACCCGTCGGCTTTGTGTTGGAGGTTGCACATCACATAACAGATTGCTGAGTCGGGCCGAGTGCTCCACAATTTTTTCGGCAGTTGGAAGATCCGTTCCGAAACGGGATCAGCAGACCACTCCATGCATGACGTCACAGAGGTCCAGACGTCACTGATGTTTGCCAGTCGCATACGGCAGCGTTACTAAATGGTTGGACGCCTAGCTGGACATTTTGAGGCGAGGCAAAGGGATGAACTGCTGCCGAGTCTGGAACCGCAGCTCTGATGATGGGGTTGAAACAGGCCCCCCTCTGAGCATGAGGTTTACCGAGATTCTTCACAAAATGCAACGCGAGTAGAGTATCGTTCCAGAAGAATTTGAGGTTCCTAGTGGACTGACACGACGGCGAGTGGCTCTGATGACGTCGTCGATAAATATAAATAAGATTTGAAATCTCAGTTGGATAGGTTCGTCCCAAGAGAGCTAGCTCATCGGTCAATCCAACGTCAGCAGCATTGTCAACCTACACATCACACTAGTCCACATCCAAAATGACCGGCTCGTCCAAGATCCTCGTCGTCCTCACCTCCCACGACAAGCTCGGTGACACCGGCAAGCCAACCGGCTGGTACCTCGTAAGACCTCCTCCCTCTTAATCCCCTCGCCCAGCGACTGCCTACTAACAAACCCATCCCCAACACAGTCCGAGCTCGCCCACCCGTACGACATCCTCATAACCCTGGGCTTCGGCCTGACCCTGGCCTCCCCCAAGGGCGGCCCGGCCCCTCTGGACCCCTCCTCCATCGAAGCCGCAAAGTCGGCCAACGACGCCACCTCCGCGTCCTTCCTGGCCGAGAAGCCGGCGCCGTGGGAGTCCACTGCCCCGCTGTCCTCCTTCCTCGGCCGCGCTAGCGAGTTCGATGCCATCTTCTTCCCCGGCGGCCACGGCCCCATGTTTGACTTGGCCACGGACTCAACCTCGCAGGCTCTCATCCGGGAGTTTGTCGATGCGGGCAAAGTGGTGGCGGCCGTTTGCCATGGGCCGGCGGCGCTGGTTGGGGTGAGGGAGTTGTTGAAGGGGAAGCGGGTGACGGGGTTTTCAAATGATGAAGAGAGGGCGGTTGGGCTGGATGGAGCTATGCCGTTCTTGTTGGAGGATCGGTTGTGGGAGGCTGTGGGGCAAGAGGGGGGCTATGAGAAGGCTACGGAGCCGTGGGGGGAGAAGGTGGTGGTGGATGGGAAGCTGATCACGGGGCAGAATCCGGCGAGTGCGAAGGGGGTGGGCGAGGCGATCGTTAAGGCCGTGCGTGGAGGCTGAGGATGCAGTAGGTGAAGGATGGGATGAAGGTCGTCATTTTTTTGTTGTGGCAACGCTGAGGGGAGTTGTATTAGTGCTTGGCTCCAAGAGGTCGAGTCACTTGGAAAGCCGGGAATAGGAAAGGCGGAACACGAGAATGGGTATTGACATCTCCTCAGCTCTGATGTTGGAGACACGAAGAAGAACGAAAGTAAGGGAAATAGGGAAGAAAAAAACAATGACAACTTTCAGGGCACTGATTCTTTGTTCCAAAAATAATCAAATTCTTGTGTTGGCATTGGAGTTCTGGCTCACCTAGTCAAATTGTTGTGCCAGAAAATCATAGCTTCCATCGCTCGTATTGGAGTCCATGGCAGATTGATGACTCCGAAAGTACAGAACAGGAAAATTTGGGATCCGGATGTTGCGCTGACAGTATGACTTCAGGCGATTTTCCAAACGCTACCGTCCATCTTATCATTATCCGATGTACCACTCATGTCAATATCACTCGACAGGATGAAATGAGTTTGAAAAGAAAATGAAGAGAAGTATTATTAGGTTCGGGTCCAGCCCAAGTCGTTCCCAGGTAAGTTTGCCATTCCATTCCCCTCCGCCAGCCACAGCTTACGCCCTTGTATCAGAAGCTGAAAACGTAACGAAAGAAACTCCAAAAATTCAACGCCTGGAAACTTCATGGCCACCTCAGCTCGATGTACTTCTGCAGCTGATCCTGCATCTCAAACGTGAGGTCACAAAGCAGGTCCTCCAGTGGGAAGAGCATGCTGGTGGGCGACTTCTCGTCGCACTTGGTGCAGGTACCGCCAAACCTCTGCCGGATGTACATCGGCCAGTTGAACCTCTTGCGCATGGAATCGTCGTCCCAGTCATTCTCGATAGCAGCGGCCATTAGCTCGGCGTCGCTGGCCGTGGTGAACTGGAGCACGGTGACGAGCTCGTGCAGCGGCGTGTCAACGTTTGCGCGAGGAAAAAGGCCCAGCCAGCGGAGGACTGTGATGAGAGCCTCCAGGCGGTTGGTGTTGCACATCATGTTGTCGCAGGGATGACGGCCGATGCGGGTTATCCAGGAGCGGACGGACTTCTGGGCTGCGGCGGAGAGGTTTTCAAGGATCTGCCCTCGCGCAGCAAGGATGGCATCTGTTGAACCACAGGTCAGCACTTCCCCATCTCGAAATCGAAGATGAAGGATGAACGCTACTCACCAACAACCTCCGTCCCACAGATCCCCACCTCCAATCTCCTCCCACCCGGCTTAAGCAACACCACCTCCCGGGTCGCCTCATCCTCCGCAACGGCGCAAACATACGCCAACCGCGCCGTCACGACCCGCAGCTCCTCGCCCCAGCCAAACACCAAGCAGGTATTTACCGCCCTCTCCATCGTCTCCGAGCCACCAATAAGATCTGCCTCCTCTTCCCCAAGCTCTTCCGATCCCCCAAAGTTCAACCACCCGCCAACGCGCTTGATGGCGCCCGCAAACGCGCGCATACATTCCCGCAGAAATTCCACCCACCGCTTCTCGAGCCCGAGGGCGTTCTTGAGTCCGCCGAGCCGCCAGAGCTCGTCCACGTTCAACACTGCATTGGCGTTGTTGTTGTCGTTGTGATGGTGCATCACAGCGAGAAGGGCGTGCAGTGCGCCGAGGTGCTGCTCGGCGACGGGGAAGGGACAGGCTGGTGAGCATTCAGGTTGAATCAGGCGGCCCAGGTCGACGGTGAGCGCTTGGGCTGATGTGTCGTACAACACCGCCGCTGAGTTGGGGTCACTGTGGCCGCGGTCGTGGTGGTTCCAAGCCGTGAACGAGGTGAGCACGGCGCGGGTGGTGAGGAAGGCGCGGGTGCTTGGGCCGAGGGTGAGCACCAGCCTTGTGTCGGCATCGAAACAGAGGGTGATAGGGTTGGTTATGGTGGACGTTGTGATCGAAGGAATAGCTGCTGAACGGGGAAGAGGGGAAAAGACAGGGGAAAATTCACCGTCACCACCGACATCATTGCTGCTGCTGCCGGCGCCAATGACCAGGTCCTCTTCGCCCGATCCTGGTGATAGCGTGGCTGTTTCGTCGGACTGGTCTGCTGCCACCGATAGATTGAAGACCAGTGTGCGGCCGTTCATTGAGAACTGTGGGGCCGGATGAAAGACCATGGGGGGAGAGATGGGCCAGGGGACGATGAGATCGGGACCGGCGTGGTCGGCGCGCCCAGCGGACGGGAAAGGGCCAAGGGGGTCTGAAGGTCCAACGATGTCGGCCCTCGACGCCGGCCTTGGGGTGACAGCGGCCAGGGCTGCCGGTGTTGTCGGCGGGCTAGTGGTTTTGTCCGTGACCACAGCCGATGGTTCAACGGCATCTTCACCAGAACCAGCTGCTGCTCCGTATGCGCTGGGTGAGCCCAGGCAAGCTTTTGGGTCCTCGGTCTCAGGGGGAGAGGCGCAAGGGACGGCACTCGTCGGACTCGTTGTTTCGCTCGTAGTGCCGTCGACAGGATTGGGAGCCCGGGTCTTGGTGGGTGTGCCGACAAAGGAGGGGGGGGAGGTACCTGTGCTCTGAGAAGACGGGGAGGTGAGGGATTTGGTGGTGCTCGGGCTCATGGCATTTCCAGCGGGACCAACAGCAATCCCAATCTTGCCTGGTGTACTTGGTAGGCGGAACGGAGAACCGGTGCCAGCTCTCGACCCCAGTGAGTCATCATGAGACACTGTTCGGCTGGGGCGGTGGTGACCATGATGCGGAGACGCAGCTTGGCTGGTAGGAACCGGACCACCAGCATTTCCAAAGCCAGCCTGGTTGTGCGCAGCGATGTTCGTGATCCAGCCACTGTTGCCGCTGTTGTTGCTCGAGTAACTCCGTTGGCTGCTTACTGCTGCCCAGTTACTCATGATGTGGCCCGGGGACGTGATGTTGTGCCGCGGGCTTCTACCTGCGAGAGGACCAGTGGTTCCGGGGGGGACAACGTGTCGGGAAGGGACGGCAGAGTACGCCACTGACGGACCCTGATAAAGAGTGTGGTGTCGGGCGTGAGTGGCGTTAGGGGCGGCGGCATGATGGGACTGGGCGAAGGCAGTGGGACGACGTTGGGCAGGCCGACTTGAGAGGTCCGACGACCGGCTTTGCCGCGGGGCGTCACGGCGCCAAGGAGGGATGGGAGAGCTTTGTGGTGTCGTGCTCAATCGCCGATCGTATGGGTGATAGTGACGGGCGTGGGAAGGGTTCCCAGCACCCGCGCCCCTTGGCTGACTGGCGCTCTGACGACGGCTGTTGTACGCGGGGGCGCCATCGCCAAGATTGGTGAAAGCTGGGCGGGGAGGAAGATTGGCCATTGTGTTACGTGGTATGTTGAATTGTAGAGGTTTTTGATGAGAGAAGTGAGAAAGTAGGGGTAGCGCGAATGTTGGGTAGAGGGGAGTCTTGGGGGTAAATGATCTGAGTCTAATTCTGACGAAGTTAGACAAGTTCAAAGAGGGAAAGATCTCATGCTCCTTTATAGCCATAATGGTGCTCGAGAACATGTGCAATGCAAACATACCCCCATTGTTCTGAAGTGCAATGGGGGGGACTGCTACAATAGCGGACGGTGTCTATCCCTTCAGGGGCACTGCTCCTATTATGTGCTTTAAAACTCAATTGTCGACTGCTAATGCTCCAACATAAGATTAAAGGTGGTGTTAGTATGTGAACCCTAGCATTGTGTTTTGATCTAATTGAAGATGGTTAACAAGCAACCTGCTAAAAGCAGCTGCTACTGCTGATATAAAAAGGCTGCTATTATTACTTTATAATTGGTTGTAGTTATTAGAAGCTATATGGAGTTTTTCGACTGGGCTTATAGAACACAGAGAGGTTACAATCGCAGAGGACATCGTCGATCATCTGCGTCATGTATAGGCACTCCTTTTTGACCATGACAGTTTGGCCTGAACCCGGTCCGCGTAAGTCTGCACTCCCAGGGGGATAATCTTCCGTTGGAATGGCGAGATGATTGGGGCCGTTTAGGAATTGTAAGTCAACGGCGGACAAGAATGGAGGGTTTCCAATTTTCACTGGTCAACCGCGGTCAGCGGAAAACTTCACTCATGCCAACAAACATCCTTCGACCTCCCCGGCGTGGTACTGCTTAGCGGGAAGGAGGTCGGCTATCCCCTGACTGTCATGGCTCGCCGTTATGAGATGTAATTCCCTCTTGCTCGTGGATGCAGGGGTAAAGAATCAGCGCTTGCGTAGAACCGTGAATAGCCAACTTGATCTCGTACAGGCACACCTCTCGTCTGTGCGGCGGGGTCTTTCCTTTGTCGGCTTTCCTCCTGTCCCCAGTTGAACTTCTCCGGGCTCGTGTTTTGTCCGGTCTTAAGTTTCCCGTTCAATATCTTATCCTGCGAAACTGAGAATCATTGGACCTAAGCCGTTTCCCCCGTCACTCCGCCGCTTGTCAGATTTCTTTCTCTGCTCCGCGTTGGGCCTTTTTCCTCCACCGTCCTCAAGGTCGATGCCTTACGCTTTTCCTCAGTGCAGCTATCTGAGTTGCCGGGTCCTCCGGCGGAAGCATCTCATTCACCCCAAGCCTTCCGTATGGGGGTTATGCTAGCAGAGTCCGTCCCAACCAAAGGCACCGCATTCCGAGGGACAAGGGCCCCGGTACTGCAGGACACAACTCAGAGTTATCAAACCCGGTCTACTTTACCTAGATGACACGCACATATCAACAAGGGAAAAGGAATTAGAGGAATGGAACAGTAAGTTGACGACAACGACGACGATGAAATAAGACCATGACAACTGCAATCATGACGGGCTAGATGGCGATCATGATAAATGGAATGACAATAACAACGATTTGAAAAGACCGATATTAGCATTGAAAACGAAACCAATACCGACAGTGAGGATGAGTAAGGCAATAAATAATAAGAACGACAATGACTGCCCAGATGATCCTTCGAGGTTTTCGGGGGCGTCCACTGGTAACTACCTTGCGAATGTGTTTTGTTGCCTCCCGCGGATTACATAGTTGCAGCCGGAGATAAATAATTAAGTCATTGGTCAAGCCTAATATTGATATATGGAAGCGATCAATACACCTGTCAAAGGTTCAATCTGAGTAGTTGTGACGCGAAGGTTGTCTTCAATCGTGCTGTAAGCCCCCGAGTAAAACAAAGCCCCTTTTCAATGGGATGCTCCAATGAAGTTGGCACAATTGCCCCACATAAAGAGCGCACAGACAATTGCAGTGGGGCTGCAGATTTGCAGCTGTGCACTGACCACTCACAATGGGTATAAAGACTTCGCTTCCCTCCCAGATTTTCAGAATCCTTTTTTTCTTTTTTTCTTTAGCTCTCTTTGCCTTTTGGCTTAGATCAAGTGTAGTATCTGTTCTTTTCAGTTTAATCTCTGAAACTTGTCTACGGACAAGAATCTTGATTAAATTAATTTTTGTCTCTCCCCGTTGATTCCTCTGCACTTGTGCATGGATCACGGGACAGTGACCATGGTATTTCACTGCCTCCATGTGTCGCGAACCTCTTTTTCATTGCATTCTCGGGCTCCGCTCGGGTTGTGAGGAAGAAGAATGTGTGGTGTGGGGGTGAATATGAGTGGTGTGGTTGGTGAGTTTGTGGTGGAATTGTCGTGAAATCTGTTGCAGTTGTGACCAACTTTGCGCTCCCAAATGCCCCACTTTGAGTGTTTCCCGCTGAGACCAATTGCCAACGTGAAAAGTGCCCGTCGTGAGTCTGAGTCTTTTGTCCGAATCGAATGCCAGTCGGCCTCCAGAGTCGACCTGCCTTGCCCGCGATAAGTCAGCAGCACGGCCCAAGCTCTGTCCCAGGATTTTGAACCAGAGTTGATGTCGGCTCTTGCTCTCCACTCTGCATAGTCAACGCGTACGGTGTTGATAAGTCGGCATGTTTCTGGCCCGGAATCGGCCTGTTCTTCGTATGAGATGGATCAGAGTCGCAACGTCAAGTGGAGAAGCGGCGGCGTTCAATCGGCCACGCGATGACAAATCCCTCCGAGTCGCCGGCTAACGTCTTAAGGCCTGCATTGCGTCGGTCTGGACTCCCTTTCAATAGGAGGCCAACCTCCTCAACTCACTTGGGGCACTTTAGCTTGCTGGATGCATTCCCTTCAAGCGTATGGTGACCTGCTAAGATGATGTCCGCTAACGAAGCCGCCGCCTCCTTCCACCTGGCTGGCAGGGCGGGCCACAACTACGTCCATATGCGCCAGTGGGAGGACTTTGATAAGTCACTGGCGAATCCATGGACGCCAGATAGCCCTGATGGAATGTATGTTGTCGCTCACCCGTCAGGGAATCCTTTCTGACAAGCTTAGGGTGAATCTGAGCGTAGCCGAGAATGCCCTCATGCACCAGGAAGTAGTCGAGTTCACCGCGAAGAATGTTGCAGTCGATCCAGTCCGCCATCTCACGTACGGATCCGGTCCAAAGGGATCTACTCGGCTCAGACAGGCTTCTCGCCCCGTTCCTCACTTAACTCCAATTTCCAGCCGCGTGAGCCCGTGCGATATGAGGACATCATCGTCCAACCTGGAGTGACCGCGGTTATCGACAGCCTAGCATGTGCCATCTGCAACGAAGGCGAGGGCATCATTATCCCGCATCCCTTTTACATGGGTTTCGCTGTGGACATCCCAACTCGGGCCAGAGGCGTGATTGTCCCGGCGGTGTTCCAGTCACTCGCCGATCATAGGGGGTTTGTCGATGTTTTCGACGCCGAGATGAACATTGAGGCCTTAGACAAGGCGCTTAAAGGAACCCAAGAGAATGGCATCAAAGTCCGGGCGGTTCTCCTAACCAAGTGAGCAATGTCGCAATGATAGCTGCGGCACGCTCGTTGACGGTCGCTCCGTAGCCCTCACAACCCACTGGGGAGATGCTATGTAAGTTAGCTTCAACCAGACTCGGCACTGTACACAGCTGACACTTATGTTAGCCAATCGAGACCTTGAAAGCGATAGCCAGCTTCTGCGGCCGGCACGAGCTCCACCTCATCAGCGACGAAATATACGCGAACCTCCGTCTTCGAGAACCCCAGAGCGCCAGCCCCTGTACCCTTCACGTCGATTCTGGCGCTGAACCTCGCCGACCGGATCGACCCCCAGCTTGTCCACCTTGCGTACGGGGCAAGCAAAGACTTCTGTGCCAACGGGCTGCGGCTAGGCATGCTGTACACCAGAAATCAAGGGCTTCTGGCGGCGATTGCTGGGACAAGGTTGGTGATGGAGTTCTGATTCTCGCGCCCCGAGCTGATACGGATCATAGCATGCTTGCCTGGCCGCCGTACATTATCCAAGACCTCTGGGCCAGCATGCTAGAGAACGGTGCTTACACGGAGGACTTCTTCGCAACAAACCAGCAGCGCCTGGCTGAGCAGTATGCTTTTGCGACGCAATTCTTGGACGACCACGGGATCCCGTACTACCGAGACTCGTAGGTCATTCTCGTTTTCCACTCCCTCAGATGCCTCGGTCGGTCAGACAACAATCGGATCTAACAGTTAGGGAAGATACGCTGGCATGTTCATCTGGATTGATCTCAGACGATACATGATCCGGGGAGAGGAGTTACCCAGTCTCTCAATCTACACCCTAAATTCTCGAGACAAGGAAGTTTATCAGCAGCGAGAGTTGGAAATCAGCAACCGCTGCGTTGCGAACGGGGTCGCCATCGCGCTGGGGACCAATTTCTGCACCGAAGAGCTGGGCTGGTTCCGCCTCACATTTTCAGTGTCCAGGCAGGCGCTGGAGGTTGAACTTCAGAGGATGGTGAAGGCACTGCAAGATATTACACAATGAGTAGGAACGCGGGCGAAAGGAACCGGGTGTATTCGTAAGACAGCGAGAGTTCCCAGTTGTTCTGAAAGAGAACTTCCATATAAATACACCCCCACCGGGGTTTTAAATGTTAGCGCGATACAAGTCCCACGACTAACCAAAAGGTCAGCTACTTACGTCACCTTGCCCTACCGAAATCTTCAATCTACAAGGTCACTCTCCTAGCAAATTCTATAGTAAAGTACCTCGAAGCGAAGCCAGTTATTTTCTTTACCCATACGTATACTATTCGCTCTACTGTCGTTAACATGTCGACCTTCGCATCTCAAGGATGGGTATCCGTGCTCTGATCAATCATACAAGCATCCATAACTCGCCTGCTGCGGAGCGTTTTTACCGCTTACAATTTCAGCGAATCCGGCAGCCGCAACTCACAGAGCCTACGGGCCAAGCCACGACATCCACGAGGCGCCGTGCCCAAGAACTCTCGCGAGATAAGAAAATAGAGGCGCGAGCCTTACGCAATCATGCTAAGTGGTCCTTAAGCGATTGCCCGGGCCTTGGGAGCGACTCAACGGCAGGTGCAGTGGGCCTGTGACGGCCCAGTCACTCCGTAGAAAGCTGGGCATGTAGGCAGACATCCGTTGATCCGTACTCCGCAGAAAGAGATTCTCCGTCATTACCTCGAAGCCGACAACCTCTGCCACGAGCTCCCATAGGGCGATTTGAAATACTATATCCCCGGGCTTGACTCTTTGGAGAGACTACGATCTTCAAAGCCCTATGATCGATGGGTTACTCAAGGAGGAAACGCCCCCGCAGGATTCAACTGACTGCTTAGCACCGGGCCGTACGATTCGTCTTCGCATATGAGCAGTTGGCTCTACGACCTAATCCCGAGGATTGGGAAAAGGTTATCCTTAGCGATGAGACTTGGGCTACCAATAAGCCTATGTGGAAGGGGTGGATTACTATACACGACACCGAAGACCCTCGAACTTGGGCATTCCTTCGGACAAAATCACATGGCTGGATGTTCTGGGGCTGCTTCGCTGGACAGCGCAAGGGATTCGGGTTCTTCTAGGAGAAGGGATACGGGGGTATAAACGCTGAGAAATATCAGCGTTATGTACTTCCACTTGGACGGCAGTTCTGGGAGTCTTACAGCTGCGAATTCGCCTTCCAACAAGACAATGCTGCTGCCTATGTAGCTCAGTCAACGAGGCGTCTCATTACGGCACTTGGACTTGAGCTAATAGACTGGCCTGTACGAAGCCCGAACCTCAACCCGATAGAGAATCTCTGGCAATGGCTGAAGAACTATGTTGAGGACTACTATCCAGATCTTCAACGACTTAGTCTTTCAGCTCTCCGTACGGCTATTCAGGAGGCATGGGATGCGATCCCGGAGGACCTTTTACTACGGCTGGCACACTCGATGCCAGACAGGTTACGGAAAGTGATTGCAGCTGAGGGTGGAAGTATTGAGTACTAAATTTAGTGTGATATTTGCATGAAACTCAAGTATCTATACTTTCTGCTTCTTTCAGTTAGTGGGTGGGGCTTTTATTGCGCTAACGGTTAAAATCCCGGTGGAGGTGTATGTCTGGCGGCGCGGGGCCATCCCAAAGAGGTTCCACTGCAGTTTTGCGCCCCACGCAACGCGAGCGCGGGGCCGGATTCAACGGACCGTGTCCTGCAGCCGTGATCTTATCTCCGACCTTGCATCTCCACCAGGGAAGCTCTCAAGGAGCTCTGGTTCCCACGAATGTGACCTTCCATGGTTCTACTCCTGCAGTTCCCTGTCGCCATTATCTGCTGACAATGGCCTACATAGCTCCCATCCATCGGCCTAGCAGCGTGCGGCATGCCCTGCGTAGCCATCTCCTCTCGGACGAGGAGGAGAGCTTGGTGCTTGCGTAAGAACCGTGCCTGTCCTTCTCTTCTCCGTGCCAATTGCAGAAATCCCAGCACTGACTGACTGTAACAGAAAGGCCAACCGACTGGAGATATGGCGACTCTCCGACGGCCAGCTCAGCCAGGCCTATTCCAAGGTTGTCAACGGCACCATCGTCATCCTCGAGAAGCTCCGTCCGAAAGACTCCAAAACCGATCTCGTTTTTGTCGGAACCGACCGGTTCGAGTATTTCACGCTCATATGGAACCCCGAGATGTCACAACTAGACACGGGAAACCCCGACAAGGACCCCGGCGAGCGCCACATGCGCGATTCGCAGAGCCAGGACCGATGTCTGGTTGACCCATCCGGGAGATTCCTGGCCATGCACCTGTGGGAGGGGGTCCTAACAATCATGCGGCTGGGGGATCGGAAAAGCAACGCGATGGAGCTCACATTCATGGACCAAGTGCGACTGTCCGAGCTCTTCATCAGGGCGAGCACCTTCCTGTACACGGAAACGGGGCATCCCAAGATCGCCTTCCTGTACCAGAGCAGGGCTGACTCGGGCGACGCGAAACTGGCCATCTACCGCCTCACCAAGGATGATCGCCATACACAACCTTCGAGCTTTGACCCCGACCGGGACAGAGAGTACGAGAAGGATATGCCGGATCCCAGCGCATCCATGCTGATACCCGTGAAGCCTTTCGAGGGAGAAGTCAAGCGGCACAACGTGCGGAATCTCGAGTCGGCCAGGGCGCACCTCGGCGGCCTGATTGTGGTGGGCGAGACGAGGCTGCTGTACATCGACGAAGTCACGAAGATCCCCGTGGAATCGGCGCTGCGGGAAGCTTCCATCTTTGTCGCCTGGGCCGAGCTTAATGTCAAAAACTACTTATTGGCCGACGACTATGGGAGCCTACATTTGCTTACCCTGAATACCGAAGGCGTCGTGGTGACGGGAATGGATGTCAACTACATCGGAAAGACGTCGCGCGCGAGCAAGCTGGTGTATCTTGGGGACAACCTGTTGTTCGTTGCCTCCCATTACGGCGATAGCCAGCTCTACCGACTTGATCTCGATAGTGAAGACTCCAGTCGTTATTTGCAACTGGTGCAGACCCTCGACAATATCGGGCCGATCTTGGACTTTACCATCATGGATATGGGCAACAGGGGGGACGAAGGCCAACTAGGGAACGAGTACTCGTCCGGCCAGGCTCGCATCGTCACCTGCAGCGGAGTGCACAAGGACGGAACGCTCCGGAGTGTGCGCAGTGGTGTCGGGCTCGAGGACGTTGGCATCCTCGCTGATGTGGATCACTGTCGCGGTCTCTTCTCGCTAAAGTCTTCCGGATCACCCAGGTTTGATGTCCTGGTCGTGTCATTCTTGACCGAGACGCGTGTATTTCGGTTCGACGCACAGGGCGAGGTTGAGGAGGTAGAGTCATACTCGAGAATAGTTTTCGACCAGCAGACGTTACTAGCGATGGATCTCCCCAATGGCACGCTCCTGCAGGTCACCCCGGCCGCTGCCACCGTTCTCGACGCAGAAAGCGGTTCCTTGAGAGCAGTATGGAGACCGGACCGGCAGAAGACTATCATCAGCGCATCGGCAAATCCCGGCTGGCTCTTGTTGTCTGTAGATGGCACGGAGCTAGTGTCTTTAAACTTATCCGAAGAGATATGGACCATTCGACAGAAGGATATCGGCAGTCAAGACCAAATTGCTTGTATTCACGTACCGCCACAGATGAGCGGCATTGGCGTGGTCGGCTTCTGGTCGTCGGGCACTGTCTCCATTGTCGACCTCGACACGCTGGAGCCAATACACGGTGAGACGCTCCGCACATCAAAGGACGACGCCTCCATCCCCCGCGACCTTGCCCTTGTGCAAGTCCTGCCCCTCCGCGTATTCGAGCCTACATTATTCGTTGCCATGCAAGACGGCAACATCATCACCTTCAACGTTTCCCCCGACCTAGCGCTCTCGGGACGAAAGCGCGTCATCCTGGGCATGCGCCAGGCGCGATTCCACCTCCTCCCGCAGCCCAACGGCATTCACAGCATATTCGCCACCACCGAACACCCCAGCCTCATCTACGGCGCCGAGGGGCGGATAGTCTACTCGGCCGTCACCGCCGAGGAAGCGACCTACATCTGCCCTTTTGACGCGGAAGCCTTCCCGGACTGCATCGCCGTCGCGACCGACTCGCAGCTCAAAATCTCCCACATCGACCGCCAGCGCCGCACGCACGTGAGAACCATCCGCATCGGCGAAATGGTCCGCCGCATCGCCTACTCCCCCAAGGAGAAAGTCTTTGGCCTCGGCTGCATCCGCCGCGAGCTGGTGGCCGGCGAGGAGCTCGTGCAGTCGTCTTTCCAGCTCGTCGACGAGGTCCTCTTTGACCGCGTTGGCAAGCCGTTCCCGCTCGGGTCGCCGTCCTACACGGAACTCATCGAGTGCGTCGTGCGCGCCGAGATGACCGACTCGTACGGCAACCCGGCCGAGCGGTTCATTGTGGGGACGAGCTTCCTGCCGGACCCGGATTTCGGCCCCGGCACGGACGCTCGCGGGAGGATGCTGTTCTTTGGGGTCGACGGGGATCGGAATCCGTACCTGATTCTGAGCCACGATCTGAAGGGCGCGTGCCGGTGCCTGGCCGTCATGGAGGACGGGCGGACCATCGTCGCCGGCCTGACCAAGACGGTCGTGGTATGCCGGTACGAGGAGACGTCGACCACCACGGGCGAGGTGACGCGGCTGGCATCGTACCGGCCCGCGACGTACCCGGCCGAGATCACGGTGCGCGGCAACATGATTGCCATCGCGGATCTGATGAAGTCGGTTGCGCTGGTCGAGTACGTTCCTGCTGCTAGCGGTGGGGAGAAGGGGACCGGCGGCGGCGGCGCGCCCAAGCTGGTGGAGCGGGCTAGGCACTTTGGCAGTGTGTGGGCGACGGCGGTGGGGCATGTGGAGGGGGAGAGCTGGCTGGAGGCGGATGCCCAAGGGAATTTGATGGTGTTGAGGAGGAACTTGAATGGGGTTACGGACGAGGACAAGAGGCGGATGGAGGTCACGAGCGAGATGAACCTGGGCGAGATGGTGAATCGGATACGGGGGGTGGAGGTGGAGACATCACCGGGGGCTATGATTGTGCCGCGGGCCTTTTTGGGGACGGTGAGTAACCTATCGACGTGTGTATCGGAGGGGAGCTCTGCTGACTTTTGGCAGGTCGAGGGCGGCATCTACATGTTTGGCACGGTTGCGCAGGGTTTTCAAGACCTGCTGCTGACGTTCCAGGCGAGGTTGGGCGATGTCATCAAGACGGCTGGCGACATCGAGTTTAGGTCATACAGGGCGTTTAGGAACGCGGAGCGCGAAGGGGATGGGCCATTCCGGTTTTTGGACGGGGAGCTGTTGGAGAGGTTTCTCGATGTGGATGAGGCGACTCAGGAAGCCATTTGCAAGGGATTGGGCCCAACCGTCGAGCATATGCGGAATTTGGTAGAGGAGCTGCGACGCATGCATTAAAGGGTTGCCCTGGTAAGCAATAACGTTATTGAACATTGAAAAGTCTAAATAAAGACTTCCTGGGGGCAATTGGCCCCTTTCACTCACAATTCGTCGTTATTTTTCTGGGATGTCTGTGGCGACTGTCATGCTTCGGTGTACATTAGGGACGGGAGTTGACTCGACACGGCAGCGATGACACCAAATGCCAAGGCGCACGGGAGAAGCCGGAGTGGCAGCGGAGGCCACCAATCAGTAGCCGGGTAAGTGTGCGAATTTGTCTGCCTGAGGCCGCAAGACCGTCCTTCGAACCAGCTCCATGCCGGGAAATGTGGAAACGGTGCTTCGGCCCAGAATCAGCGGCCTTTCCTGAAAAACCTCAGTCCACGGACTCCGCCGACGTCGACACAACCAACGAGCCAACCCCTTCGCCGCTCTTCCTCCCCTTTCCCCGCCTCTGCCGTACGGATCGCAGCGACGACGATTAGCGACCACGCCGCTATTTTCCTTTCATCGACCACCACCGATCCGAACTGAATCTACTCTAACCCCAATTCCGAAAAAATCAATGGCGCCCCTCCAGACAATGTCGCGCACCCTCGCGCGGTCCGCCGCCCGCCTGCCGGCCACCTCTACTTGCGTGCGCGCCATGAGCTCGTCCCCAGCTCTCCGAGACGCCTCCTCGTCGTCGACTTTCCAGAGCCCTTTCACCTTCAAGGGCCAGAGCAAGAGCACCGAGATTCCGGATTTTTCAAAGTACATTTCCAAGAAGCAGGCTAGCTCGAATGCTCTCTTCTCGTACTTTATGGTTGGCACGCTGGGCGCCATCTCAGCGGCGGGGGCCAAGTCTACTATTCAGGGTGAGTTGTTTTTTTCTTCTCGTTTCGGGGTTATGGGGGATGGCTTTGAAGGGGTTGATTCAGGGAATTCAAGGAGGACTTGATTTGCTGGCAGGGCTGAAACGGGGTGTGAATGATGGTAATGTGTGGGGAAATGCTTGGGCATGACCGGGCTGACGTGTGGAGAATAGAGTTTCTTGTCAACATGTCTGCTTCGGCTGATGTCTTGGCCATGGCCAAGGTCGAGGTCGACCTCAATGCCATCCCTGAGGGCAAGAACGTAAGTGTTTCCGGGGTGTGTGCGCGTCAGGAGGATGGAGAGGCTTACCAGCATACAGGTCATTATCAAGTGGCGCGGCAAGCCCGTCTTCATCCGCCACCGGACGGCGGCCGAGATCGAGGAGGCCAACCAGGTCAACGTCGCCTCACTAAGAGACCCCCAGAGCGACGAGGAACGTGTCAAAAAGCCCGAGTGGCTCGTCATGCTTGGTATGTGTCAGATCGAAAGACCGAGTACAGAGCTGGAATTGCGGCTAACAGACGGGGATCAGGCGTCTGCACACACTTGGGTTGCGTGCCCATCGGCGAGGCCGGCGACTTTGGCGGTTGGTTCTGCCCCTGCCACGGTTCCCACTACGACATCTCGGGCCGCATCAGGAAAGGCCCCGCCCCGCTGAACCTCGAGGTTCCCGCGTACGACTTCTCGGACGACGGCAAGTTGGTCATTGGTTAAGGACCTGGAAATCGACTGTGAGGGCAACGACACGGACACGGAGACAGAGACAGCGGGAGACTGGGCGGGGTGGTGTATGAGTACAGTACGGGGTTTGGGCGAGACGAGAAAGAGAGCGTCGCAGATTTCCGGTTGCAGCCACCTGCTTATAGACCATAAACCGCGGAGCAAGCCTGACTGCTGCTTGAGTTTGGGCAATTTTCCTCTGTCTTTGCTAGTATCCCCTAGACAGACCTTGTTCGTTGGACAATGTTGATTGTACAAATAAGACGCAAGACAAGACATTCTTCGGGCTGACTGGCTTGTGACAGGTCAACTGGGCATCGAACAGGATGGCTTGTTATGTATAATGTGATGGGAACGCCCAACAGGCAGTGACCCGATCGGTTCAGGCATGAAGGCACAAGTGCCGGGGAATCATGCTCGCAGGCTTGGGGTGAGTCTCGGTTCCAGACTTGGACTCGGATCGTACGCAGAGCGCCAATGGCCTCGATGATCCTGCTTTCAAAGTTTGGGTGAGTGACAGGGCCAACTCTGTTTGTTGATCATCCCCCGTACTCGTTGGGATGACGTCCACACAGCTGAGTTTGGTTTACGAGGGCAGGCAACTGCCCGCTCAGTGCTGGTCCTTCTCTTCACGATGTTGGATATCCAAGTCCCACCCCATACTAAAATTCCTGTTTTTGCAGGCGAACTCACACAGCTGGAACTAGTGACATGTTGAATCCTCCTGGATTGAGCCATTCTCGATCGCAGGGCCCGCATGCCAATCTCCAGGAGAAGGGCAGATGAATGGTAAAGCCCCGGTGAGTCCGCACCTGCGTGAGGGGACCTCTTTCTGCTCTCAACCACCACTACTATCCCTTACACCGACATCATCGCCACCCTTAGCACCACCGAGTCCATCCACTACGAGACGTCAACGTCGTATGCCGAGGTGCTTGAAACCATTACCGATGACTCGGAGACGACTGTGGCGACCGTAACCCAGGTGGTGACAGCGCCAACCAATCCGGCTCCTTCGGACAAGAAGAAGAGGGGCCCGGGTGATAAAAAACGTAGATGCGTGCCGGCCCTGTCGTCTCCGTCTGCGTCCTCACTACCGCTACCATGTCATCGGCCTCCGGGTGTACCCTCTCGCGTCCAACTGCGGGAGTCTCGAGGAGTACTCGTCAGCCTGCTCCTGCATTTACACCGTCTCCAGTGATGTTTTTGTGACCACGACAATACCCGCCGCGCCCTTGGTCGAAACCGTCACCGAAAGCAGCGCAATCCCTTCCATTTCCACGTCCACTGTTACCGTCATTGTGTCGAGCACCGTCGTTGTGCCTGCCACCACCACCCTCGCTTCAACGACCACAGGCCTGTACCAAAAGACTACCACCGTCACATCGACCACAACGCCGGTCGCGCCCACTCAGACAGCATACCTCGGCGTGACCGGCATGCCCCCAGGTTATTACGTCGCTGCCGTCAATGGCTACTTCACGATCAACTCCGCCACTGCCCAGGCATCACCGTTCGGTCTCATCACCGCCGGTGGCCAGCCCTTCCCCCCCAGCAACCCGAGCGTGAAGTGGTTCGTGCAGCCGACGACTACGTACTTTGGCGTCATGATATTGTCCACGGATGCTCAGGCGTCCGTGTCCAACCTTGAACGCCGTCACCTGTACTATCAACTCGGGCGTCGTGTCGTGCATGGCGCCATTGAAGCTGGGCTTCGACACCATGTACAGGTGTGGCGCGTATTTCTATGTCGGACCAAAACCTGGGCATAGGCGGGCTGCACCAAGGCTAATTTCAAGATGTCGTCTCCTTAGGCGTAATACGTTCAATGTGGTCTGAATGGTAATAAAGTAAGACAGCTAAGAGATAATAGGCCGGGAAACGACAAATAAGCTAAGCTAAGCCCGTTATGGTAGAGTGTTAGGCATATGATAGATGCTGCTAATTCCTGCCACTCATGTCGTCCGTCTGATGTTCGAGCGGCCATAACAGCGCGCCCCGTTCCCAAATCTGGCTGGACTGGACTCGCATGCACGAACGGAGAGTGACAGGGCGCCGCGAAGGGGAAGCCTGGTGGCTGAAGGGCAGCGTCTGCTGCGTCTGAGGAATTCTCCGAGTCGGCGGACGATGCGTTGCTTGACAAGATGCCACTATCAACTGAAGCATTGGTGATAGGGAGTGGGCCCTCGCTTGGATGGTGGTTTCCAAATTCCAACACGGAACAAGGATGCGGAACAGCCCCTGTTTCCCCAGACCGGCCATCTTCTGCCTGGTTCAGCCACTGCCTTGCATGCGGCTCCCGCCAGGCGCCAGCAGAGCTGAGACAAACCATGTGCCATGTCTCGTCTGATCCGACGGATCTGATCCCAAAGCATTTCTGCACTCAGCCCGCAAACTGACGCACCAATCGGCTGGTTGCGAAACCAGGACCCGACATCAGCCCCGTCTGTCGACCCATCAACACGACTCCCAAGTTCGGACATCAAGGGCAGGAAGCCGCAGCACCCACACCTGGGTTTACGGTGGTAGCCTTCGCTCTAATTTGTGTCGACGTGCATGGGGCATGCTTCAATCATGCCATGCCGACAGGCAAGCCGATGCTGAAAAGTCAACGACCTGGAAGTGCCGACGGTGCTGATGTGGCCTCGTCCTCTCAGTCTGAGGTCATGTCAAGGCCAAAGCGAGCATCCTTCCAAACCTGGGGTGCTCATGACCTCGCCCATGTTTTCAGACAGGCGCCAAGAGAGGATTCGTCTGGCGCCTACTCCAACGTTGAGCATGTTTGAATTACCCTTGATGACCCTCTCGTCCCGGATCCAGGAGAGCCGACGGGCCCTGCTCCAAGAGAACCGCTCAATTACACCTCTCTCCAGGAACAGCCTTGTTGTGTTCCCTTTCACCCCTTCTGATCGCCGGCACACAGCTTGTTAGCGAGCGACCAAGGATTTCAGGATCCATGCCCATTATGAGACGACGCATCCCACCTAGTGTTGGACTCCTCTCGTTTCCGCATATAACGTCCACGGATGCCTCGACACCAACATCTCCATTCCTTACCACAAGCGCTCCCATCTTCATTCCGTTCTTTACAGTTCAGCGAACTTTCTTTTCGACACTCTTTTCATTTGATCATTCACTTCATTAGGCCGGGCCTCTATTTTTCCAACTCTTTACCTCGCGTCGATCGCTACAAAACTTTACGAAACCATGAAGTACGGGACTGCTTTGGTTGCCCTAGCGGGCATTGCTTCGGCCCGCGAGATCTCTATCTACTCTCGCAAGGCTTCGAAGCGTGAGGTTCCCCAGGAGCACTCACACGAGGCTATCCTCCGCGCCACCAATGTCGCCCTCAAACTCAACAACCCCCTGAACATTGTTGATGCTGTCTTTGCCCTGCTGGGCAATGCAGCCGCTGCCACCGGTGCCCCAGAGGTCGCCAACCTCGACTGCCTTCAGCAGATCGTAGCCGACCAGGCCTTCACCAACGCTAAGGAGGCCGGCGACCTGGACGGCCAGATCCAAGCCATCCTGTTCCGCGCCCTCGAACGCAATACACTGCAGGTTGGCCTGGCCAGCGAGCTCTGCAATGAGACTGCGGTCAATCCCGAGATTGCCAACATCCAGCAGCACCAGGACCCTGCCTCGCCCGAGGCCGTCAACAACGCCGCAATCGAGCTTGAGGTTGCCAAGTCCCTGGCATCCATCGGCGCCGACCCCCTCCTTGCTCTGCAGAGTGCCACTTTCCCCCCAGGCGAGGTAAAGTAGTGCAGACTCTCTCCGAGTAAAGAGCAGCAAAAATGCTGACACTATCCAGCTTGATGATCCGACCGCTGCGGGCAACACATGCAACGACGAGAACGATGCCGCCGGCTGCATTGTCACGCTGAATCTCCTCACCCCCGCGGTCACTGAGGAAGAGATCCTGGCTGCCGTGGCCGATATTGACGCCGGCGCTGGCGCGGGTGACGAGGCTGATGCCGATGCCGGAACTGGCGATGCTGAAGATGCTGGTATGTTCAATAGGTGTCTTAGGTGTCTCCCTCAATGTCGAAGGAGCCCACGCTAATATCATAACAGCATGCACTGTCGTCGTCGAGGAGCCCGCCGGTGACGACGCCAACGCCGGCAACGACGACGTTGCGACCGGCACCGTCAACGTCCAAGCCTTCGGCGGCAACCTCGGCGGCCCCCCGCCCCCGGTGCAGAGCACCGCCAGCGCGGACCGCCCCTTTTCCGTGAACGGCGCCACCTTTTTGAACGCCGGCGCCGCCATCCAGCGCTCTTGCGCCATCCAAAAGAACGCGTGCGCCAACGCTGCCAACGCGGGCCAGCTCGCCGGCGGCACTCAGCAGTGCGACGCCCAGGAGGACGAGTGCCGCGCCGCCAACAACCTGAAGAGACTCCGCCGCCGCTCGACCCCTTTGTCTTCCTCCTCCCGCGGCTACCGCCGCCAGGCAGCCAACGGTGGCGGCGGCGGCGCCCTCGACTTTGGCGAGTGCGGCAGCCCGGCGATCAAATTCGCCGTCGGCCTGGACGGCCGCAAGGAGGCCAGCTTCCAGAACGTCAACATGGCCGACTTCAACCACGGGTCGGCGCAGGCTATCCGCATCATTGCCGAGTTTACCTGCCAGCGCCTCGAGAGCTCGTGCAAGGCTGCCGACGAGACAGTGCAGGCTTGCCACCAGGCATCGCAAGCTGCCCAGGCGGCTACGGGCCAGGCGGCCGCCAACGCGTTCAACTCTATCTTGGGTGTGACGGCTTGATAAATAGCGGGGCGTCGGTTTGTGAACGCAGCGGATGGAGATAGTCATGACATGTAATCAGTGACACAAAAATGACAATGTATACTTGATTCGGATGAGATGTGAAGCATTGTGTAATCCTTGGTCGCGTGAAAAACTGCCCGTTGTGTCACAAGCAAGCAACACTTTAGTCACCATGTTCGAATTGTGGTGAGAATGAGCTTAGCCCTGAAAGTAGCAGCTTGCTAAGTGCTGTGTATTGACAAGAGAGATAGGTACTGCTTCTCTGTCTTCGCTCTTCTGTGTACCCTGACAAATGGTCATCAACATGCAATCTAGGTATGCAATGCAGAATTGTTTTCCGTCTTCTTCTTCAGCAGTACCAAACTTATGGCTTGCTGCCCGCCACGCCGGTCCCCTTAGAACATCTCCCACAACGGTGGCGGCAGCACAGGCCGGCAGGGGGGCTTATGCCGCGGGCCCGGCTGCTTCTGCTTCTGCTTGACCCCTACAAAGACGACGCATCGCGCCGGATTGCCGACCATGGCGGATTTGGATTCGAGGCCGTAGTAGTCCGAGATGGAATGAGTGAGCCAGCGTCTGTGCCCTTCGTCAGCGGCTTTGATTCACAATTGGGAGAAAGCGGAGCGAGAGGAGGTGGAAAGGAAACATGCACGAAAAGAGGAAAAGGACAGGAAGAGAAGAGAGAAAAGTGAGGGAAAAGAGAGAGGAGAAAAGGACAAGAAAGGAGACAACCTACTTCAACGCCCCTCCACCCCCCTCCTCCATCTCCAACACCAGCCCCCTGTCCATCACCTCCCCCTTCCCAACAGCACCAGCACCAACACCAGACACCACCCGCTGCGCCTTCTTCCAAGGCTTGCCGTCCATCATCCGCCCGTTCCGTCCCACAAACACAATCTCCTCGTCATCCGAGTCCGTCTCATCATCAATCTCGCCCTCACCACCATCACCACCCTCCCCGGCCTTATCCGCGCCAGCAGGAGCAGCAGTAGCAGCAACGACGGCCAAGCCGCGCTCAATAACCCATTCCCGCACGGGCTCCTCGAGAACCCGCAGCCACGCCTTAACGGCAGGCGTGCGCTTGGCCGTAGCGCGCAGGTCGCGCGGGACGTGGCCGACGCCCTCGGCACCAAGAGGCATGGACCCGGCTGATTCCTGGGGCTGGTGGTTGGGATGATGACGGTGGTGTTGGTGATGGTGCCGGCGGCTCTGGTTGAGGATGTACTGCTCACGCAAGCCTTTATCCCAGTACTGGGCTAATTGGTAGGGCACGGGGGGCAGGACGCGGTGGGTGGGTTGGATCTGCCAGTCTGACGGAAGCGGGGGCATGACGTTGGGGACGTGGAGGAGGCGGTCTGTTTTTTTGGAAACGTTCGAATCCATTCATTAGCACCCGTTGGGATGGTTTGAGCTTCTGACGGCTATGGTGGGGAAGTCAGCGTGAGGGAATCTGTAGGGGATGCTTTTACCGTTCTCCCAGCGCCGGCGCTGCCGACTGCCCTCCTTGCCCTTGAGCAGGGCCTCGCGCCGGCGCATGCTGTCGCGTCGTGAGGGGGGACGGCGCGGCGGTGTAATGCCTGCGCCGAAAGCGTCGGTGTGGCCGCCTTCGAATGCGACACCGCGCAGCTTCATCCCTTCGGGGCCATCGCGCTCGAACTCGGGCGCGGGACTGCAGTCGCTGTCGAGGGGAATGGCCAGGGCACTGCCGGTGCCCCGCGCAATGGGCGAAATTCTCAACGATTCGAGGGCGGCGACGGTCCAGGCCTCAATATCAACGGTCGCAGTCGAGGCATCAGAGAGCGAGTGTTGATGCTGTGCGTGAGGAGGGTGGGACTGGGACTGACCGTGCTGGTCGCCGTCCTCATCATGGCCCACGGGGGTACGTGTAATAGCCATTGATCCGCGATTTGCACCAGGAGGGTTCTGCAAGCCGCCGTATGATGAATAGGCGCAGAACCGCGGAGCTATAACGTTGTCGGCCACGCGCACGGCGAGAGTGGCGAGAGAGTCCCGCGATCTCGCGAAGCCGAGGTAGATCCCACCGTCTTTGGAGGAAACAGGCAAAGCAGCAAACAGGAGACGCAGGCTCTTGCGTGAGCAAAGAGGTCACTGGAATTCTTCCGATAACTGACCTTATCTCCTATGGCCGCCGGCCAAGCCAAGAGAGAGAGAAAAGGAAACAGGCAGATGAGGGAGAAGGGGTCAATGACATCCGTCATCGCCGGCATGACACATTCCGGGCCGTGCAGCGCTACTCATCGCGCTTGCTGACCAATCAAAGGCCCAGCAAGCCCACGCCCCTTGAAGTTCAGATCTCGTTCAGCCGCCAAGCACAGCACCCACATTCGCTCCTTCCCGCAAGAGCAGCACCAGTCTCCGTAGTGCGTGCCATCCCTCGAAGAGGCTTGAATTTTGTATGAAGAACAACCTGGAACCTGATAACTCCAAACAACAATACTAACCCTTGTGTTATCCCCCCCAAACTCCACGCCACAACAGGCACGTATTGATAAACCAATACCAACCCCAACCCTTCAAACCCCCGCTCAACATCCTCCAGCTGACCGACTCACCAACTTACTGTGACCACTTGTTCTGTCCCAAGCCGTTCAGACTGTTCCTCAACCCCATCCTCCCAGTACCACCAGACACATCATCCTTCCCTTCCCCTCCCTCAAGATCCTCCAACCTCTCCATCCCCATCGGCCGCCCAATCATGAAGCCCACAACGCTGCTCCTCACAACCCCCCTATCCCTGCTGACCTCGGCACTCCTCCTCCGCCGCCCGGATTCAACCTTGGAGGAATTCCCCATGCACATTACCTCCCTACCGCTACTTCCCCGGCTCTCGGTCCTAGGCTGGGACGAGGAGGAGGAACCGAAGGACCAGGACGACGGCAGCCAAGCGGTGAACAAACTCGACACCGCAGGCAGGCGAGAAATATTCGCCTTCTTGCCGCCGCCGTCGTTGCGGCGCCTGCGTCTGAGCATGACAAAGGAGACTGCAATCAGCGCGATAGCCGCCACGCTGCCCACGATGGGTGCGGCGACCCAGGCCATGGACAGCGGCGGACCGTCGCCAGCATTTTGGCCAGCCGTTTCCGGGACGGACGATTCTGTCAAGGAAACGGACGTCGTAGTGGGTTTTGGGAGCAAGGGCGGGAGCGAGCCCGCGGCTAGCGACGAATTTTGCGCAATCAGGAGCTCGGTTGCTGTGCCCAATGAAGGGGTCGGCGCCGGCGTCGAGATCGGTGTAGGTGGAGTATGCGCGGCTGCCGTGCTGCCCCCGGGTGGAGTGAAGAACACGGCCCCGCTACCTGGTTGGGGCACCGGGATGGTGGAGACTCCAGGGCCAGCCGGAGATGAGCTTGCACCCGGCGAGAGATCCGGAGCAGCAACAGCAGCAGCCATCATGGCAGAGTCGGTGCGTCGGTCTGCGGCAACGTCGCTGGAGTCTCGCACTGCGGTCTTGAGGTAGCAATTCTTGAACCCGAGATCTTGGCTTGGGTCGAAAGACACCGCTGCGCAGCCGTTCGTTGACGCACATTGCCCCAAGCAGTCTTGAAATGTCGGGGCAAAGTTCTGGCTGATGTCGTTTCCAGCGATGATGAACCCGCACATGGTGGTGAAGGTGGTCCCGACCGCCTCCTCGGTCCCGCCTAGCGTTGCGCAATCCGAGCTAGCACCTGGGAAGCTGGCGATTGCAGAATCGATCCGCCTTGCCAAAGCCTGCTCCTCAGCTGACCTTACGTTGGTCCGTAGGGTGCACCGGGATCCGTCAAACGAGGCCCCTTCGCATCTTGGGTGGAACGAGGAGCAGAGATCGACACACGCCGTTAAGTCGAAAACATCCAGTGTGTCGAGGACATCCCCTTCAATGTTCGAGTTGCAGAGAACAGTAAATTCTTGAAAGGTGCCTATGGTGGCCCCGTTCCCACCAGGACAAGGCCTGTTCTGGCGGCGGTGCACCCTGGTCCTGTCAACCACCCGTATTTCTGGTGGCAACATCGTCATACCAAGTCTGCTTGGGTCGATGTGGACGGTGTGAATGGGGAGCAACAGTAAGCTCTGGTCGTGATATTGTCATGGATTAGACAACAGACACTATGAATAGGAGGCGGGAGCAGGTCGAGGACTTTGCAGAGAGCAAAAACGAGCACCGACAGCTAACAGGGGGCGAATAAGGGAGCTGAAATAAGAAGGTTCGCTCTGTCAACTTGTAGGAATCATGGACGGGGCCAGGAACGCATACCGCCTGCGCCTCTCTTGCTGCATGGGAAACCTGATCGATTGGCACCTGCGAACGCCGGGCGACGCGATTTGAAGTGGGCTTCCCCAAAGCTGCCCCAGGATATTCAGTGTGTGACTGAAGGAGGCAGTGAATTGGGTGCCAAGGAAGACATTATGCCTGGCGGTTATGCTGTTGCATAAGAACGGTGTTCCAGGCGCGAAGATCATTGAAGCGAGCCGCATCCCTTCCGTGCAGCAACTGAAGCCCCAGATCGAGTAGTCGCCAACCGGAATATTGTGAAAACTAAAGCCCGACGTTTCCGCCGCTAATCAGCGGCTGGAAAATATCCAGCAATGTGTTTGTTGCCGTTCAACGGGAAGGGGGAGGCAGGGCGACGGACAACTTCAGCCCGGAATACTCATCCTGGAAGAGGTAGGCGAAAAAGGCTGCAGCGAATGTAACACCCAGTTGCAACACGCGGGTACCAGCAAACGGTTGCTGGGATCAGGGATTCCAAAACTGGCCAAGCTGTAGCATCGGATCCAAGAGATGTTCGAGGAGTGGCCGTCCGCAGTCACATTAGGTGGCACGGCACTTGACCGCGTTTGCTGCATCCCACCAATTTATGCCCTGCTCAGACAGGCTTCCCCAGAAGAATCCGGCGCAAAGCTGGGGGAGGCCCATGGAGTCTGGCCAGGACAAGGGAGGTTTTAGTGGGAATCCTCGTTTGGTTTTTGATTTCTAGTCGGTAACAGAAGAGCGTTCTGGAAACAGAAGTCAGCGAGGGTGTCCTGCACCAGACGACGCCGTGCGTGCGTTTGGTAGTTCGACGCGCTGCGAGATGCGGATGATGAATGGTCGATGCTAAACAACGGCTGCCTCAGGCGAGTTGAGGCTGTCCGTTGAAGTTGGACTGAGATGCCTAGACCGGCCCTAGGGAGTACAGCGACCTGGTCTGCGTCGATGTCATGCTGCTAGGATCCGAACTTGAGGTAGAATGGCACAAGGAACGGATGGATCTTCCTAGCTGAACGTCACGTAGTGGCACGGTAATCCGCTATCCCTTCTGTCCTAAGCTCAAGGGAGATGACATGGGTGCATTGTACGGTATATCCCCCTAGCTCGCCTAGCCCCGGTTGGTGCCGTACTCAGAATGGTGGCCGTCGGATGGGAGAAGGGGCGTATTGTCAGGCGATGGTGGCTTCGGAATGTCGGTGGAGTGGGCCTGAATCTCGTAGTAGATGGCGAGGTACAGAAGGACCCCTTGCATCGTAGCAGTCATGAGAAAGATCCCCCATGAGCTCCACCCACCCCAGCCGAGCCGGGCAAACAAGCTGGCTGCGAAGACAAAACCACCAGGAGTCTGAATGCACATCATCGGGATGCTGAGACTGCCCACATGCTTGAGGTGGTACGTGGTCCAAATCTGGGGAATGTACTGCACAGCCGCGAGGAGAGCCGCCATGACACCGAGGATATTGGCCCAGGTAGGCAGGGATTCCTTAGCCACGGCCGACAGGACGCCCGTGATGACGATGACTGCGAGGCCGTGCAGCAAAGTCAAGGATGCGACGAGCAAAGCAGTCTGCCATCTCGGTTGGTGGTCGTCCAGCTCTTCAATCTCAGCATCGTCGTCGGAACCGTAGCGGAAGAACACGAGGAAGAGAACGAAACTGTGCAGTTGGTCAGTCAGTTGCTGTCTCGTCGCTGGACCCAACCGATCAAGGCACTCACATGAAGGTGAAGCATATCCACTGCACGCCAAGCTGAGCGATGCCCAGAAGGCCAGCAATGCAGTGGAAGGTTTCTAATTCCTTGCAGCAGGCCACATCCTGGCGAGACTTTGGGAGAAGGAGAATGTTCGCAAAGGCCGAGGTCGCTGACGTGGTGCCGAGGAGGACGAAGTAGGGGGAAATGCCCTCTGAAGTGCGGCGCTTGATGATGCGTGCGTGCTGAGGGAGGTAACTGACGAGCATGCCAATGACGATGACGCTGCAGCATCGTTAGCGATGCAATATAACAACACGATGCTTCCGTAGATGGATCCGCAATACATCGAGACAATGAGGTTGACGATGCTCAGGTCGCGGAGCTCCTTGCAGCGATCCTCCTCAATCGCATTCATATTGACAAAACTAGAGCGATGTCGAAAGATGTTGCAAGACTGTTGTTAGATGAAAGTCCAAGGCTGTCGTTCGGAATCGGTCTGGCGTGGTTGTTGGGAGAAGCGGGAAAGGGGACGACGAGCTGCAGCTTCGGGAGCTCCAAGCTGCAGGTCCAGTGTCCCTGATAGGTGGAGCCGCAGGGCTGCGATGTGGAGTGGACCCCCCCACCCCATGCTCAGTAGGTCAGTAATCCGCACAGACCAGCTTTGGTTTGTCCGTTAGCGTGGCACATGCGGGGCGCAATATTTCAATAAAAAATGGCATCCAAGGAAAGTAAGATAGCAAGAAAGATAAAACATACTTGTAGAAGATATAGGTGAAAAGTAAGAGAATAACAAAACGAAGATAAAGAGGAAGAGGGAAAAAAAAAAGTGAAGGTGATGAAGCTGAAGAGAGGTATTGTATGGAGGTAAGCACCTAATTCACGCGCTAACATACAAACCGGGGTTGCCAAGTTCCAATTCGAAGCTGGTATCTCCTAAATACAGATACCCGACACCTTCAAAGGCACACTTATTATACTGCCCCGCTACCTGCCATTCCGAGTCAACTGCACCTAAGTACGGATCCGTATATCCTGCGAGGTGGTGGGCATGTGCCGTGTCTAGCCATCATCCCATAAGCATGGAGTAAATTGGCCGGCATCATGGATTCCCCGTCAGTCAACCTTGTGGCCTCATGCAGGAACCCCAATGGGTCTCTACCGCCCAAGCAGGGCAGCGTCCACAGCCGCGACTCCTTCTTCAAGAGCGTGCAATGGTACGTTTCATGTTTCATTCCTAGCTTTCAAGCAGCAAATTAACATCGTCAGGTCTGCCGACGGCACAACCCTCTTCACATCATCCTTCTCAAACCGCATCTGCACCTTTGTCCTCCCAGACAATCTCCTCGAACCACGGCAGTCCCCGGTCGAGCTCACTGCCCACAGCACACTCGCCCTCGCCGAACCAACCAGCGCCATCGCCCCATGTCCGTACTTCGCTCTGGAGCACCCTTCAACCCAAGTCCTCCTAACAGCCAGCACCGACCACCCCATCCACCTACACCACGCTTTCCCGCCATCACCATCAAGCTCGCCCTTCCCTGACGACAATGATAACAGATTATCTCCACCTCCACCAGTCCGAACTCAACCCCCACACCTAGCCTCCTTCCACCTAATCAAGCAGGAAACCGAAGCCTACCTCCCCATCACCTCCCTCATCTGGCCAGTGCCGGGAACGCACTTCATAGCTGGCACGACCAACCGCATCGCCCTCTTCGACGTCTCCCGCCCCGACACCCTCAACCCATCCCCGCTCCTCTCCATCCCCACCATCCCGTCGACCCGGCACCTCGCCAAGGGCGGCGGCGTCGGCATGCGCGGCACCGTCTCGGCGCTGGCCGCCCAGCCTTACCAGCCTGTCGCTGACGGGAACGGCGGCGGGAGTAGTAGCAACGCTGCTGGTGGTGGTGCTGGTGGCTTGGGCCTCCTAGCGGCCGGCACATGGACGCGGAGTCTGGGCCTGTACGATCTGCTGCGCAGCGGGGAGTGCGTCGCGACGTGGAGCGTCAAGGGCGTGGCGCAGGAGGCCCGGGTTGGCGGGAGGGGCGTGCTGCAGACGGTGTGGTCACCGTGCGGGCGGTATTTGGTGGTTAATGAGAGGGGCTCGACTGGATTGTTGGTGTATGACTTGCGCGGCACGCACCGGTTGCTGGGTGCGCTTGAGGGGAGAGACGGAAGGACGAATCAGCGGTTGAGTTGTGATGTGTTCCCCGGGAGTGGGGGGACCGGAGGGTTTGAGGTGTGGGCTGGGACCAAGGATGGGGGCGTGGTCGTTTGGGAAGGGGTTGGGAATCGGGATGGTGGTGTTGAACCGTCTTGGGACTGGAAGGCACATGGCTCGGCCGTTGGGGCGACTGCTATGCATATGAGCGGTTCCGTGGTTGCCACTTGCTCAGGGGCATGGAAGTTTGTGGACGAGGATGAGGAGAGCTCCGAGAGCTCGGACGAGTCCGGGTCGGAGGCGAGCACAGCATCACGGAGCAGCCCGAGCTTCCAGATTGTAGTTGAGGAAACAAGCCTCAATGTCTGGAGTCTCGGACCCAGCAAGCCGTCTCAAGACGACAGAGGAAGCCCCGATCGGGGGGATACCGAGACGTGACGCCCAATCTGCACGCCACCCATTCTCGCAGCACCTTTCATCTATCGCCCACACTCATATTCTTAACAGCTGGTGAGTTTGAAGAAAACGACGATGCTTTCTCATTGCTAACATCAGCTAGACTGCCAAGCATCTCCAGAGCTACTATTCCTGACAAGCAAACGTTTCCAATACATAGCAACTCGTCGGCGAAGTATTGCTGTGGTCCAGGATTCAGGGAATCACAGGGAATCCGCCCCATCGCGCCAGCTCGGGATCAAAACCGCCGTCATCAACGGCCCGTTCTCCCCATGGCTCATCAAGAGCATCACTCACCCGGTCCAGAACCCTTCTCCCGCCAAACGCCTTCTGAAACAGCTCAACCCTCCTCTCCCTCGGCATCATAACAAACAACGGCAACCCAAACATCTGCCCATCCTCACCCGCAACAGCGGGCCTATCACTCGGCACCTTGAGCGTTCCCAGCACCACCTGCGCCGCAAACACATTCATCCCCGCCCGTCGCAGAAATACCTCCCACGACGTCTCCACCGGCAACAACATGTCCCTTACACCCGCCGCAACCGCCTCTCTCGCATGATACTCACAAACCACTGCAGACACCCACCGCGCCAGCGTCTGCACCCCGCCGCCGACATACACGATCCTCAAATCGGCCGTCGCCACCCGCAGCCCGGCCGCGAACCCCTGAAACTCTGCCAGCGCGCGCGCGTCCGACTGCGATAGCGGGCTGGCCGTCTCGCTGTGCTTGTTGCCCTCGGAGACGAGCACCACGAGGCGCTCGTGACGAACGGCGACGTTCTCCACGACGCGGCGGAAGTTGGTTGCGTTGTTGTGCCGGCCCGCTAATGATGATGATGCTGCGGCTGCTGTTTGTCCCGGCACCGGTCTCTGCCTCAGCTGGATCATGGTTGTGAGGAGAATGCCCGTTGCAGGGGAGACGACGAAGTCTGCTTCGTCGAGGTTTGGGGAGCGGGAGCCGGGGATCCAGTCCGGCGGGCGGTGCTTGTCTGGGTTGCGGTAGGTCAGTTCAATGGTGGGGAGAAGAGTTCGGATGTGCTGGACTAGGGGGTTCGGGGCGGTGGAGGACACCACGACGCGGGGAGGGATAGGGGGAGGAGTTATGGATGGTGCGGGGGCTGGGATTGGCTTGGGGGGAGCAGGCATCAGCTTTGCTGCCTCGTCTGCCTTTTTGGACTGGGCCTCTGAGATTGTGCTGGGTGGCGCGAAGGAGCTGTGGGTAAGTTTTGGTTTCTTGGGGAAGTTCATCTCGACAAAGTTGTCGACGAGCGGCGCGAAATCCGTGTACTCGCTCATGAATCCTCTCAAGACGTTGGTCGACGGGATCAGGCCTGGGTCGATAATGTCTGTAGCATTGAAGCCAAGGGCTGCTGCTGTCAACTGATCTTGCTTCCCGTTGGCCTCTCTTTTCTTGAGTGTCTCGTCGATATGCCGTTTCCTCTTACTCAGGAGACTCTTCAGGTCCGCGGGAGGTAAGGTTGAACTCTTGGGAGTCAATGGGGGATTGGGATCCAAATGCATAGACGACTCGTTCGAGCAAGTCGATGTTCTCTCCCACCTGCTGGCTTGAGAACGGCTCGGCGGCGCTTTCTCGGAGCAGTCGAGTGGTGAAAGGTAGCCTTCCTCATCATCCGCATCATCTTGGTATTCACCAAGTCGGAGCACAGCGACGCCTGGCTCTTTGCAGACATAATCCGCACTGGTGAGGACTTCGTCATCGCGGGTTCTCCTTAGAAAGAAGTCGAGATCCTCGGCGGAGACCTCGATTTCATCCGAAACCAACTTCTTCTCCTTCATATATGCCAATGGCGCCCACACCAATCTCTGCTCGGCAGCCCTGTTGTGCGTCCATTTAGGACCCTGCCAGTCGACGTCAGCATCTTTCTGGATCCACCGAAACATGGCTCTAGCCTCCCAGAGACGCTGTTCCCATTCAGGGACAGGTATGGAGAAGTCCAAGACGGGAACGGAAACTCTGGCCGTGGCATCGAGCGGCTGAAGCTTCTCCTGTTCGGCCAGTCTCGTCACGATGGCTGCGCTTTTCTGGAAGAGTGAGACGAGTTGGCCCGTTGGACCATCAGACCCAGAGAATGTGTCGCTGCTCTCGATCAGTTTTTGAGCTCCCGCCAGATCACAAGGTGCAAGGACTCTCGTGACTGCCTGACTATCGCCGCCGCCGTCGTCGCTAGCTGGAAGCAGAGGGACGTCGACCTTTAAGTCTCGTGGGACCGCCATTCCGGACGACAGTGGACCGGATGCCCGGATTTCTCCTGCTCGGATCATCTCCGAGACATCAATGTCCTCGTATCTCCCAAGCGAGTCATCCTTCTCCAACGCATCGGCCCAAAATTCCAAGTCGGTCGCGAATATCCTGCTTTCGGCGGCGTCGATATCATCGCTAAGTTTTGAGCTGGGGTCGGACGGTGCCGGTACTTCGCAAGATACATCTTCGGGGACGAAGTACTCCGGGTGTGTAGCCACCAAGGGGCTCAGTGGGGGCGTCAAGTGCTCTCTTGCTCCGACCTGCGCCTTGCATTAGCACAGGGTGTTAACTGTGGATGGGAGTTGACTCACTCCTTGGTAGGTGGAGAAGCTCTCAAGCAAGTCTCGCTCGTCATGCTCGGTTAAGTCCGACTTCAGGCTCTGCATCAAGTACATGACTGTTTCTTTCCTCACGGCGAGAATTTCCTTTTCCAAGACCCTTGTCTGCTCTTTGTCCATCCGAGCCAGGCGATCTGGGAATTCGAGCCCTTCTCCTTTCTCAATGTCAACCGGGTGAAGAGGCAGGCGATGGTCGGGCAGCGGTTCCTTCAAGAAGGCCTTGACTCGTCGCGCTAGCCGGCGGCAGTCGCTGCCATGGTCACTGCGAAGTGCTGGCGTCTCCAACTTCAGTAGCTTCCACTTCCTCGACTCTGGGAAGCATTCATGGGAGACCAGGTTTATCACCTCATCCTCTTTGCACCTCCTGCACACTTGCTGGAGGATTTCCAGCGATGCGGCAGGCATGTGCCATTGCTCCGAGGTAGGGATGATGACGCGAAAGAGGCATTCTTCAAGCTGATCGTTCTCAAGAAGCTGCCCCGGTTCGAGATCAACAAGGGTGGCGGCAATGGCCTGGTCACCCCCCACCACCTGTTGCCAGTCAAGCTGGAAGCTGTCAATGGTCAGGCCGTTGTATCTGGCGTATCGGTCTGCATTGGCGATGGAGGGGATGCTCTCTGTGGAGGGCGAGTACTGGCTTAGGATTGACTCCTTGAGGGATATGAGGTCATCTCCAGAGTTTAGCTCCATGTTGATGCTCACAGGTCGTTTGCCATCGGGTCATCGATTATCTGGCTGGACCGTCGCCACGAAGTCAAATCAGGTACAGCGCTCTATAATGTCACCAGACTTAGCGCCTGGTCGAAATGTAAAAGCCCACTGCCTGCTCGGGGCCCATTGGGTCACACCTTCCTTATGATCAAGCTCTTGCACCTCAGTTCGCCCCTAGCACCGACCAAGGTACCCAGCCTTAGAAGGCAGCAAAGTGCCTTGCTGCCTGGCTCACAGTCTCTTCCAGGTCACGACCCTTCAAGCCAATGGATCATGTCCATACTCGTCCGTTTGCCCATCATGTGCTTTCTGTTCCATTTGACCTATCTTGTATAATCGTACATCTTGAGCCTTAAAGCCGATCATACTTACAACATCCGAGGCGAATAACGGAGGATGGAGAAGGTCATTTGATTGCACATATGAACCTGGAAAACCTATATACTCTGAATCCACCTTACAGAAGGCATGAGCCGAGTCTAGAAACCACATGTTTGACCCAGGTGATGCGGTCAGGATGCCTCGTCTTCCCTCGCATCAGTCTTTGGCGTAGTCCATCCATTGCCCAGCTAACTCTCAAGTGTTGCGTCGTGATCCCTAGGTAGGCAGTCCTCGCCTTGACTAGCCCACCTCAACCACTCGACGTAAAGTAAGTGCAGCCACTCCTGCTCATAACCTGCTCGGGCGTGCGCTCACCTACCTATTCCTGTACATCCTCTTCCCCTTCGCTCCACCCAGAACCTCGTTGAAACGCCTCGCCCCTTCCCCTGAGCATCCCCGGCCTGAAAGCGACCGCACTCCACGTCGAGAGATAAAGGGTGCAACGAGTTTGCGCTGCGCTTGGGTATCGTTCGCTTCGGTCGAACTCGGGATGAGAAAGTCGTGTGTATGCCCCTCGGTCTGGCTGGTTATATATGTGGTGGGATTTCTAAAGACCTTAAAGTTAGCTTCTCTCTAACGCAGAGCGACCAGGAGCAGCACTCACTCATGGACAAGGTATTCATGGCGAACTGGATAGTCACCCAAACGGAGGGCCTCTGTGCGGCGTGTACATCCTCAAGACATCTGCAACATTTTGGGAGCGGCGGAGCGCATCGACGGGCTGGAGTTGGGTGGCCGTCCGCGGCCACAAGAGTTTGCACAGCAGGGCATGTACGTAGCGCTGAATGCTGTTCCACGTATGAACCCTCCCAACGCGTAAGCTCATCCATCTACAGATGCTGTATGGCTCGCAATCCAAAGCTCGCCACGCCGTCAGCCAAAGAGGCTGTGAAGCCCGGTATTACTCATCACATCAAGCCAATGTGTCCGACGAGCTAGGCCGATTTCCGCATCGTACGCAGCCCAAACCGCACGCATCAGCTGTTGTGCCACTCCGATTGGCTTGGGAGGTAGGCAGAGCGCAAGCTGCTCCAACCGATCCATAACAAAGCGGCGCGCCTGCGAGATCTTAATGGCAGTCTCGGATATGCCGGGATTGCCCAAGTCAGGTTCCGTAAGCCCTAATGTCCGGACGGTTGCTGCGTCGGGATCTGTCCTCAAAAAATAACTGCTGTGTCCGCATCCCAGAGGAACTTTGCTGTCATATCTGAGCCCGCTTCCGGCGCAGAGACAAAGAAGGGGCTGAATACAACTCAGGCTCCCCGGAGGTACCCTCCCAAGCACCTCAGTGATGTGTAGGGCCAGCGGAGCCACCCATGAGTGCCAGACAACAGATCTGTTGGCGTCCTTCAGCATCGGGCTCCGTTTAGCGGTGAGATCTGGGAAGGTCTCGTAGAGCTGTAGCAGCGCGCACAGACGGTATGCCTCAGACACATGGTGCAGGTCTCGGGCAGAGTCCGTGGTTTGCGGGGCCGGGTGGCATTCGAGAAGCTGTGGGACATCGACCGAGAGCAGAGCCTCCTCCACTCTTGTAGCCTCGGCGATGTCCTGCATGGCTCCTTGGAGAATCTGGTAGCTCGTCCCTTCATTGTGGCGCCACCGAGTGCGGGACCGTCTGCACAAAGCTACGGCTTTGCCGAACAGTCTCAGGACATCCGAGGAGACGCCGCTCCATGGATGCGAGGCGGCAGGTATTAGAGGCCGTTTGGTCGCTGGCTCTGGCCAACTAAGCATGTGCTCAAAGTCGATTTCGTCTTCGCTCACCACGCTGCGGAGCATCTCCTCGTAGATGAGGCAGCCATTGAAAAATTCGAGCAGCCTCTGGCCCTCAGCGTCAAGTGGGCAACCGTCCAGAGTTTTCAGCACGGCCCTAGCCTGCTTGACAAACTGCTGGCCGAGTTGACGAGACTCTAACCAGCACATGGACGAGCTCATACAGAACAGCGACAGGAGAAGCCCTGTGGGGAACTTGGGGCGAAATCCGGTCGAAAAGGTGACAAGTTCTTGTCTGATGGCCTCAAACGCCTTGCGTGGGGCAGCTCGGGCCGTATCTTTCATGACACAAGGGAGCCGGTCGACGAGGGAAGCAGCCGAGATGGACTGCAGGGCGTAGAAGACTGGCGTTGAGTTATGCCAGAGATCAGCTGTCAGTTGACGATATGGATTAGAAGGAGAGTCGAGCGCCGACCACAAAGAGCAAACGGATTTGAACCAGTGCTCTATCAAAAAGGTCGGAATGTCAATGACGGGTGCGGACATGGCCAGCTCTGGTTCTTGACCGGGCTCCTCGGGGGATTCTGGCTCTGTCTCAGGCACCACAGGGCCCACCACGGGAGGCACCACGGGCACTAAGACGGCATGGCTTTCGGCGCTCAGGACGGGGTCCTCCAACTGAGCTGGTGGAGACGGCGTGGATGAAGATGGGGACGAGTACGGCGAGGTCGAAGAGGATGCAGTTGGTGAGGCGGTGGACGACGGCGTGAAGGGAACAGTGAGCAAGGCAGTGGATATCGGAGCCACAGCCGAAGTCCTAGCCCCGTCATGGCCCGAGCCGTCGGCGGCCGCTGCCGCCTTCGAGACTATGGACTCGGAGGCAGCGGTAACGAGTTGGGCGAAGTTTGCGGGACCGCTTGTCCTTGTTGCGGTTGGTCTCTCGTGCTTTGTGGACCACTGGAGACGCTGTTGGTAGCCCGGACACTCGAACCCTTTCTGGGCACAGTTTCGGCACCCAGGCTTTGTCTCGTCACATCTTAGCTGATGAGGCGGTCAGTGGATCGTCTAGTCCGCTTTTTCCAGGATGTTTTGTCTCTATGCTGACAGGGGCAGTGTGGTGTAAGGCATTCGAAGAGACGATACATACCCGCCTGAGCTTGCACGTCCGGCAACCGCTTCTCGACTTCTGCCTGTTCTTCATACTGGCTCTGCATCATCCGCTGTTGGCCCGCTGCCAAGCGAAATGTTGTCGTCGTGTGCTGGCGGGGAGTTCAGGGTTGAAATAGCTATCACAAAGATCAGACGGCGCTTTGACAACCGTGCAGGAGAAGTGGTCTCAGACGCACATGGTGTCCAAGCCACATAGCCAGGGCTCCTTGAAGCCATGCGACTGCATGACGCCTCGTTGAGAAGCTTGTCGGGCTGCAGCATCCAATCATGGCGGATTTCGAATCATCATTTGAGGCCTGTCAAAACGCCGAGAGGGATGCCCGGGCGAGCGGGTCTGGCCCACCAGCTGCGTCTTCGACCAACCGAGGCGGTGGACTCGGCGCCACCGCCAGCAGCAGGTCACCGAGGAGAGCAACACACCTGAACACCTCATAGAACTTTGTAAGTTGGGTCCTCTGGTTGGCAGGCTCTTCAAGTCCCTGCGTCGCTATCCCACAAGCCGGCCTTGTCCGTGTCTCATCCCACACGCGTCCCGACCGCGAAACACGAGCCGTGACGCCCCCTGTAGACGCCGCTGAGGTGATGGCTGACGAAGCCGTGCCGTGTCCTCGGGTGCGTCCCAGCAACTTGGCTCGCGTGGAGCAGACTCCGCAGATCTGCCATATGTTAATTTTCCTGGTTGTGATGGACAGCGCTAGGCCACTTTCGTTGCTGGTTAGTCCCAAATATCGGCGTTAGCCCGATGCCAAGCCGGTGGTCAGCGGGAGTCGGCCCCTCTGCCATCGATTGGGTGTGTTGCCCTCAAGGAAGTGGTGTGGTTTCCGCCCCAAATTAAAATGTCACTTCGGAAGATGAAGGCGAAATGAAGCTGGAAGCCTCATGCTCATCTGCATTCGCAGCTCAACATGGGACGAGAATTGAGTGATTATTTTGTGGAATGGAATGGAATGGAAAGGAGCGATGTTGCCAGGCAGGTACGGTACCTCCAGGGAGGTATTACCTCGAATTTCAGGCACTACGGATACTGTAGGAAATGGGCGGGTAACCCATCGAGCCCACCCAGTCCGAGCGCCGGCCCGTGAGACGGCCATAACTGATAGGCTCACACAAAATTTTAACGGCTCACAGCTTTTACTCGGGCCCATATCGAGACTGCAATTGACAATTACTAGTAAATTGCTCTGGTCACCTCGAAACAAAAATAAGAAAGACACAGCTTCAGAATGGCCGGCGAACCAGGCGAGGCGATGGCCCATTCGGCCTTCGACACCATTTTGGTGCTCGACTTTGGGTGAGCGGGCGGTCCAGATACGCATTGAACCATCAACAGAGCTGCTGACCTGATGATATGAACAGTTCACAGTATACCCACCTGTATGTTACACATGCCTTTTCGTTTGAAAATCAAAGTCTTTGTTTTTCCGTGGTTGGGCCAGTCGGCCGGTCCAGTCGCCGCCCGAGGGCCCTCTCCCCTTCTCCCAGACCCGACATGGAATCAATACGAGTTGACTGACCGCGGCTATGAAGGATCACTCGCCGACTTCGCGAGCTCAATGTCTTCTCGGAGATGCTGCCGTGCACTCAGAAGCTCTCGGAGCTCAAGTTCACCCCCAAGGGCATCATCCTCTCGGGCGGCCCCTATTCCGTCTACGAGGAGGGCAGCCCTCATGTCGACCCTGCAGTCTTTGACTTGAGTACTTTGCCCCTGACCCGGACGCTCTTGTCCGCGCTAACGTTCTAATTCTAGACGTCCCGATTCTCGGCATCTGCTGTACGTAATTGCCATGCTGTAAGCGACTCCAATCATACCACAGAGCTGACCTTGGGGGCTGCAGATGGCATGCAGGAGCTCGCATATCGCCTCAACCCCGAAAACGTCATTGCCGGTACTCACCGCGAGTACGGCCATGCCATGCTGAAAGCGCGATCCATTGACAACCATGTTGACCGCCTCTTCGATGGCATCGAGGGGTCGATGCGCGTGTGGATGAGCCACGGCGACAAGCTGGCCAAGCTCCCCGAAGGCTTCCACACCATTGCCACGTCTGACAACTCCGAGTACGCCGCCATCGGCCACGAGAACAAGCCAATCTACGGCCTGCAGTTTCACCCCGAAGTCACCCACACACAAAACGGGACCGCGCTCCTCAAGAACTTTGCCGTCGGCATCTGCGGCTGCAAGCAAGAGTGGACCATGCAGAAGTTTCTGGAAGAGGCGATCGCTCAGATTCGCCACACTGTCGGTGAGAAGGGTCAGGTCCTGGCTGCTGTTAGCGGCGGCGTGGATTCAACGGTTGCCGCTAAGCTCATGGTAAGTTCCATACGCTACAGTTACCTACCAGAGTGCTTGAAACTGACGGCGGAGAAGAAAGAGGCTATTGGCTCCAGGTTCTGGGCCGTGCTCGTCAATAGTACGCCACGTCTCAAATTAAACACAGACCCGGGCTAATGGCATCGAATCAGATGGCGTTATGCGACTCAACGAATGCGAGCAGGTTCAGAGGGACCTCTCCGAGGCCCTCGGCATCAACCTCACCGTGGTGGATGCCTCTCAGCGGTTCCTTGACGGCCTGAAGGGTATTGAAGATCCTGAGGTGGGTGCGACCCGTTTCAGTTGTCGTATCCCACTACTGACACGCCGTCCAGAAAAAGCGAAAATTTATCGGTATGGCCAACTTTCTGCAATCCGGCCCCCGCCCATTCACGGCCCCGCTCTCTTGCACCTGAGATGGCCGTTCCGAAATTAACTGAAGAAAAGGTGGCAAGTTTATCGACATCTTCGAGGAGGAGGCAATCAAGGTATGCGGAGAAGAAGCCTCTACCGCCACTTCGGCCGTGTTGTTCGTCGCTGACAAGCCAACAGATTGAAGAGGCCGCGGCCAATGACCCGACTAAAGCTGGCAAGATCGAGTTCTTCATGCAGTACGTTTTTACCTAACAGAATTGTCGGTAAAGCACTCCAATGTTTACTCAACATCCACAGGGGTACACTGTATCCGGATGTGATCGAGTCGCTCTCGTTCAAGGGCCCCTCGGCCACGATCAAGGTCAGTCTCGGTATTGGACGCCGAATCCTAAATTGTGGTGATGCTGACTGTTGATAGACTCATCACAATGTGTATGTTTCTCCACCTGGCCCTCCAATCATACGCAAAGGGGGTGCTGACTCCGGGGCTCAAGTGGCGGCCTGCCCGCTCGCATGGCCAATGGTCAGGGCCTTAAGCTCATCGAGCCCCTCCGGTCCCTGTATAAGGTTGGTGCTATCAGTTGACAGGCCCTGGCCATGTCCTTCTCTCCACTAACTGCCGAATAGGATGAGGTCCGGGGTATGTAGCGCCACGAATTTCAAAGATTGCGGCTAGCCGAAAGACTAATGGATAGGCAGCTCTCGGACGTGCCCTCGGTATCCCGGAAGAGCTTGTGATGAGAGTATGCGCCTCTGTCGCTTGACCATTGACCGCTTGTGTTGACTCTCGCTGCAATAGCACCCTTTCCCCGGCCGTATGACACCTTCCCTTCTCGAACACACGTGGCGTGACACACAACTGACCTCTCCCAGCTGGCATTGCCGTTCGAATCCTGGGCGAGGTGACCCCTGAGAAGGTCGAGATTGCGCGCCAGGCAGATCACGTAGGCAATTCATAGTTGGAACGGCGGAGTTTTGAATTATCCTTGCTGACAGTGTGCGCCAGATCTTTATTTCTGAGATCCGCAAGGCGGGCATCTATGACCAGATCTCCCAAGGTATGCCGCCCAACGTGCCGTGATGGAATGCCCGCTGACGAAATTCCTTTAGCCTACGCCGCCGTCGACCCCAGCCGTGCGGTGGGCGTGATGGGTGATAAGAGAGTCTATGGCTACGTATGCCATCCCGGATTGTCTCCGTGCCTACCGGTGCTAACCACCGCCAGATCGTTGTCCTCCGCGCCGTCACGACGACAGACTTCATGACCGCCGAAGCGTACAACTTCCCGTGGGACTTCCTTCAGCGGGTCATGAACAGGATTGTCAACGAGGTTCATGGGTATGTCGCTGCTGTCTCCTGGTACATGCTTGATCTTGCTAATCAGTCCACAGTGTGTGCCGCGTCGTTTACGATATTACGTCGAAGCCCCCCGGAACAATCGAGCTCGAGTAACTGTACCGAGACACAAGAGATGGCATGGTTCACGTCGGAGGATGGTGTCAAACTCTGAAGAACAGAGTACGCGAAGCTTTACGACCCGTGTTGAGACCCAGTTATGGTTTTCAAACACCACGTGCCACAGAAAGACTCTTGGATGCCATGGCAATGTGATCCAGGACGTGGCTCATGATGATAGACCATCAATAGATATCTTCGGAGATGGGGATCTGCAGTGTGCTGATTGTGTGCCCCAATTCCACTTCTCTCTATGACTCTTGCGTCGCCACAGCTTCGAATCGCCACGGTTCCCCCCATCGACCATCCGATTGATCCCTCAGTCACGGCCTTATTTCAAGTCTCCTGGTCCTCGCTCTCCCCTTTCATACAAGGAAACTCCAAGGCCTGTGTCACATGCAACCGTCAGCCACCCATCCCGGGACCGAAAAAAAAAAAGAACAAACATCAACCAGAGAAAGCACTCACTTCCCCAGCCGTAACCCTCCTCCCACTCTCAAACCGAACCAGCCCCTCCACCAACTCTCTCCACCCCTCATCCGCACAAGGCACCACACCCTCCCATCCCTCCTTCTGCACCCTTCCCTCAAAAACGCGATACATCTCAAACGGCGGCGTCCGGAACCCCACCGCCTCGGGCCACGTCTGCGGCGTCGGCGTCCCCAGCGTCTGGAAGATGCTGAGCACCAGGCCGAGCTGGTTGCCGTCCTGGTGGGCGGGCGGGCAGTCAAACAGCGTCGTCCTCTTTCCTCCCCCTTCTCCTCCTCCTCCTCCTGTCTCGGCGACGGGCGAGGGGGGAACGAGGAAGCACTCTGCGAGGGTGGCGCCGGCGGCCCAGAGGTCGATTGCCGTGGTATACGCGCGGTTGCCGAAGAGGGTTTCTGGGGCGCGGTAGGGTCCCGTGCCGACGTCGAGAACTTTGTGGGACGCGGGCTCGGAAGCGGAAGAGTAGTTCGGGTGCCAGGCTGTGCCGAAATCGGAGAGGTAGATATGGGAAGGGGGAAGAGGGGGTGGGGAGTTGGTGGTAGTGGTGATGGAGGGGAGGAGGATGGCGGAGGGTTTGATGTCGCGATGGATGATGCCGTTGCTGTGGAGGTGGAGCAGGGCGCGGAAGAGGGCGGTGAAGATGGTGCGGATGAGCGGGGTAGGTAAGGGCTGGTGGTTGTTGGCGAGGAGGTGGGCGAGAGTCGAGGGCATGTAGGGGAAGACGAGGACGAAGTGCTGGTCGCGGTCGCGGAAGGTCTCGAGGAGCTGAATAATATTGGGGGCGTTGGCGGACCGGAGAGAGGTGAGGATCTTGGCTTCGCGATGGGGGTCGTGAGGTTCGATGTTGTGCGTTTCAACGATCACTTTGAGGGCGCGGGTTTGGGCGCGGTAGACCTCTGCTGTCACGCCGCTGGCGATGTAGTGGCAATTTTGGTAGGGGCCGATGGTGAGTCCTAGTGAAGATTCTCGGTTGTCCTGGCCAGGGGCTGTTGGCAATGTTGAAGAGGACGGCTCAGCTGCAGCAGTCGGTAGGCTGCAGGCTGCGTCGTACTCTTCCTGGTGAATGTCAGACAAGGCGTTTCTTTTGCGGGAAGGGACTTGCTTGCCCTGCTGCTGGCGGTTTTGTATGCTTCATCTTCAATAGGAAAGGCGTTCTGACCTCGGCCCGCAGCTGCGGCCGCTTTCATCCTGCATCAGCGAGTCAGACTAGAGCCGTCCCCTTTCTCCCCAACGGCCCAGAGCATACAGTCTCTGAATGTTATCATATCTTTCAGAAGCAGTGAGTGAGCTTCTCCAGTCACTGTCGCCGGCCATACCGTCTCGTTGAGGATGTGGTCGACCGGATATCAATCCGTGAATACAAGACAAACGACGTCAAACGACGGGGGTTGCATGTGAGTTCGCCTCAACGGTTGCCATGGATACCAACTTGACATCTGTCAATGGAATTGTTGACAGGAATTGATACGCCTCCCGTTCAATTGAGGAGTCACTCAAATTCCAATTTGCGATTGTCGTATTGACTTGAGTATAAGATTTGGGGACTACCAACAAACTCATGCCTTTGCTGCTCAGGGTTACCTCCAGGGATTACGTTCTGGGGCGGCAAGCTTGCCATTTCGGCCCAGAGATTCATCGAACGTTAAGTGGGGCTACCACTCCAAAGAACGCCGACAATTGGCGGATTGAGTCTAGCTCGGCCTCTGAAGGCTGAAGACCCCACAAAAATCCGAGCTCCAATTCCATCCCCGTGACATCAATGCGTCCGAGTCAACCGTCCCTCGTTGCAAGTCACTCGAACTTCGGGCGCTCTGGCATCGGTCTTGCGCTTCTGGCCCTAGAAGTAGTGGACTCTATTCTTTGCGGTATATTCAACCGCGTGGCGGCACACTCTAGCATTTGTGTTATGCATTAGTCCGCCGTCCCTTCGGTGCCGCCCATTTGCGCTTCATAAGCCTCATTCAAGATGGCTTCCGTCGACGACCTCTCGCGGTCTGAGTACCCGGCAATGCTCGTACGTCTTCCTCGAGGTGTTTGTTCGCGACACAGTATGATCTGGCTTCTGACCTTTGAGTTTTCTTTTCTTTTAGGCGAATCTGCAACCTAGCCAGGCTGTTCAAGTACTGTCCGACCGAGTCAAGCGCATCGCCAGAGCCAACCAGGAGATAGCAGACTGGCTTCAGGTACAACACACAACGAACTGCATTCACGCACTGCAAGCGGGCATCGAAGCTGAGACAATTGTAGGAGCGCCGGAAGGTGGAGGAGCAATATGTTGCCTCTCTGCGCAAGCTCCTGGTCTTCAAAGTACCGAATGCCGCGTCAGAGCTTGGGTCTGTTGCGCCAGATGTCACTTCTTTCCGAGCCGCGCAACTAACCGTCAACTCACAGTATCTTCCAAGCGCCATGGGATAAGATCCTCCAGTCAACCGACGGCATTGCCGCCTCACACCATCTGTTCGCCCAGCGCATCGAGAAAGACGTCGAGCAGCCCCTCCGGAGTTTCCAAAACAAAAAGGAGATGCAAAACATCCAAACGATCAGCGCGAATCTGCAGGCAATGGCGAGAGAATTGGACGATGCGGCCGACAAGTCAGACAAACTAAACAAGAAGGGAGGGAAGGCGAACGCGCAGAAGGTCGATCAAGCTGCCGCAAGGCTCGAGGCGGCCACTCAGCAGTGGGAGTCACAGGCGCCCTTTATTTTTGAGACGTTACAAGCCTTGGATGAACAGCGGATAAACCACCTGCGCGATGTCTTGACGCAATTCGAAACCCATGAGGTCGACCAGGCCACCCGCACCCAGGCAGCGGCTGAAGAGGTGCTCAACGTGATGCTCGAGGTGAACACGTCGCAGGAGATCCAGAACTTCGTACAGCGAGCAACTGCTGGGAAGCCAAAGGTGGAAAGGAAATCGGTGACAAGGCAATCCACCCCTGTCACATCAACTGCAGCTCCCCCGAGCATCACCGGTGACGACGTTAGCGAGCATTCGGGCCACAGAGAAAACGCTCCCGGTATGCGTCACAGTATCCTCATATGACGTTCCATTGAGCAGTTTCCCTGACCTAAGCGCAGAATCGAAGTTGAGGAGTCGCATCGGCACCATGCTAGGGCGCCGACGCCAGAGCGTCCACGGCGGATTCGGGCAATTGGGTTCTCCCCCGAAGGGCCTTGGTTTCTCTCGAGGCCTCTCGAGCAGCCACAGCCAAACATTGTCCCCTCGAGCTTCATCCCACAATTTAACCGATTCCCAGAACAGGCTGCCGTCGGTGGTTGAGAGTCCAACCGCGGAGCACACGCGAGACTCCACTGCCGACAACGAGCAGCGCAAGAAGTCTCATGAAGGAACAAACGGGGTCTCTGTCGGAGAGTCATCCAACAATACCCAACTGGCAAAGCCCGGCCTCCTCAATGGCACGGCTGAGGATATCTTTGATGCGCCGACAGGGGCCGCGGCTCAGCAGCTGCAGAGCAAAGAAGAGCCGGGCAAGGACGCTGATGGCTTCACAATACCACCTGCCATGAACGATCCCATCTCCCAGGCACAACGGGAGGCCGCAGCCGAAGAGGGTGACCACCTCTTCAAGCTCAGCATCCAAAATGAGCCCATTCCCGAGGAAGACCAAGATGCTAAGCAAGCGGCTTTGTCCAACGTTGCGAATGCGCTGACCACCATGGGGATGCCATCGCGGAAAACTGGCACGGTACGGGGGAGGAGGGACGTCAGGAACACTGTGTACATGCCGTCCTTGCCGACCCATGACATGGCTGCCGAGCAGCCCGTTCCACTCTCGCCTTCTCTGCCAACAAGCACGACAATGCCGAGGCCAACACCTTCCACGACATTCATTTCCGAGACAAGCCATGCCTCTGATACGCAGTCAATTCGGTCAGGGACGTCATTTGGCGGCGCATCCTCATATAGTAGCATCGCCCGCCTCAAACACCCGGATATGCACGGCCCATCTTACGGACCTGGGTTGCACTCCTCCGTTATCGAGACCGTGTCTGCTGTCTTCCAAGACGGCAATCTCAACTCTGTCAAAGTCACTGGAGAGATTGCCCTCGCTTATGTCCCCGATCCGAACTCCCTCTCCACAGGTAAGTTTTTCGCGATTTCTCGATCAGCCCAATTTCCCAACTGAAATAATTACCAGACTGCGAAACAATCCGCCTCAACAAGTTTTTCCTTCTTGAATCCATTGGCCCCAATCCCGTCTTCGTGAACAACACCGCCAACCCTGACGAATTCTCCATCGATGTCTCACACCTCACCACCACCACTACCTCAGCCTTCACCTACCGCATCCACGCCGACTCGGACACCGCCCTGGCCTCCCAATGTCCTATCGTAATCCACCCGGTCTGGAAGCCCCAAGCCGACAAGCTCGGCCTCCTCCTCCAGTACCGCCTCAACCCGTCCTCGCCCCTGCCCCGCCCCGTGACGCTGTCCAACGTGGTCTTCGTCGCCACCTACGAGGGCGCCCGCGCGAGCGGCGTGCAGACCAAGCCCTCGGGCACCCACCTCAAGGATAAGCACATTGTCTACTGGCGCTTGGGCGACGTCACGCTGACGGAGGACTGGAGCAAGATTATCTGTCGGGTTATTGGCGAGCAGAATGCGGAGCCGATGCCGGGTAGGGTCGAGGTTCGGTGGGAGTGGGCTGCCCCTTCTTCTTCTTCTTCTTCTTCTCAACAACATAGCGGTGCTGGTGAGGTGGGCAGTGGGATCTCCGTTGCGAGGTTGCTGCCCGAGGGGAAGGGCAAGGGGAAAGCCGTGGAGGTGGAGGAGGACGATCCGTTTGCGGATGTCGGAGCGTCTCCTCCGGCGTCGCCAGATTTTGCTGGCCAAGGGAGGTCGTGGGCTGAGGTACCTGTTTTGAGGAGGCTGGTGAGCGGGAAGTATGAGTCGAAGTAGGCTGGGTCATCGATTAGATTGGGAGGTTTGGAGGGTGTTTGGACTTCTTGCGGTCGAGCGAGCCATGGATAGATGTACTTGATGCATGGTTCTTTTTCTTGAAGGGTCGTTAATTACACCGGAGGCATATTTTGGAAGCTGTTGTTGGTTCGTTGCGGTCAGCGAGCTCAAGCGCATTAGCCCCTGGGAGCGAGAAGAACGCATATACATACCTACATGTCGACCCTTATTCACTCCTTCCTTGCCCCTATCGAGACGGTCCCACAAGACCAAAACGGGTTTGGTTACTGTTGTTCCACTGTGTCCCGATGCCGAATATGGAGAAACCGATCTTACGAGTTACTTCACTCATCACCGAACTTCGTTTAGTGAAGTATTACAAAGGGCTCACTACCGAGCTCCTTAGGGAGGTCGGTGGTTACGAAAACACTCCGGGGTGCCTCGCTGGACCAGGCGGGAGGGGCTTAGCCTGCACCCGAATCCCTCCTACTTGACTATAGCCAAGTGGGAGGAAGTTGGTGAGTGGAAGAATGCAGACCTTATACATATACGCCGGTTGTTGGGCTGGGAAAGAGTGGTGGCTGATGGCAGGGCTGGGATGAAAGTCGGTCACGGCCGGGCCATTCATCATTGTACAATATGTAGGTCGGCCAAAGGCCATGAATGTTCCGGATAGCTCCCGGCTGACAGGCATGTACAACTTGACGTTAGCAAGAAACAGAAGCTCACTGACTAAACCTCTTTACCGAAGAGAGGTAGACCAGCTACGAAATCCTCAGGCGACGGTTTACTTCACGGTAGTGGAGTGGCTTGGACTCGCTGATGAGCTTAGCGGTACGCACACCATGATTCCCGTACTTTTGGGTGGTGGCCGCCGCCATTGAACCATAGGCTGCGTTGTGGTGGTCATTGAAGTTGGCGTCAACCGCTCACTGGCCAACTCCATCCGAAGATCTGTTGTGGTCTGTCTGAGAGGCGTGTCACAGGTGACTTTGAGACGGGCGGCCAAGGATACCTCGACTTGGAAAATTCAAGCAACGGTTAACAAGCCAGCCATCTCTCAATTCCTTGAACCCTGTCCATGGCCTAGCAATCAAATTCCGACCATGATATGATCCCCCAAGCACAGCAAGCACTCCGCCCTACCATCTCCTGACTCCCGTTAATGTACAAAGACTCAAACATGTTCATCCCTACTTCTCCATCTGCGCCTCAAAGAACTCAATCGTCAATGCAGCCAAGAAACCCGGCACGCACCCCCTCTCGCGCACCCAAAACTTGATGTTATCCCCTATCTTTTGAGCAAACGCACTCCGCGGGCCACCACCGACCTTCATGGTCCCTCTCTCACCATCAAAGACAATACTGTTCTCGTGCTCGTCCGTCCGCGAGGGGTAATACACGCTCTCGACGCGCATTTTGCCCCCGGGGATGAAGGTGACGGTCCAGCCGAGGGTGCTGAAGACGGCCTCCTTGAACTCGGCCGACTTGGCCGCCCAGACCTCCTTGAGGCGGCGCGCCGACTTGTGCGCCGACGCTGTTTCGGCCTTGGCCTCGGCTATCTCGCGCTGAGCCGCGGCGAGCTGGGAGGCGGGCACCGTCGCGAAGAGGGTCGGCTGGCGCTGGATGTGGGCTAGGAGCTCGGCGTTTTCGAGCTTGAGCGCTGCGAGAGTGGCCGCCTTGGTTGCTTCGTGGTCCGAAGTGGGGTTGGAGCGGAGCGAGAGGATGCGGGTTTGAAGCTGCTCTTTAGCGGAGGCGAGCTGCAGGGTGGTGACTTCATGCTCTTTTTGAAGGAGGCGGTGAGCGGTTTGGAGGTCGGAGAGCTCGGTTTGCAGCTTGCGGTTCTTCCGGGCCAGTTGGCCGAGCTGTTCGTTCTCGTCTTCGTCGTCTTCGCGCTGGCGTTTCTTGTTGAAGACGGGCTGAGCGGGGCTGGTGGAGGCTGACTCTAGGGACGTCAGGTCGGCGTGGAGGGTGCTGACCTCGGCCTTGTACTTATCCACTAGGTCCTCCAGCTCCTGGATGCGCCTGACCTTTTGCTGGTCGACGCTTTCCGGCTGGACCGTCATATCCTCCATGTCGAACGTCTTGATCTGTGCCCGGAGATACTCGACCTCCTTGACTGCAAGGGCGCGTTGTCGCTCGAGACGGGCCCGAGCTTTGTCACTCCCTGCACCAGTAACCCCTGCCGCCCTGAGCTTTTCAATCTGCTCAAGGAGCCTAGCCTTCTCATCCTCCAGCGTCTTGATAATATTGTCGCGGTCAGCGATCTCGGGCTGTAGCTCCCCCAGCCTCTCGACAAGAGAGGCCGAGTGCAGGCGTTCCGCGGCCAGCGCCCTCGCCACGGCTTCCGGGGAGTCGAACTCGTTTGGTCCGTCTGCGCCGCCTTCGCTCCTGAGATAGGCTGCCCATGACCGCCTTTCGTCCTCCAGCCTCTGCCGCTGTCGTCTTTCTTCGTTGAGCTCGTTTTGGACCGATTCGGCGGCCTCCAACCTTCGCTGAAGGGAGCGCTTCTCCTCCTCGACAACCTCGACAGCCTTGTGCACCTGGCGCAGGTGCTTCAGCTCCGTAACTTGCTCTCGGTTCTTCGCCTCCAAGTTCCGGATGTGTGTTACTTGGTCAGACAATTCCCTTCGAATGACCGCGATGGTGTCAGCATCGCCAGTCTGCGCCTTGAGCCGAAGCACGTCAGCTTCTAGCCTGCCGATCGTCTCGTCTCTTTCAGTCAACTGTGAATGTGCCTTCCCCAAAAGCTCCTCCCGTGCCCTGCTCTCCTCCTCCAACTCGTGGACAGTGCGTTGCGACGAGGCCAGCTTGGCCCTGAGGTCATTGGCCTCGCGCTCGGCCATCCGCGCGGCCTCATCCTTGGCCGAACTCAGCTCCTCCAGCTGCTCCTGCAGCAGCCTGGCTTCCGCGAGAGCATCTCTCGCCTTCGTCTCCAGCTCCCGTTTCTGGGCCTCTTTTTCGGCTCTCAATTCGTCTAATTCGTGCTGCAGCGCCTCGACCTGCCGCTGAGCCTTCGCCCTCTCGACTTCTGCAGCCTGTTTTGCCTTGAAATCGTCCTCGGCGCGGCGCTTGGTGTCGCGCATCTCGTTTTCCATCTGTAACCGCGCCAGCTCTTTCTCCTGCTCGTAGCTGCTGATTTGGTATTGGAGCGTGCCGACCTCGGCCTTGAGCTCCTCGATGCGCTTGCGCTGCGTCTCGTACTCCTCGGCGTCGGGTGGTGGGCGGTTCTCCTTGCTGCTTTCGCGACTGAAGTTGCTGGCTACAGTGGCAGCACGACCTCGCGGTGGCGATGGGCCCGAGGGGCCGCCCGGTCGAGAGCTAGGAGGCGCCATGTTGGATTCGCCGGTGAGAATGTTGTAGGATGGCTGAGTGGTCGTACTTCTGCGGAAGCCAGTTATCTGCATGCTGTCAGCGCCGTGCACCCGGTGATGGCGCGTTGCTTGATTTCCTACCCTTGACTCTCGTTGCGATGCACTGGGTCGTGGAATGCCGCCGCTGATGGTCGCGCGAAAATGCGATCCGGCGCTGATAGGAGGCCGTTTCACCGACACTGGAGGATCGCCTTGTGGTGTAAACGACCTCATGGTGGACGAGCGGAGGTCCAACTGACGCGGTTTCGGTTGACTTGGCGTTCGCGGCATCGCGATCCGACTGCCTGGGAGATCAAGTCTCCCGTCGGTACTTCTGATTGGTTAATGGTCACAGACCAAAATACTGGTGGAGGATCAAGTTGTCCCCTGTTTTGTTATCGCACTTCCTTGAGAAGAACAGACAACTTGTAAGAAATACTTTTTGGTGTTTTCGTTTGAAAATTCGATTCTACCTGGTTGCTGGTCTTGGTTCTTTTGAGATTTCTGCTGCTTGTAGCAATATGGCATCGCTCGAGTCCACAGGCGAATGCTGGTTGTGTCCATCTGTGAACCGGAGAAGAATGGAGAACGGTTCACCGCACACATAGTTCTCGTGAAAGAAAAAAAAGGCACTGGTCTCCCTCAGTTTTGTGTTGTTCTTTGTTCGCAACCTGGGGATTCAACACTGCTTCGGCACTCGTTTTCAGGCACTTGAGCTTGAATGGGGCTCGGCGTTGCCAAGCTTCGATTGGAGGTGCCAAGCCCGTTAATCATGTGGAGAGAGCCCCTGGCGATGACGCCGGTGCCATGCGGCCTGTGGTCTCGGCGACCCGCATTAACCGTTCCTTTCCATGCAGTTCGCGGCAGCGCTCCCGGCAACGCTGAGCTCTTCCCGATTTCGATCTTGCTTGCTTATGGCATGCAATTGGAGGTGATACTCTGCAGCGTTTGCTGCCACACCATCTGGCCATCGCTACCGACAGATTTCCGCCTTAGCTCCATCTTGACAGGATTGTCATGGTTCGCGGTCCCATTCCCGCCGCGGCGTGGGTAAGCTCCAAAGCTCCGCGATTGCGACCAAAACTCCAGTGTCACTCACAGCTCCCCGAGCTTCCGCAGGGTCGCCTCGCGCCGCGCTCTCGGCCGCTATGTCCAGCCCTCGCCATCTCTCTCTCGGCCTCTCCAATATTCCCCTTAAACCTCACTCCTGTTCCAGCGCGACAATACGGGACGAATCGAAGTAGCGACAACTCCGGTGCGGATGAAAAGGAAGCTCGGGAGAGCGCCAAAGACGACGCGATCGCCGATTCGGCAGCGGACGCAGCAAGGAAAGACACCACGTCGGCCCAGGCCCTGGCAAGCGAGGCTACAAGCTCGTCCACCGCAGGGTCTTCGGTCGTTAGCGATGTGCAGGATTGGGAATATAACCCAAACCTGAAAATCGAGTCGTTCAAGGACCTGCCGCACGCCAATTTCGGGGTGAACCAGCACATCCCTTTCGACCAAGAATTCAAAGATGTTTTGAAGGCGATTCCCTGGCAGTTCCGCGCCCCGATCCGGTATGCATTCGCCTACGGGTCTGGCGTGTTTCCTCAGTCCAAGCCCTCCGGGAGGATTCCGACGGCCGAGGAGATCCGCGCCGTTCATCCGAAGGCGCCGCCCGCCGTGCAGAGGGCGCAGGACGGCACCCCCAAGATGATTGACTTCATCTTTGGCGTCTCCCACACCCAGCACTGGCACTCTCTAAATATGAAGCAACACCGTGACCATTACTCGTCGCTCGCAAGCCTCGGTTCCGGCGCCGTCTCGTATGTTCAGGATAAGATGGGAGCCGGCGTCTACTTCAACCCTTACGTTGTCGTAAACGGCATTCTGATAAAGTACGGCGTCGTGCAACTCGGCACATTGGAAAAGGACCTGACCCAGTGGGATACGCTGTACCTGGCCGGAAGGTTGCACAAGCCCGTCAAGATTCTGCGGGACGATCCGAAGATCCGGCTGGCCAACCAGATGAACCTCCTCTCAGCGCTACGGACGGCGCTCCTGCTGCTACCCCCAAACTTCACAGAGGAGGAGCTGTACGCCACCATTGCCGGCATCAGCTACCTCGGCGATCCGCGGATGGCGCTGCCCACCGAGAACCCGCGCAAGGTCAAGAACATTGTCGGCCACAACATGGCCAACTTCCGACGTCTCTATCTCCCACTCATCGAGACGCTCCCTAACGTCGCATTCACCGACTCCAACCCCAGCGGCCAGGACTGGATCTGGGACGAGACCAAGAACCTCAAGCTTGCCCAGGACATGGACCCGGTCAAGCGCGGCAACATGGTGCGGCGGCTGCCCAAGGCCTTCCGCTCGCGCCTCTACTTCCAGTACCAGAAGAAGCTGGCTATGCCGGCCGACGAGTTCGACAAGATGATGGAGGAGAGCGAGAAGGAGGACGCCGTCGCGTTCAAGAGACGCGAGGGCGGCGGGTTCGAGCGGCGCATCGCCCAGGACGACCCCGCCGAGCTGCGCAACTACATCCGCACCGTCATCAAGCAGACCATCGGCTGGCCGGCCACCACGCAGTCGCTCAAGGGCCCGCTGACCAGCGGCTTCCGGAGGACGTGGCGGTACTTGAGGGAGAAGATGGACAAGTACCGCCAGGGGCGAGAGGCTGAAAAGGCCAAGGCTGCCGAGAAGGGCGCTGCGGATGGAATCCCTAGTGAGGGCGGTGAGAAGAAACCGTGAATCGATAGGGTTGTGCTGCTGGTAGCGGACGCGGGCTGGCTGCTCGAATCGAACGCGTGTTCTGATTTGTACATAATATGCATGGCTTGTTGGCGGCACTCGGGAAGCGGGTTAGACAGTGGTCGGCGTTTGTCTTGGGTGCCTTGCCCAGGGGTTCATGGTGTAGCCTGTGGATCAAATAGAAAGCAGTTGCCCTGACAAAGGGGTTTGACGTCTACATGTTGGGGGTCTCCTGCCCTCCCGGCATCTCTCAACTGACGGGACACAGCACAACCCAGCTTCATCATGCGGCAGAACATGCGGAATCCTCGGAGTTAGAGCATAGCATCCACACCTTGGCGGCCAGAAGCATGGTTGGGACCTCGCCAGATATCCAGGATACTGGTCAGCCTATGCCACAGACATGTCAAGGGCATTGGAGAACCCCTACTGTGGTAACCTGTTCCATAACCCCAGCAGAGGCTTGATTGGGTACCAAACATCTGGTCCCTTGTCTGGTGACCCTCGTCGGGTCTCATCTCATCCTTCAGAGCTCTATTGTGACGCCAAACCTGGTGTCAAAGGCAACACGCCAAGTTCTGGTGAGGATCGCAAGAGCACGGCCGCTTAAGCAACGCGTCCTACCAAGTCCATTGTCATCCTGTTTTGTAAACGCTATTCAGCACAAGCCAGTCAAGCACCTCAGGATAGAAAACTCGCCTTGCATGATGGGTGGAGGCAGGGTGCGGCTCTATGAAGCACGCCAACGCGAACATGGTCTTGAAACTGAGGAGGCAGGTTCCCCAAACCCAAGGCGGCGGTGCGGTGATAGTACCAATCTTTGGAGTACCGAACTTTCCGGGGCCTCATGTCTCTCTCACCTGGAGTTGGTCTCGGACCTCGAGTCCGAGGCATTTGACTGGGCTTCGATTTTCCGCTGGGATTCAGCGATGACCGGTAATTGATTCTTCGGTGAGAAGGGCCACGAGACAAGTTTGCGCTTGGAGAGGTCCCTCTCCGAGAGGACCAACCTGATAACTGACCCAAGTCTACAGAGGGAGCTGCCTCCCAGGATTTCCGTTCGTCCTCCAAGACCCCAAACTGTCAGGACAAACCTTAAAGTGCCGTACCCGACGCCGACTTCACAAACGCAACCCCCTCACCCAGGCTTCAGCTCTTCAAAATGGCCAAGCTCCTCACCCTTCTCCTCACCGCCGCCGCAGACTTAGGCCTCGTCCACGCGCAATGCTCCCTCAGCGCCGTCCTCTGCGGCGAAACCATCCTCGACGTCCAGAGATACAAGTCCAATCTCCCCTGAGCCCCCCCACCCGAGCTACCTCCTTTCTTGTCACCGCCGTCATCACGATGAAACCAACATTCACCCAAGATGAATTATTACCCATCACTTCAATCAAATCAAGACCAGCCGGCAGCTTCCTCCGGAAAAAAGGCAACCTATCACTGCTGACACTGCGATATATCAATCCAGGCTCGGACGAAGGCTCCATGACATTCATCACTCCCCGTGGCAACGAGATCCGCGACTGTGCTTTCCCAACCGACGGCATGGGCCTTCCACAGCCACGCGGGGCGTTTTGTTGTGCCGAGGGCAGGTGTTTTCAGGAGGGCCTTGGCGCTCGGTGCGATTAGGTGGTTTGGAATCAAACCAGAGTGGTGAATCTCTTCCACTGAAGTAGGGGAACAGTGTTTAAGAGTTTGTTCATAAGCCTTTAGTGCTGTGACTGTGATGTCCACGTTCTTCTGCTGAGTGGTGCAAGCACAGAGAGAGGGTATGGGGGTCAAGGACGGGGTCGAGACGAAGGGTGTAGGGAGGGGAGTGAGCTGTCGATGATCAGGTTGGTTTTGAACTGAGAGATTACTGGAGACGCCAAGTCAATTCTGGTATCTAGCTGTGTGCGCTGACTGACGGAAGTTAAGGTGCAATTCTCATTATTCACGAGTAGTTATCAAATGTCTTGCAAGTCAAATGTTACCTTAAATATGGAGACTTCGCATCTCCAATCCCTTCTTCACTGCCGGACCAGAACGTCGTGAGCTCCCAGCGATGCTTTGATTAACCCGTTTTCAGTAATGGCGGCTTGGCTCCAAGCTGTTGACATGATCGGCTCTCAATACGACCTAGACCGCTGCGTTAGATTTAGCGCGAATATCATCTGCACGGGGTTTCCAAGGACTTTCCACGGCCAGTTGGGTATGTTGGGCTGTGTAACAAGCGCTGATGGGTAATATCGTAGGGATACGTTCATTGGGAGAGGCCAAGATGGGTTGTAGGAACCACTTTATTGTTTGAACCGGGAGAGTTGCACTCAACTGCACCTGATAATGGGTTGAGGGAGCGGATAAATGACTGCGGCGCAGAAACATATGCGGGTATAGGTCACCAAGCTTCTCGAAGAACTCAAAGTACTAAGATAATGCGGGATGTGGTATTCCTGGAGGAGGGTATAGCCTTATTGTTAAATAGGCTCTCGGTCCCTCGGAAGAACCATGGAATACACCGATCACTTACCCACCGACTCTCTGACTTTGTTTTTCTCCCTCATCAGGAGTAACGCAACTCCTCAAACCGCTTTCATTCTTACTCAGCACGGCGATGAAGCGAGGATGGGCCATTGTTCTGACCAGCATCGGACAGGCTGGTTTGATCTTCTGCCGAAACACGTTGTTGAAGATGTCATGCTCGCAGCTTGTGGTGGACCGCATCGACCCGTACATGAACCAAGCCTTCCTTCGAGGCCAACTGCTAACGCACAATAAGCTTGGTCAACCCAGGTGTTTCTGGGTCTCCGCACCTTCACCAACTCGTCGGTGGTGACAGCTTGAGCGCCACCATGGATCCAGGCGATGACCGTGCCGAACTTTCAACATGCACCACATGCACCTTAGTGGATGACTTCTCCAACTACTGGACCGCCGTCATGTATTTCCGTGCAGGGAACGGAACGTACAAGCGTGTCAAGCAGGTCGGGGCTATCGGCCACGAAATGGCTCGCGGCGGGGGCATAACCGTCTACTACGTCCCACCCCACAAAGACCCGACCAACATTGTGGCATTCAAGAAAGGGTTTCGGATGCGCAACGGCGACCCCAACGCCCGCAATGCCACAAGCGCCTCCCGGTACCAAGGCATCGACTACACCTGTCTGATTCGTGACGACACCCGCTACACCAACCGGTCAGCCACGTTCCCCGACCACATGTGTCCGCAAGGCATCCTCACCACCATCTACTTCCCACCATGCTGGGACGGCGTCGACCTCGACAGCCCCGACCACTACAGCCACGTCTCGTGGCCGGCCAACAACGGCGCGCCGTGCCCCGCATCGCGCCCTGTCAAGATCCCCCAGATCATCCTGGAGATCCGGTGGGACACGCGCGAGTTTAATAAGGCCGAGCTGTGGCCCCAAGACGGCAGCCAGCCGTTTGTCTGGAGCTTTGGCGACACGGTTGGGTACGGGCACCACGGCGACTACGTGTTTGGATGGAGGGGTGACTCGTTGGCCAAGGCCTTCAGTGACGACCCCGGCTGTCTGGGCGAAGGCAACACGCTCTGCACTCCAGGGCCTCAAACTATCCGCCAGGCAAACGAGTGCATCCTTGAGCCAAGCGTCAGGGAGGATGTAGATGGTTGGCTGGAGAAGATGCCTGTTGGTGTTGAAGCGGATCCCTAATTTTGGTCGGGGTTGCTCGCAGGTAGTTTACTCGACAGTGAAGGGTGATGTCTGTGATTTGACGAGAAAGAGGAGAGAGCGTGTCTTGAATCTCACTTTCTCACTTTCTCATTGATGAACCGCACTTGCCGAGCACTTTTACATGTGATCCCATCATTTCACATCAAAGACTTACTCCCGGAAAGTATGCTTGACCGACGAGAAGAAACCTACCGCACTTCCATTATTGATGCTCCCGCTGGGTCTCCTGTTCCTCCAGATCAGAGTCAAAGTTCATTATCCCAGATATCCCACCTACATCATCCTCATCATTCCAAACCGCAGTCTAAGCAGCAGTTAATACGTCTTCATGCACACCATACTCAACAACAACCACGACGAGTATTAGCAATCACCGCTTCTCGCTCGCCCGCCATGCATCCCGCAACCACAACCCCACCCGTGGCCATCGAAATCACATCAACAACAACAACCACCTCCTACCCAAACCAGCCAAACACAGCGGCCACCCCCAGCTCCGGTACCACCACTCCGAGCACTCCCCGAGACGTCAGCGAAGCCTCCTCCATGGAACCCCTGCTCCATACAACACCAGAAACCACAACAGCATCGCCACGTCATTCACAGGCAGCCATCACTTGCCTCAGGCACAGCCCGCATGCACCAAACGGAACCACCACGAGCCCTGAAGCACACAGGACCGTTCTCTTCACAGCCGCCATCTTTTTCCCGCCTCTGGCCGTGTACTTCCGCCGGGGCATCGGCAAGGCCTTCCGGAGAAACGTTGCGTTTACTCTTCTCGGCTGGTACGTACTTCACTTATTATTCAACCTACCTGCCACGGGATGACTGCTCACAGTAGTGAGCATAGCTGGGTACTTTATACTGCTTTTTTGCCCATGAGAGTTGTGGCCGTTAGGGCGAAAGAGACAAAATAAGATAGCCTCAGCTGATAGTTACTGACTGTTTGTTGCAAACAGGATCCCCGGTGTGCTGCACGCGCTGTACCACGTCTTCTCAAAGAAGTAGGCCCCGCGCCATAACCACTGACGGATTACATGCGTAGGTGGCGGTGTGTTCTGAGTTGGAGCGGCGATGTCTATTCGACATGCATCCACCCACTGTTTTGAGAAGGGAAAGTCGACTGTATGAGGTGGCATTTCGTTGAATTCCTGGGCCCCCAGTTTGCCTATGCATCTCTGGGCTCCTGAGGCCTTGAGGATTTGTTGTCTGGCTGGATTCTGGGGTCAGGATGTGGAGTTGGGGAGTGATACGCTTCCGGATCATGCTCGATCGGGCTGATGATTACAACGCCTCTTTTCCTGGTCGCTCTCTCATGGCTTCCTGCATACGCACCTAAGGTCTTTTCTAAACTAAATTCACTGCAATGTCTGAAGTAGGCCTACTCTTCCGATGACGTTGACTTGATGCGTCCATCAGGCTCCAGGTTTTGCGCATGTCTAGAGAATAACGAACGCATGGAACCTGCACAGCAAGATACAACTCTTGCGGTCTCCCAATGACCGCAACACCACAAAACCGGCGTCTAGCAACAGGGCACAGGAGCTCGATTGTCAACCGGACATGCTATCCCAAGGCAACAAAAGTCAGGAAAGGATACGGCTGCAAGCGTTGAATAAAGCACCTACCCAGCCCCAGACAAGCCTAAACCAACACTCTAAGTTCAATCCTCTGTCAAATACGCGTTCTTTCCGCCCATGCCTGCCTGCCTGCCTGCGTGCCATGTACCTCTGTCATAAACAATAACAACAGCAACACACCCCCCAACAAAACAGAAAAACTCTTCAATCCACAACAAGCCCCTCCAAAACCCTAATGGCCCTCAACCCCTCCCTCTCAAAAGCCGACACCATCGCCTCACACTCGGCCTTGAGCTTCTGCTCCGCCAGACCTGCGTTATGATAGATCCACTCCTCGACCGTCATGCGCCGCTCGGGACTCGTCAGCTCGGCGCCCTTGCGCAGCAGTCTCGCGACGGCGTTCTCCTTGTCTCTCTCACCATCATTATCATCACCGTCGTCGTGGTGGCCCTTGGCCGGGGACGAAGAAAAGAGCATGTCTAGATCCGCCGGCTGCCAGGGGGTGTGGCTGTGCAGGCCGGTGATGTTGTTGTTGTTGTTGCTGCGTTTGGGTGGTGAGTTGAGGTTTCGTTGTGGGGTCTGGGTCTGGGTCTGCGGCTGCGAGACGTGCCCGAGGACGACGCGCTTGGCGATGAGGTTTGCTGCGGGCTGGAGGGATGGGGGCCGGTGTTCGGCGTCGGAGGACTGCGGGGAGTGGGCCGAGGAGATGACGGGTTGGTTTGCCCGGTGCGTGAACGGCGTGGGGCGAGTCCGTGGCGTTGACAGAGGTTGGGGGAGGCGGCTCGCTGAGGAATGCGTAACAGGAAGTGCCCTTTCGGTCCTGGTGGGTGTTGCTGCCGGTGGGCATGGAACTGGAAGCTGAGTATGTGCGAGGACCTGAGAAGCTGGGGCGACTGGTTTCCTGGGGATCTTCTCCGTCGCGCTCTTCTTAGTGAGGGATTCACGAGCGGGAGGCTCCTCCGGCTGCTCCTTCTGGAGATGCTCGCCAATGGACTGTCGATCTTCTTGCTCGACAGAGGCATGTGAAGCTGTTGACCTTTTCGGCGGCCGTCCTCTGCCCCGCTTCACAGGCTTCGTGACCACGATCCCGGTGCTCGCGTCAGAATTATCTGCTTGCTCCGGCTCCGCATCCGGTTCTGCCTCTTTCTGTGGCTGTCCGATCTCATCGACAGGATCCTGAGCTGACTCGAGAACGGGCGCCTCCTCCTCCACCAGACCAGCCGGAGCTGCTGCGTCCTTGACTTTCTTCGTTTGTTTCGATGCTTTGCGAGTCCCAGCCTTTCGCCCTTTCTTTGGGACCACCAGGGTTTCTGCATGCGCAGGCCGCTCCACGTCCATCTCGGCCCGCAACGCTTCGAGGTCGGCCTCGATTTCGGCTTCATCTGGGACCATGGGCGTTGGATCGAACATGGCGTAGACCTCGCTTTGCGTCGTTTGCTTTTGGCCGCTCGTTTTGCGTGCGGTGGCTGCCTTCTTTAGGCGTCCCCTGGCTGGAGCATGGGCCTCTTCGACAGCCATCTCTTCGGCATCGCTGTGGTATCGTTCCAGGTCGGCTTCAAGTTGCCGGTCGATCTCGTCGTCGTGGGGGATGGCGGCACGTAACGAAGCGGTGGAAGCCTGAGATTTGACGGAGGCCCCGGAGACCTTTCGGGCTCTTTTTGTGGTGGATGCGCGGCCCTTCTTGCCGGCGGACGGTTTTACGGGAATATCAACCATGTCGGCGTCAGGTATCGACGCGCTGTCGATAGCCGTGCTTGGCCTGACACGCGTGGCGCGTTTCTTCGGAGCTGGAGCCTCAGCATCGGCGGCCAAAGCATCTCCTATGGCGTCACTTGGACGCTTCCGTCCTCTCCCAGCGGCTTGTTTGGAAGCCTCCTGCAACTGGGGTTCACCCTCGAGAATTTCAATCGCCTCCTCTTTCTTTGCTTTCGTCTTCCGTTCTTTGCCTGTGGTTGCTTTCCGTCCCCTTGTCGATTTCTTTCCCCCTTGGGCCATGGCGGACACAGTGGACATAACACTGTCGTCGTGGTCGGCGGTGATATCAGCGGCCGATGCAAGATCTGATGCGGCTGTGGCGATAGTAGCAACCGACTGCACTGAAAGTCGAGAAGCCTTGGAGGTTCTAGCCGCCTTGGCTCTCCCCTTCTTCGGCGCCGGGTACTGGTTGATCAGCGCAAAGAAAGCGCAGCCAGGTTCACGTCGGTAGTGCTCGTCACTGGGGTGTGGTCAGCTCTGACGTGGTACACTCTCTTTGCTGGGCGCCTACAATGGACTGTCGTCGGATTCCCAACCCTCAAGAGCAAGGCTGCAGTAAGCACACGTTGTCATGTCGTCAGCGTCGAGCGAGGGAGTGTATTTCCAGCCACCCTCGACCAGCTGCAACCGGAGTCAGCATTGGTCTCCACCGACGCGCTGGAGCGCGCTTACCTTCTTGGTTTTGCATTTGAAGCCCTTCTTCGACTCGTACGGCCACCTTCCCGCGAAGGTCGCCTTCCGGGCCTCGATCATGGCTGGATCGAGAGGGTGTACCTTCCTGTAGTTACCGAAGCCAGCTTCGATTGCCGCCATGATCGCCCAACCGCACGTTGGCGAGTGTCGTAAGTGCTCCTCGACCGCGTCATCGTGCTCCTCCCACCCGTCGAGAGACTTGTTGCACAGAAAGCAAACCACATTGTCGGGGCTCTTTGGATGGGGTTCGAAGTAAAATCCGGCTTTCGCAAGCTGATGGAAGAGCCGTCAGCAGTCTCATTGACCATTGCACGATGCGCTCAACACCTACGGCGAACGGAGACAATTTCTTGTGCGGCCAGTGGAGGGCCTTCGGCGCACGCGACGCTGCGGTTGAAGCCCGGCCCTTCGATACTTGCTGGGGACCGCAGAATGAGGCGAGACGGTTCTCAAAAACGAAGTAGTGACCATCGGTGTCCATCTCTGATAGTGACCGCTGGAAGCGCGTGGCCTTCTCGGGGTATTGTGCGATTCGTTGTCGGGACGGCCGTCGATAGTTGAGACGGCCACGATTTCATGGAATACTAGTGGTGGGTTATGGCGCTTCTGACAGCACTCATCGCAAGCGGAGGACGCAGACTGTGGACTACGCAGTCCGTTGCACTCTTCTTGCGCTTGATGATGTGTTTGGTATCTGCGCGTCGAACGCTTGGCCCTGATGGGGAGAGAAGGTGCGTTCGCCAAAACACTGATGCGCGCGGCGCTGATTGGGCAAGGGAGCCGCGTTTGTTTACTTGACGTTGTGGGATTAGCAATTGCTTCAATTGGTTAATGTGTTTCCAATTCTCCTCACTGTCACGTGATAATTCTTGGCTCCTGGGAGACTCGGTGACCTCGGTGAAACTCGGCAACTTTGAAGCGGAAAACAACGGCATCCACTGATCCAGCCTCCAACGAATTCCTCCAGCCAACTGCCAATGCTTCATGATGGCAGTCCAACAGGGACTGATCAGCACAACCTTGCAGGCAGCGGGACAGCTTCGGCCCACAGCCTGCCTTTGAAATCCATCAAAGACAGTAACCTGACACGACTGTCAAGTCAAGTCTGACGATTCTTCATTTGTCCCCCCTTTCTCCGTTGGGCATCAAAGTGGCTTCCCGTCTTGCTCGTGCAAGTCCAACCCCTCTCCGAGTGACAGCCAAGTGGCAACTTCCATTCCGCTTGAATCCACCCCTTTGTCCACACAGTTGTGGGGAACCGGTGGTTTCGCGGCTGGAACCTGTTCAACAGTCCGGGGCATGGCCGACGTCCGGAAACAGGTTCTGAACTCCTTGATAGCGATCGGCTGATCAGTCCTGTTGGCTTGCGAGTCTGTTCGAGTCCATGACCACGTTGCCGCTTGTTTCAGCGACTGGTGAGAGCGGTCAGGGGCAGTTGAGATAAGCTTTTTAGGGCTGCATCCCGTGCTCGAGGTGGCTTTGACAGGCGGAATGTCCCTAGTTGCCGTCGCCTTATCGGCACTTTCTTTCTCTGGTCGTCTCCCGCGTTCGTCATCAACCCCACGGTGATTGACTTGACTCCTCTCAACCCCACATCTGCTATGAGAATCTATTTGTCAAAAAGATGGAGAGCGATAGGGGTATTGGCACCGGTTTCACCGACCATGGACCGTTTCTCGGTTTTCGCCGCGAATCCTGTTATCCCTGTCGCGGCCGAGGGACCAGCGAATAGAGCCGCAGCAAGATGGAACGAACCGGCTTCTCGAAGGACAGATGACTCGTGTCGAAACCATGGGATTTTCTGCACCACCAGAAACGTGATGTCGTGAGTCGTGCACGTCCTGGCGGGATCCGGGGACCCGGGGAGGAGGCACTGGCTTCTTGCTCCTCTTTCCAAGCGGTGAGATGAACCACGGAGTAGCCGGGGATGCCTGGTTATGATGAGCACATCAGTTGTCTCATCGATGGACCACACGGAACGCACTTCTGTCCGGAATGACGGAGATGGGATGCCAACCAGGGCAAAGTCGGCAGTTGAGGCAGGGATTTGGTCGGCTCGGAGACAACTCAACATTCAGGAGGGCTGAGTACCTATGATAGATCGTTTTAACATCGCTCCTGCTGCCGTCCACCGCCAGACTGCGACACCGACTTGCTGCTTCTCCTTCTCGCAGGACGCGGATAACGGATTTTCGAGGACGCGGGCCACCCCCTTCCCTCCCTCTCACTCCTCGCCTGCATCGGGTCAGGCCCGGAAGGATCGCTGCAGCTTTCTCTCACCACAGCCGCCGTGCCTCGCCTGTTCCGGCATTTCCACACACCCAGGCACAGACGAAGGTGACACGAACCAGAGACCACACATCCCCGTCTTTAGTCAAATCATCAGCAATGGTGGCCGCCAACTCCGCCATGGACACCCGGCCGTCAGAAAAAAAGAGGAAGTTGTTTGAGGCTCCCGATTCCGCAGTCATAGGACCACCGTCGGACGATGAAGTGGGCGAGGTGCGCCCCACGGTCGGCATGGACGACTACGAGAAACAGAAGGCAGCCGAGGGCGAGGCGCATTTCCACCGGCTTGGTTGGAAGCGCCTCACCATCGTGCTGATCGTGACCGCGGTCGCCCTCGGCAGCCTCAGCTTGCCGGGCGCCTTCGCGACGCTGGGGATGGTGGCCGGCGTCATCCTCACAGTCGGCATCGGGCTCGTCGCCATGTATGCCAGCTACGTGGTCGGCCAGATGAAGCTGAAATACCCGCACATCTCGCACTACGCCGACGCCGGCCGTATGATGTTTGGGAACGTCGGCTACGAAATTGTCAGCGTCATGTTTGTGCTGCAGCTGGTCTTCACCACCGGCTCCCACGTTCTGACAGGCGCCATCATGTTCGGCAACCTCTCGGAGAACGGTGCGTGCACCATCGTCTTCACCGTCGTCTCGGCCATCGTCCTGTTCCTCGTCGCCATCCCGCCATCCTTTTCCGAGATGGCCGTCCTCGGCTACATCGATTTCGCGTCCATCATCGCTGCGATCTTCATCACTATCGTCGCTACCGGCATCCGCGCAGGCGAGCAGGTCGGCGGAGTCTCGTCCGTCGAGTGGTTGGTCTGGCCCAAGGAGAACTTGACGCTTGCAGAGACTTTCATCGCCATCACAAACATTGTGTTTGCCTACAGCTTCGCGCTCTGCCAGTTCAGCTTCATGGATGAGATGCACACCCCCAAAGACTACGACAAGGCCATTGTGACGCTCGGTGTCTTCGAGATATTTCTGTACACACTCACCGGCGCCCTGGTCTACGCCTTTGTTGGGCCGGACGTCAAGTCGCCCGCGCTGCTGTCCGCCGGTCCCATCGTCTCCAAAGTGGCGTTCGGCATTGCCATCCCCGTGATATTCATCTCAGGCAGCATCAACACGACAGTGGTGGCGCGCTACATCCACGGGCGCATGTTCAAGAAGTCCATCATCCGCTACATCAACACACCCATGGGTTGGGCCACGTGGATTGGTCTAGACGCCGTCATCACGCTGCTCTCGTGGGTCATTGCGAGCGCCGTCCCCTTCTTCTCGGATTTGCTGGCCATCACCTCGGCCCTCTTCGTTTCAGGCTTCACCTTTTATTTCCCCGCGATTATGTGGTTCATGTTCATCAAAGAGGGGAGCTGGTGGCAGGGGAGGAACCTGGTTTCGTCGGCTGCCAACGGGCTGTCGTTTGCTGTGGGCGTCATTGTGCTGGGCGTGGGGACCTATGCGAGTATCTGGGATATTGTGAGTGCTCCTCATCTGTCTCCTGCAAAACAAAACGCTGACCTCCACCTCCAGATTCATCGGTACCACTTGGGACTGGTTTCGGACCCGTTTAGCTGTTCGCCGCTCGCTTGAGGTTGCATCGACATGTTTCTTTTGGGGTTATGGAGTTCGCAGAGATCTGGGGTCGACAAACGCGCCAGGCGCTCATTCTGGCAATGGCCGACTTGCCGCATGGTCGTATTACGATGGATAGACTTTCATGAACTTATGTTGGAGCATTCTTTGGAGTAGATAGGTTATACGGTGTTTGGCTCTAGCATTCTCTCTCTGTATCATAGCAAGTTCGCAGGGCGGGGGTGAATGGTATTTTGTATCATAATCATTGCGTCACGGGAACAACATGGCCACGCTCACGACTCCCGTTACTGAGTGCCCTTGCCCCGTTAATAACCTGAAGTATGCAATGCCCTCCGAACTAGACAATGCGAAAAAGGGCGCACTCAGCGACTATACGCTGACCTCCAACAACAAAGTAAGTCAAAAAAGGACCGATACCTCTAGCAAAAGGTCAGGGTTAAGCCCTGCACTCCGTTTCAGGGTAAGCGTCTTCGACTCCACCCTCCTCCATCCACAATCCCAAACACAGAAAACTGCCAAAAGTTAAGAGTCTGGGGTGTTTTATCTCCCACTCACACGCTCTGATGCCCAGTAACAGGATTGAACTGTTGACCTTCGCATGAACTTGATATAACAGCAGATGTTATATTAGTACGACGCTCTAACCAGCTGAGCTAACCGGGCTACTTGATGGTTTTGCTATCTGCGTCTTTTGCACAAGTGGCCGTTTCTCATTCCTTGGCTGTAAAAGTACAATACATACATCCCAGCAAAGGCCCCGTTCCTGCGCTCCTGCGGTGAGGCAACGGACTGGATGTACTCATCATATCCTAAGTCCCTGGCTTGTCACCATCGTCTGCGAGTCGGTATGTTGAGAAGACAGAACGGCAGCAGAAGCCGCCATCATTGCCATTGCCGCCGTCGTATGCTTTTGTTGCTGTTGTTGCTCGGCCGCTGTCCTCTTGTTGCATGCTGTGTTGCCGAGGTGCCGCCCCTGGTCCTTTCCGTCGTATGCGTTGGTCGGGCTGTCGTCACGATGGCGACAGAAGCTGAATCCCACGCCCTGGCGCAGAAGGGCAAAGAGCTGTCCGAGCAGAGGCTGGAGGCCGTGAGGGCCAAGGAAAGAATAAAAGGTAATGATATGTATGAAAAATATGAAACAAAGAAAAGAAAAAAGAAAAGCAGAGATGAGAATAATGGAAGAAGAAAGTATAAAGGGAGCAGAAGCTGTAGATATCCAATTCTTAGTGTTGGGTTAGTTGTTTTGTTTCCTTCCTAAGCGCTGGCCTAACAAACTAAACTCGGGTTGGATTGCTGTAATTTCATATATCTTCGCCTTCATGCTGCTCATGCGGTGCATGGTGTTAAATGGCCAGTACTCTGTATACGGCTCACCGGTGCCAAGTCTTGTGCACTCTCTTGCTTACGTCCTTGTCCTACAGCTCACTGAAAAATCCCTTATACTTGACGTTCCCAGCGTCGGTAGGCTCCCAATTTGTCCTATTTTTGGAGGCGAGTCTGTGCCATCAACGATCCGGCTGGTCACACAAGGCATCCCCTCCCCCGTGATGAGGACATTCAAAGTAGATCTAGCTTGCATACAGCCTCGCTGTACAGTCCAGGCTACAAGTGTAGGGAAAATTTGGGGGCATTCCACGTGAACTACCATGCAATGCACATTTGATACAGCCCGTTTGTTGCAAGGCACTCATTGATGGCCACTCAGGTTAGTAACCCTCGCACGGCGGTGAATGGTTAAGGCTACCTGCAACACCCCTGACTGACAAGACCTCCCTTTCCCTTCCCTGCTAACAACACCGCTTCAAGCAACCACCTGCCCGCCCTCAGTCAGCCCCAGCTCCTGGTAAAAAGCCTCGGAGCTCGGCTTGCGGCCCAAGAACTGCTCCAAGGTGAGCATCTCGTCCTGCGACCCGCCTTTCTCGAGCACCGTGTGCCGGTACCGGCGGCCCTGCACGGGATCCATCGGGTTGCTCTTGAAGACGGTGTAGAACATGTCAGTCGAGTACACCTGCGACGACAGGTAGCCGTAGTAGCCAGCGTCGTAGCCGCCGATGAGGTGACCGAACGTCGCCTGGCCGTTGCCCCAGGTGCTGAATCACCAGAGATGGTCAATATTGCAAGGTGGCTAGCATGGGGAGTGGGAGGTGAATAAAAGACGGCCTACCTGGGCTCTCCCTGCGCTTCGGGGCCCTTGATCTGGGAGATCTGCACGCGCAGCTCGTTGTACAGCTTACTGACGTCCATCTGCTCCAAGTCCTCATGGGTCTTGGGAGTGTGGACGGCCATGTCAAATAGACCGAAGTGAAGCTGGCGAAGGTTAAAGAGCGCGTCGTTGACGTGCTTGGTCGAGATGAGCTTCTCGATCAATTCGTCCGGGATTGGCTGCCCCGACTCGTAGTGGCTGCTCAGGCTCTTGAGCTGGCTGGGCGTCCAGCACCAGTTCTCGAGCATCTGGCTGGGAGCCTCCACAAAATCGCGCACGGTCGACGTCCCGTGATAGCGCGCGTACCGGGTGCGGGCGACCAGATCGTGGATGCCGTGGCCCAGTTCGTGGAAGAGGGTGACGACTTCATCGTGCTTCAGAAGCGACGGCTTCTTGTCTGTGGGCTTGCTGAAGTTGCAGACAAGCGCAGTGGCAGGGTACCTCCTGGTGCCGTCGGCTTTGCGGAAGCCGGGCTGGAGGCTGAAGTTGGCCGCGTGGCCGTACTTGCCCGGACGCGGATGAAGGTCGAGATAGAGGTAGCCCACGAAGCCATCGCCCTCGCTCGAATCGTCCCACACGCTGAAAATGATGACATCTTCGTGCCAAGCAATGTCCTCAGCCTTTCCGGTGGGCGAGATGTGCTTACGGTCCTCGGGTGTCAGCTCGACAAAGACAAGACCGAACAACTCCTCAAAGATGCGAAGCATGCCGGCGACAGTCGACTTGAGCGGGAAGTACTCGGCGATAGCGTTTCCGTCGATGCTGTACTCCTGCTCGATCATCATGCGGTCGTAAAACCTGTGGTCCCAGAGGTAGTAGTTCCCATCAAAGGGGAGATTGCGAGCCTCATGGTCCTTCTTCTTGAGTTCCAGCAGATGTTCAATCTCCTTGACGCCACCCGCAGCGAGACGGCTCTTGAGGTCTCCCAGAAAGTCAAGGACCGTCTTAGGCGTCTTAGCCATCTTGTCTTCGATGCGAAACGAAGCGTGGTCGGGGTAGCCGAGAAGACGGGCGGCCTCGTCGCGAAGGAGGATCGCCTCTTTGAAAAGGGGTGCGTTCTGGTTGCACTGCCGGGGCGTCAGCACCGTCAAAACCCCATAAGCTCGCGAAACATACCTTGTTCTCGTTCTCGATGAACACTCTCCTTCGCGTCTCAGGGCTCTTTGCAAATTTGAGCGTCGGGAATAAATCGGGGTACTTGAAGGTTAGCCGGAGCTTGCCTTCATTTTCGCCGGTGCCCTTCTCCAGCGTATCCAGGACGTCCTGGGGCACACCGTCGAGCTCCTCCTTGGTGAACCAAATGCCATTATTCTCTTCATTCAGGTTCTTCTGGAACTCGATTTGGATCTGGCTCAGTCGCTTTTTGATCTCCTTGAACCGGTCCCTCTTGGGGCCCTCGGGCAAGCCCAACCCGTTCCGAATGTAGCTCTTCCTCTCCTTCTCGAGCAGCCGCGCGGACTCGACATCGTCCAGACCTGCACTCTTGGCCAGCGCAGCGTCAATCAGCCGATCCTTGTCCTTCTCGATGCTCGCAGAGAGGCCCGAGTTCTTGTAGACGGCGTCGACGAGGCGGAAGACGTCCTCGCGCATGCTACACTCAATGGCAAACTCATCCATGATCTTCTCGGCCTCGGTACTTGCGTCCCGCAGGGCGCTGTCCCCCGAGACATACTGGTAGAAGCCCAGGACGCGGGCGCTGAGGGAACTCTCGTTCTCGTCTTCGGTCTGGGGGCGCATGACGGACTCAAACGTGGCAGAGGCGGGGTTCTCGTCGGGCTTGATGCTGGCGACGAGCGAGTCCAGCACAGAGCGAGTGCGGTCACACAGCGCCTTGGAATCGGCCACGATGCTGTCCTTGGTGCCCGTGAAGAGCGGCGGAGCCTGGGGTGGGTTGGCGTACTTGGCCATGTCGACGCTGGGTCGGTGAGTAAAGATGGAGGGCTGGGACGAGTACGTCAAGGTGCCCAAAGCCGGGCGACCAGTCGTGACAGCAGTGAAGCCTCCTCGGAGCGGTGCCTGAGAGTGTGGTTTGCTGACCCGGAGTCGCGTGAAGAGGGCAGAGAGGCGAGGCACAAGGCGCGGGGCAGCCAGGATGACGGTGGTTGTTGAGAAGAGGAAAACAGAAAGGAAGAGCAGGAATACAGCCTGCCGGATGGGAGCAACGGGCGCCAGAGTGAAGAGGGGAGGGGCTGTCTGTTGGATGACAGTGACGGGGAGCTTTGAGGAGCCAACCCCCAGCAACTGCTTGATATGCGGGGAAGCTCGAGTGGAACAGCAGCGCGAGGTGGGAGCGCGGTGAGATGGCAAAGCCGGGCAGTCAGAGTGCAAGGCCGCAAAATCGAGATTAGTTTCTCCGACGTCTGTTCAGAAGAAGCTCGACTACCTGAATGAGGCCGTTCTGCTTTCGGGTTGCTATAAACTTGGAATTGGCGATCTTTGCTCACTGCTTGCTCAATGGAACACACAACTGAAGACGTGGGATTCATATGACTTGGGGAAGACCCACCGGTCACCGCAGGGCTGACCTTGCCAAGCAAGGCCTTGAGGTTGCATTCGACGTTTGCAACTTGCAACTGCATGGCAGTCATCAACTGTGTCCCACCGATGCTCTTCCTCTCAGCAGCTGCACTGTGTGCAATGATTCCTGCTTGCTATCTAGGTCTTCACTCCGTACCCTGTCCGATTGAAATCCTGAATGGTGTAGTATGAACACCACTACAGGAGCCCAAAATTTCAATACAATCCCGAATTGCACAAGACTCCAACGCCGGCCGTCCATCATAACCTATGCAAAGAACCCTGTCTCCCCGCCATGCCGTTGGCCGGCCCCTTGGTCGTGAAAGCGCCAAGTCCCCCTCACGTCTTCGCCTCTAGTTGGAAAGGACGGTCCGCACGAGCTCTGCGTGGAAAGGCGTCAGCATTGCACCAGTTGCATACCGTGTGATTGCCCATACCTGTGTAGTTCACCTGCCCGGAGCTGGTATCAACAGCCTTGAGCAGCTCGTCCACCTCCTCTTCCGTCATCTTCTCGCCCAAGTTCGTCAGGATGTACTTGAGCTGGCCCACGCCGATAAAGCCGGTCATGTCTTTGTCGAATACCTGGAAGCCGCGGCAGTATTCCTCGGGCTCACCGGGGTCGCGGAAGCCGCCCGGCCGATTCAGGATGCGCTGGAAGGTCTCAAAGTCAACTGGTAAAGGCAGACGTCAGTTTATGATGTCGTCGCAGACGCTCGCGCCGGTCACGGGTGACTCACATTCACCACCCACGCTCTTCTCCAGATCTCGAATCTCGGCAAGTGTTGGGTTTTGCCCGCAGGCACGTAGGAGGTCGCCGAGCTTGTCGAGAACGACGCGGCCGACGCCTCGCGTGTCGAACAGGGAGAAAGCCTCCTTGTAATTGGTTGAAGCCTGCGCGTCACGCTGGTTAGGAGCCATATCGTCTGGTTTTTGACGCTTGGAGCAGCAATGCAGCAAGTCGATGCGATGCGCATGAACAGCGGTCGGCCATCGCGGCAGCACTGGAAGCCGCAGGACCGATGCGGCAGAAACCGCAAGTGACTCGACCGCTCTTTGAAGGTAAAATTTGCGGCAATCGAAACGATTCTTGCCCTGCAGTTTACCCGTTGCTGGCCGTGCCAGGCGACGGATTCGTGCCTTCGCGCAAACAAGGGGGATTCAACCCCTCGGCGCAGGAGGTGAAACCCGCAGGTCGTTTCGGCACCGCGACAGATGGTGGGAGTAATATGGATTGCACTTACCATTGTTTTGGGTATGGAAATGGGCCTTGCAAAGAATGCAAATAGTGGGAGCGAGGATAAGACAGGCGGCAGAGCAATCTACTGGCAGAAATGGCGGGGATGTCACAGTTGTCGAGTCGAAGAGTGAGAAGGGAGGTGTGCCCCGCACACCCGGACCCAGATGTTGTCTTGCCCAGCTTTCACCAGGGCAACGGCAGCACAGTTCCCGCAACCCGCGCTGTCTTAGCCACATCTTTATACCTTAGTCAGCGAGACCTGAGCCACCATTGACCCCAGCCACAGTCTGTCACATTACATAAACCAAGGCCTCTCTAGCTGGCTCCCACTGCTCCCACTAACTAGTGGGAGCCGCTGATAAAACACGTTAAACATTATCTAAGCAGCCAAAATGGCGTAGAGGGCATGCCTTCGATGTCCTTATATGACCAACCGCATTACACTTAGTATACTAGCTTAGAGCTCAGCGTAGCCGTACTACCTAGGCCATAACCGCTTCAAACCGGCTATGTTCCCGCTTAGTACTCAATCTTGGAAATGAATTCTGAGCTCGAATTGGCTTAATATACTGGCGAGGCTCTTACGCCTCAGATCGCGTTGGCATTGGTGGTGGAGGAGGTAGCCGCGTTAGATGCATGTTTCGCTGCTTAAATAATGTTTTGTGCGTCTCTCACTGAGACGGACTCGTCAATCAGTGAGAGCCGGACCCGCTGTAGTTGGCGGCCCTACATCCGTACAGCTGTCAAGCCCAAAGGCTCCAGCGAAGATGATAAAAGAACTCCCGCCAATAACCGACGAGATGCGCCGCAGAACCCCGACAGCGGACACGGAACCAACGGCGAAACCCCTACGGATACATGCATTAAACATATGAGTGTTGATGAACTGGCCGAGTGCATACGGTAAACAGCTTAATACGAATTGGTCAGTCACCTTCTAATCAAATATTGAGGCGGCCAACTGACTAAGTGCCCAGGATTGTGGGACAACGGCGCCGGGGACTTTAGGGTGCGCTTTACAGATATCCGAGCCACTCATAAATGCCGATTCTCAGGCCGACAGCGCCGTTTGAACTCCGCACCACATATTCATGCCATTGGCGTCAAACTCTCTCTTCAATACGACTGCGCATGCTGTGCTGCCCGGTTGCCCGTAATAACGTGAGCCCGTTGAACTTGGCCCTGGAGGACCACCTCAAAAACCCGGTTTCACATCATCCGTCGGGTCTGCCTCGTGCCGGTGCATTCCATCGGCGATACATGAACTCGACATCAGCCATGGCCTCAACCGAAGCGACTTTAAGGACTTTCTTCCAGTTCCCGAAGTATGCCGTTGTTGGCGCAAGCACCAACACGGCCAAATATGGATACAAGAGTGAGCCTCTCTTTCAAACCCGCTCGGGGTCACCGGATTTCACCGGAGTACCCGACTATCCAATCCCGGACTGCCAGCGCGCGACACGGCCAGCTTTACATGCCTTCTCGTCAGGCTTAATGCATTTGCTACTGTATGGTGGCTAACGTGTGTAATCCGCGCACAGTCTTCAGGTGGTACATCACCCACGGCCTGCCCGTGACGCCCATCAACCCAGGGGCACAAGCCATCAACGTGGAGGGAACAGACTATCCGACCGTGGGCGCTCTCTCCGACCTGCAAGGGACGGAGGAGACGGGCGTCTCCTTCATCACGCCCCCTCACATCACGCTCAAGACGCTAGAGGAGGCCAAGCGACTGGGGATCCAAGCCATCTTCCTGCAGCCGGGGACCTTCGACGACGATGTCTTGGCCTATGCGCGCGCCAACTTCAGAACCGTTCTCGCGGGAGGAGGAGGCGCGGGCTCCGAGGGCTGGTGTGTGCTCGTTGATGGGGAGCGGGGTTTGGCCGCCGCTGGCAAGCTGTGAGCTTTGAGGGGTGCAGGAAGGGAAATGGATGGGCAATGCTTGAGCTTGGCAGTGCGAGAACAATCATCCATAATTGGACAATCACATACGGCAATGAGCACTCCATCCCTACCTTATGAGTGTCAGTTGCTTGATGTGCATAAGGCGCCCCGAGAAACAATTTTGCTGAGAAGAGCATGAGAGGTAGATTATTCAAGGTAGCTCGGACGGAAAGAGCCATTGGGACTTACACGTCCCGAGGCAAGAGCTGGACGAACTGTCAAAGGACTCAAACGGATACAGGCAGCTGAACAATGTATTTAAGACGGATTTTACAATCTCTCTGGCAGTTTGGTTTGAGCTTTTCTAGTTCGACTGCGCCTGTCATGGCGTTCGTGAGTGTTTCGCCTCCTCCGTATGCGCCCGCGATGTCTCTATGTTGGACGTTTGCCCCCTGAGTTGACTCCCTCTCCTTCTCCCACCCTATCTAAATCACCATTCACTCTCGGACTAGGGGCATGAATGTGGTATTAACTTTTAGCAACTTTGTTTACTGCCCTTTGTCTGTAATTGCCTTTCAACTGGCTAGTTCAGGGGCCCAGTCCTCGGCAAGAACCACACAAAACACCAGAGAATGGCATCCATGGTCCTAAATAAGCTTAGGAAACCATTTCAGCACCTCCTTGACCTTGCGAACACAATGTAGACATCCCCGCGCTGCCCAATAACCCGCCGAGGGATTGCGTGACGACTGCGTGCCCTGGCAAGTGTAAGTTGTCTTCCGGGGAGATAGTGGCGAGTGGGAGCCCAAGCTTGCTCCAGAATATGGGGCTTATAACGGCACAATCCCAACCCAAGGCCGCATCAGTTAAGCCATAATGATGTACCTTTAAGAAGTACTTTATCCTCAGTTATCCCTCTTGAAACGGTAGGGAGGTCGGAGGCGGAGTCCGTTGCTCAGCGGATGAGTATCTCAAAGTTCTATCCCTTTCTCCTATGGCATTATCTTCTTCTGATCTTTTCTTCAGTGGTTCTTGAGCAGCTTGTGACATCTCTGCCGGAATATGACTGGCCTTGTGACTAAGCCCGTATTGCCCTGTGGCTCGGACTTCAGTTCACATTCTCCTAGTTTTTTGTCTTAGCTTGTTGTTTTTTGTTCCCTTATCCCTTTTACTGTTATTATAACTGCCATCATCAGGTTTTGTGTCCTAGCCTTGCTTCTTGTATACTGTATCGTTTGTTATGGCCGCTGTTCGGCCTCCGAACGCCGGATCCAGCAGGGTCCCGTGGGTGGAGGGGCAGATCCGTTTTCTCCGTATGCCCAATGCCGGCCTCCTTTTCGCTTTGATCAGGTTTCCGGTGTTACAGTGTGCTCCGGGCAGCGAGGTTGTCTCCAGATCGACATATCCAATCAGCGGTTGCGCGGCTAATGTCTTCAAGATAAGTGACAGCGGTTCGCACGCGAGAATTACCATGGGCTGATCGAGTTAAACCATCTCCCAAAAGAGGCGGCTGATCGTAAATACATTTAGGCCTGCTTCCCCTTTCCGATAGCAATCATGTCTTCGGCGCCCTCCACTTCGAGCCTGTCCCTCCATAACCATGACGGCAATCCAAAAATGCGTGGGGAGCAACTGCACTCTTGACGTCTCGCTGACCATGACCTCCCCAGCCCGGTAATTCTTTTATAGGTCTCGTCCGAGAATCCCACCCACGTCGTTGTGACTACAATCTCGTCTTACTGCAACAAGCCAGCCAGCGGGCGCGCCGGCGGGAATGGAGGAAGAAAAGATGGCCGAGGCAAGGAGGCGGAGGGTTTGGCGGTGAGGGCAGACGACCCCCGGCGGTGTGGACGGCGCCCGCGACGGGGTTACCCAAGATGGCAGGTCGGGCGGGAGCGGCACGGGAGACGGCGGCCGCACCCGGACCGGCAGTCCCACTCCCCCATGGAAGTAAAAGCAACACCGGGCCAAGAATCCCGAGGACTTTCACGCGATTGACCCCGCCGAGTCACCCAGCAATTAGCACCCACTAGTCCACGTTCTCCGGGGACAGCGACTGCCCAAGGAGCGAGCCAACTGGGTGTACGTCCAGTCCGCCTGGCTTATCCCAGTCTCCGTCATCGGGCACTACCCCGGCACTCCGCCAGAGTATATATGCCCCAGCTGAAAACCGAGAGCCTCGAGCATGTCAAGCGACACTCTGCCGTCAGGTGGCGGAACTGGAGCGAGATCCAAGCCAGACTCGTCGCCCTGAAGGCATCGCAGGATTCGGACTCGCGCCCAGGGACGGACTGCTCCGCCAGCCCCGACTCCACCGACCCCTCCGGCCTCGGCTCCGTCACCGACACATGCTCTCCGCCTCTGCCTCGCCCGCGCCGCTGTCGCAGAGACATGCGCAGAGAAACTCTGGGCCGGAGGCGCAAACAGCCACGAGGGCCGCAGGTGCTCCGCGCAGAGGGGTGCAGCCGAGCCAGTGGCAGCAGCTCGTGGACCGTCGGCGCTCAGTAGTTGCTTAGTGTGCGCTATTCAAGGAAAAATGGATATAAGACAATTGCCGGGGCGTTTATAGCAATGATTCTGTAAATGTGTGGTGACAACTGGCGTTGGGATTTAGGTAACGTTAACATAATTCTAGAGTGAACCTTGGGTACCTAGGTAAGGTTTTCACGTTCAGGGATTGGTGTCCGGCGGTACGACATTGTTTCTTCTAGTGAGAGGTTGGGATGAGCGTATTTAGGTTAGTTAGGCATGATTAGTTAGTCTGAAATTTTTCCTGGGTTGAGATCTGAAGCTAAAACGTTACCCCTAACTTGTAAATTGCTGCGATTGAGTGGAATATTGGAACAGACTTCCTATCACTTGCTGCCTAGTTGCGCCTACACGCTATATAATTTCAAAGTCGGCCTTAGGACCTAGAGGCTTGGAACACTTTCTGCCATTGCAACAGAACCAATTCACATGGCATGCCCGCCTCAGCTAGGTCCGACCTTACTATCCCCAAGGTTGAGTCCTAGTTCTTATGAATTCAATGTAATGGAAACCCCAGCCAGTCATCTCATGTCTTGAAGATCAAGAGTCTGCTTTGTAAGAATGTTGGGGCTTACACTCCAAATGGCGGTGTCATGGGTAGTGACAGTGTGAGGTTATATGTGCAACTCCTGGTTCGACTGGACAATTCGAACCACGGTCCCTCTTTTGAGGGTGTTACGTAGTGGTCAATTGTGCCCACCCGTGACAGGCGGGGTGGCGGAGCAGGTTGAGAGCTGAGGTGTGCCTTGGTTCAGACCGTTCAGGTTGGTTGCAGACCTAGGATAAATAGATGTCTGTAATCACGCACCTAAGGTATGTGGAAATGTGCCCTGCAGGTTCGGTCACAATTTCAAGTTGAGATACTTGAAGAATCCATTGGAGTTCTGAGAGATGAAGTAACGCGGTGACCCGTCAAGGGTCAAATCAGAAGATGGTGAAAGACGCGAAAGACAAAGGAGATTTTAAAAATGAGGATGTCGAGGATGGTGACAGTTAAGGTATAGGTGGAGAAATTGTGGCTGCCAGGGTTAGAGGTGTATATAGTGTTTGACTAGATTCTAAACATTGGATCAAACATAATGTGAGCACATATAACTCGGCGCATGCAAGTCAAACTCAGGCATAGCTTCATTGATTTGTTTGATTTATCGTCAGCATTGTTGAAGATGGAAGATATGGGTTGTGCACGGCGTACCGACAAGCGCCCGAATAAGCGTGATCACGTGCCCCATATTCACACCTTGTTCTGGATGTTTCATCTTCCAGGTTGCTTTTGCACCGGTCAGAATTTTACACAGATATCATTCGTTCCATCATTATTACTCTTAGGTTGTACACTCGGTTTTGATTTTGATTGTTGTATGATTGGTTTTTTATAAGCGATGAAAAGGTTTGAGCATTCAAGCCTTGTTTGTGTTGGACCCGCACGGGCCACTTACCTCCTGTAGGCTCTATTGTGGATTTATTTCCTCCCTTCATGTCGGCTCAAATAATCCTCCTTGCGAATTGACATAAGCTTCTACGTATCGACTTCGCAGTCAGAATCAAACGTGAAGAGCACTGACTGTTTCTGATTATAGTTCGTATATTTGGAAAGTGCTAGTTACCTTATCGGGCAAGTTTCTTAATACCTGGGCGGTTCGGTTGCACAGAATCCAACGCCCGGGTGGCAATCCAACAATGGGATCATCGCTAAATTGGTTTTACCTGTAGGCCTACAGACAGGGCTCTGAGCGCTGAGAATCATTCGAGATGGCAGATCCTGCCGAGCAACTTGAAAGTCGACAGGGCCCATTCGACCAAGCCTCAGACGCGTTACAGCCAATGCAGCCTTCGCATCGATTGAATGGGGAGCCAACCATCGTGCATTTCTCACCCGGGCCACCTGAGAGCACTGAGCTGGCCAGCGGCGCCGAGCCTACTCGTCAGAGCGTGGTCCTAAAGCCCGTTTTCAAGATGAAGCGGACTGGAACTGCCACAATGCCGCCAGCCACTCCAGTACGCGACTCGAATTCATCATGGCGCGCCATGCCGGCCACCTCCCACGGCCCCTATGGTGCCTACGAGCCGGAGCCTGCAAAAGTTTTCAGTGATATTCTTCCACCTTCTTCCACCCCAATACCGCATCCGACGCAGCACTCGGAGGCCAACTCCGCGCCCAATGGAGCACGCAAGACCAAGTATGCAACCGATGAGGAGAGAAGGAGGGCAACCAGCCTCGCCTTGAAAGGTATGCCCACTCAATGGTCGTTCCCGCGCAATGGGACCATGTGGTATTGACCAAGATGCTGCTCAGAGCGGTGGAGGACTGGCCGCATGGACATCGCCGTCAAAAAGCGGCTGGAAACCATGAGACTCAGAAGGGAAGCGGCAGCTCTGCTCGGAACGCCGGGAATCACCAAGCCGTCAGGGCCCGTAGCCAGTCTCAACCACACTCCAATGAGCTCGGCCTCCCCAAAACGTTCGGCCATCCTCTCGGGTCTCGCCGCCACCCCGCCTCACCGTGCGCGGAAGAGGTCCCTCGGCCCCGACCAACTGGCCCGTCTTACCGAGGAGAAGACGATACCCAACCAATCCACGGCACTGACACCAAACTCCGGCGCTCATACAGGAACAGAAGAGGCAAAATATCTCGTCCAGCCGCGACCAACGGCCCCTGATTTTCATATGCTCGACATCGGAGACTCCAGTAACCGCAACTTCTCATACCAGCAAGCACAACCAACATCTGCATCGGCACTGGACGATGAGGATGACCAGAGTGCAGACCAAGAATGGGAGGAGGAGGGAGATGACTTGTCAATGGATGCCTCGAGCGCCGACATCACTGAGCGTGTCAATGGCCGAATCTTAGACGAAGGCAGCGGAGATGGCTCGCACCTTGTTTTGGCTGCTCCAGATCGCCCTTACACGAGTTGGAGAGGTAAGCCTCCGATCTTGGGCAACGCTACAGTGCAGTTTTACTGACGTGCCGACCAAGATGACGACGGTTCCTTGATCAAAGCCTACGGCGCGCTCATTCCAGAAGGGTATCAGTTATCCCAAGGAACCCCTCAGCATCCATGGATCTGCCCGATCCGTACGTGCCGCAAAATATTCTCGGAGATCAAAGAGCTCGGTCGGCATTTTGTTGTAAGTTAGGTTTGACCTTGGAATTTCATGGCTGAGCTAATCACAGACAGCGACTGCACAGCGGTTCAAGGTTACATGATAATGAAGACGGCACCTTCTCGGAGCGCAGACAGACACAGTTGCGCGGCGGTGTTTCGAAACAGCCTGCTATTGTCGTTTCCCGAGGGCCAGCCGACTCCTCCGACCCGCCACCGATAGCTCCTTCGTATCCGACTTCTGTCCTTAGGCGAAGATCTTTAGACATTCTTGGTCCTCCGATATCAGAATCGGAAGCTGACGCTGACGTGAGCCTTTCAGTCACTCCAAGCCACCCACAGCTAAACCAAAGCTCCCAACCGGAGGGCGATGCGGCGGCCCTGTGGAAGTACCTGCAGCCCCATCTGGTCAAGCACAAAAGGAGAAACATCCCGACCCAAGGATGGGTCTCGCAGCTTATTACCCTTTCACGGGTTCGCGACCTAGATTGGCACTCAGAATGGCTCTCCAGGAACGTCTTCAGCGACACCCACCCCCGGGATATATCGGCCCTCATCGTCCAGGTCACGGGCGACCCCGCGCCGAAGCCCTGCAACAGATGCAGTGATGGCAAAGGACCCTTCCGCTCGTGCATCATGGTGTCCGCCAAAGCTAACAGCGGTCCGTTGAGGAATATCCTAAGTTGCGCAAATTGCTTCTATCACTTTCGCCAAACGTACTGCAGTCATAAACTTTGGGGTGCGGAACGGGCAGACCGAATCCTGACTGCGAGAGCCGACGGCATCCCACTTGGCGACTTACATGATGATGCCCTCGTTGAAGAAGAAGAGAGGCACGGCTCTTTGGAACATGATGATTCACACGCCATTGCATGGAACGGAGATAAATCGCGCGCCGAAACTCCCGGGACGGCAGGCAATGCGCCGGCCGCCATCAGCGAGGCGGAGCCGGGCAGGTTGTACACGATGTGGCCAGGTGAGTGTGATGACAGATGCTTGGAGGAATCTAGGGCTAACCACATGCCCGTGTTAGATGAAAACGGAGAGCTCACCCCAACCTTTGGCGCACTACTCCCAGCTGGCTACCAGCTCGATACCACAATTCCTGGCAGACCATGGGTCTGCCCTGTGCGCAGTTGTCGAAAGGCCCTTTGCAAGCGGGGAGACTTGGGTTTTCACTTCCAGGTATGTCAACCCGCCTCAGCTGCTCAGATGTGTGCAATTTCTGAACGTTGTACCCCAGCGTGTCCATTTCGCTGCCATTTTGAACGACAATGGCGATGGAACCTTCTCCACCAAGGGCGTCTACCGATCCAAGAGCGTCGCACCGGGAGGCAAGATCCTGATCAAAGCCCCTCCCATTGTGGTGTCCAAGGAGCCCATCGAGAGCAACAGCCCGATTCCCCAACCGCAGCTTCCCGACTATCTGGCAGCAGCGAAACCCTCTCTGTCAGCAGTCAACGACCCAGAAATGGAGCCCATGGACGACACGGAACCGGAGAGCCACGAAATGGCTGAGCTCTGGTCCTATATCCAGCCGCATCTTTTTTCGACGGTCAGCATACCCAGCTCCAGAGTCATCAGACACCTCTTGACTCTACCCAGGCGGCGAGAGATACAATTCAATACGCATCGCCGCCGCAGCGGGTTTGTCGAGGGAAAGAACGAAGACATCGCCGCGGTAATTGTCCAAGTCACGGGAGACGAAGTCTCCTCCCCGTGTAGCAGATGCCGGAAGGGAAAAGGGCTCTTCAAGGGCTGCGTGGTGGTGCCTGAACAAGCACACCCCAAAGCAAAGACACGCTACCCATGCTGTGGAAACTGCCTTTATAAAGGCAAAAGGTCGTCCTGCTCTCTGTTAAAATGGGTGGGGGAGCGGGATACGCGAGCGACAACGACCTTGGCGGCCGATGATCAAACCCCATCCGCGAGAGATCTCAGGCCAAGGCGAAGCACCACCCAATCCTCTTTCCCGTCTGCCTCTCTCCCGCGCCAACCAACCTCCTCCGCGCTTATCTCCCAAGGAACCTTCCCAGGCCAGAATGAACTTCTCGAGATGGAAGACTGGGAGATAGCACCAGGCCGCATCCGCGAAACCGCCGGTCCCTATCCCGAGAGTAAGTTTCCCTTCCGTGGCTATGTCTCTTCACCACCCCATACTGCCATCTCTGTATTCAACAGCAGTCTGACAGCTCTACCAAATGTCCAGCAATCGCTTTTTCCAAGCCGTACCTCTCCACCCCGCAAGCGGTGCCTGTCTGTGACGACGTGGCCTTCCGCGTCGACACCATCACGCCTGGCGGAGTGCTGCGCCTTGAGGTAGAAGCCAACATGACGCGGCTCCTTTCAGTGGCGGCGGGTAAAGTCAAGGTGAAGTTGGGGGACGAGGACGAGTTTGTCGTCGGCCGGCATGGCTTGTTCAAGGTCAAGCCTGGTGTGGGGTGTACTGTCAGGAACGGGCTTTACATGGACGCCGTGGTGCATACGGTCGTTTTGGCGGGATATGACTGACTGGGGCATCATAGTAATCATCCTTTTGGCGAAGAATTTGGGGACTTGATCGAAGTGGGAAGATGACACGGATACGGGGAGGTGGGATATCAATCATGATTACCTACTTTGGCTTGTCTTCTATTTCAGCATCCCGATTCGCCTTCATTACGATTCCGTTTGATAAGTCTTGAACTCTGCCAGTGCCGAGAGCAGGTCTTGCGAGTCAACTGTTCAAGCTTCTCAGGTTGAGCATGTTTCAATCGTAGACAGGACCCTCGACATGCTTATACACGCTAAACCTCCAGTTGTATAGAGAGACATAGACGGCTGACATAGCAGAGGCGGTGACGACCTACGCTGTAAGTGTAAATCTAAATCAATCAGGGTACAATACATCGAAGGTGGGAGGGCCATGGCACGCAAGTATGGGCGCAATAGTATTCAGGAAGCGACCTATTGGCCCCTTTGTCACCAATAACATATTTCCCAGCTATCTTGCACCAATTGTCGTCGTGACTCCCTGCGTTAGTAGGGTTAGCATGCATTGTCCTCGTTAGGGGTCTACGGGATCGCCACGAAAAGTCCTGGCGTGCAGAGCCGCCAAGAGCTGGAAAATTCAGCCCTGAGAGGGTGTGAACAATAGTGTAGCAACGAAGTAAAAGTAAGATTGAATTAGTTTCTAGATAAGCTAAAGTCTTTCTGTCGTTGGAAGGTGCCTTAAAGGCAAGCTAAGATGAATAAGCCATGCTAATCCAGAGGGGGCAAGTTCGACCATCGCTTGCAACCGCCATGGTGACATCATTGGGCGGGCCATCGCCTCCGAGCAACTGCATCCATTTCGTCACCGATCTGGGTCTCACCAGCTGCTCTCCTGTATATATAGTGAACAGGCCAGTATAATACATTCTCAATTTGTTCCCTTTGTATCGTCGACAAGCAACTGAAATCATTCACATATTATCATACCCAGGCCGACACACCTATCCGCATCACGAAACCCACTTAGTGTCACAATGGACAATCCCGCAGGCTCAACGAGGACCCAGCCTCAAGACTCGCACGTCGGCCCCAAGTCGACAGGCGGCAAGGCGTCGGTTACCCAGACACCTGCCAACGCCCATCTCGGCCAGAGCAAGCCCGCCGTGTTTGACGAGCAGGGGGCTATTGGCAAGCAGTTCACTGGTGAGTTCCCCCCCTTTCTCCTGTCCTCCTCTAGTTAAAAAGACCCCCTTTTTGATTGCTCGCGATGGAGAAACGCTCGCAATCGAGAAACCAGACAAGTGCTTTTGGGAAATCAAGTAGGCTGACTTATAACTATAATGGCAGCGGAGGGAGCTATCGGCGGAGTCGCACAGAAGATTGGCGGCCCGATGGATAAGGAGGGCATGATTGGCAAGCAGTTTACGACGGAGGGGAGCATTGGGGGTACGGTGCAGAACATGATGGGGGGTCAGGGCATGAAGAAATCGAACTGAGCTACTAACTTGGAGATGAAGGCGAGCACGGGTTACCAGTTTGGTTTATGAGTTTATGAGGAACGAATGTGTATAATACAAGTTATTAGAGGAATGTGCATGGGATCGGCTGTCATCCAAAGGCGCCAGTCTACTCCCATGATAAGCCAAAACCGCGGTCCGAAAGGGTAGCAGCAATGTTGATAATCCCATATACCATTCATCGTTTTCAAATAAAGCCATTTAGCTCATTTTTCGTTTGGGTCCATCTTCCATTCAGGCCAACTTTTCAATCTCAATCACCAGGCAAGCCACATGGGAGGTGCATATTCTGCGTTCACTGTGTGCACGTTGGCAGGAGTTTCCAGCTGAATGCTGATCAAGGAGTCTCTTGAGAGGGTGGAGTTCAAGTTGCTTGTGTGAGCCAAGATCTTCAAGATTCATTGGGAGTTCAGTCCACTCCATGGCCGGGGCTTTTAAGTCCGAAGACATGAGTTTATACTCCGGTGAGTCCGGACGTGAGACCAGAGGCATGAGTCATCCTCGTTCATGTAGATGTCCCTGGCAAGATGGTCCGAGGCGGTGGCTAGCTTGCAACAGAGAAGTTGCTCGTCGTCGCTGTTGCGCTGAGGGTTCAGTAAGTTCTTCCAGAGGGCTTGGGCCTGCTCGAGCGCCTACCGTAAGATCCGAAACCCCGTCGCCCTCAATCCCCGTCGCTGCCCTATTAGAGTAAGGATCAGGCCATGCATAGTTGTCAGTGACAGTCACTTCAGGTGGTGTTTGTGTTCAATGGTCGTGTTTGTGCTGAGAACTTGAGATGGAAAGGCCAGAGCCGAGAACAACTTGAAGTTGTGGAATTGAACAACGAGCAATCCCACGAAACTTAACACTTTCCACTTCCATTTCTCCACTCCTTACCACCAGTCGCAGAACTCAACCCATCGACCACATCCGAATCAACCCGCGGAACCCGAACAGCCATCTTTTTTGCATTCCTCTTCAAAATGGGCTTTGGGTGGATTCAGGACTTCAGACTAGTACAGGGGAGACAGAGGTTTTCAGTCCAGCCTTACAGGCATGGTTTTCCTTGATAATTAGTGGTAGAGGGTCCGGCGAGCCCTAGGGCATAGCGGTGTAGGAATAATAATAATAATAATAATAATAATTCGCTTCCGTACCTTTCTGTTTAGTCTAGCTCTGTGGTCTGCCCCGAGTCCGAATGTGGTGCTGAGCTCCAGGACCTGGCGCTAGGCATCGCGACCTACATTCGGAGCTCTTCCGTCTCATCTCAACAATGAAACACACAAAACACCAGCAACTCACGAAGACTTGAATAGCTACAATAGCAACTCACAGTAATCTGAATAAGAAGAATAGCATCATGTGGCATTGAAGTGGGTTTCCTGCAAATTGCAGGCGTGCACAGGCTACCCCCATCGCCTATCTCATCGCCCTTCGCCGACCATCTCCCTCCCACTTTCAACTTTCAAAAGACTCCAACTCTCGTCCTCTTCGTGCTTTTGCCCTTCTCGCTGCCCCCGGTTCCTGCCCGCCCTTTCTTTTCTTTTCCGCCTCGTCGCTGCTGAGGTGCCCTCCGCTCTCCGCCGCCTGCCTCGAAAGCGTCACCCAGGGCCTCCCACCCACTTCCGGCTCCTGCTCCGAGTCGGGTCAGCGGACGCACACCCGCACCACCTTGTTCACCATCAGGCAGTGGACGCACCACCTTCTGAGCGAGAACTCATTGATCTACGCCTGCTCCGCCCTCCGCCCTCCCAGCTTTTCTTTTCTTTCTTTTTTATCTGCTTTTTCTCTTTCTTCGCTTCACCATGTTGGCCGGTCGCGACGACGACATGATGGTCGACGAAACCGTCGGTCCCATGGTAGGCCGTCTTCCACCTGAGGCCCTGCTGCCAGCGTCTTATCACTCCTCTGGCAAGAGCGAAAGCTCTTCTGAGCTGTAATTTCTGCGTTCCTGGCCACTTTTGTCGGCCGACTGAGGTTTTTCTGCTCCGCTAAACAGCTTGGGTTTCATGATGAGGTCTGTGTCATCAAGTTTGTCGGTGCCTGTTCCTTTCATGTCCGTCGCCCGGTTGGAAACGACAAAAACCCGTCTGGTCAGAGTGGAATGCTTCCGCTTTTTTCTTGCTCTTCCTTCCTGCTCTCTCACTCAATCTGCTAGGGTTCACTCCAGCGATTGAACATACCTCACAACCACACGTTCACATTCACTGTTGGAGTCAACTCTGGCAACCTGTGGGATCTGTGGGGAGGAGAGAGCAAAAGCGTTGGCCCCGGGGGTACCCCAAGCTTGATTTGCTCCACTGCGGTGGGCGACACCGCCCGACGTTTAACAAAGGCGTTGGTCACGCCTGCGGACTCTTGACCTTCCATGTCTAACTGGTTTGAATGCCGGGAAGGGGTGACTTGCGGGGTATGCATGACTCTTCGATTCCATGGCAGTAGGGTTGCGACTACCTCAGCTTTTTGTTTTCAATCATGCGGACGGGTGCCCAGGCTGCATGCTCCATCTCTTCTACGCCGCCGCGACCTTCACCTCGACTCTCCCTACCCTCCAGGACAAGCTGAAAGTACACATAGATGCACTGGTTAGGCTGATAGCGGAGTACGGCACTCCCGAGCTCAAGGCCTGGTGTATGTGCTTCATTGTTTTGTGTTCTCTCACCCTTAACCATCCCGCCTCTTCCCAATCTCACATGCTTCAACATTCTCATAAGCTTCGCAATGCCTGCGTCATTACTTCTTCATTCGATCACTTTCTGACATCTCACGACAGCTCCAACCTATGATGGCCCACGTCAGGGAGGAAGAGAGGTAGCTGGACGAGAAGTGGAAGGAAGAAGAGAAATTCGGAGTGGGTCACAAAGCCAAGGAGGACGCGTTGTAAGCCTCCAGGCGGATGGTGATGCTGACGGACTGGGACGCAGTTTGGGTGATGGGAAATGATACCCTTTATTCTTTGCTCGCTTGGGATGGCGGGGCATGGCGCATCAAGGTACTGGGGAATGGATTGTCTGCCTTCAGGGAATTTGCAAGAACACACGACAAAAAATTCATGGGAAATGAATTGCGTTTGTTTTCGGCCATCTCACTGTGCTGCTGTTCGACAGCTCGTCTCAGTACTCGAGAGTTGCGATAACATGGATTTGAAATGATGCAAATACTGAGGCAGGGGCAAGACGCATCACACAGCAAGCTCATCAAACACCCGGACATGCCGGGGACAAGGGACAAAACAGAATCCAACCTAGCATACTCCGTATTTACAGAGTATTAAACCTATAACCACCATCACCATCCAATACTTGTTGCTTGTCAGTTGTCACCGCGATACCAGAGTCCCTTCGCAGTTCGTCTTTGATTCCGAGTTCGTACGTTACAGGCCCACAGCTGTCAACTCAACCGTTGCCAGCTGGCTGGGAACCACGCATTGCGCAGTCCAAGGCGACGGCTCCGTTTTGGTGACTCGCAAATTACCTCTTTAAACGATCACGAATCCAGCCTTCCCACATATCCGATTACCTCAAACTCCTCATTAAACCCCAAGCCTCGCAATCTCGATCCGGGGCATTCGTCCGCCAAGAACATCGATCGCTCGCCTCGCGCAACGCGTCTGCTGACCGGCTGCGTCGCGTCGTCATGTCGGCCGAGATCGCCCCCCAGGCCGTCTCGACTCCGACCCCGCCCAGAGAGCGGCATTCACTGACCCTCGACCAGCGACGCGCTTTGCGCCGCTGGGCGAGCTCGCAACCAGTGCGCCCGAGTCACAAGGCCTGCATCGACTGGTTCAAGAGCCAGTACAACCAGACCATCTCACAGTCGACCGTCTCGCACTCCCTCTCCCCCAAATACGCCCGCCTCGATGGCGACACCCAGCTTTCCGGTTCGCGCCTGCGCTTCGGCAACTGGCCCGACGTCGAGAAGCTCGTCTTGCTATGGCACCAGCAGATGGTCAACAACGGCCGGCATCCCTCTAACGAGGAGCTCGCCGAGAAGGCCAAGAACATTTTCACCCAACTCCCGCGCTACAAGGACGAGAGCCCTCCGGAGTTCTCGCCGGGCTGGATCCACCGCTTCAAGAAGCGCTACGGCCTGCTGATCCGCACTCAACGCCGCCATGGCTCCGCTCAAAACGTAGCCAACGACATCCCATACCTGGTCGACACAGTCCCCCGCTTCATGACCATCACCCCGGACGTCTCGCCAGCCGCCATCCGCGAGGCCGTCCAGCGCGTAGTAGGCGTCGAAGCCTCCCTCGCCACCTGCGCCCGCGTGCGCGACGAAATCGTCCGCCGTCTCGACACCCAGCAGCAGCAACAGCAGTCGCCCCATCCACAGCCGCCCGCGACCGCTCAAGCAGCTACCGCGGCCAACCCTCACGGCCTCCCCGTACCGCCGGCCCCCAACGGCGAACAGACCCCCATCTACACCGACGACGACCCAGAGGTCGTCCTCCAAAATGCCCTGCGCGCCCTGCAGCAGGAAGAAGCCGACGCCGAAGCCCAAGCCGCTGCCGAGCGCGAGGCGCGCGACCGCTCCGAGCGGGGTCTGCCGCCCCTGGGCGCCCTCGCGGGCCAATCCTACACGCAGCAAGCCGCGGCGGCCGTCAACGCCATGTCGATGACGCCCATCAGCGCGGCGCGCGCAAGCGTGGGCCCGCCGCCGAGCGCTGGTGCCGGCTCGACTGCCGGTAACGGCGCCCTTGGAGGAGCAGTCGGGGGTTCAGGTTCGACGACCGGAGGGGGAGCAGGAGGAGGAGGGTCGCGGTTCATTGCGCCGACGCCGACGAAGCAGGAGCTGGCGCCGGCAGTGGGTGGCAGCGGCAATGGCGAGGACCTGACGCTGACGCCCATCCCCAGCGGCGGCCCCGTGTCGGTCACGGACCGGCCGGTCCGGTGTCCGTTTTGTCTGAATCAGCGCATGCTGAGGACAATCAAGGAGGCTGTGGAGCACATGTCGACGCATGTGATTGTGTGAAGGGGGAGAGTTTTCGTTATGAGGTGTGAATGAGTGATATACACCTGCTGTTTTTCAGCCGGGGGGTGGGGAGGGTGGGTAGTGTTTGTCCGTGGCGCTTTTTCTGCCTGGTATTCGGGCTTCTTAGCCCGGCAAACTTCTATTTCCGTATCTTCTTCTGTATGACTCACTGTGTTACCGTCAAGGCGCTTTATCTTGGAAGGGGAACTCTACGAGGAGGAATCGGACGGGAAACAGGGTCAGGGTTTCACGTTTCATTTGGTATGCTTGCTTATCCACGTCTAATCAGGTAGCGAAGGGCGGGTTTGCTACTGAGGCTTCGCTCATTGCAGGCTCTACCGACAAATAGTATTGGCGGTTTTTTTTGCGGTCTGTAAGCTGCCTGTTGCTTCATTGGACCAACAGTGCTACTTATAAAGAGTAAATCATGTGTATGATTGGTGATGAATGCCGAATAGTGTGCTCTGCGCTAACCTAGGGAGTTTGAAGCGGCCTCGTCCAGGTTGGATGCGTAAGGTGGGAGCGGAGACATGAGAGGCCGAAGGCCTCCAATGGGCGAACTTTGCCGGATCACGTCAGGCCAAGCACAACCACGAAGACAACGACTGTCTCCCAACCTCTGGTTTGATTTACCACCAAGAACATCAACCCTTTCCCTAACCAAGCAACTCATCACCAGGCCCAGACACCAGGCAGCGGAAGACGACGGATTAGTAGATCGCCATGCTTGTCTCCCACGGAAACTAAATAACCCCCCATCCGACTTTACCCTGCGCCAAATATACGTATGTACGTTCATCCAGCCATCAAATCATTCATCCGTTCCCATCCCATCCCAAATTCTCCATCTTCAAGAGTCATTCCTTCATCCCAACCATCACCAGCACCAGCCACCCGTTCGTCCCATCGTCCTCGGCCATGGTGTTGGACAACCTGACACCCGCACTCGTCCCAACGCGATCCATCGTTCCAAAACGTCCCATGGAGGAGGCTGGGCGTGACAGAAGAAAGAAGATTATAGCCCGCAGTAAGATCGTCGATGGACTGGAGCAGGAAAACCGAGCCAGCCACAACTCTCGATCAAGCCTGCCGAGGAGTAAAAGCTTCGCTAAGCGTATGATGATCTCCCTCGCCCCAACCCTCCTACAATTCCATGACATGTGAGCGGTAGAGCTGGCTGGCACTTAACAATTCTGGCTGTTCCCCCCGTCCTCCGTCCGCCAGCCAGCCCCGCTCCGCCTTTAGAGTTCCCTCTCAAAACAGTAACAGCAAACAAATCGGTTGCCCATTGTTGGAGAAGAAAAGAAGAAGAAGAATAGAAATTTAGATGGAACCCAAATCGGAGAGAAGCAAAAGAAAACACCAAATACAAAGTCGGGTATACTCTGACAAAAATGAGCCATCAAAACGGCTAAAAGCCACCAAAACAACGAAGACATAAAACTCAAGACAAGCCCAAAGAAAAAAAGATGAATAACGAGGAAACGAAATAAGCCCTTTCATCTCTCTCACTCTTCCCCCATAGCTCACCACCAACCCTCACTCAACATACAACAGCAACTTCTCATTCCTCTGCAGCGCCGCGTCCAAATCGTCATTGCTCATAAGCGGCGGCTTATCCCCCGTGGCCTCGTCCTTGTACGACAGCTGGGGCTCCTCGCCGGGCGGGATCTTGAGCCTGTCGAGGATTTTGTCATAGAGGCTCTCGAACGACACATCGGCCGGCACCTTGATGGCGATCAGCTCGCCGTTGTAGCTCAGCTTGACCTTGATCATCGAGCCCGCCGTCTGCATGCCTGGCGAGAGCGACGACTGCGACGGCTGGGACAGCGACGAGACCTGGCGCGACACGGCCGCGGGCGGATGCTGCTGGGGGTCGATCTCGTAGTCGCCTTCCCTAGGGGCGAAGAACTGCTTGACCAGGTTGCACTTGGAAATGTACGGCGGCTGCGCGAGGAGGCTCTTGACGTAGCCGTCGAGGTTGTGGCGGCGGCCTTCCGTGATCGCGTCGGTCACATAGTTAACGGGACCCGGCATGTACGGAAGCGTCCGCTGCTTCTTGCCGGTCGTTCCGGCTTCGACGGGGAATTCGGTAAGGAGAGCAATCTGGAAGTCATAAAAGTCTTCGTAGTATCGGGCCAGCTCCCAGGTCCGGCCGTCCTCCAGCTCGGCTTCAATGACGAACCAGTACTTGTCCTCGGCAAAGCAGTACCTGGGAATCCGGGCGGAGACGGGCGCATACATTGGCGGCGCATTCGGTGTTGATGACGACCCGTTTGAATGGGGTGGGTGTTGTTCCACGGGGTAGGCCGCTTGCTGTGCCTGCTGTGCCTGGTGCTAATTGTGTCCGTCAGATGTAAACTGCTCATCAGCTGCAGAGCAGAGAAATACTTACCACGTTGGAGCCTGACCCCTGGCTCACTCGGCCGCTGGGTTGCTGGATGCTCATGCGCTCCATTCCTTGCTCAATCTGTTGCTGTTGAGCACCCGTCTCGAATTTTCCGAGAGTGATGCTCGAATTCTTATAGTCGGCCGCCATCTTTTTCCACTCCTCCACCTTGGGGATGCCAGCCTTCCGCACCGCTTCTTGAGGATTCGCAACGGGTGTATTAGACGCCATGTCTCGGATCTCCACGAAGGACACGGGGATCAGGCCGGGCCCGCCGAGTCTCCCAATGGGTTTAGCCACGAACCACTCGGGATTTGACTGGGCGATAACGATGATGGCCTCGCCTGCCTTGGCCTCCAGCTCGTCACCCCGTTCGGCGTGGAAGTCGTACATGACGACGCCATAGACCATGGCACCGGGCTTGCCGCCAGACTTGGAGCTTCGCTGGCTGGTGGCGGCCGTGGTCGATGCTGGTCCTTCGCCGTAGCCGGAGTCATGGTCGAGGTTTGGCGCAGAGCGTGCACTGTCTGGCTGGGACTGGCCACTGTCACGCTCGTTGCGGCCGAGCGCCTGGAAAAAGCTCACCGGCACTAGGCCACGAGCGTCAGGCAAGGCGGGATTACACGCCTCGTACCAGTCAGGGTCGTTTTCGCGGCCGATAACATGGAAAAAATCGCCGCGCGAAAAACTTAGTTCTTGAGAATTCTGTGCCGTATAGTCATAAAGTGCCCGAATGACCTGTTCCGCAACGAAAGCGTCAGCTATCCTGGCATGAGGCGAAGGAGGGTAATGAGTCGAACAGCGGAGTGTCCTATCCGTGGCCTTTTGCGGGTTCTGTAACAACGAAGAACGCACCTTTTTTGGAGGGACAATCGCGACTGCGGACTTTTGCGGGATGCTAATCTGCGGCTTGCCTTTCTCTTCTCCTTTTATGGATCTCCTCCCTATCCGTAAAGCCTTGAACATGCGCATCGCGGTTAGCGACGGACGGAAAGCAAGATCGTGAAAGACCGTGGCGAGAGCTTGATGCAAACCAGCGCCGTGGAAAGCAGAAACAACCGGGGAAAGGGTGCAACTATCTTGCGCCACCAACTAATGAAGGGTTTCGCGAAACTTCTTCCAACGGTTGGACAGGCCAGGACAGCGGGCAACTAGCGCTGCGCTGAAATCGGTGTTCCTGCCGTGAAGAGGCTGGCGCGCAAACAAAACGAAAGGGAGTGGTATTCGCTCCTGGCAGCAAAGCGACATGAGGAATGACGTACCTTCATGGTGTCAGATGTAGGCCCTCAGCGCGATTCGGATGGCAGTCGCGAAATGGAAATGAAAACGCAAGCCGAGACACGAGAGGCGAGCGGACGGTAGTTTCGCTTCGGCCGACACCTTTCCGCGTCACACCAGGCTATCGGATGGCTCCTGGATCAGTGTAACGAACGACGCGCGAACCCGCGTGGTTATTCCCCTCCTCTTCAGCTTCTGGACGCTTGGTCGTCGGGAAATCAGCGGCGAATCGCGTGTCCGATTTTAAAGCACTACTTGTGATGCCGTGCCGCGTCCGTAGCAGGACAGTTTCGCAGAGAATTGGAGCAGGTCGATGTTGTTTGACGCTCCTTCGCAGATTTTTGTGACTTTTCTGGTCGTTCTGGCGCCTTTGTTCAGGACTCGTCCGGGTCAGCGCGACCTCGTGGCACCGTTCCTTTCTCCTTCGCTCAGCCGCGTACTTTCTTGATTTTAAAAACGGTTTGTCGTTGGCGAAGTCGTTGGCGAAAGGTTTGGCCTCGCGCGCCGAGGGGTGATTGCGCAGGAGTAGGCGAAAGAGCAGGTGACTATTGTGGGCCTAATGTCCCTTGACGTTGGTTGATAAAAGGGGGGAAGATGGGAATGGGGTTGACGACAGAGGCCTGGGATTTGGTGCCAGGGCCAGGCAAGAAAATTGATGGAGGGGTGAGCCTGGGGCTTTCAGCGAAGTAAAAAGGCAGGATTGGCGGGTGGAATCAGTCCAGTGGGGAAGCCAGACAGGGATGGCCTCCATTGCCCAGGCGGGGCCAGCTCTGCTCTAGCTGTTCGGCTGATCGAGTTGACGCCGCGAATGCAGTGCGATCATCAGAATACTGAGGAAGTTCTCCGCGCAGCTAATAGACTCAAATGGGGCAATCGCATCGCGCTCTGCCGGAAGATGCAATGCATGTCAATCACGCACATGGCTCGAACTTCACTTCAGTTGGCTCATCCCACCGTTTGGTCTTGCTCTGACTCTGGCACGTGCTTGAGGTGATGTCACAGCCAGCTTGACGCAACTCTGCATCTGTTCGGTCCAGGCAGTGCATACCAGAGTACGTGTACCAGGTGCCTGGCTACATGGAACCTGATGGGGCAAGCTGCTCCTGGAACGTATGAAGGAATCAAGATCGGCATATGATATCGCCGGGCACCCTACCTGATGTTATCGACATATCAGTTGCTGCATACATCCTGGGAACTGTGTCCCACATATCCAAACTCGGGGAAAATGGCGCAAGCGTCCCTACCGAGGGTTCGGCCTGTAGCTGGTTGAAGTTAGAAGTCAGGTGCCTGTTGTTGCCTCAAACGTGAACGTCGCGTTATGTCTGCTGGGGATTTGCTTCCCAAAATTACCCAACTCCGACCTGATGGAATGATCCAGAGCAATGGTCTTGGTCATCTGTTGCAAAAACGGTTCATTATTGGTGTATTTGCCGCGCCGCCTTGAAGCTCACCGATAGGAAATTCACCTCAGATACTCAACGTCGTGGGCTATCAAAAGATGAACACTAGCCATGAGACTCTTCATCTGGGGGCAGAACGGTGCTTGTTTTCTTCCCACATCCCGAGCAGTTAATCCCGTGGCACCCCCGTGAGGTAGCCACGGTAGCTCTATCTTAGCTTTGCAAACATTGCATCGTCGCACTCACCCCGCCCGCTTGACATGGTCATTGCCGCCCTTCTAGTCGCGCGCATGGTCTCGGTGTCGGATTCGCTGGGATGTAAGAAAAGACGGCACTCAGAAGAGCCCCGCCATGGCAGTGAAGCTTGATTGAACCCTGAACTGCTTCCTTGCACAGTACAGTGCGGTCGTTCTTGGCGGGGTGATTATCGAGACACCAGACTCGCACAGCTTAACGTCAGATGAAGGCACTGCGAGACAGCAAACTTCAGAATTAAGAATTCGTATTTTCGCGTCGTCTATGTGCTACATTTTCATTCAAGCACAAACTCCCCCATCAGAGACCATCTTGACACCTCGGAGGAGCTCCACAACCCCGCGATGACGTCGTCCGCGACACCTCAAAATCCCCTCTCAACCCAAATGTGAAACCCAACAACACTTCAGCAAGGAACCTAACCTTGCCCTGCGCACACAGAAAGCGTCTTCAATGATACATCAGGTTGGTCCATCACTCCACCCCCGCAGTACCACCGAGCATCAGACTCAGAACCGAGAAAAGAAGCAATAATTCCACATTCATTCATACCCTCTGCGCTCAGCCCCTCTGGATACACTGGCCCAGCCAAACCAGTCCGTCTCGATGAGGTGGGCAGCAACAACCACCATAAAGAAAACATGAAACCGCGGCCTGAAACAGAAACCGACCGACCCTCAGCGGCGCAGTGGCTATCCTCCCGTTCACCATAACAGCATCCATAAGGTACTTTAGGGCGGCCTGTGTCAGACAAGTAATGACCTAGGGAGCACGCTAGACTCAAACGGATTAGAGGCTGAAGACGCACAGAGCATCTCCTTCAACGCCGTCCATCAGTCGTTGGCTGCGAGGCTAGGGTGAGACAAACGGGTAGCATTCTCTTGTCAGTACTAGGCTAAGTGTATATCACCCAAGGATAAGGTTCGGTGCTCCCCCAGATCACCTCCGTCAACCGACACTTGTGTACATCCATGCTCCGTAGTAAGGTTGAACCTGCCTTCCAGCCCGGACAACGACAATGTACTGTGCCTAGTCGGTGCTGAAAGGATGGGTCATCTAGCTTTAGAATGAGCCTTCAACATCAACCTCTGGCTGAACAGAAGGCGCTGCCTGTACGACTTCTACGAATGCTGTTTGGATTTGAAACCTCGGCCAATGCAGGCCCATGCAGAATGCTGCATACACAAGGATGGTACAGCCATGACAACCCCAGACGCCAAACTCCAGAACCATAGCCACTCCCATCCATTCCTGAGAATTGAGAGTAAATGCTCTATACCGGGCCCAATCCAAACGCTCCCTCCCGCGCCATGGGTATCTGGTGCGACTGGAAGCCTCTCAAAAGCAAAAGAAGCAAACCATGCGCCAAGTGGTAGGAAGCTCAACCGCCATGCGGCCGTGCGTGCTCCGGACATCGGTCGATCGGGCGCCGTTGACGAACACCAAGTCCATGAACGCACATGGACGAACGCGAACCCAGCATACAAGACCAGAGAAGTGGCTCATGTCGAGACCCGCTGTTCACCACGATTGAGACGGTTCATAGTGCACGGTGTCGATGACTGTCGATGTAGAATCGTCCCGCATTGAAGCGGCAGGCGTGCCGTTCGATGGCAGGTATCAGGAAGCTGACACGACGCGGAAAAAAACACAACAACTTTTACCGCCGACCAAGCGAGAATCGATGACGGTGTCGGAGATCATCGGGATCTCGAGAAAGACTCGACGTCCAGTAGGAGGCTAAGCCAACCACGTCGGAGGCAACGTGTCGAATTCCAAAAGGGGCGGTGGTGAAGCGGGCAGTATTCACTAGGCGAGAGAGGAGAAATATTACGTGCAGGAAGAAAAGAGGAAAGATGAGGCTGATCTGCCTGACTGCTCGATGCGATGTCCGAGCGCGAAGGCGACAAGCACCAGAACTTCATTCAGATCTGGCCCTTGATGTCGACGCGCGAGAAGGCTTTGGCGCGAGCGCCTTCAAACAGATTGTTCGCTTTGCCAGTCAAAAACATGACGGTCCCGCCGCGGTCCTGGAGCAGCTCCTGGCCGCCGTGGTCGAGAATGAACTGTGCCGCCTCGAGGTCGGATTCGAAGTAGAGCTCTTCAGTGACAAAGCGTAACGGCACGTCCGTTTTGTACCTAAGGGAGAATTAGCAACACATATACAATGAGAGGGAGTCAGGGAAACGTACGCTCTGCAAATGTTGCACAAAGCAGCAAGGCGCTCTCGGCCAACGAACATATCCATAAGATATGCGCCCATGTTGGGCGTGTCGTTGTAAAGCTGGAAGAAACGATGGTAGTTGCCCAAGGCCAATGCGGACCGCACATCAAGCGCGTGTTTGATGGCCTTGTCCTTTTTCTCTGCTGCGGTTAGATCTGCCAGAGCGTTATTCAGCTCTGTGCGGTTCGCTGTGTGAATGAAATACAGAATCCGGTAGGCCGTGAACTCGTTCGGCTTTCCCTTGAGACCCAGCTTATACAGCGCCTTGAGCTGGGTCTGGCACTGATTATACTCACCAAGATCCCCCTTCTCCAACGCAATCCGAGCATGGATTTCGTAGACTTCGACGGTGAACTCATCGCGGACGCGCTGTACTGTAAGATCCTGCCTCATGGACTTGAACTGATCGCAAATGTACGAGTAATTCTGATCCTTCTTCCACCTCTTTTTGAGAAGCTCCAGGGTTTGCCGTAAAATGTACGGAGGGCGGACTTGATCAGGCTTCGGAGCGGCAGTCAGACGCAGAAAGCGTTTTTCGAGGTTCTGGCAGGTGCCAACAACCGGGCCGTCCAGGGGCGGTGGCGTCTCCTCGCGCTGGGTCGTGTACTCTCCCTCGTGGCGTTTCAGGCGCTTGTCGGCCCTGTTGAACTTACTGCTTTGCTTAAGGGGCTCGTCGCGCTTGTCGGGTGAGAAGGAGACGCGATGTTCAAGACGACCAGGCCCATTCCGCCAGGGATATGGAGTTGCCGAAGACGAAGTGGGAGCTGCGCCGTCCGCCAAGTCCCAGGACTTCCTTTTCTTAGTGCCGGGAGCATGGGCCGGAGCCTGGGCCTGGGCCGGTTGCTTGGGCTGCAAAGTAAGCAGCGCCCGCGCGCGTTCCTCGCGGATCATGTGCTGGGGAAGTGGCATCATGTCCCAATCGAGCGTGTTGAGCACGCCCTTTTCGTTGGCCTGGGTTATGGTTTCTTTCAGCTTGGTCTCCATTTCGGCTCTTGTAACACTGGAATCAAGGTTGGCAGGAATGAAGGCGCGTTGGACATATCGGCGGACCGAGTCGGGCCAGTCAATCTTGGTCTTTGCCGGCTCCGAGGCCGCGGCAGGCGGCGGCAAGTTCACGTTCCGTGCAATATCTACTGCGCTGGGCGAGGGGGAATGAGAGGGGCCGTAAGTATGCGCCAAGGGGTAGGAAGGTTGCGGGGTGGAATAGGACTGGCCGAACGACTGTCGGACCTGCACCGCGGTGTAGGCAGGAGCTATTTGAGGCAGCAGTCAGTGTCTGTGTCCTGCGGTTTGAGCATGGCGACATGGGATCACTCGAGATGCGGCTGCATCTCGGGTGCGGCCCGAACGCGTCGACTTACCTGAGTACGAAGTTGCGTAGCCAGTCGATGACTGGGCGCCCGAAGGCGGAGCGGCTGGCCACGTTGGTAACATGCTGCTGCTCGCGTTCATCGGTTGTCGAGGAATCGAAGTCGACAAGGTCGCGGTTCCACGAAGAAGTTGTAAGCTGGAAAATTGTCCGGCGGGTTAGCGGCACCTTTAATAGGAGTGGTGGTGAACTCTCCGCGATGAGACTCGAAGGTTGATTGATGGGAGCGGTAAGTCGGGGAAAGAGGAAGTCGACAAGGAATTGGTGGAGCGCAAAAGTGTGGGCAAATCTGAAATGAGTCTGGTGGGGCTGGGCGAGGGATTTGAGCAATGAGGCAGTGCTACTTGCATGCTATTGGATAAATGCAAGTGCTTGCGGATAATTGCATCAAGCGTTCAAGCTCAGATTCATTGGCCCCGGTAACCTCTATACACGCTATGCGATATCCGCTACGTCAACCGGCTGGGTGCTCGAAGTGGTATCAACCATGGCTCACATGGCATGCGGCAAACCTTAACAAACCCAAATCAGGGACACTTGACTCTTCGTGCACTGGGACAACCTGCCCCCAACTATGACGGATGTTTTTAAAGCACATCGACTTGACAACCGCTCTGCGGCCTGCGTACCTTCCCGATGAAGATCTCCTCTTTGTCCAAGACAATGTGGGGTTGTATGAGGGGTGAGTGCCATGTTCTCATGCGAGTTCCAGCATCTCATATCCAAAGGCTGACATGATGTGCTCTTGCCAGGAAGTACAAGTTGCCTAATCATCAGAATGGCCAAGTCTACTTGACGTCGCACCGGATATGCTATGTAGACAAGGCTGAGCCGAGGAAGTATTCGGTTGCCCTGGATCTCAAGGACGTGGAACGCTTTGAGTTCTATGTACGTCCCCTTGAGTATTCTCACTTTCTCTCCAATGATATGCTGAGACGACTGTTTCCAGGGTGGGTTTCTCAAGTCCTCGGCCAAGATCACTCTGGTCCCAAAATCGACGAAGCGCGTGTCTCTCCAGCCACGGTCTCCTGGTCTCGCCGCCAGCCCGTCACGGAGTAGTACGTCCTCACCCGCTCAGCACCAAGACGGTCCGCCTCGAGTGTCCCCCGTAAAGCCACCACCCACAAGTACAGCGACATGGGTCTGTACTATCTGCAGCTTCTCAAACCCGGTTCCTTCCAACTTCGATCCCACAACTGCTACTGTGCACACACCCCTCGCCCCGTGTCTGGCATGCGGTATCAAGCCTACGTTGACCCATGTCCTGAAGGCAACGATATCCAATGCCGCCAGCAGGCAGCCCGGCAGTCCGGCACTGCAGAGCCCACTGCCGGTGCGGCCGAGGCCAGCCACGGATGTTTCGCTTGGGCCGGACCAAACTCGGGATCCATCGCCCAGAAACTCCGATCCAGATGCATCGTTCCAATGCCCTCGCTGTACCTTCCTCAACCACCCTTCCCTTTTGTCTTGTGAGATGTGCGGCGGACCGTTAATCTCACACGACCTGCCGGCCGAACTCGCACCGCAAGCCAGAACCCACACAGAGTCACCCGGGCCCGTTCTCAACGCTTTGAGCCCCGTCCCTTTTCGGATAGAGAGTCCTGACAGCATCAAACTTTCTTTTCGCGGCGGCGGCGAGAAGATCTTCTACGAAAGGCTCAAATCATCCATGAGCCAGCGCAAATGGCTTCTCCAGAGCGCTCCCCCCATCCCCAAAGCCTCCCGACCAACGAGCGACGCCCACCTCAACAGCCCAACCACCACCGGCCCAGTAACGACCTCATCCACCTCCACCGCCGTCGTCCGCCCCAAGCTCGGGGGCATCGCCGGCCTCGAGCATCACAGTCAAGCCATGCGCAAAAACAACGAACTCGTAATCGGCACGGCGTTTGAGGACCTCGAAGCGCTGATGGCCTCAGCCAAGGAGATTGTCGCGCTCGCCGAGACGTTCGCGCGCCAAGTGAAGGGTGCGTCTGGCACCTCGACGGCGAGCGAGAATGCGCTGCTCGCCGACTCGCTCAGCCAGCTGGGCCTGATCGCGACCAAGGACATCGTCGGGAGCAGCAGCTCGGCCGGCGGGAGCGATTCGTTGTACCTCTCGGAACTGTCGCGCACGCTGGCTGAGTTCTTGACGGACGACCGGCGGGGCGTGCTCAAGAAGGCGGGCGGCATCATGAGCTTGGTGGACTTGTGGGCCGTGTTCAATCGCGCGCGGGGCGGCGTCGAGCTCGTCAGCCCGGCCGACTTCGACAAGGCGGCGCAGCTATGGGAGAAGCTCGGCCTGCCGGTGCGGCTGCGAACGTTCAAGTCGGGCGTCAAGGTGGTTCAGAGCCAGGACAGGACGGACGAGACGACCATGAAGGCGCTGCTTGGATGGCTCAGGGATTTGCACAAGTCCCCGCCGGAGCGGGAGGTGCCGTGGGACTGGAGTAGGTTCGGGCGCGGGGTGACGGCGAGGGATGCTGCCGAGAGGTTTGGATGGAGTATTGGTGTTGCCGAAGAAGAGCTAGAGATGGCCGAGGAGCGGGGCATCTTGTGTCGCGAAGAGGGTATTGAGGGATTGAAGTTCTGGGAGAACTTTATTGACACTGGCGAAGGGAAGGGATACAAAGCTCCGCCGACGGAACCTGATATCATCGAGGTGTTGACGGAGGCTGGGTTTCTTTGAACTAGCACAGCGTTCACTAGGCTGGTTGTTGCGGATTAGAGAGGCATAAAGGTCTGCAGGCACATGGAGCACCCTGGGCTTGTTAATTTGAGTGGTGATATACAAAAACAATCATCTTTTCCTCATCATTACCCAGTCCTTTATATGGTCTATGAGAAGCTGCCATCTAATCCCGTGGTATCAACGCCTTTGCGAGTGCCGAATGCAACAGCAGCCCTGAACGCCCGCTACCCGGAATGTACAGAACCCAACAAATATAGACACAAAAAGTCAACCATTCACTAGCAACGCCTCAAAGCTCTTACACCAACCTCTCCATCAACGCCCTCCTGACCTTCACGTTAACAACCCCGCCCACTCCAAAAGCCGGCACGATCCTGCATATCCTGGCCGCCGTACTAACCGCCCAATTATTTCTCACCGCCGTCCACCTGTCCCGCCAGCCCCGCGCCACGCCAGGCCGGTTATAGATATCCAAGCCCAGGAGGTGCACGGGCGTGCTGAACAGTTGCACGGCCGCGGGCGCCACGAACTGTGCCACGGTCTGACCACTCGCGTAGCACTGCATCTCGTCGCTGAGGCGCTGGCTCAGCACGGGACCTAGCAGGGGCGGGACATTAAACGAGGCGAAGATGGTCATGCAGTCGCGCACCGCAAAGAGCAGGTAGCTTGGCAGGGTGACGGGGCGGGGCGTGATCCCCGGGGGCCCGAACAGGCGGACAAAGACTTGGTCTTTGTAGATGCACAGGCCGATGTTGGCGGCCGAGGAGGCAGCGAATTTGGAGGTGCCTGACGTGATGTGGGTTGCGGGGAGGGAGCGGACGGTGGAGGTGGCTGTGTCGAGGGTGTTGGCTGTCAGGTAGGTGCCGCCGTAGAGGGCGAAGATGAGGGCGAAGGGTTTGGAGAGGATGACGCGCTGCGGGTGGAGGAGGAGGGTGCGGAAGGAAGATCTCAGGGAGTCGACGAGGGACCGCCGGCCGGAGGCGTTTTCCATTATCGAGCTGAGATGGGCAAGTTGGTTAGTACGGGAATGGGGTTGAATAGGGTTCAGTGATTATGGAAGGACTACCGGTCAATGATGGATATTATCGGGGCGACGAGCACGGCGGCTGAGGCAGCGCTGATGAAGTCGGCGCCGAGCCGAAATGCCAGGTTCTTGGTGTTCCATTTCATGGATGTGCTGCTGCTGGAGTTCGGGTGTGTCGGCATAGGGATGCCCCGAGGCGACGCCGCCGTCGCCAGCTGTGAAGGCTTGACCGATTCCAACTTGAGCTGAGGCGGTGCTCTCGGGGTCTCTAATCCGCCCATGCCACTATCCTTCATACTGATGTCTCACTAGCTTTGTCCTTGCTTGATGGTGCCGTGCCCTATCACTCGGTGCCGCAGGTGTGATACGCCGGATCACAGCGCCAAGCTGTGCTGAGAAAGCAAGATGAATCGATGAAGACTGGCAATTGATGCCACGAGGTTGTGATTGCTCAGAAGATGGTGCACTGATCATTTCTCATGGATTTGCGCATCAATCTTCACTTCCGATGGCAATTGGTGAAGAATTACCCTACTGTAGTTGTTGATGCTGAGAAGTGGCCTGGGTGCACTTCGATTCCTGTTGGAGTCGCGAAGTCGAACAGGGCCGACATCGGACACGCGATAAATCCGATGATGCAGCTCATCTAGCAGCCACGTGATCCATCCAATCAGATCCATTGGGTTTCTCAAATTGATCTATGAGGAACGAAGCTTTGAAGCTCCATCATCCATTAACTATACTTTGCAGGTACAGATCAACCTTCGATTGTTTGTTAATGCGAAACTGATGTTCACCCTACGAGTTCAACATCTTCCTTCTAAATAGCAAGTTACTCACTTTCAACTTAAAGAATTTGGGCTAGAACATACGCTAAACCCATTTTTTTGTAGTGCCTTCTGTTGGCCGCGACTAAGATCGTCGCGCTATAATCCGTACCTGATGCCACGGTAGTATGCCAGACCTTTCTCTTTAATCCTCTACCACCTAGGTACCCTATCTGACATCGTGAAGCTGGGCTCTGGCTGCTGATGTTGTCACGGTACCTACCATAGATAGTTCACATGGATACAGTCAGAACCGCTGTACTGTTTCGTTCACTCCTCGTCAGGACCCCAATTCATGGATGACACTGATATGTCAAATGAGTTGCCCCTGAGAGTTACCCCTGAGCCGCCACGGTTGGTCACCTGACAGTTCGTTATTATCCTTTTATTTTCGATCGTCTTGGGTCCTCACCTTAAGACAGTAGAGCGTTTTGATGTTTGTCGACGCGCCATCTTGGTCCAAATCAAGCTCTCTCTGACGAACAGCCTTCCGTCGCTACCCCTCTAGTTGTCAACTGCAAGACAACATAGTGTTTTAATGTTCTCCAACGTACTGTCCTTGGTCCTGGTACCTCGGGATCAGAATACTATCTCAGGTGATGATAGGCCTATCATTGGGTCAAACACCTGGGTACCTAGAAGCTTGACTGGCCTCAAATAACGGAAGATGTAAAGACCCTGTCTTAGTCCACCGCTTCTCTCACTAGCCCGTTCACAGACACACCATCATCTATAGAGGCCCTTTATATCCGACCTTCTTCCCTGTTCATTTTCCTCCCCATCTTCAGCCCAGGAAAGCGGTGACTGACTTACAGAGAGGAGAACCAGCTCTCCTCTCAAGCAGTAGCAGCTCTCCACAAGCTTGTCTAACCCGACATGTCTATCCGCTATCAACCTTTCCCAGATTTTGTCCTTCATATGTTCGTTCCGTCCCAGCATCGGTTGGCCCTTCCTACAAAGAGACGTCATGATAGTGATGAGCGTGCAGATATATGGGCCGAGACATTGAGAATTGAAAAATTTGTCTTTGACAAGCTGGCTGCGCTGGTCACCATGTGTTTCCCAAGATCAAGACCACCTGCAACTTGTCCTAGTAATGTTGCCAGGGCAGCCACGTCATTCAGTTCTTGTGATTGTAGTTGGTACCCCTGCCACTCTACATTCACCTTCTCGTCGACTGCTGACACTTGTTGGTATGGTTGGCACCTACACGCACCTGCAGCTGTATGCCGGCGAGGCTGGCCTCCCGCCCCCGCCGCAGCGCCGCTCTGCTCGTCGACTGCCGTCACCTGCCGCGGCTGGTATGGCGACCGGTATCGCGGCTCGTACCGCGGTTAGTGCCCGCGTACAGCCCGTACAACGGCGACGATGCGGTGGCTTGTCCCGCCGTGATGGCATGAGTTGGTGTGTGAGCTTGACTGAAACTGACATGAATTCCCAGCCCGAATTGCGCCATCCTCTTTCTTCCTCTCTCACCTAACACCATACCAACTCGCTCGCCATCTTCACCAAGCCACAAGCAAACAAATCCACACAGCACCAAACATAACCGAGTTGTCAACCGAGATGGATGTGCCGGACGAAGTAGGCTTTTGTTTTCGTGCACTTTTGCTTCCATTATTACTATCACTTACTAACCATCACCTCCCAGCCCTGGGAGATCCCCCGTGCCGCGGCTTCCAACGAGAAGCCGCTCCCCCCCCGCGACGAGTGGACCAGCGCAGACCGGGTTCAGGGCCAGATCGACGCCATTGAGAACGACTGCGCCTACATCAAGGAGACGATAGACGTCGTCCTCCGCGACCACGACCTCTCCATGCTCCGCCAGGCCGCCACGCGCATCGAGTTCGCCCTGCGCATGTTGAGATTCGATCTTGCGAATTACGCTGCTGACCACGCCGGCGTGGTCAAGAAGCTCAAGGCTGAGCTCACGGAGACGAAGGCTGGGATAGACGGGTTGGCCAAGATGGCGAGCCACTTCGACGCGAACATGAAGGGCGAGTCGGACGCTTGGGCGGCTCGGGCGGGCGCCGCCGGCACAGACATGGATCAAGCTGGCAACACCAGCACGACCGAAACTGGGCCCCTTGGCTCTGGTCAGGTTTGTTTTGGCGGTTCAAATCGCAACGCCAGTTCCGACCGCATCGCTCGCTGGTCTGCCTTCAGGGCCCAGAGTCCTTCCGAGACGGTGAGCTCGTTCTTAGTTTTGATTTGCTGGCGAGTGTATCGTAGATTGAAAATTCTGAAGGGGCTCTGTTTACTGACTGGTTTCGGTACCGCAGACTGGCAGCCAGCATGCTACCGCGGCACCGATACCAATCCCAAGAAGATCTTTTGGCGCGCCAAGATGACCGGACCGAGATGGGCTTGACTCGGGCTGACGGATTGCGGTTGTGGACAATGGGCATTGCATGGGCATTGCCGCATTGGCATGAGACTGGCCAAGGGCCTAAGCCTGGCCCGGGATCTCTCACTTTGTCCTTCTCGTCATTGGTGCACTGGCAGAGGTAGAGCCTCAAATGGGCGGCTACTTGGGGTAGCCTTATCATCGGTGGATCCGAGGTTTTAGAGCCTTGATCGAATTTCAAATAACCAACTATATAAATCCGGGAAAGATTTCCCCGCCGTGCTGGGCTTGCTGATGGCCCTGACCCTGATGGTTGCGTTGCAGCGCCTTCCTGATAGCGTTTGGAACCACGTGTCCCTGTCTCTGAATCATGAAGTCATCCCGAAAATTGAGTTTCTTGACTTCTCCTAACACCAGTGCCTCTTTATTGACTTCAGGCGGCGGACCGGGGAATACAAAGAGAACGCCCGACAAGTTAAAAGCCTTTGACACACATAACACTTGACTACCATACCCATTGCTTTCCGCGGCCGTGGCACCAAGAGACTGCCAAACAGACCTGGCTTCCATGGCCGATCGCCCCAGAACCAAATCATTCTGATCCCACCTCACAGGACACTCCCACCTGAGCCGGCCCCACTTGCTCAACATGCCGACGTATCTCTGTGTTGAAGACTGTTAGTATGGCTCGCCATGCGAATAGGGTAGAAGAGCTAGAACAAGGCACGATAGCCATACCTTTTCATGGTACCGATAGTTATTAGGGGAATTGTTGAGGACGTAATGCATGGCAGAGTTGAGCTCGTCGATCTGAGTCCTAGGTGCGGCAAGCTAATCGAACGTGCGGCGAGGTATTCTCCAGGGCCGCGTGACGGGCACCAGTCTTTTCAGCAGCCGAACTCGTGCCCTGAGCTTGCGATCCTGGTGAAAGGCGCGCTTGACGAGACTTGTGCTGAGGCTCGGCCGAGGTGGGTCCGGCCTGGGACGGCGCGGGCTTGGCAGTCTCGGAGCGGACGGGTTTTTCCTTGGCCTTCCGGTGCTGCTTCTTGATGTCCTGATTCCGCGACATTGTGCTCGAATTGTGGTTGAGTTGATAGTGGGTAGGTTACTGTGGGAGGCTTGCGAAGTGAAAGAAAATTGAGGTGAGCGATTGGATTCTGGAAATACTTGATTCCACCAATTCCTTGGTCTTTCAGTTTTCCTGTGTTGAACGCGGGTGCCCGAGAAAGATGATGGGTCTTGGCAAGCCCGGCCCCGGTGGCAGGGTCCCGGAAAAGTGGGCCTCGGCCCTCCACATCCGCTTCCGTCCCATATACCAGGAACTCTACCTATTCAACACGAGTCAACAACACTGAACAATAGGAAACAATAGAACCAAAAGTGGAAGTAGAATAAATAAGTGGGCGCCTGCATAATTTCAGGCGTACACAGACCAACTGCCTCTGGCTATAGAAGACTGCTTTCCTCACCCAGACTCTCGCTCTTCCTTCTACCCAAAACGCATCACCGAACCCCTCCGCTCCTCTCAAATTCTCTTCTTCCGACCACTCGCCCATTCGCCCACTCGCCCACCACAACCGCCCGTCGCCACAGTCTTTGCCCGGCCGCCGTGACTTCTCACATGACCGGCAACGACGCGGTCATGAAGGGCGCCGAGCCCTCGACGCTGGGAATGGTAAGTCGTTTCCGCATCTGAGTCTTGTTGCAAGGTTTGGGTGTCAGATTCCCGCAGGAACAAGAAACCACCTGGGATGTTATCTTTAACATCCTCTTTTCGGCCGACAAACCTCTTGGGAGCCCGATTTCCGACTGTCTGGACTTGATTGCCGGACACGGCGCACAGATCACCCTCCCTGAGCGTTCCATGGCCCGCCACAGTGTGCCTCGGGGCCAACCTCGCGGACAATTCAGTGCGTTTTGCCAGGTGGTACCGCTCCTCTGCACCGCCTAAGGGGTCCTGGGTGTGTGGCTGGCGGCCGCTCTTTTGTGCTGCTCTTGTCAAGCAGCCGCGGTTTTCAATGTCTCCGTTGCCAAAAGCCTGGGGTGAGATCCTGATTAGCGCCGAAGGTTGAGTAGCGAGCTCGAGAATTTCTTCTCCGGGGGAGACGGTGCCGTGATATGACCCCTCCTTGCGTGGCAGCTTAATGGGACCTACCAGTTGGTTTGCCTGCTGATGGATGCAACCACAGATCCCACCGTTTCCTTCCAGAACCTCGCGATCCGCAACCAGGTGAGTTCAACCTTTTCCACGCTTTTCTCTTCCAAGCCTTCTTCCTTCTCTTACTTTGTCCTTTCATTCTTCTGCTTTCCCACCCTCTCTTCTTCCACACCCTGTTCCCCCCAACAACCCCTACGCCCCTCCCAACCTCTTGTCTTCCCTCATCCTCTTCCCTCTCTTCCTGCTTTTTTTTTTCTCTTTTTTCAACGAGCCTCTCAACATCGACAAATGTTGCTGCAAGTTGAGTTATATCTAATCCGGCACTGTAGGATCTGTCTGTCGCCGCCGCCGGGTCTTTGGACATTGCCACCTCGCTCGTCTCCAACCCTCTGGCGCGCATGCCACCGGCCCATGTCCTGGAGATGATCGCTAAGATGGGCAAGAACGCCAAGGCTCGGGACTTAGCGATCGCCAGCGCGGGTTCGCTTGACGCGCGAGCGGTCCTGCTGCTCACCGCCGCCTCGGTCAAGAAACTCGACGATGACCTTCGGACGGTGAACGTCACCATCTCTTTTGCGGCCGAAAATGTTGTCAATAACGAGGGTTGGATGAGATCGGTTTATTACGATCACGACAAGAAACTCCTCGTGAGTGCAAGATGCTGCTGGAGACCGTCATTGAAAATCTACATGCCTTTCTAGAAAGAGGCTCAGAAGGCAAGGGTAAGTCGCGACTCCCCTCTCACCCTCAACGCGCGCCGAGATTGCTGACATGGTGTTTATCATATTGAAAATTGAGGCCATGAAAGAAGAGAAGGACAAAGAGTACATGGCGGCAGTCAAAGCGAAGAAGAGTATGAGGACGTCGATGGGGAGGAGTGAGAATTTGCTGGCTCATGCTGTTGGGATGAGGATGATCATGTGTTCAGCGTTTGAGAGGCCATGCACCTGATACCCCGACGTTAGTCCTTTCACGAGTCATGAATTGAGCGTGCGTTTCCTGGCCTTCTGCCTCATGAGTTATCCCTTTTCCATGCCCCCCGTCGATTCGAAAACACCTGCACAGTTAGGCACCCTGAAATTGCGACACATGATTGGGACGTTGGAGGGAGAGGTATCGTGTCAATGTTCGTTCTTCGGCAAAGCTGGAGGTCCAGGCAGCATGCTCCCATTTGAACGCCCGCTATACATGTACACAGACCAGAAGTCTTCCTTGTATTCTGGCCTTCATCATCCGTCACACCAATTCTAGTGCTTTGTCGCGCCCGCCTTCTTCTCGTCCGCTTCTGCCTGCTCCATGAACTTCCTAGAGATGTGTGAGACAACACGGTTTCTTCCGGGCCGAGTGATGGGGGTTGGGGGCGTACTTGATGAAGTCGGCCTCGTCGGGGCTGGAAGCGTTGATTGGGGGAGTGGCGGGCTTCGCCTTGCTGCCGCCGACCATGGCATAGACACCGCCGAACAATCCGCCGAGAACACCCATCGCCAGCTGCAGCGCTCAGAGTGTTAGCCATTGCCCGGTCGGAACTTCGCGGGGGAGAGCGGAAAAGGACGCTCCAATTGGGGGGTGTACTGACGTAGTGAGACCCAACCTGGGTGCCAAAGATGTTGTACTTCTGAACCATTTTGACGTTTGGCAGGGACCAAGGTGGGTGATGTGTGGCTTGCAGTTTGTCGGGAGGTGACCTGGGTGGACGCGATGCGATGCTGCTGGAATCAGAAAACGTGCAAAGGGACGTTGTTGACCTCCGTTCCTGGAAGACCCGAAATTTTGCCAGAGACGGGACGACGGGGACTAGGGTTGGGTATTTCAAGAATCGCTGATTAATACCGTAAAACTGAATGGCAATTTGGCCATTGAAATACGCAATTATCAGAACTTAAACTAACCCTACTCCGGAGGCAGTACAGCCGCAAGTTAGGTTTATATACAGGCCTTCTCTTTCTGCTGACCCTAGCTACTGCGTCGACCGTGTCGGACACTACCTTAACCCTGGCTTTATCAGCTAACCCTAGACATGCTATGGCTTAAACCGGAGATTCACGGATCTAAAGGAAATGATATTCTCAATATGTGATTGTAATACTGCAATGAAAATTCCATACCCATCCCTAGACCGGGACAGCTAAGCACGGACAGCTTGGCACATCAAGGTCGGCTCCACATGCCGGGACATCTGTGATCGGAGCAGTGGGAAGAAAACTACGTCACCGAGGCCAAGAGATCAGGTGCTTGTTGACGGGAGCTTCATCCCACTCCTGATCGTCTCGACTACACGCGTACGCAGGTTTCCCGAAGACTTGTTAAATCGCGTGCGCTGAAGCGCGAAATCGAAGTTCCAGTGTTGCATCTTTTCTAAGTGAAGGTCAAATCGGTTTTCAAGCTTGTCCCGGCTTCGTCCCGACTGTACCCGATTGACCCGCGCAGCGCAAAGCCTCTCGTGTGACGGTGACAAGCTCTCGCAAACCCGACACCAAGCAGCTAATTTACATTAACTCCCCAACTGCACCATGTGGTGGCCCTGGAGTGGCGGTTCAGACAAACCGACGGGCCCAGCAGGCCCGGGGAATGAATCGGCTAAGCCCCCGCAGAGTACAAGCGCGACAGACGACCTGAAGAAGGCTGCAGCAGGCTTGGACCCTGAGAAGCTTCCCGAGAGGAAGAAGCTGCCAAACAATCTGCAGAATATCATTGAGAAGTCTGACAAAGAAGAGAGCATCTATGACGAGCTCGTTGAGGGATAGTATGTCTGCAAGCTGTCCTCCATTCTCTTGTCTACTACTAGCACAAGCTAACCCTGTCAGCGCCCCTCCGTCGACGGAATCGAACGTCCGCTACGCGGCCTACGCCTCCCGCTTCCGCACCATCCTGCTCTCCGCGCACCGCTATGTAGCCTACACATCCGACATAGGCGAGTCCTTCCGGCCGGTGGCGCACCCGTGGCTCGTCCGCGGCGCCTACGGCGTTTCATGGGCGTACATTCTGGGCGACGTTAGCTACGAGGGCTACAAGGCCTACTGGCACAACCAGCGCATCCTCAACCCGCAGATGGAGCTCACCACACGCCAGCAGCAGATCCTGGGCGTCGACATGTCCGCTATCCCAGGCTCGCCCCCCCCGGCTGCGCCCGGCACCATCCCCCCGCTTGAGGACTACCGGACAGTGATGTTGCAGCGGGGGATCTTCCAGAGCATTGCCAGCATGGGCCTGCCGGCGTTTACGATCCACAGCGTGGTGCGGTACAGCGGACGCGCGATGAAGGATGTCAAGAATGCCAGGTTACGGACCTGGGGCCCGATTGGGTTGGGGTTGTCCGTCGTGCCGTTCCTGCCGGCCATCTTCGACAAGCCGGTGGAAAATGCGGTTGAGTGGGTGTTCCATAAGGGATTCGAGGCGTTTGGTGGGCACGAGGCGGTTGGGAATGCGCCGCTTATTGGGAGGGAGAAACAGTTATCAGAGAGGCCTAAGCAGAAGAAGGAATAGCGACATTCAATATGGAGTTTCGGCTGGGACGAATCGTCGCTCATTTCATACATCCTGATAATACGACGGTAGCGTCTTAAAGGTATTGTTCACACAGAACTGGTACTGGAGCGCATCAAAAGCACTCAGCAAGTGTGACACAGTTGAATCAACCCCGCTGTCTAAGCCCCGTGCTGCTATGCAACTGTCCAAGCCCGAGTCCAGTGAACGCCGTTGCCCAATTCCCAATGCGCTATGCTGAAATGCGAAAAGACAAAAAAGCCTTCATGCCTCGATCAAATCCGGCGGCGGCCCAACGCCTCTCAACAACACGACCGTGTTCCCGCTCTGCAGAGCTGTCCCCAGTTTCTCGTTAAAATCCAATAACCTTCCCCCTTCCACATGGAACACCCTTAACCTATCCTCCTCAGAACTCGACTGGTTATTGATATTCTGCACCTGCAAACTCCTCGCGGCAGCATCCAACATCTTCCCAACCACCCAGTCCTGCGAGTAGAAAAACTCCCCCTTCGGAATCTTCGCCTTGGCCGTCGCCGCCTCCGCCTCGACGTATAGATACACCCTCTTCTCGGGCGCGATCTTGGCGTCCCCCTTAGCCGTCTTCTTTAGGTTGTTCACCGCTAGCATCTGCGCGACCTTGGGCTTCTGGCTCGACGGAGCCAACGACACCTTGGCCTGCTGCTTCTTGGCCTGGCCCCAGAGGCGGAATCTCTCGAGCGCGCTCTTGGCTCCGTCGGCGACGGCGGCCGCCTGCGCAGCCCCCGCCGCCCGCGCGCCGATGGGCGTCTTGCGCGCGCAATCGTGGTCCTCGCGCAGCCGGTGCGCGAGGCAGTAGTCGTGATTGCAGTTGCTGCAGTGCACGCCGGGCTGCAGGACCGTGCCGATGATCGTCTTGCAGGCGTCGTCGGCGCAGGGCTTTTGGGCGACAGAGTCGCGCATGCGCTTGCCCTCGCCCGCGGACTGCCTGACAAGCTCGGCCTCGCGTTTGCGCCGCGCCCAGGCGCCCGGGTTGGTGCATGCGTGGCCGTCCTCAGTGCGGTGCTCGAGGCAGAAGGTCTTGTTGCAGGACTGGCAGCGGAAGGGAAGGAAGTCGAGCTGGTTGCAGTATTCGTATTGGCAGTTGGAGCCGACGAGGCTCGCGTCGGTGCCCCTGCTGTCGACGGCGGCGGTGGACATTTTGATGTAGGATGTTTGGTCTGGGTCCGGGTCGGGGGAGGCCATGGCGGCGGCTGGGCGAGAAGGGAAGAATATATCCGGCGGATGGAGGTGGGAGTGAAGGAACAGGCAGTTACTCGTTGCGTAATTGAGGTTCTCGCCGCCGCAGAACGGACGATGTCGAGTTTGCTTACCAAGCGAGTGAAGTCGGCATGAATTGTTTCGCTGCTTGCCGTTGAGGACACTGAGGCTGACGATGGGTGGCTGGGCGTAACTGGAACGATCTCGAATGCTAACCCCTTGCACGTGGCGGGACATAGTGGGGCAAGTACTTAGCGCCGTCGATCAGGCGGAAAGTTAGGCCCACATCAGAGGAAATTGGAACCGATCTTTCGGCTTCTTTAACGTCCGGTTATCACATTGCCAATGCAATGGAAGCTGCCCAATACCCTCGCCCTTTCATCAACGTCAACTCATTAGCATCCGGTGGGCATACATTGACCGTACCAACCTCTATTTCTAATTTGCCTGAAGTTATTGTGCAGGCAACTCTCGTCTTTCCCCGCTCATTCCCGTTTGTACTTCATATGGCTGTTCGGAGCACACCAAGATGACTGTTGAGTTTGCACATCCTCCATAGTCCTCGGCTGCTGCGTTATCGGCGTCCGCTTTGCCCTCCGTTCCCTGAAGGGCAACACCAGCCAAACCGCCATGACTGCCACGAAGGCTCCACAGACCACTCCGCCGACAACGCCCCCGCGTTAGCCGCGGCATTGGACGTCGCTGTCTCGGTCGCTTGCACGGTCACCGGGACTGCAGCCTGCGACGACGCAGCGGACTTTGGGCCGTTTTTTCCCGTCAAGCGCGGAATCCCGGGCCAAGCGGCCGTCTCACCGGCCGAAGTGAAGTATGCCGTTCCGGTGAGCGAGTGGCTGGCAGTTTTGCAGTAGAACTGCATGAAGTCGTTCCCATAGCGGATTGTTCCGCAAAATGGAACGCTCGAGTTGGTGCTGGGAATCAACGGATTCCCAGATAAGGGCAAGAGTCAGTCATAGGGAGCCATAATCACTGGCATTGGGGATCAGCCTAGGCTGGGAACTAACCAGTAAGCAACCAAATACCCATTTGACCCGCCGCATTGGGATGTGAAGGGCCCCCAGGTCACTACGGTTGGGCTGGGGTTGTAATCGCAGCATAAAGTTCTTCAGTCGCAGTTGTCGTCCGAGCAGCAGCCGACCGCGTATAGGTCAGTGTTGGATTTTGCACGTGGAACTGATCGAACATTTGATCATCGCGGTGCCTTCGCCGAAGCCGCAGAGCTCCGCGATCTCTGTCATCACTGCCCGGGGCCCCAGAGTCTTTTGTGGACTCTCCAAGGGCCTTTTCGTGAGACGGTCAAAGCCTGCCATTGTCCGTCTCCAAGTCGTCCCTTGAAAGAGATGTAAATAACAAAGTCTGGTGAAGGGGGGTTATGCCCGAAGATGGACGGCGAGAAAACCACCTGGCCTCCGCTTTTCTTTTGTTTTTGATGGTGGTGCCTCGTCTTCTATGGTCGCATGATCGAGCAACCCATGCCGTAGGCTTTCACACTCAGCCCATTCCTGCCCATGCGTTAGATCATCGGCGTCATGCTTGGCTTATCTTTAGCCGCAGTTGTTCGGCATTTGGAAAAGGTGCCAGTGATGCCCAGCTTGATCGATGGCGTCCTGGTCGACGGCCCAGATTGTCATGCAGTTTCAGTTCCGAAAATGTGGTTCCAAGAGAACAATATCGATTGGTCCAAAGAAATGGGCTGAAGTTTTGGTATCTCCTAACGCACATCAATCTCGAGAGAATTTACGTGTAAGTGATGGTGCGTACCCGAGAAACCTGGCAAGCTGGCAAGAAATTTGGAAGGCCGACCGACCTCCAGTATTCGCAAGCAGCACCCTCTTCTCAGGGTTAGGTTACTCAATAACTCAAGCGCCCTCTTCGCAAAAAATGAATAGGCACACCAAAACGCAACCCACCAGACCTAAAGATGTTGAACACCACCAAAACGCAGCCAAATTAAATGATTTCGATTGCAAACTAATTACCAGTCATAGCCCCATCTAATTCTAAGCAATCCTTGAAGATCTGAGGGATGTTTGTTGACCCAGGCATTGATAGAGTCTTGCTTAACCGCAGCCCAGCCTTCAGCAAGCTCCTTGACGATTCATCATCCCAACAAGGCCTTCGTTTCACATATTGCTTAGACGATATTCAAGATATGCAATCGTACCGCGAATGCGCGACTTCTTTGGTGTAGAATAATGCAATTGGCGGCTCATTATCGATGCATTCGCCTGGTGCAGATGATAGCAGCATGGGTGTCAACGTGGGGTGTGTGGGGAGGGGAACAAGTTGATTTTTGGTGTGCCTTTTTGTTTGCAAAGGGGGCGCTAAGGTACTGTACTGCCGTACATAGGCGAGCTAGGGTCTATCTTATCGCCATGCGCAATGCCAAACTCCCCAACATCCCATCGAACTCTTAGGCCATCACCCAACATCTCGAAATCGACATGCCCCCTTATGTCCCGCGCAAGAGACTACGCGCCCATACTCCGCCTGCGAATGATCAGTCCGAAGAGAAGCAAAAGATCGAACAAAAGGGCTTGACAGCGCCGCCACGCAAGTCGACGCTGTTCGATGATCTCGACGCCAGCTCGACTCCACGGTCCTCTACACGAAATGGCTCATCGACTCTGCAGATCGACGACAGCGATGACGACGAAAGCTCTCTGACGTCTCTGTCCGATGCCGACTTTGAGGATGTCCCCGCTCCCAAGCGACAGAAGGGTTTGCCCATGGCTGCAGATGAGGAGGATGATGACGATGACGACGACGACATTGAGTTCGAGGATGTCGAGACGCCGCAAACTCCCTACTCAAATGTCCCTGTACCATCAGGCGACCTGGAGTTGACCCTCATCAGGGACACCCGGATATCCTTGGCCAACGCGCTCGGGAAGAAAGGGCCGTCAAAGCTGGAGCGCCGAATCCGAATCGCCACCCATTGCGTCCACGTGCAGCTCCTACTCTGGCACAATGCGATTCGCAACGGTTGGCTGTGCGATCCGACAGTACAAGGGATCATGCTGTCGCATCTGCCCCCGAGATTATGGGCCGAGGTCGATAGGTGGAGGAAGAACAGCGGGCTGGAAGTGCTCGAGGAGACGTCTCATGGTGGAAGGACGAAAAGAGCCTCAAAGGGAAAAGGGAAGGCCCCGGCTCGAAAATCCCGGGATTGGAGCGAGGCGTCACAACGTCTGGAAAAGGGCGCCGTCGACATGAGCCACGGGGATCCTTTGTTAAGGCTGATCAAATGTCTTTCGGCCTGGTGGAAGCAGCGGTTTCGCATTACCGCGCCTGGCCTACGCAAATGGGGGTACATGTCTCTGGAAAGGCTTGATCGGCTTACAAAAGCCTTTAAGCAGGAAGAACACGACCAGGACAAGTTCGGGGAGCGGATTCAGGGCCTGGAAGAGTTCCGTCTCTGCGCGCAGGATTGCTCGGGCAGTCGCGATGTCGGGGGCCAGCTCTTCACCGCGCTCCTTCGAGCTTTGGGGCTGGACACTCGCCTGATTGCAAGCCTCCAGCCGCTGGGCTTCGGCTGGAATAAGCTGGAGGAGGCGGATCCAGAGAGGGAAGGGCAAAGCTACGGACAAACTTCACGCAAGGAGTCGGACGATTTTCACCCGAAAAAGGGGGCTCTTGCGAAAGCAAGCATATCCAGAGCAGCAAAGGGTAACGATCGGACTTCCAGACGGAACCAGAAGGCTCAGTTGGAGGAACCGTCAGATTCTGAACTGGCAGCTTATAATAGCGATGATGACCTGGCAATCCAGATTCCACAAGCACCGCAAAAGAAAGGAAAAGTCTACGACGCCGATCTAGAGTTTCCTCACTACTGGACGGAAGTGTTGTCGCCGGTGACGCAAAAGTACCTCGCAGTTGACCCCATTGTCAAGTCCGTGGTCGCCACAAACCGAGAACTCGTGGAGTCGCTGGAGCCTCGCGGCGCCAAGGCAGACAAGACCAAGCAGGTCATGGCGTATGTTGTTGGGTTCTCCCAGGACGGAACGGCCAAGGATGTGACGGTCCGCTATCTCAAGCGGCAAATGTTGCCCGGCCGTACGAAAGGAATGCGCATCCCCATCGAGAAGATGCCGGTGTACAACCATCACGGCAAGGTCAAACGATACGACCAGTTTGACTGGTTCAGGTCCGTCATGAAGGGCTACGTCCGGGGCGACCAGAAGCACCCCATCACTAAGGTTGACGAAGATGAGGATTCTACCGATCTGCAGCCCGCAAAAGCCGAGAAAAAAGAGGTCAAAGAAGGCGAAGAAACCCTCCAATACTACAAACAATCCAAAGACTTTGTCCTCGCCCGCCATCTCAAACGCGAGGAAGCCCTCCTCCCCACCGCTCGGCCCGTCAAAGTCTTCAGAAACAAAGGCAAGTCCGCCGAGGAAGAACCCGTCTACTCCCGCAAGGACGTCGTCCAGGTCAAGAGCGCTGAGACCTGGCACAAGCAAGGGCGCGCGCCCATCCCAGGCGAACAGCCGCTGAAGCGCGTGCCCTACCGCGCGGCGACGACCAACCGCCGGCGCGAGATCGCCGAGGCCGAGGCCGCGACGGGCGAGAAGGTCCTCCAGGGCCTGTACAGCTCCGACCAGACCGAATGGATTATCCCGCCGCCGATCCGCGACGGCGTCATTCCCAAGAACGAGTACGGTAACATCGACCTGTTTGTCGAGCACATGTGCCCCGAGGGGGCCGTGCACGTGCCGTATCGCGGGGCGATGCGGGTTGCCAAGAGGTTGGGGATCGACTATGCCGAGGCCGTGGTCGACTTTGAGTTTGGGCATCGCATGGCTGTGCCGGTTATCCAGGGGGTCGTGATTGCTGAGGAGCATCATGCCAGGGTGATGGAGGAGCTGGCCAAGGATGAGGCCGAGAAGAAGAGGAAGGAGGACGAGAAGAGACGGAAGGCGGCGCTGGGAATGTGGAGGAGGTTTATCATGGGCTTAAGAATCGTCGAGAGGATTAGGCAGGACTATGGGGAGGTGCAGGAAGACGTCAATATCTTTGGACACGATCAGAGGGGGCGCATACGGCGAGGGGAGGATGCTCATGTTGAAGTGGAGGACCATGAGGATATGGGAGGCGGTTTCTTGCCGGAGGGATATGAAGAGGGGGAGGAGAAGACGACAAACCTGACCTCTGGATTCTTCCCTGTTGGAGACAATGAGGAGGACGGTGAAGATACACTCGAGGTTGATCATGGAGATGGGGAAGCCGCGCATAAACCGGCAGAGGAGCTATCCAAGTCGGTCATGAGCACGAGACCGAAACGAAAAGCAGCTACGCGAGGGAAGGTAATCAGGTCTCAACGGCGGAGGCGGCCGAATCTTCCTTCGAGTTCGGATGAAGAGGATGATGACGAGGGTGAAGAGCTCGGGGCTTCAGACGACGGGTAAGGCTGTTGCTAGCTAGCTGGTCTGTGTCATTACACGATGAGCTTGCTTGAGACGTGCGCAGCCCAGGCTTGGAGTAAGGCTCAAACGCATACAAAGTTCGCGTCAGCTCTCAGGCTCTGTGGAAGGAAATGGGCACGCATTGGCAGTCGGTTGGGATTTCGACATTCGTATTGCGTGCTACGGTACTGATGAGTCCGAGGCAGCGGGCAATGGCCCATCAAATCAGCATGGATTTGCCGAGCAGAATGACACCATCCCCGTACTGTAATTGTCTCGGCTGAGCCTCTTTTGATGGCTCTGACGATGGATGGTTCGGGCATAACCGCGTCTTATTGTGCCACAGAATGCGGGGGATGTGGTCACACCCTCCGACCTGGTCACCATAACGTCTCCCTTGCTCCATCACCAAAGACAATGAGCGACTTACCAACCCTGGATACCTACCTTAGCTATTGTGATATACTTAAATATACTGGCTAAGGCCAACAGACTTGCAAAAGGACTTGAGCAATCAGAACTGAGGTACTTGAGAATCTGGGCGTTGTCTCATTTGATACTGAACCTTTGATGGAGGGACCTCCTCGCATTTCGGAGATGCAACTACACGACAGACCCCTGCTTCGGGTGCTGTGGCCTGTGCATTTTCAGGGGATTGCTTGGGCTCCCTGGCTGACATCACCGGATCACTTTCCCGCTACTAGTACGTACTGTACCTAAAAGTAACCTCCAAGTTCCCGGTACTGTGATTCTTCAAGTGCGGCGGCCGTTGGTTTAAAATCGCCAACACCAAAACGGGCCAAAGGTGCCTTTGCTTTTTGCCTACCGGAGACACAGCCGAAGCCACCAGCTCGGATGCGAGCCTTGCGGGAGTCTGTGAAGCCAATCACAGGCCATTTGGTTGCCTTCGACAAGTCTTCAGCCAGCCTCACCGCATCTCGTCTCTGTCGTTGGAGACTTTGGGCATCACTCGAGCGCCATCCTTGTGGCTGGACCTGTTTCAATTCAAGACGTGGTTGTTTGTGGGAAGCTTATTTGGACTTCACTGCTTATTACTCCCCTGGATCCGGTGCACACTCGATCGGTCCCTCAGAACTCCTCCACTCCCGTCGAGAGACTCATAATGGCTGGTCGAGATGAAGTCATCATCATTTCTGATTCTCCGTCGCCCCCACCGCCCTGTTCGCAGCCCTTTGCCGAGGAGCTGGAGCTGGAGCTTTCTGGCGCAGAAATCAACCGCCTTCTGCAACAAGTGTAAGTGGTCATTGTGTTCCTCAGGCCTTCTTCTGTCTGTTGTGAGACCCTTCATGTTGCCCTGCCTGGTCGTCAGCAACCAAGGCCTGGCTAGATCAGACACTCCGTCGCTTTCTGGAGCTGTCCCGGGTTTCAAGCTTTCCTGAACCGCTGTCGTGCTGTCAATGACACCCATCGCCTGTGCATGCCCATCGAACCCCCGTCGAATAAGTGCGTATAGTACACCAGGACCGGACGAGACCACTCCTTGATTGTTTCATGGCTTCGAGTTCTGCGGCAGTCCTCTTCTTGCTCTCACAGCGTGAAAACGGGAATATCCGGTCAGCTCCGGCGTTTCAGCTTGAGTGGTGGAGCGATCATCTTCACTAAGAGGAAGATGAGCCTGAAGGGGAAGAGGTTCACACGAGGGCAACAAAAGTTGAAAGCCCGACAAGCCCCGCCAAAGAGGTTCACACGAGGGCAACAAGAGCTGAGAACCCAACAAATCCTGCCAAACTCCCTCCCAACGTCACCACCACAACTTTCTCTCCTGCGAACGTCGCAAACGAGACAAGGTTCAGCTCAACCGTGCTGACATACAACACAGGTCTCCCAACGAGCTAGCACTGATGCCTCCTGTGCTGCGGTCTGATTTGCCGCGAGCCGGCCATGACGATGCACTCTCCAAGTGCGAGGAAGCAGTTTTGGCCTGTTTCCCCGACATTTGCCTCAAGTTCTTGAACAGCGAAGCTGCCAAACATGATTGGGACTCGCAGCATCTCATCTCCCACCTGTTGGATGAGCAGGAACAGGGCCGACAGTACCCAAAGCAGTCCAGCCCGCTGAAACGGAAGCGGCCAGAGAAAGATGAAGTCGACGTCGAGGAGGAGGCTCGTCGAAGATATGAAAAGGCGGAACCACTAGTCGCCAAAGGTCGAGAATACATTAGGCTTCACATCAAAGCTGCGTCAGTACCACCACACTGCGCTTTGCCCTCACCACACATTCATGTCGCTATTTTCCCCACTCGGCCCTTTCTTCCTCTTTTATTCCACGTCAACCCCGCCCAGCACCTCACAAGCTGACCTTTCCACAGCCATCGCCTTCTCAAAGCGGCATTTCCCCAGAGGTACGCGGAAGATATCGAGAAACTCTTCAAGCAGCACGGTTACCAGCTTTATCCAACCTATTTGGCTCTCGATATGGCTTGTTGGAGCCCAGATGCAGAGCCTGCCAGAGTCAAGAAAGTTGGCGCTAGACGTGACCACCTCGAGGACATATTGAAGGACACTGTCATTGAGGCAGAGAAGGATGCTTTGGAGGCTTTCAACGCTGCGCGTACCGTTTGCGAGGCAAAGGCCCAAGCGCGAGCAGAAGAGAAGCAAAAGGAAGAGGAGGAGCAGGAAAACTGGGAGCGAGCCAAGGCCGAAGGGACCATCGCAGAGTGTGGCTGCTGCTTCGACGACAAACCGCTCAACAGGATGGTTCACTGCGACGGGAGCGTCTGCCACTGGTTTTGTCGGGGGTGCGCGAGACTGAACGCCGAACATGCCATCGGCCTCTCCAAGTACCAACTGACCTGCATGTCGGTCGACGGATGCGATGCGACCTTTTCTAGGGACCAGAGGAAGCTGTTCCTAGACGACAAGCTTACCACAGCCCTCGACCTGATCGAACAGGAGACTGTCCTTCGACTCTCGGGCATTGAGAACTTGGCAACATGCCCGTTCTGCCCTTACGCCGCTGAATATCCGCCGGTAGATGAGAACAAAGAGTTCCGGTGCGAAAATCCGGGATGTCGGCTGGTTAGTTGTCGCCTGTGCCGACAGGAGACACATATACCGAAGAGCTGTAGTGAGGCCTCTACGGAGCGCGGACTCTCCGCACGTCGGGCCATCGAGGAGGCCATGTCGGCCGCGCTGATTCGGAAATGCAACAAGTGTCAGCCCTCTTTCCCTTCCCCAAAGACCTCTCTGACCACGGCTAACCATGAGCATCATTAGGCGGGACTCCCTTCATCAAAGAAAACGGTTGCAACAAGATGACCTGCTCGCGCCCCGGATGCCGGAATGTCCAGTGCTACGTCTGCCACAGGTCATGCGACTATTCCCACTTTGACGACTCCAGCAGAGGCGGAAAAAAGGGTAACTGTCCCTTGTTTGAGAGTGTCGAGGAGCGGCATCAGAACGAGGTCAAAGCAGCCGAGGAAGCGGCACGCCAGAAGGTCGCCGAGGAGAACCCGGATGTGAACGCCGAGGCTCTGACTATCAACTTCTCCGACAAGGTGAAACAGGATGACGCGCGGCGCAAGGTAGCCAACCCGGGGCCACGGCGCGCTTGGGGCCCTGATCCACTAGAGTTTGATCCACTAGACTGGTTTGCAGCCCCTCCCCCGAGGCCCCTGAACCGGCCCGACTTGCTCAACGCCGCGGACCAAGACTGGGTTGAGCCACCTCCCATTCCCGCTCCGCTTCCCGTGTGGAGGAACTTCGGCCCTCCGCCCTACTGGGCCCAAGACGCTGCTGCAGAGGTAGCACGCCGTGTAGCGAATGCGCAGCCGGGGCAGCCAGCACAACGTGCCCAACAAGGGCAGCCTGGTCCGCCAGAGCTGCCAGCCGTCCAGGAGCTGCGAGCTAGGCACCAAGAAGCGGTTGAACGAGCGGGACGAGCAGCTCAGGCTGCCGTCCTCATCTTTGGGCAGGATCCTGTGGCAAATCACATGCCAGATTTTCCACCTCTTCAAATCAACAACCACGCAGATGGTCCAAACCGGCCTGGTCAGGCCGTGCCAGCACCAGCCGACGCAGCACCAGCCGTAGGGCCTATTAATCCACGGCAGCCCGCAGACGGCGGACGCGATGAGCCTCTCGCTAGAAACGACAGGTTCAGTATCCTTGCTCGAGCCAGCCGTCTCGCGTCAGCGCAGGTCGAGGACCCTCATGCTGCGCATGCTAGAGTCGTGATCAGGGCCGCAGGGCTCGGAGATAAGGTCCCAGACAACCTTGCTATCATTGAACGATTCCAGGGGGGTCGCACCGCCGCAGGGATTGCCGCTGCCCAGCAATATGCCGCCCAACGCGGCGGCGGCCATGAGAATAACCCGCAGCTGGGGGCTGCCGTCCCAGATCGGGACCCGAACCCGAATTGGCCCGCTTTCCAGTACCACGGTCCGTATCAGGCGGATGATGGTTGGCACCTCTTTCAGCCGGGCGAAGGAGGGAATTAGCAGGAGGGTATACCGCAGCCGGGCCGGACAGGGTTTGCTCGACGATCCTGATGGACTGCTCTTGTTTGTTCAACGTCTGCTCGCGGCCGGGGAGGCGCCGTGGGAAGCCGTTTATTCTTGCCGGCGGTTGGGAAAATGTCGTACAAGCGGGCCAGTTCCTGACTCGTTGGGTACATACTGCGGAATGGCCCTCTTGTCCCGTTCCTTTTCTTGGCCTTCCGTTTGTCCCCTCTTCTCCTCGGCGCGTTCCGTTTTCTTTTCTCACGCACTTTCTCATTATGGATACCCACACGGCATTATCATAGGATCTTTGGGGGCTTTTTCTGCATTTCGTATACCATTATACCATGGCTTTCGGGATCATCTTCGAGCCAGCAATTGGGGACAAATATCTGGGAGGAACGGGGAGAGAAGGGCAAGGCAGGGCATCAAGACCAATACTGATCAGCTCCTTTCTCACCTGGTTAGCGAAGGGGAAATACTAGGTAGGCGTTTGGTCTTGGTCTTGGTCTCGTGGTTGCATGATATGGGCGTTTTGAGAACTTGGTGGATCGGCGAGTGTCAGCCAGGTAGGGCGGAGCACAGGGATGCATCATATCATGGCGTTTACGGTGGGACTTAGCTGGTAGTATCCTGAGGTTTTATCTGTGTGTCCTAGGTATTTCTGGGGACGGGGCAAACGAGATTCGGGTTTCTGATTCGCATTCCCATGCGTGTGATGGGGTTTTCTTACCCGCCTGCCAGCCCACCGGTCGTCCGAGCCAAGGCGGTGTAGGGAGGCCGAGGTCAAGGCCGTGACGAAGGCGCTTCTGATGTGCATCTCAACACGAGATAACTGTATATTTTGTTTATTAAGGTATTTTAGTGTTGTACGCAACGGATGGCTTGCTGGCCTGCTTCGTGGACATGGTGGTATTGTACCTGGTAGTAGACGGTCCCTACCTTCACGCTGCAACATGCTGGATTCAACCCCTACGTAACCGCTCGATGGTGTCATGGTGCCTCATTCGGGCTCCCCACCGCGATCCATTATTTCGTGTACTCTCCGACCCTTTTTTATCGCTTTCTTTGAGGCCCCGGGATATCTCCCTCCCACCTTCACCCCTTCGTTCACCCTTGGGAAAAGACCTCGGCCGACACACGCATAACAACACCCGCTGCCTCTGCTCAACCCGCCTAACTACCTACCGTGCCCGCGCAAATTTCTCATGCCACTTGCCCCTCGCCTTGGGCGCGGCGGCGGCCGCCTCGTCCGCCTCAGGCACGAGCTCAACGGTTTCGTGGACCGTGGCGATGATGGCTAGGCCCGCGGCGGCTTGGCTGATCTCCTGTCTAACATTGTCGCGGTCACTGCTGTTGCTTGTAGGCGAGAGCAAGATGAGCGCGTTGGATGTGTTCTTCTGCCTTAGCGAGTAGGTTTTTGCGGGTGTCTTGAGCAGAGCGGCTGTTGGGGAGGGGTGGAGGGTGAGTCTAGAGGTTGGTTAGCGAGGTCAAGGTGGTGGAGGCTGAATTGGATTGGGGTGATGAAAGGACCGGGTTGTCATGAGTTTCTGTGTTGCTACATAGGCTGTGAGATGAGGGTTGTAATCGGCGTCTGCGTTGACTTACGTCGGACAGTCTTGGCTCTCGAGCAGTTCGAGCACTTCGGGAGGCAGCTCGAGAAGTTTGTATCCTGTCCCGTCAGGGCTGTGAGAAAGAAGGATTCCGGCGTGATCTTGGCTTGACATTGCTCAGGAGGTTGATTTGATCGGTTGGTTCCTGGACTTCAATTGCATGAAGAGAGCTCCACGTTGCTCCGAGGTTGAGAGTATGGACTGGAAAAAGGCCCAAAAGGGAAAGCTCCACTGCGATGGGTGGGGCTAACAGCCCACGCTAACCCGCGCTAAAGAATTGAGGCGGCCCGCTCTGAACGTGTGTGCTGTGCGATCTCAACTTACATTTCAGAAACTCGAGAGGTCCTTCTTTGGCTGGAAAAGCACCCAACCAGATCACGACCACGAGACAGTGACACTCCCCGCAACTTCTCAGGGTGCGACGGACGCTTCGATGGACAAACTGCCCGCGGAACTTATATACCACATCACCGAGTACCTCCTGGGCGACTGCGCGTTCTTCTCGATTGCTGCCTTCGCACAATGAAGCCACCTTCTATGTAGCCGCGTGCTCCCCCGGCTGTACGACAATGTCAGTCGCGTAAATCTGCAGGCGTGGCAGGATGGTCTCGTCTGGGCGGCCGAGAACGACGAGCTAGGGCCCATGAAAGCTCTACTCGAGCGCGGCGACGACCCGAATGCTCGGTTCTACTCAGCTTTGCCATTTTCTGTTCGCCAGGACGTCTTCTCCGCCCAGCGTCTCCAACGCCGCCTGTCACCCAAGCTAGATGGTCACCTCATCAACAAAATCCTCCAAGAGAAGATTGCGTTTCACTAGAGATACGTGTTGCCACGAGAGCTTTGCGACGAAGACCGCTTGTTATGGGCTTGTGAGTGACAATTCGCACTGCTGCGTTGAATTCCTCTTTACGCTTCCTGCTGACAATGTTGGAAGAGTACTTGGCCACTGTCGACGGCAACATTCCCGACTCCCTCCCGGTCCAAGACCGGAACCCCCGCCATTGGAGCGGTGATGTCGCCCTACTTCTCTAATTTGCCCGATTTGGCTGTAACGAGGGTTCAACGGACTTTCCCAGCTTTAAGGTATACTCGTGGACAGCGCTTCATGCGGCTATCAAACGTGGTAACACGCAAGCCGTCGATATTTTACTGGCCTACAGGGCAAATATGGAACGGAAATGCCAAGGGCTTTGCGACTGTCTTACCCCTACCTGTCTCTACGCCAATGAAAGCGAACAGCTTCCGGCTTGGAGCCCGTCGCATCTGGCTATCTGCTCCGGGTACGAACACGTGGTTCGTCTTCTACTGGGCCTAGGCGCCGACGCCTGGGCGGTAGGCAATGCGACCGAGGTGGCCCCAGGGCTCACCGTAGATATCCTTCCGGTTGGAATCAGTGCTGTCCATAGCGCGGCATTACAGGGTAATGTGGTTATGTGTCAGCCCCTTCTTGACCACTACGCCGCCCGTACCCTCGACGAGAGTTTTGACCGCTGCGTTTGGATCATGCGTCGCACCAGGTGCCTTGAAATGCTAGAGCGGCGAGACTCCAAGGGGCTCACACCACTCGACTACGCCATTGCCGCTGGGCACACGCGAACAACAAGTGCTTGGCTGCTGAATCAAGACGTCGATCCCTGCAGTACGTCACTCTCCGCCAACGCAGCTTTCTGGCGCCGCTCAATCACCTTTGCTTCCTCGGAAAATATCATGTTGCCAAGGTTGGCTGCACCGAATCCGATGCCCGCCTGAAGACTACATTCTCGCGCTTCAGTCATGTTTTTTTCCAGCCGTCGGTTCTGGGAGCGTTCAGTCTAAAGGCGCTGCCATCTCTCCGATATTTCCACAATGCATACATGAACTATGTAGTGTCGGGGGAGCGTCGACCGGCCGAGCCAGACAGTGACGAGGCTTTGATTAGTTTGCTAAAGCAATTACCGCAACGAGGAGCGGATCCAAGCGCCACTGTAGACCTTCCATATGAAGGGTTATCGACATTACCTGATTGACACGGAGGATGCAAACCACAATCCGCTTTGCATCTGGCGGCAAGCCGGGGGAGACGGGCAGCAGTGGAAGTCTTGCTCGGCGCTGGAGCAACAATCTCCTCCTATAGCCGCGCCTTACCGGGGACACCTTTCAATGATATCCCCGAACCCCTGGGACTTTCACTGCTGGCACTCGCCATGTTCGAACTGGTAGTGGAATGCTCCCGACCTTTGCGGCCCCATAGCTCTCCAACAAACCATCAGATTCTTGCTTGAGCGTGAGGCCTTGTTCAAAAACCCCGAAGATGATGGTTTCTACAACTGGCTAGTCACCCGACACCTCGTGACCCAACGCAAGACAGGGACACACCTGAGAAACTCGCTTTTTGCCCTTGTTCCAGCGGACAGATTCGGGCAACTTCGATGTATGGGAGAGGATCATTGAGTCAATCGCAAGGAAAGTGAGTAAGAAGCACTCTCCAGCTGCATGGGCCGCAGATGTGCTCAGGGTTGCCATCATGCATGGGAAGACAGACGAAGTATTCTCCGGCCGGTGAAGTCATTGACCTGCCTTGCACAGCATACATCTAATTTTGGCTGATACAGGCTGCAGCAGCGATACGATGTTGCGCCCTCTGACCTCACCCCTCACAAGCTCGAGTCATTGTCTCCTGTGAATTTCTGGGGGCATGAACGTTTTCGTGATGAGGCCGTGATGTCATGGATCTTTAGACTTCATCCCGGAGGCGGACATGGAAGCCATTCTCAGCAAACAACTGGCTCTGTAGCTGCCACATGTGGTTTTTAAGTATGCTGATAAGGACTCAGCGCACACCGCCGGATTCCTTGTGGAACGTGGGTTGGCAGGCAAGGGGCTCTTAATGACGAGGGCGAGGAGACATCCCAGGAAATCCTCGAAGAACGTTTTCGGCACATCTTGCTCTTGGCCATTCACCCGAAAACGAAGGATTGGGCCGCAGAACTCATTAACGTCGTCCTCAGCTGCCCCTTGAGCCTGACATGCGATTATCCGTCAAACTTGTTGGTGGCCAATAGAGAGCCTCTTGCATCCCACGTGATTGGCAATGAGAATTGGATTATTGGTGAAGCACGCCAAAATTTGGAGACAAAGAAGGCTCTAAAGCTCAATCTGTGACACCACGGTCTCCTGTATGGCGTGAAAGGGAGATGCCACTGAGGGCGGCGTCCGACTGAAGGCAACCTCGGGCTGACTATCAAGCGCGCGACTACCAAGCCCACTCTTCTACCCTGTCCCCATCGCAGTCGACCTCGTGAGAGCAGACTTGCTCGGGTGACATTCCGGGAAACTGCCGCTCCAAGTCCCGATGACGGTCTGGAGGTGCTGGCCATGGCGCTTGACAGTGGCTGGGTAGAGCCAGACCCGACAGTTGTCCAGACGATATTCGAAGACACCCCGGTCGATGTCAACGCCTTCATCCCAAGACCTGACAATGAGGAAACCAACAGCAACGGCATCCACGGCCACGTTTCCCCGCTCTATTACCTCCTCAGGACCTTCTACAACGCCCACATCATCCTGAAATATTCTCCTACCACGGCAACTAGCCACCGCATTCATAACTGTGACTGCCTCCTCATTACGCGATATACCCTCCTCGTGGAGTGTATCGGCCTCCTAATGCAGCGCGGCGCCTCGTGGCTGCAGCCCGCCGAGACATCCGGTGAGACCCCGCTGGACGTGCTGGCAGACATGCTGGACGGCGAGGCGTGTGGTGTGAAGCGGGACGACTGGGTGTGTTTCGTCAGGCATGATTACTGGGCGTGTCACAACTGGCACACGCTGCGCAAGCATATGAAGTTTGACTGGAGGGCAGGTGGTGGTGATGGTGGAGGTGTTTGGAGAATGCTGGAGGAGGGATTCAGTCCGGTTGAAGTAGGAGGGTTGGAGACACGGTGGAGTGGGAGGAGGAGTAAGAGGAGAAGGATGGCAAGAAGAAACTGAGCTGGTCTGGTCCCGTCGGGCTGAATCGCGCGGTTGATGGTGACAGCCTGGCAGCCAGCTTTGTCGCTGTCATTGAATGAGCTTGTAAGACAGCCAGTTGTCTTTCACGACACGCTTTTTTTTTTGGCTTCTTGAGCACACACTAGCAACAGCACGTATTTGATTTGGTTCCTGGTCAAAGCCTTTCAGGTTTGCTCTGCGGTTTCCCCTCTGACTTACATATATCAGTGACCACAACCGCAATACAGGAAAAGAAATTCCATGACAGCATCGCAATGGGAGACATCTCTGACAGCCGACCGCCAACTATGGGCCCCCAGCATCTGCCAGGGTGATTCGCGAGGAGTTCCTCGAGGTCCTGAGCCGCAAAGAGGCTGAGCAGCCCATGATATAGTAAGCTCTACACGAGCGGCTCTCCAGAACTAGCCCACTTCTAAGCAACAAACCGCGCTTTTAACCCATTCCCGAAGCCCCTTTAAACAAGGGACACGACATGGCTAACACAACTTAGTCAAAACCTCTGTCTCTGCGCCCAAGCGCTACCAGCACTACATCCTCCTCCTTTGGGACTGGGGCGTGACCAAGATCGTGTGCTTCGGCTTGGGCTCCTTCAGAAACACCATCTCCAACGGCGGGCCCTTCCCCCCTTACCAATACCATACCACAGACCGATACCATCAGCAAGAAAAGCCCACAGCCCGCCCCCTACCGCGACATCATCCGCGACAGCACCCTGCGAGCCCGGTTCAACGGCCGCCCCGTCGACCGCCATGACCTACTGCAGGTAATTCTCCGCAACGTGGCCGCCATCGAGATAGCGCTGAGCCTGAAGTTCTGCTCGTCGCGGCGCTGGATTGAGCATCAGATTGTGAAGCACCACTTCAAGAAGCTGGCGGCTCTTGAAGAGCTGTTGCCGGTATCGGTGGAGTCGGTGGGAGGGGAGGGGAGTGGGAATGTGAGGAAGAAGCTTGCGAAGTTGCCGCCTACGGCTGGTATGCAAGTTACGGGGACTTGGTTGATGTCCCCGTGTATCTGTGTAATCCTGAGTATACGGATGAGGATCGGGGTGCGCTGGGGAGGTTAGCGGGGGTTTTTGAGGTGGCGCATCTTCCCCCTGTGAAGATGGTGGATGCTGGTGCGCTGGAAGGGGTTGGTGGGCTTGTGGACGAGCGCACGCTGGTGTATTCCCCGGTTGTTCCGGTCTGGAGTGCTGTGCTGGGGAGGAGTCGGCCTGCGGCGGTTGTGTACATGGGTCGTTTGTAGAGGTAAGACTCCCTCATTCCTTCTGCCTTTTGTTTTGAGCCCCCCTTTTCCCTATTATTTCGTTGGAGTCTATTTGCCCTGACTTGCATATCTTTGCAGTAGTGACGTGCACATCGACGAGCTACCGCCACTGCTTGACGTCTACATCGAGTTCGAGCTGGACAAGCGAACGGCGTCGCATACCGTAGGGCCCTCTCACCTGTACATTCGCCCGGATATTATTGAGAGAGTCGAAAAGGAGATGATCGTGCCGCCATATCCGATACCGTTCCCTCAAGACTACCCGCAATTGGTATTTGGACCAGTTACGGAGAAATGGCAGTGGGAAGGTGGTCGACACTAGTAGTCGAGATCCTGGTGACGGCTTTTCTGCGAGCGAAGAGGCATAGCGATGCTCCTGACGACCCGACTCGCAACAACGTGCTGCTCAAGCGTAGGACACACAAGCAGCTCCTCGGCCACGCTGTGCCGCGCCAGCTGCCAGGTGAGCTGTTGTCGAAGCCCTCCTGACGGTCGTGGTCCGTTGATTGCTGAGCTGTTTTAATCCTTCTTGAGTTCGAATGGTCCTGTACCTATGCATTGTTTATCTTGGTTGAATTTGGTCGGACAGTCCGTGGGATGGTGTCGTCGAGTGTTTCCTTGGTACAGTATGACATCACCATCCAACACTTTGTCCGGCCAGGCCCCAACCTCCGCACGGTCGTCGATAGCTCCACGAGACAACTCGGACTATATTTGCAGTGAACTTGTGAAAACCTTCTGTGTTAATACAAACACGTTCATATGATTTTTTCTTTCAATCCTTGATGGTCTACCCTCCTTTCCCTCGTGAGTCCATTCGAATCTAACATCAACCATCAGAGTTAGGCTTTGCAATTGGGAACTTCGAGATGGAGATGAACCCGCGAAACGGGTTACCCATGAGCCTGGCTCCTGCGGCGCCCGACGTTCGAAAAAAGAATGAGTTCTCAGGAGCATGGTCCGTTTTCCCCTTCAGAACATGGCGGTCAATACCGTCCTTTTCCACGGTCTTGATGAATGTGACCATTTCTGCCGGTACCATGGCTGTCTCGGCAGGTTGTCTCGTGATCTCAGTCCTTGTGCTTCTCCCGGTTGGTCTAGTCAAGAGTGCCGGAGATGCGGTCCTATCGGTGACGAGGCCATGGAGGAGAAATGCAGACACCAGAGGCGGACAAAGGCGTTGCGTGGTCATCCTCGGGGCCAGGTACGTCGCAAAGGCGATTGCCCGGATACGGAAGTCAGAAACTAACGGCGCCGCCAGTTCTGGAATCGGCGTGGCATTGGCATTGGAGTATGCTGCCCCCAACACGCACCTCGTGCTCATTGCACGGAATCCAACCCGCCTCAACTGGGTCGCCGAGCAGGTCGAGGCAAGGGGCGCAACCGCCGCGGTGCACTCGCTGGATCTGTTTGAACCAGCCAACATCGCCAAGCTCTACCGACTGCTGGATCAAGTCGACGCCGAGGCAGGCGGCATCGACGTCGCCATCTCATGCGCCGGCGTGACCGGCCACCGCAGCGACGTCCTCGGGCCCGGTCTGGCTTACGTCCCTCCGCCCCCCGAGGTTACCACAGATGATGACTTCATCTCACCGACAACATCGGCCGACAGTGCCACAGCCAACAAACACAGTCACCCAGAAACCGCCTTTGACTCGTCCCTCTGGGGCGCCACCACCGCCTCGCGTCTCCTCCAAGTAAACGTCGCAGCCGCCCAAGCCTTTATCCTCCACACCTGGGAGCTAATGAAAGCGCGACAACTGGCTTCCTCCAGTGGCCCAGAATCAGGTTCAACCCACGACGACACCACCACCCTCAGTCACAAGAAACCCACAATCATCGTCCTCTCCTCCTCCACCGCCTTCTTCACTCCCTCCACCTTCGCCCTCTACGCATCCTCCAAATCCTACCTCTACACCCTCGTTCGTAGTTTGCAACACATTTCCTCCCCGCTCGGCATCTCCGTCCTGCCCGTCACGCCGGGATTCATGGACACGGGTATGACCGAGACCATGATCCGCGCCGGGGCGACTGTGCCACGGGCCGTGCTGGGTGATCCGCGGAAGTTGGCTCAGAAGGTCAGGAGGGTTACTGATGGCGAGGGAGGGAGCAGCGGGGCACATGGGGGAGCGGAGGGGGGCGTGGTGTTTTATCCCTCTGTGCAGGTTGTTGTCCTCTGGGCTTTGAGGGCGGTGAATCCGGTGTTAGAAACAACAGCGATGTGGGCGGCGACTGCGATGGGGGTTGCGTCCTGGTTTTGGAGTTAGGGAGTCTCATCAAGGCGTAACCTGAAGCGAGGGTTGTGATGGCGTTGGCAAGGTCATGGGGTGGTACTCGTCGAAACTCCTCAAGGGGGGGGCTAGTCGGATTGGCGATTTAGGAGCCCCGACGAGTAGGGCACCATGAGGAGAGTTGGAAAAATTCGATGATGATGGGTTGAGTTGCTTCTCTTTCAGGCATTTTGAGTTTCGAGCAGGGTTTCCTCTTGTGCTAGTGCGCGGCTCAATGTCGATAACACTGACTGTAGCTAATATGTCATAATATGATACTGCGCGTTGGGGAGATGAAGATGAGGAATTGAGCAATTGCTGGTTACATTAGAATATATTGTTGTGCAACTCGGTAATCCGTACCATGCCTACTAATCACAAGCTTGAGGAAAGAAGGGAAGTGGGTCTGAAAGCAATGGCAGTTAGTGGGGCCCTGTAATCCGTATCTAACTCCACAATTAAGGCTGAAGCTCCAGGTTGCCGTTGTACGTCACTGCTTGCCCCGCCTTGAATGGCTTCAACTTCTTGATCCTCAATCATTGAGAGCTCTTCTCAAAAATCACATGTTTAATCGATTCATCGAACCGCCATCAACAGCTACAGCTCTCACCAGACACATAGTGTGCCAGAGACACCATGGCACCCGACCCTCTTGGCCCCCCGGCCGTACTAGAGGCCATGGCAAACGCCCTGCCGACCCATGAGAAAGACGACACGACGTCCGACATGAGCAGCTCCCTCGACTGCGTTGCTCTTTTCGTTCATGCTTGCATGATCAATCTCGGCTTCAGACTGCTCGGCTTCAACGAGGATAAGAAAATTGGCGCGTGACGGACCCCGGTCCGCTACCTCTCGACTGAGGCTAACAGTATCCAGAGGCAGAATGTGCCCGCATCGCGCCCCGTTTGCCACCTCAATGGAACAGGTCTATAGGCTCGCACAGCTTCATCTACGCCCACAACCAGTCCTCGATGCAATTCGTAATACACATTGACCGTATGGGCGCCAAGACCGAAGTGCGCGGTCTGGCCAGGGGTGATGAGCGCATCGCCCGCTTCGACATCACCACCCGCGACTACATCTCCTCCTCCTCCCTGCCCCTGCGCATTAGTCTGAACCAAGTGGGCGTCGAGGACAGGAGCGACCTACCCCAAAAATTCAAGACCCTGTTCATCTCGGAGGAGCGCATCAAGGGTACGTTTTCTCCCGGGAACCTTCTCTTCTTGCCGTACACTTACTGATCAAATGGCGCAGACCTCTCCACCCTCTTAAAGATTTCCGTCATTCAACGCCTCCTGCCCTCTCTGCAAAAAGAAGGGTACACGGAATCCCCGTCAACCTCCACCCCGCATCGTCGCACCCCACCACCCCAACACAACGAACCCCCGCCTACCGGAATCCCGGCCCACCTCCCCCCACCGGCGGCTCCCCGGCCTTACCCGGCTCCGGACCCGCTCGCCGCACCCCCGCGCCATCCAATCCCCGCTGCGGACTTTACACCGCCGGATTTTGAAGATGAATATGAAGTTAATCGTCCACCGCGCGGTCCTATCCCCGTTCCCGGTGGACTCGGCGGCTTCGGCGGCCTAGGACGAGACGACCTCTACCCGGCGGGCTTAGGTCCACACGATCCCATCCGGGGTTCATTTACCGGCGGTGCTGGCGCCGGCGGGATTGGGCCGGGCGGACTACGTCGGCCTGGTGATGGTGAACCAGGAGGTTTAGGAAATGGTGGAGGAGGGATGCATCCCACGTTTGACGACCCTCTGTTTCGGGGGCCGAGGCCCGGAGGAGACGGAGATGAGACGTTTGGTGGGCAGGTGCCGCCTGGGGCGAGGTGGGATCCGCTTGGGCCTGGGGGCCAGCCAAGGTTTGGCGGCGGCCGCGGGAGGGAAGGGGGAGGGTTTGGTGGGTTTGGTGGGTTTGGCGGAGGGGATATCATCTAGTTTGTTGGCGCATTTGGGCATGTGGCGGCCGGATGAGAGGCAGGAACAAGCAGGATGTGGCGGATGATTAGTGGGATGCTGCATTTGATGCGTTGACGGGTATGGGAAGATTAAGGAAGGACAAGCACAGATTGTGGGCTGATGATGAGGATGGGGATGCTTTGCCGTCCGACTGTAAAAATAACTGTTTCCTCATGATAACGAAAAAATGACAATATGGAAGGCGAGTTACGTCGAGCGGAACGTTCCCAAATCTCCCCATGTGCTTCATGTCTCGGACGTCTGACATCTATCACAGCTCTGGGCATGAAATTCTCACTTAACAGACAGTTCACATGATACACCGAGACAGGTTCAGTATCTTTCAGGCTGGGAGACTCTGCTAAGTTTGGTTAATTTCCATTTCTTCTGTTTCCTGGGATAAACTTATGCAATAGCCCACAGCTATCATATCAACAATGCGATTCTCATGATATCCACACTCGTTGTGTTCTTCCTCTTCACTCCTGCGCGCCTCATAGCAGAGGCTTGGTAATTACTCTCACACGCCGTATTTCTCTTACACCTCAACAATCCTATTTCGTGGCCATCGACCCATGACGCACGTTCTTCCCACCTTCACCACGTATAGTCCGACTGGATCTCTTGATCATTGCGTTATTTCGGACGTCGCGGATTCCAATGCATCCGCCGCAGCATCTGCTCGCCAGCAAGCCACGAAGCCACAACCTGCCCAAAACGATGCGCAGCAGCGCGGTCCTAGTGCGCCGCCTCCTTGAGTTTGCGCCTCTCGTCCTCGGTCAGCATGCCGCACCAGTTGTGGAACTCGGCAATGTTCTCGGCGTCGGCGCGCATGAAAAAGTCAATCAAGTACGCCTGGGTCTCGTCGTCGCGTTGGCGCGAGCTGGCGCCCTCGGCCCAGCCCATCAGATCCGACTTGGTGCTGCCGAGCGCCAGGTCGAGCGTATCGTCGGGCTCATCCTCCCAGCCATCGTTGTCGCCGTCGTCGTCGTCCTCATCGGCGAGCTCCGTCGCTGCCGCGGCGGCCATATGGGCGGCTGCCTGAATGCCTGACGCCGAGACCAGTTCTTCGATCAAAACCTTGAGGATTTTGAGCGGTGCCGGGATGATGGTGTATCGGTCGGGGTCTGGGGGAAGAGCCTTAGTTGTTGAGTCGAGTTTTGGGGGTAGCGCAACTTACTCATTTTGGCCCTCGACCTGGTCATGATCCTATCCGTGTTGGCGATGATCAGGTCGCCCTTGACCATGGTTTGAGCCAAGCGTGAATCGTTCAGCGAGTACAGCTTGGACAAAGCAATGACACTTGGAACAAGTCAGCATCACATATCGCCTTGATAACCTGGAGAACTCACTTTTGCCGGATTTCATCGTAGCCCGCAAAGTTGATCGAATTTTCGAGCCACTTGCTGAGAACCACCTGCAGCCCAACCTGGCCATTGATCTGGATGTCGCTGAGGAAGTTGACAACGTCCTGGGCGCCCACGAGGGACAGCCGGGCAAAGACCAGAATCAGAGACTGGATGAACGGGGCCGCCTGGGCAGTGTCCAGACGGACAGCCACCGCTTGGAGAAGCTGCGGCAGGAAAGGGCCAAGCCTCTCGTGTCCAGCTTTCTCGACCAGTTCGGCGGCCAGACCGCCGACTTCCGACGCCGCAGTGTCCTCAATGCCGGGGCCGAGGAGGCGGTCAATGATCCTGAGGCAAACCTCAAGTCCAGACCGGCCATTCTCGTCATGCCAGCTAAACACCTGCTTATGGTCGTGCATGAGGATGTACTTAACGGCCTCGGAGCCCGGCCGCAGAATATCACCCTCGGACGAAGTCATCAAGAGATGATGGAGCTTGGGGAGGGTAGCGGCAACAAAACCGGCAGGAAGTGGCTCGGAGCCGTACTGAACGAGGAGTGAGAGAAGGTCGGCGGCCAGCTATGATGGAGTCAGTAGACGATGCAACAAGACAGCCCCGAATGAACAAACCGTGACGAGCGGGTCATCCTGAGTAAGATTCGCGACGTCAAACGTCCCAGTGATTGAGGGTAAAACTTTGCTGCAAAGGGCCGCGTAGAGGCGAGGGTGCTCCATGTCCTTGAGAGGCCCCTCATTGTCCTTGAATGTTCTGGCAATGTCTTCAAAGGTCTCGCAGACGATCAGAGTCACATGGAAATTGGCAGCGCCGTGCTTGGCAATGAGGAAGAGGAGGTCAACAGCCTTGCTGTCGGGCTGGATAGCAATCCTGGTATCCATGCTGATGGCAGTGCGGAGGGTATCAAGCAGCGTAACCAGGAGGTCATCAGCGTCTTCCAGCTCGCTGAGGTCTTTGGCCTCCAGGAAGCGCTGGATGGCGAGAACGATCGGAACCTGCCGGTCAGCTGGAACGCCACCCCTGATGAAACCCTCGACGGCCCTGACGCTGGAAACTTGCACGATCTCCGAGTCGTCTCTGGTGATGGCGTCCACGACGCTATCAACGAGACCAAGAGCTGGCTGGTACGTCTGGGCTAAGGCACCGGCGACGAGGTAGCCGCGAGCACGCAGGATCGGCTGGTCCTGTTTGATAGCGTAACTGACGAGCTCGAGGTAGGCGTTTGCAATCTCAGGAGCCACTGACTTCTCCATGTCTTGAAAGTCGTTCAAGACGATATTGAACAGGTAGAGAGCCGCTTCCCGTTTCTGCCAGCTAGCCGGCTCTCCCGTAAAAAGTGTCTTAGTGTAAGCAAACAAGCCCTCAAGAGCCCGCATGTTCAGCCACTCGCCAAGTTTGATGACCGAATCGCCGCAGGCGGTCCTGGCCGTGTAGTTAGACGAGACAGCCGTTTCCTCTGCAAGGTACAGCGATACGTCAATGTCCCACAGCCCTTCCTCTTCCTGTGTGATTTGGGAGTAGGAGACCAAAAGGCCGATGAAATCCAACACCCACGGAGTATCATGGACGGCGCCACGCGCCTCGATCTCGGCGCCGAGTTGCTTCTGCACAGGTGGTGCCCGCATGCACTGGTTGAGGAAGTCCAGCTCGTCTAGGACCAGAAAGTCGAGGGTGAAGGGGAGGCCGTCGATATCCTCGAGCCGGCTCTGGGCATCCGAGTTAATGAACAGGGACTGGTACGACGGCGCCAGTCTTGAAAGTTCCTCCCAGGTGGCGGTGAACAAGGCCAAGCTCTGCGGGAGGAGAAGAGAGGGGAAGACGCCCCGGATCTTCATGAGGGTCTTGACGGCCTGGTCCTTGAGGGCGATCGGGCCGTACCAGTCATCGGGCTGCGAGCCCGAGTCGTCGGCCAAAGGAGGAAGCGGAGACTTGATGACCTGCTCCAAGAACGGCAACCAACCGCTGAGAACCTGCTCGGCAAATGCCTTGACCTCCTTCTTGTGGTCCTCCTTGACAATGTCCATGAGGTCAAAGCAACTCCGGAAAACCAGCACGGCCAGGCTGCGGTGTGTTTGCTTGCGGTTCTCGTTCAGGGCGACGTCGTAGCAGGCCTTGATGATGTCCCGTGCCACGTTGATGAATTGCTCGTCTGTCAAGCTCTCTTCGACCAGATCTTGAAGAATTCGAAGGGCACCGTGGAGCTGGGCGTCGGTGCCGGTCGGCATGATGGCAAGAACAGACGGGAGAAGGGCGGGCCAGCGGTCGGGGAAGTCGGCCACAGCGATCTTGGAGACTACGTAGCTGGCGGCAGTGTCAGCTTGTCCGATGTCAACGCCAGACTGTGTGTGTGGGAAGGTTGAAGTTCACCTTGCCGCAACCTTGACCTTGCGCTCATCCTCGGGGCTCAGGACCAGCTCCAGAATGGCATTGCGTAGATATTCTTTTGTCGAGTCGGGGATCGGAATCTGAGGTCCACCGGTATGGGCACTGCCGGCATCGTCCGCGCCGTCGGGGGCCCAATGCTTCTCGATGAACTTTCGAAGACAGGTCAGGGCCGACTGGCGGATCTGGACGGGGGCGCCCGTGTGGGCGCCAATGCGGGCGAGCGACAAAGGGAATTCTGGATTCGACTCGGCGTGCAGGAGATCGAGCTCGGCCCGCTTGCGGGGCCCTTCAAGTTTATCCTGGGTGTTGGCCAGCAGCTGCGCCAAATGCTCATCCATCTTGCTGGGGTGCGCGTCGCGCGGCTCGAAGCAGGGCGATTGGTATTCCTTGAGTGTAACGAAGCAAACAGATGTTAACAGCGCAAGCACTCTTCGAGTCGCGTTGCTCCGAGAGCTTGTTGGGTATTGGGAGTTCGCCGAACACAAACGGCAGTGATGTGGGGTGCGAGAGACGGTCAACAAGGTGGATTCGCAATTAGCGTTGGGTTACTGTAGTTTGAACTTTCGTCTGTTTTGACGCGTACCGGCGTGCTGCGGGGTTGGTTGCAGGGGAGGAGGGGGCCGACAAACCATGGAACCCACTCAGTTTGTTTGTCAACGTAGCGGAACGCAGCTCTCTTTCAATCCTGGTTCTTTCCCTTCCATTTGTCTTCCCATACGTATAACGTTACATCTTTCTTTTCATTTTCTTCATACTGATACCTCTTCAGAATACTTGCCTATATCTTTCCTCCATCTCCGTTTCCCTTGTTTTCTTGCTCTCGTTCTTTGTTCCGTCTTTTCTTTCACGGTGGTCGAGATAGAGGCTTGCCCCAAATTGCCTTGGCAGGCAACGGCAGAACCTGGAAATAAATGATCCAGTGAGTCACATGATTTGGCGTTACAGCGGCGTCAAGCAGTCGCGTCAACAAGCCCGCGATCCGCTAACAAGAGCTATCAAGGCGGCGGGGAAAACAACCATCTTGCAGATTACTTTACCTAGGTATCAAGTTTTCAGACATAACCGCCACAATGCCACAACCAGATCCGAACCCCGGCCCCGATGTCGAGGAGAACTCCCTCTCGCTCGACCACGCGCACATCCTCCTGACTTCATTTAACTCATTCCTCACCGTTGCCATCCACAACATCCTCTACTACCGCAACATCTACCCGCCGTCCACCTTCCTCTCCACCAAAGCCTACAACCTCCCGGTGCATCAGAACCGTCACCCCAAAGTCTGCGCCTGGATCCGCGACGCCGTCGACGCAGTCGCAGTCCAGCTCTCCACAGGCCACGTCTCGCGCATCGCAATCGTCATCCACGCTCCCATGAAAATCTCCCACCCCGCTCTCAACCTCAACCCCTCAGCATCCCCATCCTCCCCAGTGCCAACCTCCTTCAGCCCACCATCCCAGTCTCCATCCCAAGTAGAACCCGCAACCACAACCCCCCCGGGCGCAGTCCTCGAACGCTGGCTCATCTCCACCCCGTCCCTGCCTGCCTGGCCAACTCCTAAATCATCCAGCAGTAACCCGCCCTTGGCCAAGGAAACCTACAAAGCAATGTCTAACTTCGCCCGGGTCCTCGCGCGCGACGCCCGTTCCGAGCAGGCCCGCGAGCGCCACCTCGGCTTGGACCCGCTCAATCCTTCCTTTGCGTGGGGCGATCTGGACGAGCAGCTGCGCGGGGCGCTGCGGCGCATGGCGAGTGTCGCCGAGGGCATGGGGCCGCTACCTGTTATGGGAAGAGAAGGCGAGACGTGTACGTTTACGGTGGCGGTGGAGTTGGATGAGGAGGGGCGGGCGCCTATTGGGGTGGGTTCCTTCGTCTTGATCTCCTCTCAACTTTTATTGCGATCCATGTAGAAGGATATTTGCTGACTGTCTGAGTAGCACCCCCAGGCTTGGATACCGTCCGAGCCAAACTTGCAGCCCAAGGGAAAAGGGAGGGAGGTGGCGGGGCAGGATATTGGTGGAGCAAAGACGCGGCCAATAAGGGCAGTCGAGGCAGGACCGTTGTTCTTCGAGTGCTGGGTCGAGGAGAGCAAGGCCAAGGAGGTGCTGATGAGGATGGGAGAGCAAGGGGCGACGCAGCATTTTTAGCTCTGCTGTCAGCCATATTGGTGGTGGTGGTTTAAACAGTCAAATGATACCCCTCAAGGAGAACCTGGTCAGAAATGGTATGCATTCACAATCATGTCAGTATTCCTGCTGCTATGCGAGCTGATACCAGGGCCAGATGAACATCGAAGTCCAAAACCCCCGCAATACACCGTGTCCGCGCCACGTCCGAGCAGCGGATCCCTAAACTAAACACATCACAACCAACAACCGATATTCCCAACACAAGACAATAATCCCACACGACCCAGGCCGAATAAGCCAAGGCAAGCCCGTCAACGCCAAACCCTCCTTTTCACCGATCCTATCACGAACCACCAGCCGGAAGAAACCAATCCCCACCCAAGCAACCCAGCGATCACCTAATTCCCCTCCCCACTGCCGCCGCCATCGCCGCCACTCGAAGTCGTAGCCCCCTTAAGAAGCATCCTCAAACTGACCATCTCCCTCCTCAACCGTGCATTCTCCTTCTTAGCCCTCGCCGCATCCTCACTCGCCTCCCTCAACCGCCCCACCAGCTCCTCCTTCTCCTCCCTCCCCTTGCCCCGGAGCGCCTTCACAATTTTGCCCAGCTCGGAGTTGAACTTCTCATACAGCAGCTCATTTTCCGCCGTAGCCTCCTTGTACAGCTGATCAATAGCCTTCACTTTGGCCTCGGTCGCCCGCAGCGTGGCCTCGACGTCGCGCTGCATGACAGCGTGCCGCTCCTCGAGCTCCCGGATCACCTGCGGCACGCGGTCCTCGAGTGCCTTGACGGCCGCCGACAGCTTGCGGATGTCGCCCGTCGCAGACCGGGGCAGTGCCGAGTTGACGCGCGCCATGTCCTCCGAGATGCGCGAGAGTTCGGATTGGAGGGACGCGTCGACCTCGTCGACGGCCTTCTTTTCCGTCTGCAAGCGCTCGCGAAGCTTCTGGGGGGATTGGAGACGGAGCTTTTGGCTGCTGCTTGGTGCTGGCGGCTTGCCGGGGCTGGAGGACGGCCGGGTCGGCGATTCTGGCGGCGGCGGCGCAGGGATGCGAGACGGGGGCGGTTTGAGGGTTGGGATTTGCGAGATCGTCATGGTTCTAGCACGCATTCTCTGCATTGTCGGCTTCTCGGCCTCGGGAGACTCGAGTGGCGGCTGGAATGGGTCTGCCTCATTCTCCTTCTGCTTGGAGGAGCGGAAGGTTTGGACTTGCGACTGGGGACTGATGGGAATTTTGGAAGGTGATGGAGGGCGCGGGACCGAGTTGAATTTCTCGGCTGTCTGCTGCCTGTTGATGCGCAGCGGCATGAGAGGCGGCTCTTGGTCGTCCTCCAAGCTTGCTGCCTCCATCAGGGACTTCAGGTCCGAAAGGGAACTCCTACGCTTCTTCTTGGCAGACTTTGGTTGGGCCGTGTCGGTCCCATCCGGCTCGCCAATAGTCTCGAGCCGGTAGGAGCTGGCAGGCCGGTGCCCGATATCATCAAATGCGCCGGCAACGGGAGGGCGGTCACGGGAGGCAGGGCGGCGCAGCCTGTTGGGTAATGTGTAATTGTGGCCCATGTCCACTGATTTGGATCTGCTGGCCTTCGACAGACTATTGCTCTCCGAACTAAGCGTCTTATTGTGCTTGCTCAGCGTGCGCCACATGGACGGCCGGTCCGTCTCCGTCTTGCTGTTTTGGCGCAAGAGCGTGTCGAATCCGAACTTCCTCCGCAGTGACGAGGTGTTGGACGTCATTGACCCCGTTATTGACTTCTGGCTGCGGCTGCTGGCGGTCAAAGACTCGTAGGGAGAACCCCCAGAGAGTAAACCTGTGGGATCTGCGGCGTCTGCCTTTTCGAAGATGCGGTCGCAGTCCTCAACCAGGCGGTCGAGAAGGTTGATGTAGGTCGATGCGCTGCCGTCGTCGACTAGCAATTCTGCAAAAGCCAGCGTCAACGCACCCCTATCGCCGTCATTATTACAGCCGTCGAGGAGGTCTGCGAGCAGCTTGATCAGGGCAGTGAAGGCCCGGCGATTCTGGGGGGCCATGTCTCCAAACAGAAACCGAACAAAGTCGGCAAAGTCACCCACAACCTTCTTGGAAGCCCGTACCTGGAGAGCCTCCAAGTGCTGCATGGTCATGACCGGCCCTATTTGCTCGCGCCAAGCGATGCGAATGAACTTTTCAAAAGCTGCGAAAATGACCTCTGTGCCAAGCTCTGAAGCAGCATCCAGGTCAAAGGGGAACTCGATGAGGCGATTGTAGAGGTCGTTGACGGCAGTCTCGTCGGCCATGCATCTGTTCAGCAAAGTGCGGCCGATGAAGTAGCCCTTGCGTGCCTGCATGTTGGCGACGTAGCCAGTGAAAGTCTGCTCGAGCCGAACCAACGGGTTCTCGGGCGGCTCTTCATCCACAGTGAGACGGGGAATGTCTCGGTCCTTTACCGAACCGGATATCACTGTGACATCTCGAGTGCTGTTGGAGCGGGTCCGCTTATGCCTGGATCCGTTGATACCCACATTGTCGACCGAGGTGCTGTTGGATGACGCAGTGTTGCCCACAAGGAAGTTTGAAAGCAGCTTTACAGGCGAGGACGAGAGGAACGATCGAGTGTTCCTCTCGGTTTTGGCGTTAATGTTGATTGCGCGCAGAACCTTGGTATAATAGGAAACCAGGGCTGGCACGAGCCTCACGTTGGAGATGCTGAACTGGGTGCTGAGCAACTGTATGATCCTGCGCGAGAGGGTAGGGAGGAAGTCCTCCAGGGCAATGTCGTCGGTGAACTTCTTTCCGTTCAGGCCCAATGTATTCATCGATACCCTGCGCATGTCGCCGCTCCGAACCTCGACCACAATCTCGACGCCGTAATGGCCGACAGGCGCCCCTTTGGTGCCTTTATCGTTGTCCAGAACGACGCGGATGGGAGCGGGCTCCCTGCGGCCCTCGATGAGCTGGTGGGCACCTTCCTGGAAGACAGCCGCGTGCAGGCCAAAGTTGTTGTCTTGCATTCTGACCGTCCGGAGCGTCCAGGTGGGATCTTCCCTTTCCTTCTCGGAGAACCTGCCTTCGATCCGCGCTTTGACAATGTCTTCGTTCCATTTGCTGGCCTTTCCCTCGTAATGATCCTGGAGTAAAAAGCACCTCGACGTCATGGCCTTGCTGGTGAAATACTCGCCAGCATGGGCACCTTTCATCTCCTGGGTCGATGTCATCCAGATAAGCCGGCCGTCAGAGGACTCGGTGAAACGAACATCAGCGAGGCTATGCCAGCCGGTAAATGCATATTCCCAACTCCCAGGTCCTCCAGCCGCGTTGGTCATGGATGCGAGCAAGCCAGCAGGCGATGGCTTGTCAATCTCGCGCAGAAAGTCTCGGCCGTTGATGCTCGAGTTTGTCCGCTTTTGGAGAATGACGATACAGTCAGAGAAGAGGAGCAAAATGCCTGGCCGGTCCGGCGCCTCCTGATTCTGCTGAACAGGGACGTACGGTGCGGCGAGCTCAAGAAAGTCGGCGGCGAGAATCAGCCGGCCGTGCGGTTGAAGGTCCGCCGGCCAATGCTCAACCATGGCGCGAAGGCGGTTTGTGACGTGGGGCTTGTCTGGAAGCGGGTCGTCCATGGAGCAGATGTTAGTAATGATGTCTCTTGCTCGAAGAAATAGCTGGAGCGCCGGATGCGTCATAGGCAGGCAGGCGACTATCTGGTCGATGAATAAGCTGTATCGTGGTAGTCGTTGTACCGGCTCAATGAGGAGCGAGCGGATGGTTTGCTCTCCTGTTTGGACAACTCGCTGACGGAAACTCGACTGCCTGTCGAGGAAGGCATTGAGAAGCTGTGGGAAGTTCTGGCTGGCGCGAATGTAGTCCTGATAACATTCGGTGAACTTGGGAAACCACTCGAGAAAGATCTTGGCCATGGCAACGGCACCGCTCGGATCCTTGCCCTTGTTGGGGCCAGCAAGTCTAATGGCAGAAAACGGAAGCTCCATGTCCCTGAGCGCTTCCTCCTCGGTCTCATCCATGACTCGTCGGAGCTTCTGCATAAAGGCCGAGTTGTTCTCGAGAATGCTGTCTGCCGATTTGGGAAACAGCTTCTCCAGGTCTTCGTCCGAGGGACTGATGCTCCCGGGCGGGCGCTCCTTCGCCTTTTGACGGAAGTCATTGGCAACGTTGTTGACGAGCTCATTCAGTTTGAGCACGTAGCGTTCCTCCGTGTCGACCAGCTCGCCCATCTTCATGCGCAGCTCCACCTTTTGGTTCTTGGAAAAGGACTTGGTCCGGTTTAGCGAGGTAGGCCGCGACGGCGCTCGCCGCAGCTTGGAGGTCGGAAGGAAGACAGGTTCTCCAAACAGCTTCACTAAGGGGCTGTACCCGCTGTACTGCCGCAAAGTCGGATCCAGTATGTCGTCCTCGTCGTCGGGAATCTCGTCGAAGTCGGCGTGTTCCAGGGGCACGATGGAGCCTGGTGGCAGGACGAGATCCATATCGACACTGCTCACGTGCTGCGTCCGCAGAGCATCTTCCAGGATCCCGACGACCTCTGGTGTGTTTTCTGCCTGAACGGCGGCTTTGGCAAGGTCGGCGGCATGCTGCTCGCCGAAGAGGGACGGTGCCGAGCCTGGGCGCCGGGCACGGGTGACGGGATATTGGTTTTTCAGATGGTCCTTGACGACTTCAGGCAGCTCGGTAAAGTACTTGTAGAGACCAAAGGCCAGGCCCCTGCAGATCTCGTCGCCCTGGAACTCGCGCGGGAGGTGGGCGACGACACTGTAGAACGGCGAATTGGGCGAAACAGTGATGCGCGGGAAGGACTGGTAGCCGGCCGGGCTGTAGATGTGGATCTGAATGCGGGAGCTGTTGAGGGTGTAATTGGCGGTGGTCGAAGGCCCGTGGAAGATCAGGACAGGCAGATTGCCGAGCAACGGGTCGCTGGCGTAGTAGAGAGTGACGTGCTCTGGCGAGAGAGCCAGCTCCTCCGTGACACGAACCATGGTCGCTTCAATTGGCTTTTCTCATTGCGACCGAGGCCGCAGAGGAGCGATTCGGGAATGTCAGGGGCTAACGTCGTGGGCGCGCGGTGCGGTCGGGTGCGCTGTTGTACGCGAAACCGTGGGAAAGAGTGGTTCGGTCGGACGATTTGAGTAAACAAGCTGAAAGCTGGCGTGGTCCGCTCGGAAGAGTGCAGGTTTGCGCGGCGGGCTGCGGGAGGCCGATCGCCAGTTTCGAGGCGCACAACGATTGCGACTGGCAGATTACCTGTTTACGTGCAGTGGGCTACTCCGTATAAACAAACGAAACTAGCACCCGCGCGACAACAGCACCAAGGAGGGAGTATCGCGTACAACGTCAATATGTGTTTCTCAGCTGTGTTCTGTAAAAACAGCGCAAAAGTAAATAAAGGATTGTCCAAGAAGAAAGAGATTCAGAAATGCAAGGTTGAGCGAGCGCAAACTCCCGATCGTCGTCGATCAGTGGAGGGGAACCACCGTGGGGTTCTCTGTCGCAACTTACAAACCGGGAAATGGAGAAGTGGGAAGGTTGGGCTGGTGGAGGAAACCGATTAGCGGGCCGGATCGGGCAGCGATCGATGGAAAGCCGAAGGGCTTGGCGGTGAAGCCAGCTTGAGCCGAGCTAGGTCCCTGGCCAATGCGTGGATGCGCGGGAGCTTGGGCCAGCCGGCGCAATCGGACTCATTGTCAGCCAACTACGCCCTGAGGTGGAGTAACGCCAGGAGTGCTTCCCAAACGGCAAAAACCCTCTCTATCCACCTCTATCCCTCACCCAAAGGGAAACGGAAGAAAAAAAATAAACTACACAACCCAGCCATCGGCTAGGGCCCTTTCCTCCACCGCCTTCAACTTCTTCGCCACCGCCGTCCTCTTGTCCTTGGCCGCGGCGAGCACCCCGTACTCCGCAGAAAGAGATTCTCCGCCACTACCTCGAAGCCGATAACCTCTTCCGCGAGCTCCCATGGGGAGATCTGAAGCACTATATCCCGGGTTTTGAGCTCTTTGGAGAGACTGCGATCTTCAATGCTCTACGATCAATGGGTTACTCGAGGAGGAAACGCCCCTGTAGGATTGAACTAACTGCTCAGCACCGGGCTGCACGACTCGCCTTTGCACAGGAGCAGTTGGCTCTGCGACCTAATCCTGAGGACTGGGAGAAGGTTATCTTTAGCGACGAGACTTGGGCTACCAATACCCCTACGTGGAAGAGGTGGATTACTGTGCACGAACTGAAGACCCTCGTACTTGGGCACTTCTTCGGCAAAAACCACACGGCTGGATGTTCTGGGGCTGCTTCGTTGGACGGTATAAGGGACCCGGGCTCTTCTAGGAGAAGGGATACGGGGGTATGTCACGAACCAACCATATGTACAGGCCCAGTGGGGCACAAGACAGAACTGCAGGAACCGCACGAGGCCCACACGGTAGCCGTGGGGGCCGGGCGATCAAGGGTAGACTTGGGTAGCTGGCTACCCAAGGCGATCAAGGATAGCTCTTGTTGGGCAGCCAACAGTTACATGCTCAAGTAAGCTTAGATCAACCAAATGGTATTGAACAGATTGAGGTATGAAAATGAGGCTTGAATTGGAGTCACGATTCCAGAGTGACCACACAAATGAAGGATCAAGATAGTGGGTTAGGGTGTCTCAGAATCTCCCTTTCTTGTTTTAACAGAAAATTTTACCCTCTAATCCTCCCAGGGGAATTACCCCCTTATATAGAGACATTGTGCCCTGATATGACGCTATGTCAGGAACTGTGTCATTGTGATGGATCTGTGCTGACTGAGAGTCTCGCATTGAACATCAGTGCTCAGTCCGTGAATCTTGGTGCCAAGGAACCCACTCAGTTCAACAGCTCTTGGTAGACTGCGATCATGGGCGATCAAGAACGCTCTACCAAGTATATAGTCACTCGTTCTGGAGGACTCTGGGAGTTCTCCAGTAAGCAACTCAAGTGCAAGATTGTCAATACCCTTGGACATTGCTTGTTGTGAACCCTTTGGCTTCACCGAACCTCACCCCGTTGTCAAGTATAACCTTCAGGAGTCCCTTTGAGAAGTTGGGGCTTTGAGATTCGTCACAGGTATAAATGCCGAGAAATATCAACAACTTATACTTCCACTTGTACGGCAGTTCTGGGAGTCTAACGGCTGCGAATTTTTCTTTCAACAAGACAATGCTGCTGCTCATAGAGCTCTCTCAACCAGGCGTCTACTTACGGCACTTGGACTTGAGGTATTAGAGTGGCCTGCTCGGAGCCCTGACCTCAACCCGATAGAGAACCTCTGGCACTGGCTGAAGAACTTTATCGAGGACGACTACCCAGATCTTCAACGACTTAGTCTTGCGGCTCTCCGTATGGCTATTCAGGAGGCATGGGATGCAATTCCGGAGGATCTTTTACTTCGGCTAGCGCACTCGATGCCAGACAGGTTACGGAAAGTAATTGCAGCGGAAGGTGGAAGTACAGAGTACTAAAAAATCAATGATGTTCTACTCCCTTCAAAGTACCTCTACTTGCTTGCTTGTTTTGGTTAGTCGGTGGGGCTTGTCTTGCGCTAGCCTTTAAAACCCCGGGGGAGGTGTACCTATGTTAGGTTGGGAGGGTGTCGGGTGTTACCTATTTTTGAGTGGGTTACCCACGAGGGGTACTTCCCGGGCGTAGGTAAAACTCGGCCAGCACTGCCGGCTCCAGCGTCCCATCTCTCGTCAACCGTCTGTTTCCTAAGGCCTGTCGCTCCAGCTCTGCTCGCTCGTTTGCTTCCTGTTCCTGGACGTATTATATGGAGGCTGAACCTCCCACGGTAGAAAGCAGTATGCAGATGATGCTGCGCCATGGCTCCAATCGCCTAGAGGCCACTTGCAACTTGCACCTTGGTGGTGTGACTGGCTTTCCTTTGGAAATGGGAACGAGGAGCAACAGCTGCAACGTGGTAAACACCAGACGGTACAAAATAAGTGAGGCGAGTTTTGCGGACGCCAAGTGCAGATTGCTGCCTCCGGCATGCATCTAGCACTTTACTTGAATCACTCAATGAGCTGTTGGGAGTTGGAGAGGGTAAGTAGCATCTTCAAGAGTTGGGAGGGGCACGCGGCCTGCATGTGCTTTCCTCATTGACCTGACAAGGGCTCATCAGCTGTCAAACTACCCTACTGGCACTCCGTACTGCTGTAACGACGGGGTCAATCATCCAACTCCTCCTGCTTCTTGCTCTCCGTCTTGGCCACGGGCGCACCCGTCTTCGGTTCGTTCTTGGAGCCAGGCTCGTTCTCGTAACCACCGCCGTGCGCCTCGTACTCTTTGGCCAGCTTCATGCCCTTCCAAGCTGCCCACTGTCCTTTTCCATCTCCGGATTTATTGGGCTCTTGCTGGATCTCTGTTGACGAAGGCTGGGCTTAATGCAACCGCATCACAAGTTCCCGTTGCTTACGGGGCCATAAGATGGATAGACTTACCTTCCTTGAGATGCTCGCGAAGTTCGGGATCGGTGGGTGTGCCTTTGCTGCTTGGCATTCTGGTTGCGAGGGAAACACAGGAATTGTCAAGGAAGTGAGGTTTTAGTAAATTAACGGTAACTGGACGTATCTAGATTGTTGACTTGGAGAAAATCGACACAAGAAGTGCTGAGAAGATGCAGATGGGTTGAATGCGTCCTCTGTCATCTGTGACCTTGGTCTTTCATAATAAGGGACCTGGTAGTCAGAATCGTGGAATCGATGACATAATGGCTGTGTCGCCACCCGGAGTCCAACGAAACATCTTTGAAAGTATGAGATTTCATGTGTAAGGTACCGCCGTCCCGCAGTTGCATCTGTGGCATTTCTTCGAATTCTGCGGTAGAGTACCAAGGTACCACTACCATATAAGGGCCAAGGTTTGGAACGATCCTCGTCGTGCCTTCCATTCTCATCACCCTGGCAGCGTATTCCTCTGAAAACCTTCAAATAGCACCGCTATCATCCGAGTCATCTCCCAGAACCTCCTCTCCATTCACGCTGTCCTCTAGCACCGTCCTTCTCACGACCTCTTTGCCCTTACCCTTCCATTTCTCCGTCACGAACTCCTTGCCCTTATCCTTAGCGGCGATGGAACTCTCTGCCTCATGATCGTAGCCGGGAGTCTCCCAGCCTTCCTCGTGCAGTCTCTTCCTCTTGTGGCGCGCGGCAGCCTCGGCGCCGAAGTCGCGCACCGCAATGCTCTCGGCGGCAAAGTCCTTCTCGGACGGGTTTCCGATCGTCTTCTCCAGCACCTCATCGATACTGGCAAGAGGATGCTTGGTTGGGGTGCGGTGGTTGGTGGGGTTGCCGCCGCCGTTGTTGTTGTTGTTGTTGTGGTGGTGGTGGTGGTGGTGGTGGTAATTCCTCGAGCTGTGACGCTCGGGCACCCGTCCGAGCGGGTAGGCTCTTTGGTTGACCTTGGCATCCGGGTAGGTCATGGTAATGAGACCCATGGGGCTTGGGTCGGTGATGGTGGTCGGGGGAGGTTGAGCGTGAACTTGGGCTCCTTGGGGGCTGGCGCGGGTGGGAGGAGTTGGCGGGGGCTCGTCGGCCTTATTGGGGCCGAGCACGCAGAAGAATTCGAGGCAACGCTGCCTATAAGTTGAATAGCTATGTGTCAGAATGAAAGCGGTTATATAAAGGATTTGGGGGGATGCGTACATTATGACGGTGCAGTTGCTGTGCTCCGTTGCCAGGAACCGATCGAACACTGAATTGTTAAGCGGTGCGATGTCTAGTTTTCCGTTGCTGCTCGGCATTTTGTGTGCCGACTTAACACTTCACTAGTCGCGATGGCACTTCATTTGTCGCGACAGGACGCGACAAAGGGGTATCTGCACCTGTCCGTCAGGGGCCAAACCCTTTGCGAGGCAGCAGCCGGTGCCGGCGGGGGCAGCAACGCTAGCCACGGAATTTATACAGATGCGAGAGAAGGCACAAGAAGAGACCGAAGACAGTCACTATGTCCTTCCGTCCTATAGATTCTAAGAGTGGTTCAAGGAGGAGAGGTTCAAGGAGGAGAGGTTCAAGGAGGCTAGTTGCTGGGAGTGACCAAGCATGTTTGTATTGTTAAGGGCCTCCAAACAGGCTATCAAGCTCAATGGCAAGGTCAACATTGCACTCAAAGAGCCTCATAATCGCTTGAAAAGCACCGGTATTGTCACTGCATGCCACAAAGAGGGAACTACATCGAGTTAATCGAATAATGTAAGGTGCTGTTTGTCAGTTGCAGCAGCCTAAGGAGGTAGCTTGGTATATAAGAGCCCTTACCTGTATGTTTGTGATCAGGACAAAGTGCCGCTTTAGATCAAGCAATTCAAACTAGCATTCAGCGATATGATTGATACAGTGCTCTGGGATGATAATGAACATCACTAAAATCTACCAGGGGGCAAATGGAGGCCCGTTGAACGTGATGTTACCCAGTAAAGGACAGTTAAGCTCGGTGACTCCCGTCAAAGACCTTCTATTGGCATCTTCATTCGAAAACCACAAACTGACAAGTCTATGACATAGGCAGCGTCGAGCCTAGAGATGTCTTTCTTTGCCTAGAGCTTAAATCCAGCAGAAGCAGGACGGCCGATATTAATTTTCAGTTAATCTGAGTTACCCTTGTGCACATGCTGGGCAACCCTAAAATACGGTATGTTTTAGGTTCCCAATATAGCCAAGCACCTACACTGCGCCAAATCCAACAATTTGCGGAGGCCCCTTCTCCCTCATGCGGAGTCTTTGCCTTCAGGTTCATCCACCACCGACTTGGACACAGGCTGCGCCTTCACCTTTGCTTCACCGTCAGCCGACTCGTTCCCACTCACCACCTGCTGCTGACTTGCGTGTCCTTCAGACTGCGTCTGCTTGCCGACGTCGCCCTTCTCGCCGCCCCTGCGTCTCAACCCGGTTCGTCCAGAGGCTGACATGCGAGCTGCCATTTGCGGGAAGAGCCTGCCGGGCGAAAAGACAGCTAGCAGTATGCAGGGGATAAGGACCATGAATCCCTCCAGCACAATGAAGGAAGGCTCGTCCTGCATGATGTGATTGCCCCAACCGCCAGCCATCTCGGCGATACTGCTGCCTTGTCAGCCACATCCCAATTTCAATACTACGAAATCTTGAAGGCCTACCGATAGATGCAGCGGATCAAGATGCCGCTATATGCTCCTGCCACAGCATACACAAACACCCTGAACTTCTTATTCCGCCAAAGAGCTACTGCCTCGGGGTCCGCCTCATTCGAGTTGATCCTACCGCCCCATGTCAGTCCCAGGTACCCTGCTCAACCCCATTGCCTTCTAACGCTCCATTTGTTATCCGCCTGGCGACTCCGAGCACCCACTCACCACTTCTTCACCCGCAAATAATAATCCACCACAGAGGTGCCAAAGAAGAGCAACACGACGACCTGCAGCACGATGCCGGCAATGATACACCGGTTGCCGTGCTCGACCATGCGGATGTTGCTCAGCGCGGCGCTCGCGGCCAGCGCGCCACCGATGGCCTGCACCAGGAGGCATGAGACGTCGAGCGGGACGAAGACGAAGGGGTACAGGTGCGGGCGCACGCGCGACAGGGCCGGGTTGAGCGAAAGGCAGACGTGCTTGAGCGTGAGGTAGATGGAGATGCAGACGAGGGTGGGCGCGAGGATGATGGCGACGATCTGCGTCTCGAAGGCGTGCTTGTTCCAAGGGTTGTCTGTCAATGGGATGCGTGCGGCGTAGCCTAGCGGTGTATTGTTGGTCTTGGTTAGTTTTCTACTCAGGGGCTCGTCACTTTGGTGTGCGCGGGTCCCTCAAATAAGGTGATTCGATGGCTGAGGTTCAGGTAGATAAGACTGTCATTCTGTTGCAGTTCTTCTTCCTCTTGGCCTATTGTCTCACCAGTCCTGTTGAGATCACTACCCCTGACCTACCAATCCATCCAGAAAAACCGCACGAAGGTGAACAGAAAGGAAGAAGGAACAACAACATTGAGAGCAAAAGAAGAAGCACCTACCTGCGAGCTCCAATGCACACCCAGCCGCAATGAACCCCGTGTAACTCCACGTCTTCTTGGGTATACCCAGCACCAGCGCCACCATTGTTGCCGTGGCATACCCAATCACGAAAAAGATATTGATTCCCCTATTGGGATAATACCCAAGCGTAGTCCTCTCAACAGGACACATCGGCGTGACCTCGGTGCACGAGTAGTAATAGTTCGCGATCGCGTCCTCAATGTCGTCCTGGGACATCCCCGGAGGAAACAGAGAAGGGTCTATCTTGTCCATTGTTCCGTCTTTTTTCGTTGTTGCCAAGATTGTCGGATGGTGTCCTGCTGAGTATGTGGAAAGATATTAAACTACTTGGAAGACAGTGCCCTAGTTTGTAGAACCAGGCAGGCGTTGTCTGGTTAGATCACAGAAACCGTGTTGAATATCAAAAAACAAACCACAATCCGTCGCGGCGTCTGGATGGAGTTCCAAAGCCGACGTCCAGTCCCAGCATATATACCCCAGCATAAACTCGTCCCTCCGTCAGGAACAAACACCAATGCACTGCGGGTTCGCTAACCACCCTTCTCCCCGGGCGGGCATGCCATGGAACACTGGCTCGAGACTGGACCAGGAGTCTGCCCTCCCATCCGTTAAAAGCGAGCCCAAATTCAGGAATCACAGCACCCCCAAGCGCGGGCCAAGAGCCCTAGAACGTTCACTCCCCGCTGAGTCAGGTGACATACCGTCTCCCTTTGTGGTCTCGGCAGGTGTGTGTCGTATCCGGGAGAGACTTGGGTCGTTTCCGGTCCCGAGTAGGCGCACCCCGGGGTTGGCGGTATGCCATTGGTGGACCACGGTTGGTGAACTGTCGTCAAAGACAAGGTGCGTATGCCCATTGAAATCCCTCTATCTGCTCGAACGGAGTCAAAATTTATGGCTATAACCTAAAACAAGAACTCAGCACAGACTTAAAACCTCTTCTTGGGACTGACTACCTGTACCAAATCCCACCCGCACATTGCCGTTAGAAACGACCCGCCCCATGGCCAACTCCTCTCAATCCAGCGCAGAATCCAGAGGCGTCGTCTCCTGAGCATTCCGGGCATGGACGTCCGCATCACTGTTCGGAGGCACCTCCACCACCGCCTCCGGCCCGTTCATCGCCCCTGTGCTCTTCCACGGCTGTGTAACTCTCCGCGGCAAGAGCAATTTGTCTCCCTGTCTTCATCAAATATCATGCGAAGCAAAGTGAAGTGGCTGACAAGAGTGCTCGTTCTCCTCGTCATTGTCGACCTCGTCTTATTTCGTTCGACCGTAGATTCCGTTGGATGGGCGGTATCGTTCGGGGGAGGAGTGATCGCACTGATTACGTTCGTATGGCGCTGGGGTTTTCACAGAGGATTCCAGCATAGTTTGAGTTTGACAAGGCCATCTGTTCGACGGATATTGAATACGGATGGCCAGGGTCTTCGGACTCTGAGGGAACCTCTGCCTCCTTCAAGGGATTCCGGCGCAGCCAACTTGACGATGGTATGCTCGCCGTCGCGAAAGCACAGCACGGTAGGGTAGGACGCGCCGCTCCGCGAAGCAACCAAACATCGCCTTCCAGTAGCCCCCCGTTGGGGTTGGATTCCATACCGCGTCGAGCCGGAATAGTTCGGCCACGTTGAAAATTGATGACTGTCCCCTTAAATCTAGGCTTCCTTGGCGTAGAACCCGGATTCCCGTTCATAGTTCCTTCTCGTCTTGATCCATATACGGCCGAGCAGAAAGCCTTCGATCTCGATCGCAGTCTCTGTACTGTCCGTCGGTGCTATCAATCACGCAGCTGGGAATCGCGAATTGCACGATGGCGAGCCGCAACAGAGGCGGGCGCTAAGTAGTCGGGCTGTATCTCTGGGGCATGCGATGCATCCGACGAAAATAAGAACAAAGCAAAGAGCTGATCAACCGACGTGGATGTGGCTGAAGACCTCCAGGCTCTGAGTGAGCCAAGCGACGCCGCCTAAGCTAGTTGATATCCCCTCCGCCGCTCGCGATGGACTCCATGATGCGCCCAAGGGCTTGCAGATCCCCATCGACTGTTCCCGCCTTGTTGGCATCAACCCATCCCTCAGTCCGGCCGCCTCCAAATCAACAATCCACGCATCGCCATGGACATCGATGAGACACATTGCCGTGTTTGGCACCTCCCCAAATATTGCCGGCCTGGTGCAGGGCAGCCACTGTATCCTGAATCTGCTGCGCTTATCGATCCCTCAAGCCATCAGGGGTGCCCAGTCTCAGCGCGGAAGAAAGAGGAGCGTCTTCCTCGATGGGATAGAGCAGCAAGCCGGCCAGCTGGTTCCTTTCATTCCGAACAACCCCGTAGAGGGGGGGCGTACGAACGCCGGCTCCAAAATTGGCCCGAGCAATCCGTTCGTACCTCTCGACTTTCTTTGCGAACTCGTCGCCATCCTCCAAGCTCTGTTTGAAATAGAGCTGTTGTTGGCCGATACGGACTCGTAATGGGTTTGAGTCGAAGGGATGCTCCGGGTCGTCACAGATGATTGCGATCTCTGCAGGGCGGAAGGAGGGAAAAGAGATTGTCCGGGCACCTCCTGAGCTTGAAAGGGCCAGCGATCATCTTCGTCTGCGTCAACACGCTCTATTTCCCCAGGAGCGAGGACCTCGTCGGTTGTGGTGAGCTCACCCTCAAAATGAGTACTGAAAGAAACTGACTCGGAGTGAGCGGTCCGCTCTCGAGTGGTGGTGGAGCAGGAGAGAGGCGTCCAAATTCGGCCAGACAATGGGGATACTGCCCAATCGAAGCAGTCGAACAGAGTAGTGCGACTGGATCGTAGGTGTCCTACATTTTCGTCCGCCTCCTCATAAGCGTCGTCGTGCGGATGATGTTCGGTGCGCAGAAACGTCCCAACACTTTTGGAACTCGTCGCATCGAGCAGGCGAGTTGCAAAGAGTTTGACGGCGAAACGGAAATTCTGAAGCTACTGTTGTAAAGTTGAATTCCTAGCATGAACCATTGACGCTTCTCACCCTCGTTGGAGGTTGTGAAGCTGAGGATGCTGTAGTTCGGGTCCTTTGCTCTCCATCGTTGCTGAGCCGACTCTGTGGTCCAGTAGGGCTTTCGCGGGGACGGAAAAAAGCCGAAAGACTGCCATGCGGTTGGAAACGGGAACGGAAAGTGTTGAAGGGCAGCAAACGAGTAGGCCGAGAAATGCAACAACATCCCGCTTTGAAACGGTGGGACTGGGCTGCCATCCAACCATTTGGCACAGCCAGGAAGCCGAGAGACAGGGCTGACGGACAATGTGACAGGGCTGGTATATTGAGACAAGATGCGAGGTAGACATTCAACACGCACCCTGCACATGAGCGAAAATTACTCCTTTCCACCCAGCCACCGATACACAACTGAAAAATCACGTCCCTTACACCTCTCCTCCGCCTCGGCGGCCTGGTACACTTCTGACGCTTTCTCGGCCAGAGGAAGCTCAGCGCCAGCCTCCTTCGCCGCGATGATGGCCAGCCTCAAGTCCTTGCGCATCAAGCCGATGCCAAAGCCTCCTGTATAATCCCGGCACGCCGGCGCGGTTTCCACGACACCGGGCACGGGATTGTTGACTTCGCTCGGCCAGCACCTTCCAGTGCTGGCGTTGATAACGCTGGCAAGAACCTTCGGGTCGAGGCCCCACTTTACGCCAAGATTCATGGCCTCTGCCGTCGCGATGTTCTCAATCGCAAGCAGGTAGTTGTTCGCAAGCTTGGCCGAGAGACCGGCCCCTTGCGGACCGCAGTGCAGCACCCGCTTCCCCATCCTGAGAAGGATCGGCTCAATGCGGCTGAGCAGACATTCTGGCGCGCCTAGCATGAACGTCAACGTACCAGCGGTAGCTCCGACAACCCCACCCGACATGGGCGCGTCGACAAAATTGCCTTGGCCGTTCGGCAGGGCGGAGGACACGGCTGCGGCGACCTCTCGTGACGAGGTAGGGTCGATCGTAGAGCAGTCGATAAAGAGCCGCGGTTTGGGCCGACTGTGGAGCTCGCCTTTCTGGGCAGCATTGTGGGCCGAGAGGATAGATTCGAAGGCCGACTTGACGTGGTTCGGTTCCGGTAAGCAGGTAATGACTGCGTCCTGTGTCCAAGCCAGTCAGATTAGGCTCTCTTGTTGTCTTGTTAATTCGCAGTGAGACAAAAGGCTGGCCCTTGGCTTCTCAGAGGATTGGCTTTTGTTGTATAACAATAATCACGGTAAGGCCGGTAATCCGGCCCAACTTAGAACAAGTCATGCATAAACAAACTCATCATAAAAGCCAGCGGACAGGGCCAGAGGAGAGCAGCAAGTCACACTTACCGCGTCCCTCGCCGCATCTCCCGCGCTTGTGGCCACTTGAGCGGCCGCGCCGCCGGCTTGTTGCGCCTTCATCTCCTGCGCCAACTTCTCCGCGGCTGCCTTGTTGATGTCAAAGACGCGGATGGTATCACTCGGCGGCAACTTGGCTTGAAGGTTTCGCGCCATCTGATATCCCTAGCCGAACATGGCAGTTAGCAGCGGCCAATCAAGATCTGGCATCCGAATGGCACATACCATCTGTCCCAGGCCGATGAAGGCGTAATTGTCTAGCAGGCGCGACGATGACGAGAAGGCCCGACGCTGCGCCCGGAGAACAGGTCTCCATAACCTCCCGGTGTTCTTCATCTTACGTTTGCCGCGGTGCAGTCTGTTGACCCGCTGAGTCGTCAAGGGAGAAGACAGTTTCCCCGGACAGCTGGCACTTTCCGGTGGTCTAAGATCCGGTCAAGCGGCTGGTTGCCCGGGCGGGGAAGCCGACAATTGCCGGATGTGCCCTGACAGCCCATTCGAGATGGTCAAACCCACGGGTCACCGGACCAGCAAGGAAAATGGAACAATGTCTTGGAATGCGGGAGCATCCGCTCCCGGTACCGACTGAACGCTTCAGGATACGCGCCGCCCATGGCTGCAGACACGGCTTCCATTCATCACAAGGAAGAGTGGAGGAGGAAAAAGAGATGGGTGGGAAAAAGCATTTGTGTGCGATCTGAAATGAGCCAGATTCAGAACCTGGTCCGAGCGTGCGATCCGCTCATGAGACCCTAACCCTTCCTCTTAACGCCAAGTTCATGAGGTTCGTCACTTGGCTGCTGTTGGTCGGCAACTCGTTTTCACAATCAAGTTCGGATTTCGAAGTTGGAAACCGCATTGTCATTTGCATATATATTTGAAATTTTCTGTACAAACGCCGTACGCCCAGAACTCGCGATGAAGGACTGGCACGTTCCAGCTCCTTTCATTATAGGGGGATAACGGGATTATCTTGTCACAACAACGCCTCACCCTTCCCATCACCAGGGGCACTGCTCCCCCCTGCTCATCTCCCCAAGCCTACGAGGTCCCGAATCCAAGTGAGTAGTTTCGGATCCCAAAGGTTCCCTAAGTGAGAGTCCCGCCGCCTTCCGCTCAACACCCACCTCTCCCTTACTCTAATGTCGCGTATGTCTGGAAGCCGGCCTCTGCCGTATGGGGTATGTGGTATGTGTTTAGAAAAAGAGGGTGAAATGGGAAGAACCGTGTTCAAAATAGCAGGAAAATCCGCCGCACCCTACCCAGCGTGCCTCCAGCAACTCCAAACCAAGACAAATCAGTGAAGAGCTGAATTAGAGTCAACGCACCGTTGCGCAATGCTTGGCCAGTCGATATGCCAACGGGTCCAAGGCAGAAGAGAACGGCGTACTGCCCCGATGCAAGGCGACCACTATAGGGCATTTGTGACGTATGGCGCAATCACCGGGAGGAGGGCACTGCATCCGTCAGCGCGATGCCCATGGAAACGAACAACGGTAAAGGTCACTTACCCAAAAGCACCCACAGCAACTGTAGCAGTGAGGCCAAAGAAAGCTCTTTTACGGATCTTCTCCTTGCGTAGCTCGGCCTCTGTCTTGACCTTCTTCGCCTTGGGCGACTCCACAGCGCTCTCATCCTTCTCCTCGCCCTCTTCGTCTTGAGCGATATCGTCAGCTTTCCGCTTGCCTTTGCCGCTGCCCGAAGCAGAACCGACGACCTCGTTGTTGGCCTTGACTGCAGCTTCAACCATGGCCTTGGCCTCGGCGACCATCTTTGCTGCATCATCAGCCGAAGGGAGCTCGCCATTGAGGAGGGGAACTTCGACCTCGACCTTGGTGTGCTGGACCTCATCGCCCTCCGCGTCAACTTTAACATCCTGATCGACGTGAACCTTGATTTTGGGCTCTTCTTCTACCGGCTGGAGAACAACGGCTGGCTCCCTCTCGATGGATTCAATCTTTAGGTCAGCCTCGGTGGTCTCTTCTACCTTGGCAATCTTGGCAATCTTGGACACGGCCGAGAGTTGAGACTGGAATGACAACTCTCCGTTGACGAGGGTGGGAGAAACCGAATCTCCAGTACTCGGCGGGAGACTGTCGGTGGCAATTGACGACTGCGAAGAGGCAACCCTCCGCTTCCGGGGGCTGGCAATGGGGCGTTTGCTGGTTGTTGACTTGGCCGGGCTAGCGGAGCGGCGACTGCGGGAGGCGCGCGTAGAAGTGGGAGCCGGGGGGACAAGCGTCGGTTGGCCAGAGAAAAACTTGGGCGGCGCGGTGATTTTCTTGGGCGGGCCGCTGTCTGCGCCGGCGGTGGCAGCGATATCGGCGGGATCAAGAAGCGCTTGGATCCAGGGCAAGATGTTGTACTCCTCGGCCAGAGTTAAAGCCTGCTCGGGCGGAATCCACACGTTCCCGGCGGTCTCGTCAGGGCTTGTTGTCGGGAGCGACTTGATGTACAGCCGCTCCGCGTTCTCCTCCTCTTGCGTCGCATAGGGGAACGTAGCCTTGAACATGCCGGTGGCAGAAACGAAGCCGTCCTGGCTGCGCCGCATGAGGAAGTAGCTCGGGGGGGACGACTTGAAGATGCCCGACACGATGCCCTTGGGCAGCGGAGCCCGCAGGTGCGCGTAATCAAACGCGCCGAGCGTCGACTTGTCTACTTCTCCACCGGCGACTGCGGCGACCATGCGCGCCGTCAGCTGGGTTTGGCCGAGCCGGCGACGACTGACCAGTTCGCTGTCTATGACGCCCAGTCAGTACCACCAACGTTCTGCGCGCGAAGACGATTAACCTACGAGGCGGCACATCCTCGAGTAACAGAGGGTTGTGCCGTTCAGGAAGACGTCTGTTCGGTGACATTGTTCCAGGATGGGTTTTGAGTGGGCGGATGTGTTCGCTGATGGAAGAGCAGCTCGAGTGAAGCGGCGTTTGAACGCGTCCGTTAAGGGCAGGGATGGGAGAGAAGCGCGACGAGCGAAATCTTTGCGCGCAGCCGCAGGGGCCTTCGTGCCGTGCGCTTGTCAAAGGCGTCACCACTGGAAGAGCTCGGTTGGAAGAACAAACAAAGATCTAAAAACCAATACGGCGATAGGACCGAGAAGAAGGCTGTTGAAACAACAACGCGACGCCGCGATATCAATACTCGAGATCCGATTGATGCAGTCTGGGAGTTGGGCGCAATCTGCGAGCGGGTGACTGATGGAAAGTCTTGGGGGCTCTGGGGTAACCTGTCCCAATCAAATGGCGGGCCCATCCACCAGCGCGACTCGGGGGAAGATTCAACGTGCGTGAGTGGAAGGGCACGGACCACAGCCGCAAAGATGGGGGAGAGAAGCTTCAGCCGCTCGACGCCGATTGGGCAACCAAGCTTGAACTGCCCCACACTTCCTCAAATGGAGGCGAGATGGGGTTTGCTCTCTGTAGCGTCCAGCACATCAGGGGGTGGATGCCGATTGCGGGGAGAATCGAGCGACTGGTTTCACCAACCTCAAGTCATCAGCAAGTTCTCTTCAGGTTTGCTCGGAACGACATTGTAGAACTTGAGGTCGCAAATACGCTGTACAGTTTCAACCCTTATTTGCTTGCTAGCGCGGAATAACGTATTTACAATTCTTCATCTTTGAGTCTCTCGCTTTCACTGTCTTATATGCTTTTCTTCCTTTTGCTCTTCCTCTTCCCCTGTGTCTTCCTATCACTCTTCCCTTTTCTCTTACTTTCTAGCTTGATCTTAATGTTCCTTCATTTCTATCTTCCATTTTGGCCCGTTCTGTGTTCTTGGGCTGTAGATAGCCACGATCGTTGGGCACGGGCTTGGCTAGCCTGGCAGTGATTTGGCTGCCAGATGTCTCCTGACCGAGGCTCATTCTCGAGAGAAGTTGGCGTTCCGGGCTTGGATCTGGAGAAAATGAAGTATCCGAAAGATTATGCCTTCCGTTCGATACGTATAACTCCTTATATCCTGTCTTGGGTTGTCCATGTCGAGTCTAGGGCCATGAATGAGCGGTGAGTCGGTTGGACCTAAGCCGGCGATGACAACGAGCTCTAAGAATCAACATATAGCATCGACAGTGGGAGATGTTCCTGGAGGAGATCACAGCAGATCGCGTCGGGTCAGCGTGATCTCCGTTTTTCACTAGGTACAGAACCTCCATGCTCCAGATCTTAGCCCAGTGGCTCCTGGGCAGTAACGACTTGTGGGGTAGTAACGACTTGTGGCAGTTCAAGGTTGCACAACGAAGCGGCACCGAGTCAAGGTACTTGGTTCAATCGTCACTATTTCTGGCAATCGACAAAGAGCTTGAGTCCGCCGATTTGGTAAGGCGCAAGGTGGTTTCAATTTGTGCTGCTGCCGTGCAACTGTTGGGCATGGGGAAAGCCGCCTCCTGTGCCTTCACTTGATGTTCCAGATTTCTGACGAATGATGCAGACACAAGTGGGCCGTCTCACCGCACCCCTCCACCCCTCATTGGCATGCCAAATAAATAAGCTTGGTCCCACCTCAACCTTGAGCTTGACGGCATCTTCTATCTTTCCACTCCGTGATTTTTGATACCGACAGCGTGCAGCGTTATTCCACAACCACTTACTCCTCTGAACATCTCAATAACTCGTCATGGCCCCTCAGGACGACGAGCTGCTCCCCGAGGAAGTGAGTTAGATTGCTACTGCTCGAGTGGAAAGGTAGTGTTGACTTCTTCCTCATAGACCTCGGGGTACAAGCTCTCGCAACCCAAGCAGAGCCTGGCTGAGTATCAGAAGATGGGTAAGTTCTGGACAAGAGAAGCACCATGACTGGCCTTCTTTCCTGGACACGAGTTGTGATAACGGAAAAGCTGTGACTCGAGAATTGGCTCAAGCAAGTGCTGAATCGTCCTCTTGATCGGTTACCGGACCAGCACACTCCAGGGCAAGCCCTATTACTCTCATCTTGAACACCAGAAACATGTTCCAACTAGGAAGACTTTCTTCTGAAGGTTGAAATTTCCATCACTCTTCCTTGGCGTCGTTCAGAGCACCCGGGTAGAGCCCCCATCCTGCTCGGAGAGTCTCTATCACTCACACAACCACCCTTACGTTCAATACTCTTCTCCACTTTCCTTTCCCTCTCTGCCTTCACTATACTTTAACCTTTACCGCGTGAAACTACAGCGGCGCAATTATACTTTTTTGAACTTCCGATTCACTTCCGTGCTGCACGCTTCACCCTTTGGTGCTTTCCCTTGAGACAACTGATACACCAATCCCGATATAACGAGAGATTGAGTCCAGCGACAGGATGTCCTCAGGCAGGAAGATCGCCTTCGTCGCGCCTGATGCACGGAAGTCCCATGACAGACCTGACATCTCATCGGCTGGCGACGGTTCCATTGGCGACTCTAGCATCTACAGAGCCCGATCGCAGTCGATTGGGCCTGGGGCTGGAGAGTCTGCCGACGGTCTCATGGCGCATCGCTCGGCGCGGCGCCCTTCCCCCTATCCCTGCGACTACCCTGAGGACGACCAGGAGCCCGCGGGCCGGGTCCTTGTGAAGCTTCAGAACACTGCTGTTTCTACCATCAAGAGCCTCAACTGCTACCGAAGCCAGACTGACAGCGATGACAACTCAGACGAGAACGACGAGTCTCTCCAGCGTTACAAGCAGTCGCTTGGTCTGGGTGGTGGCAAGGACCTGTCGGACCCCAACGACCCGCGTGTGTGCATCATCCAGAAGCTCACGATGGAGTCGCCCGGTCGTCCCCCCGTTGTGATTGACCTCTCAGCCCCTGGCAGCGCAGACAGCCTCAAGAAGACGCCCTTCAAGATCAGGGAGGGCGCCACCTTCACCATGAGCGCCCAGTTTAAGGTCCAGCACGAGATCCTCAGCGGTCTGCACTACGTCCAGGTCATCAAGCGGAAGGGCATCCGGATCCCTGGCGGCAAGTCGGACGAGATGATTGTAAGCAGACTCTCTACAATCCAGTCACGTGGCTCAGAGCGAAGCAACAGAACTAATCTCGGTACAACAGGGCAGCTACGCTCCCAACACCGATAAGACTCCCTTCTACACCAAGAAATGTAACTATATCCTTGACCCGAACAATGACCCAGATCGGTGATCGACTAACTCCATGCTTCTTAGTCGCTGAGGAGACCGCCCCCTCGGGCTGGGCCGTCCGTGGCTCGTACACGGTCAACTCCAGCTTCGTTGACGACGACAAGAAGACCCACCTCCAGTTCGAGTGGGCCTTTGAGATCGACAAGGACTGGTGATCTTGTTCACCCTTTCAAGTATTCTTTGCGCCCTGTTTTTTGGGTGACAAACACTCGGCAACGGACGACACCTGCTTTGCTCTCATGGCTTGGTTCAAAAGGATTAGAACTGGATACGGAAGACGATTTGACTGAGAGGCGGGTATTACTTAGCCTTGATCGGCAAGGGGGTCCACGGATTTTGACGTGTGAAATTGAGAGTTCTGGCACGGATTGGAGTCAGCCTGCTCCTGTGTTCGCCTTCCGGATGACTTTGGCCTCTGGGGCATGCGGGGCGGTTCTCCCTTGGACGACAGAACACACCGCTGGCTGAGTTTGCCGTTGCTTTGGGCTTTTCTGAGGGGTGGATTTGGGATTGCGTCCTGCTGCTGCTCTGGCACGTGGTCTTCAATTATCTCTTCTGTGGAAAGACCACAATGAATACCATCACGTTTGCTTTCTGGCACCAACCTCGGGTGGTAGATAACCTCGGAAATACTAAGAAAATGAACTCTCAAGCCAGGCCTTAGGACGAGCGAATTGTGCAACACTCTTTAGCATCGTCATTTCATTTGTTCGCAGTACTGTATCTTGCATATGTGCCAGTAATTGGTTTGTCAGATCAAACGCCAGCTCCAAACGTCAGATGGGGCCATTCCCATATCTAATTCCCAGGGACCCTTCACCATATCTCGGCAGCGCCTACGAGCATTACCATTGGCCATGGCACCCTCCCATCCACGTCGGCCATGCCGTCTATAGAAAGTAGTCCGGCAGTGCCCCGCCATCCTTCTCCCCGCCGCCGCCCATCTGCTGGTCCTTGACCTGATCGTTCTCGGGCGCGGCCGCGAATACGTTGAAGAACCGCTCCCCCGTGTCGCTCACCTCGAGCACGCTGGCCATGTTGCCGCACCGGTAGCAGTAGTTGGGCGCGCTCCACACCGTGCTCAGCCGGTCGTCGTACAGCACCTGGTACCCTTCCTGGCAGAGCTGGTGCGCGCGCAGGATGTGGTTCATGTTGTTGACGGCAAGGAACTTTTTGACGACCTGCGCGCCGAACGTGTAGCCTGCCCCGCGCGGCGAGAGCGAGAACTCGTCGCGCTCCGGATCCGGGTCGGACCAGACCAGATCGGCCATGGGTCCTTCGTGCGGGATCTCGCGGAAACGGTCGATGATTTTGATCTGATCGATGGAGTGTATTGAGGGGGAAAGGCCTACGGGGGTTGTGTTTGTTAGCTGGGAGTTGGATGGTGGTGGAAGAGAAGAAGGGGCGTACCCCCATGGACGCAAAAGATTTGGTCGTTGATGACCACGCTCAGCGTCAAAAAGTCAAACATGTCGGTAAAGTAATGCCAAACGTTGGCGTTGCCGTATTTTCGCGAGCACTCGGTGTAGAAGCCGTACGACTGCGTCACGCCGCGCGACTCGTGGTTCCCTCGGATCAAATGGACGCGGTTGGGGTATCTCAGTTTCAGGCAAACAAGAAGAGATATAGTTTCGACGCTGAACATGCCTCGGTCGACGTAGTCGCCTGTGTGGGAGTTTCCCAGTTAGCGCGGGTCCCCATTCGAGTGTGTTTCTGGCCGAGTGACTGACCGAGAAACAGGTAGTTCGTGTCCGGGCACCAGCCGCCAATCTTGAATATTTCGATCAGGTCGTAGAATTGCCCGTGGATGTCGCCGACGACGGTGACGGGGGCGCGCACGTGGACCACATTGCTCTCCCGCATCAGCAGCTCCTTGGTCTTTGCGCATATCGCTTCGATGACCGACTCGGCCAGGAGTTCCTTTTTGTAGAGGCGCGAGATGCACTCGTCGAGGTCTACGGAAGCTGGAGTGGGGCGTATCAGCTGCGCTGGTCTAACACCTCGCCAGCATAGGCGGGGCATGATGGTTGGTGGTCTTCCTGTTCGCCTGGGGGGCGTGGCCAAGGCGAGCAGGTTGACGTTGTTGCGGCAGAGTTACTCACAAGGGAGCCCCGGCATCTTCGAGGAAGAAGAAGCTGAATGCAGGAAGCAAAAACAGGCGGGACTGGTATCAGGATCCGCAGAGGGGAGGGCTACAACTCCCGGTTTGAGCGATGTCAACGGTAGATTGCGGTATTCTGCGAACCAACATATTCGCCGAGACTAGGCGTCACATGGAACAAGCGCTTGAAGTGTATACAACGAGACTCCCGTCATCCACAGGATCTGGCAGAGGTTAGGTTAAAAAAGTGTGAAGGAAGCGACAGTTGGCGAGACAAGTGAGGGCGACGTCTCGAGCTGGTGAGAGGCTGAGAGAAGGGTCGCCCGGGGTTCTTGCCATCAATCAGCAAAACAATCAAAGAAACTCCAGCCCTGCAACTTCAGCAGAACGTCATTAATGGTTGGATCGGAGGGCTCGGAGCAACTTCGGCACTCGCTTAAGGAAAGGGCTTCACCAAGCTCACATCCACGTGCATGGACGGGAGTTCCCCACTTGGACGGCTGGCGAGCTCTTGTTGAAAAGCAGAGCTCTTTCCACTGATCGTGCCCAGCAACTTTCTCCCTCATTTCCCTGCTTTGTTGCCGTTCTTGCTGCGCTGGTTCGCTCTCACAAACAACTTTACTCAAACCACCGCCCAGCCTGTTATGGAGAACACCCAAAAGGACGCCAATACTAAAAATGCCATCCAGCAGGTGGCCCGTTACCTTGAAAGTGGTCGTTCCGGAGGCCCTTTGGCCCTGATTTCTCGCCCAAGTGTGGTTCTCTTCAAATTTCGCGGGTTGAAGGCAACTCTCCCCTGTCGTCCATTCACTCTTGCTGCTCTTTTTCTCGGAACACATTGCTTGGCCCTAGCACTTCAATGGCCTTCTGGGAGAGACGGCCGGATGGCTGCATCTGGCCCAGCTGATGAAAAGGAGCCACACCAATGTTGCTGGAGAGGCATTGTATGTGCCTTCAGTGGCCGGCTTTCCTTGGCTTTGCTCTCTACAAGCCATACCAATTTCTGATGCCCGATCTTGGCCTCCTTCAGCTTTTCTTCCACCACCACTTAGACCGGACATATCCAGCTGGATTCAACAAGCTGAATCCTGCCTCCAAAGCCAGCAATGAGCTGCCTATTTGAAATGCCTAATGGTTTTTCTTCTGTCTGCTGCTCGTTTGTTGGCGGCCCGTCGGCCTTCGCTGCTCTCTTGATGCCACCAATATCGTAACCCTGTCGCTTTTCAGCCAATCTTCCGGCCTGAACAAGCCGTTGTTGGGACCTGCGAGATCTCGGATGCTGCCCTGGGTTGAGGACCTGAGATGGCGGCGCTTATGCTCGCTTTTTGCACGTGACTGCTGAACGGTCAGAGCCCCGCAGGTGTGGCGGGCTGCGGCTAGACACGCCCAAGCAAGCAACATGAACCTCTGAATTTGGTTTTTGGGTTGATCAATCAAGAACAGCCGCAAAACTAACCTCAGCCAGATCTACGCAACGCGACTGCACCAGTCCGGGAGCCCATCTCTGCTGGCTTTTGCATTCTTCATGTTGCGAGAAGACGATTTTCCATTGGCTCACTGGCGGAGGACTTCGAGTGCGACCGGTTCGCCGTCGGAAATCGCCAGTCCGGAACCCTCGTGGACCTGGACGGGTCGTATCTCTTGCCCGTCACCGACGCGGCCCGCCTCCGGTTCGGTTGATCGCGGCAGGCATCCGGCGTCTTCCAAGGAGACTCCGCCCCAAGGTATTCCCAACTCTTGCAAGCATGCATCGAGGTGAGCCCGGCATCTTGTAGTCGGGCGGCCCGATGTGTTCCCGCGGTTACTGACGATCTGTGGCTTGTTAGGTACAATACATCACATCTACTGGACATATCAGGCATATCACCACCTGCTGTCACCTTACATATGAGTAGTCTCTCATAACACTACGCTCGTTTCTTTGAGAGCTTTACCTCCTGGCCCTGTGTTCTCTGTCGCTCTGGACCGCATCATCATCGCACAGCCGTCCGCCACACCTCGGACGAGTACAAAGCCCTGGTACGATTTTGGCCGACAGCTGATTCTGCCCTCATTGCTCCGGTTGTTTACTGCTGTGTTCAATCTCTTCCCTCGGCGTTGGCCTACCGACCCGGCCAGCGTCCCAATCTGCATCGTCGGGCAACAAGTGTGACTTGCGTCCCGAGCAGGCTCGCCATGGCTGGAACGGCCCCTGGGCAGACGGCCCCCGAACAGGACGCGGTGTGCTACAACTGTGGGATTAAGGGGCATTGGGTGATTGCCTGTCCGGAGCCTACTAGGGCGGTACCTGCGTAAGTTCCCATGTCTTATGTACTGTGGGATGCAATGCTCCGGTTTCCTTCACGGTTTGGCTGATGACAAGCTGCAGGGGCCTCCAGCGTTGGCAGCAGAAGAAAGAGCACGGTAACACAGAGCGAGGACGGGGTTCCAGAGAGAAGAAAGGCCCCATCGTCACTCACTACATTGCTCCACCTTCACATCAAGGCCCTCCAGCCGTTCCATACGGCCAGCCACCACCACCGCCATTTCCACCCGGTGTCCCGCCGCCCCGGCCTCTTCAAATGCAAGCGTACCCGCAACCGGGCTATCCTCCGAATCCTTATCCTGGGAGTTACCAGCCGCACCCTCCTCCACAGCCCCAGTATGGACACTACTCTTCTCCCGCACCGCCGCCGCCGCCCCAGCATAGCCAGCAAGCTCCTTATGGGCAGCCACAGTACGCCACACCATACCCGCCAGCAAGCTACTACCCCCCAAGTCAAACCCCGCCAGTCCCACCTCCTCCTCCTTCGTATCCGCCCAGCACATACCCTCAACAACAATATGCGCCGCCGCCGCCGCCGCCGCCGCCACCACCCCCCCCCCCGCCTGGCTCTGCCCACTATCCGCCCGCTTACCCTTCTCCGGTGCCGCCTCCGCCCGGTGCGTATCAGTATCCTCCGGGGCAGCCACAGCCGTACGCCCCGCCGCCGCCGGCCGGGCCTCATTACCCTCCTCCTCCCGGCTGGGCTACATCCCAAACCGGCCCACCTCCTCCGCCGCTTCCCCTTCCTTCCTCAGCAAACCAAACCCCATTGAGCAGCCATCGCGGCAGGCACCAAAAGAATCATGCGGGCAAACGCTCGCAGCACCGTGACAAGAACCGCCATGGGCAGGACAAGCATGGGAAAGACAACGCCCGAAATGAACGCCAGGGACCCCGGCATAGCCGTGATGAACAGCAGACAAAGACTGTCGGTCCCCAGGTCAAAGATGAGGAAACTCGAGCACCAACGGCTGATGGCAAGGCTGATGGGTGCGAGAAACTCGAGAGTGGGTGGGATCACCAGCTGGAGGAGCATTTAAAGCTGGCGTTTCCCGAGATCAAGACGAAGCCGGCAGACCCTGTCGGCATCCCTCTCGCCGTTGAGTATACTGAAGACCCCACCATACCGCCAGCTTACAACGCGACCTGCGTCAAATCCGAGTTCTTTCGAGAGGGCAATCAGAAGGAGTTCGCGCAGTCCATTAGAGACCACCCCTCTTGGGAGATTCTCAAGTATGATCCCGTCTTTAGGCTTTATCCGGGGATGGTCGTGCGTCGCTTCCCTGCCTACGAACACGAATATACGACTTATGATCCTTCGGGACCTCCGCCTCCTTCGTCTGCAATCAAAATGCCCCCACGATTCCAGATTGACAGGTCTGCTTACAAGGAGGCGCCCAGACGCGATTTCGATCTGAGCAGTGACCGGAATGGTTATGCCCAGGACTACTCGCCACAAGATCGCCGGCCCCGTGACTACAGCCCTGCTCAATATGCTGGAGGTGGCTGGCGTCCCATTGAGAGCAGGGAGGACCGGCGCCCTCGGAAGCGGTCTCTCGATGCCAGCTTCGAGGATGATGGGGATGCTCGGCATCAAAAGCGGACTCGGTGGTCCCAGGGTAGCAGGAATATATCGCATGAGAACCACGGCCGAGCAGTGTCTCCTCGTCGGCCAAGCCCGTCCTCGGCAAAGTTCAACTTCGAAGCCGATCCCTGGTCGCCGCAGGCAGGGGAGACCAACATCATAAACGCCAGTGACCGTCGTTACCGCGACTCTTACAGCGACAGCAAGTTTTCCCCTTCGAAGGAGGAAAGGGTGAGTTACGCGGACAAGCGGCACGACAGCGGCTACCACAGCGGACAGTCCCTCGACAAGGTAACCCCACGATACCGAGACGAGGAGCGGGCCCGTCGGCCCTCGGACCGGTCATCCCGCAGACGCAGGTCACCGTCCCGAAGCCGTAGCCGAGTTCGGACCCCCAGTCGCGCTCGGAGCCGTGGCCGTAGCCCAGCGTCAACCCCTAACAGAAGCAATCGCAGCCTCAGCCGCAGCGAGTCACCTCTCACCGCCCTCGAGGCTGAGCTGCTGGGCTTGGCAGGGGACTCGAGCGAGCCGGAACCCAAGCCGGTGGCGAAGAAACCGATCAAGAGAGTCAAGGTTGCGGCGGCGTTTGAGTAAGTCCATTATATTCTGGGGGCGTGTTTTTCGGCGCGATTCACTGACCGTCTACAGTCGCCGTTGGTGATGTGTTTAACATATATCCCGTTTGAATCTGGCGGTGGTGTTTCTACATCAACCTCCTTATCATCGGTGGCTCGGCGTTCATCATCACCTCCTCGAATATGGCACGATGATTAACGATGATTTATTGGCATTTTTGTTTGAGTTGGCGTTCTGGGCATCACGCGGCTGTTTGAACCGGCGTTTGGAGACGGACCTTGGAGTTCTGCATGGATGAAGGCTCCCTCGACCCGGTTAACAGGGCGGGAACATAAAGTGTGTTGGTAAGGTAATCATATTATGTACATCTACAACGCCACGAGCTGCGTGCTTTGTTCGGGTTTCATGTAGGAAACAAAGCCAGGGGTTTCGGTGCTTTAGTTACCTGCTCAAAGTCTTTGTCAGGTTCAGTCGACATTGTGTATAAATCAATGCATTGTTCAGCCTCGCTGGGCGCCTGCCTACAACCAGATGACCTAGCTGACTCGCATGACGATCGTGACGGAGACGGTGCAACTGCGCGAGCGCGACGGCGGTCCTGCGGTCAGGCTCGGTAAGACATTCTTGCATTATCCTGTTGTGAGTCGCACGGTGGAGAGTGTTGGAGGTACGGAGGTGGGGGAGGATGACGGTGAGGAGTCGGGAAGATCGTGAAATTCGGGCAGGTTGCTGTCGTCTCTTGGAGGTAGGTCTTTTGCTGGGTGTAGTATTACGTCGTCGTCGTAAGTCGTAGTCGGGTGGCGCGGGCGGTGATGTTTGGTTGGTTGCGTCGGCGGGGGTTCGACTCGGTCTCTGGGTTGGGATTATATCTCTTCTTGATTTAAAAGAGGGACGAGTCCAGGATCTGGTGAGAGCTGATTACCTGGTACTGACAAGATTAAGGTAAGTAAGGCTGTGGAGTGAAGTTGGATCGGTTGCCTGATGGAGGTTCGTCGCCTTCTATACTGGATGGTCCTTCTGGAAAAGTAAGGTAGTTGCATCTCCCACATATATCCCTTTGTCTTTCCCTTCTCATCTTTTTTCTCAATAGTAACTAACGTTAGTGAACTAGTAGAAAGTCAACGATTTAACCCTTCTTATCTTCGGCCTGACTAGTATTCAAAATTAAAGGTTCTGGCAGAGAACGTGGAGAAGGGTTTCTCTTTATGTGGGATAGTCGTCTAGTTACCACAATGCAGTGATATTTGATCATTATCGTATGTCCTATTGCCAGACCATTGTTCCCCGATCGTGACCGTGAGACACTGCATTTGCTACTCAACAGGTGTCTCTCATGGCAACCGCCACAAAGCATGGACTGGTTCTGAGCGGCGCTTCAAACAAGAGAGCATGCGCCCACTTGCTTCCATTCGCCTGCATGCATCCACTCGGCTTCTCTTGAGTGGCTGAGGTTGGAGACTAGCTCCGGTTGTTGGTTCTTCCTGCAGCAGAAGGTCGCGCCTTCCTCGAATGCTTTCCATGAGTGGATCTCGGCTTGACCCAGTTGAATGAATCCTCTACACTACTCTCAAGGCGCATTTCTTCATGCAAAACCTGATCACGTAGCTGGTTACTGGGTAGAACCATATCAGTCCTTTGTGTTAACCGGCTTGCAGAACCTACCCAGGCTTGGGGAGTACGACCCGAGCAGATGGATCGTTAGGTTGCAATGTGGAAGCACCCCGCTCGTGAACTTGGGCCGGATTCTGCCCCCTCCCTCCCAAACTCCCGTCTTACCGCAGGCTTGCATCTTACATGCATGATGCGCCGGTGTCGCGTTGCCGCCAAGCAAGGAAGTCCTTGACCTCTCTGAACCTCGCTACTTCCCATGGATGAATGCCTTTAAGCGAGCATCCGCGCCGTCCAAACGAATTGAACGGAGTCCACTTGGGCCGCTCTCTCTGTTCTGTGACTGTCAACCTTCCACACCAGATTGAGGGCTCGCCGTACCCGGAATCGTTGCCATGGCTGACCCTTTTTCAATCACCAGTTCTATTTCTGGCCTTCTCCCGCTTGTCCGAGGTAAGCACGGGCAATTGCGTAGAGAATGTTCATACACTAATAAACCTACCTTGTCTGTGTGCAGAGAAGTTTGTGCTCATAAGGGACGCTTTCGTCGTTGACAGGAAGTTGCGCCTTTACTTGGGGAGAGTGGAATTGCAAATGACGGTCCGCATGAGTCACTCGCTTTTTCAGTGCGTTGCTGATTCCTCCATCTCAGATTTTCCAGGCATGGGATGAAGCCTGGACCGACTCCAACGAAAGACTTGACAAGAAGATCACCGAGTTTGCCGAGACAGATACGCTCTTGGCCAGGGGAATACTCCAACAGCTAGTTGCCCTCCTCCGAACACTCTCGGATCCAGAGAAGCTCAAGAGAAGATATGGGTTGGTCCTTCAAGTCTCCGCACACCATCAGTCAGAGGACCTTGCTCTTGAGATGAAGTACGGCAGCAGTTATCTTTCCGACGTCAACGATAAACTCCCCAGAGCAGACCTGGCTATCTTTGATGAAAACCGGCTGAGACATATGGCCTTCTTGCAAAAGATCCGCTTTGGAATTTCTGGAACCGTGTCCAGCCTCGAGGACTTGTTTGGCCGATTGGACGAGTTCAACAGATACCTTCAACTCTTAGCACCACAAGCGATCCGTGCGAATGCGGATCGAAAGCTTTTCGAGTTGGCCGTGAAAGACATCGGGAAAGACCCAGACAAAGCGAAACGGCTCGAGGAGGGAGCGGCCTATGAGGCAAAGCACTCGATCGATCAAGGGGCCAAGGCGAGGTTTGAAGACCTGTCAAAGTTGGTCAACTTTAGCCTGGCTATCCAATCCGCCAACCCCGATATGTCCCGCAAGAAGATCTTCAGCCGTGCTGACTTCTCGTTCGACAAGCCATACTACATTGACAGGAACACCACTCTAGCTCGTCTTTTCGACTACCCTACCAAGCACCAGTCCCGTATAGTGCTTGTTGAGTGGGTATTCCTCGACAAGCATGCTTCAGGTTCAGCCATTCTCAAGGTTCTGGATGAGACCAAAGTGACGTGGAGCATCCTCCATGCCCACAAGCCACTCAAGATCCTTCTGCCATCTTCAATCGGGCTGATCTTCGATGATTCGAGCCCTAGAAACATCGGGATTGTCTTCCAACTGCCGCCACACATTCGAGGTCGCGAGTCTCACAAAGACATCCCGGGCGAACCCACCACAAGGGTCATTCCGTCCCCGACGACCGTCGCCGAAATCGGGAAGCCTACCAGCCTACGGCAGCTGATCCTAAAGGAACCCCAGAGCTTAGACCTCGGAATTCGCTTCCTGCTGGCCAAACAACTCCTCGACGCTGTCCATCTAATGCATACTGCTAGATTTACCCACAGGTGTGGCTCGCCCCTCCGCTCACCCTTTTTATCCAACCCTTTCTGCACCTCAACTAACCATATGATAGAAACATTCGCCCGGATAACCTCCTCTTCTTCCCTGTCCCCCGGAGCAGGGATCAGCGCAGGCACGAAGGAAGGGACGGACTCCTCCCCAAGTTGGACTTCACCAAGCCTCTCATTGTCGGTTTCCACGATGCCTACCTCCAAATAGTAAGCAAACCCCCTCGCCTCGAACTACCACTCTCCCTATCTCCCTTTCCGCGGCTCCCTATCGAGCTCCCCCAACAATAAAACAGTCATCAACTGACACCACCTCAAAAAAACTTACAGCAAGTCTCCAGCGACCCGCCACCGCCCTATTCCCAACCAGAAGGCCTCAAACCCATCCTCAAAAACTCCAATCGCAAACCGCCTCGAGACGTTGTCATTGACTGCTACACCCATCCGGAGCGCCGTCTGGACCCACGCGGCCGCAGCGCGCCCTACCGCCTCCTAGACGACCTGTACAGCGTTGGCTGCGTGCTGCTTGAGCTGGGGCTGTGGGAGACGCTGGACCATATGGAGGGGGAGGACATCGCGCTGCGGGCGCCGCTTGTGGGGGAGGTTGGAGAGAGCATGGAGGTTGTGATGTTCGAAAAGGAAGAGGAGGTGTGTAAGGACGCTGAGGTTGTGAAGAAGGCTGCTAAGCGCTTGGACGTGTGAGTGTTTCTTCTCCCTATCTTCCCTCGCTTCTTTGTTTTGGTGTGCGGTTGGTATAAGTGAAGTGGCTGAGACGAGTGCTGACGGATTTGAATAGAATTACCGGGAGGATCTATGCTGAGGTGACAAGGGAGTGTTTGTCACCGAAGTCTCCTCGGGATGTGTTGGAGACGGAGAGGCGGCTGGCGGCCAAGCTGGCTCAGGTTACGGCTTGACAGGGGGATATTCGGGATAGATCCAGAGTCCGCCCATTGGAAATTATATGGCTGGTCTTGGAGAAGACCCAAGCAACACAGGCATGCCGAAGGGACCAGAGCCCGTGAGAATGTACTCTTTGGATAAGGTATGCCAGCAAGAGATGGGGAAGAGAACGCTGAAGGGTGGCTGGCGTTTCCCCATTTTCTGTCCATATGCGCTGAGCTACGGGGGTACAGTCAGAGTTCGTTTAGAGTGACGTCCAACCAGCCTCTCGTTGCAACCACTGCCCCTTCCCACGGCTGTGATCACCACCCACTACCACCGAGCCACAGTAGGAGCATTGTAAACATCAACTGCTTGTATTCAGATTCAATCCCGCCCGTCATGAGGACCGCATGAGCTTGGCATCCTCCTCAGACTCCTCTTCACTCTCGTCTTCCTCCTCGTCACTCTCCTCCTCTTCATCATCCTCTTCATCATTCTCCTCCTCCTCCTCCTCCTCCTCCTCCTCCTCCTCCTCCTCCTCCTCCTCCTCCTCCTCCTCCTCCTCCTCCTCCTCTTCCTCTTCGTTTTCCTCCTCTTCCTCCTCCTCTTGACTTTCATCTTCAGCCAACCAATCATCCAACGTCTTCTCCCCGACGCCATTCGCAGCCTTAGGCGCCCTCGCCCCGGCCCCAACCGACGACGGGGACGACCTAGCAGCAGCTGCATCCAACACCTCGGCAGCAGCAGGAACAGTAACCCCCTTCTTCTCCCCATAATACCTTTCCCCTGCCCCATCAACATCCCTCAACCTCCCATCCGGCTCCCTCCCTTCCTCCACCCACAGAGGTAAATCTTCATACCCCCTCAGGCCATGCACCCCTCCGCCGGCGCCGGCGCCGGCAAGGACCAACGCGGCCGAGCCGAGTGTGTACCCCTTCCTCGTCTCTGACGGACTAGGCGCCTGCGGAGCCGGTTTCGGGGCGAGCAGCATCAGCGTGGCGAGCTGCGGCACCGAGAGCAGGGCCTTGTAGAGGCGCGTGCGGTCGCGAAGGTCGTATGACGTGTCGTAGCGGACGAGCAGAAGGAGGTAGCGCCAAAGTTTTGCGACGGGGTGGTTTTCGTCTTCGAAGAGTTGAGGACCGCTGGTGGGCTGGGAGTGGTGGAATGGTGATGGTTCGTCCTCGGTTTGGGACTGGGACTGGGAGTGAGATTCTTCGATTTGCCGGTTGAGATGGTGCAGGTAGACCTTTGCGCCGAGCAGGACGATCTGGCGCTTGGCAAGCTCAGATTCCGAGGCAAAGTCCTTCAGGAGTATGCGTAGCACGTCGGCGGCGATGTTGTCCTCGCCGTTGAGCCCCGAGAATTCGCCGACGAGCCAGATGATGGTGGCGCGGGCTTGAGGGTCGGTAGCTGAGTCGAGGTTCTTGGCCAGCCGGATGACGGTGGCAACGTGTGCCGTTGGGTCTTGCTGGATGAGGTGGCGGATGACGGTTAAGCTTTCGGCGGCTAGAGTGCCGTCTAGGCTTGTAATCTGACCAAGCAGTAGGCGCAGACATCTGGGTGCCGTGGCGGTGTCTGTTTGCGCGCAGCGCCCGATGGCGCGTACCGCCTCTCTCACGAGCATCTTATCTGAGCCTCGGCTGAAATGCTCAAGCTCGTTCAGGATGAGGCTCTTGACGTGTTGTGGAGCATGTGGAAAGATGAGAGTGAGCAGCTCCAGCTTGAGCTCCCATACCGGCTGGGTGTCAGTTGCACGGACAAGGAAATGAGTGGCGTACTTGACAAATTCAGCAGGACAGGTCAGGCAGATAGACACGATGTTGAACAGGGCGATCTGTTGGATATCCTGGGCGCCACGGAGCAGGGCTATTAGCGGTCCGACGGCCGTCTTGGTGTACGCAGGAGTCCCCACGGCGGAGTAGCACCTCGCTACGGCTACTACCACGCCCGAATTGCGAGAGTGAAGCAGGGGCTTAATGCTGTTGAGAAGCAGCTCGAGGTCGGGGTTGGGAACCGGGACCTGCTCGCCCTCTGAGCTGTTGTTTGAACCTTCACCGTAGAAATCTTGGAGGTCGGCAGCTCTCTCCTTGGTCCTCACCGTCTTTGTCCTTCTCGGGAAGCACTTTCGCGCGTATATTGTCATCAGCCGCAGCGTCGACAGCTGGCTCCATTCGTCCATATCCACAATCATCCTGACCAGGTTCCGGTAATGCTTGTGTATCAGGTCTATCCTCTCAGGGCAGATCGCCATGAAAGCCGTCACAGCCGCACCGGCCACGTAGTACTGCTTGTCTCCGAGCAGAGTTGAGAGGTATTCTAGCAGCTGGGGTAGTTGCGTGGGGTCAAGGCGGTAGCACTTCGGGATGGCCAATGCCGCGGCGCGTCTGACGTACGGACTCATATCCCCAGCGCCTTTTCGAATCGCTAGCGACACAATCTGGCTTATGACCGGCACGCGGATACCCGACATGGTGCGCAGCGCCAAGGCACGCACCTGGGGGTTCGTGTCGGACAGCGACTTTTGGATGGTGTTGATGGACAACAGGGCAAGGTCGGGCTCCTCCTCGGCATGGTGGATGAGGTAGATGTAAACCAGCTTCTTAATCTCAAGATTCGGCGACGCAACATTCTTGACGACGGACGAGAATAGGGGGAGTGTCTTTTGGCCGCGGTACATCATCTGAGAAAGCAGTTAGCGGGGAGAAAGACCGGCGGTGGCTAGCTGGAAGGAAGGAAGGGTGTACCGAGATGACGCGCCGCAGCCCATCAAGCACTTCCCGCTCATTGCGACTATCCAAGAGCCTTTTCACCTGGTTCCGATCAAGAGGTCGGGATGGGGTGCGTGCGCTGCGGGCGGCCGAGGCAGCGTCAAGGGTCAATTCCCGGGCTAAGCAGCGACGTCAGCTGTGGCGGCGCACTGGGGGTTCATCAATAAACGAACCACTCTCAAGGAGGGTGGATATCCTCGCTATAGATTCCATGGTCGTGGGTGTTGTTGCTCCAGCGCGAGCTGGAACCGCTCTGCCTAGCTTTTTGGCGGATGCCGAAATCATCAAGGGGTTGCTTAGAGCAGTGACGTGACCGCGAACCCAAGCGACGAGTTTGCGGGGCATGCAGCTAAGCCCTTAACGTTAAAGCGGGGTAACGCTGCTGTGGATAACCTGGAGTGTGTCTGTGGATCCCGTTCGCTAGGACATGCGGGTCGGTCCGCGCCTCAAGATCGATCAGCGATCTGTCTCAAGAGATGCGCTCATGCATGTAGCAGCAGGCCGGAAAAGCGGTCTCGTGGTTCAATCCGGTATTACAGAACTTCGAACTCGGCTGGGACAAAGGCCTCAATGGACATCAACACCTATCCAACCCCTACCTTCTTCTCTCCGGCACTCCTTTCTGACCTCCTGCAGTTCATCATCAACCGCTGCAGCTACCCTACCACCCTCATCATCTGCGCCGACCGCGCCGAGTTTCTGTCCTCCCTCATACAGGACCTCATACAGCAGCAGCGGCCATATCAATCAGATTTACAACTGCAACAGCACACCACGGAAGACTCGCACGACACCATTGCAGTTCCAACCTACCAAAAGCCGGACCGAAACAAAAACAGTCCTGACACTCGGCCACCAGCAGCAGCCCATCCACCAAACGGACCACAACCTGAGCCTCAGCAACCACAACATTCACCTCCTCAGCACCACCCTACACCCGGCAAACCACACCCCCTTCTGACCCCGCACCTATCGCAACTCTCCACAACCCGCCACATCCGCACAATCTTCGTCCCGACCGTGTCACACCTGCGCGCCTTCCTCTCCCTCTTCCCCGACTCTTCCTCCTCAGCCAAGACCCCGCCCCACCCACGGCCACCACCACCTCTCACTCAGCGACAACAGAGGACAGCCCCCCTGTTGGTGGTCTTCTCCTTCCTGGCGCTTCACCGGCACACCTCAGAGTGGAGCGCGCAGGGGCTTGGGGCGAGCGCCGCACTGTTGGTAGAGGCGGGCCGGCGGGCCGGGTTGGGAGTTGTTCTCGTCGAGTCGGCGTCACCATCTTCAAATTCCACTTCACGGCTGGGGATGGCGGACGTGCTCGGTGAGAGGGTGCCTGTTTTGAGCGGCGGGAGCGCTAAAAGAGCTGGGGGAGAGTCGGGGTGGACGGGCATGACGGTAAATGTGGGGAGGTTGTTGCGGAGGTGGTTTCGGTTTCGGGACGGGGAGTGGCACGGGTATGTGGGCGGTGGAGGATGAGACAGATGCTGGAAAAACGTGTCTGGCGATACCGACATCTGGGGGTATGTATGAGACGTGATGCTTTCTTCATGGCATGCATGTTGGGAATCCCTACATGTGTGGATGATCCTGCTGCCAAACAACCAAACGCCGACGCTGCCCAAACCTGTCCCCTGCCCGTCCCGTGGTATCCTGTCCTGAACCCAGAGCCGCCGCCGTACCCAACCGACCGCATTTCGACATTATCCAGACATTATAGTAGTAATGAGGCGCTCAGATGGCCTGCTCCATCTCGGTGATGTACAGCTTGATGTGCGCCTCCATCTTGAGGTACTCGTCGTGTGCTGCGTGCACCTCGTTCTCGATGTTCTCCTTGAGGTCGAGCATCTGCGACGTCGTCAGTAACTTCATGGATTTTGACAAGTACAATAGATGGCATACCTTCTTCTCAATTTGCTCAATCCTCACCCTCCTCCGCTCGATATCCTTGCCCTTCTCGGATCGCTCCTCGGTCAGCTTCTTGTGCACCACCCGCAGCTCCTCCATCTTCTCCTTAGCCCGCTGCGCCTTCTCCTGACTCTGCGCCCGCAGCGTCTCGGTCCGCTCCGTCCACTTGGCCAACTGCCGCTGGAGGAGAGCCTCGGTCCGCTCAACCTCGCGCACGTTGGCCCCGCGTTCCGTAAGCGCGTCCCGCTGCTTTGCGTTTCTAGCGTTGTCCTCCTCTTCCTTGGCAAGCTCGACTGCAATCTCCTCTAGCAGTTTGATGCACGAGGCTACGTCGCTGCAGACTACCGTAAAGGAGTCGGTTGAGGTCTGCAAGGCGCGTGCTCGCCGATCGAGCGAGTCGATTTGTGACTTGTCGTTGTTGAGCGTGTTGCTCAGCTCTGTCAGGCTCGCTTGAAGCGCCGAAGGACTCTGCAGCGTGTATGGTCGGAGTTTAGCGCTCTCCTGCTTGAGTGCCAGCTTGGCCGCCGTTTTCTCCTCCAGCTCGAGAGCAAGCTCGTTCTTCTTCGTCTTCGCATCCTCCAACCGGGCTGCCACCTTCTCCTGTGTCCGCCGCAACTCCAACAACCTCCTCTTGAGTTCCTCGTTGCGCCGTGTCTTCTCGCTCACCAGCACCTCCATCTGCCTCCTGTTGGCGCGCATCTCGTCCAGCTGGGCCTCCATGTTCTGGTTCTCGGCGTACAACTGCTCGATGCGGGCCTTGGTGCTCTCGGCGCGGTTGCAGTGCTCGTCGATGACGCTCGTCTGGCTCTCGCGGAAGCGCACAAAGTTGATGACGTAGCTGAATATTTTGACGAGGCGGTCGTGGGTCGGCTTGTACATGTCCATAAAGTTGAAGTCGTTGACGCCGCAATCGAGCATCAGGCGGCGCAGCGAGACGAAGAAGCCCATGAGGTTGCGCGTGTCGGGCGGCATCAGCGAGTCGCCAAAGTCGCCGCAGATGTCCTCAGCGGCGGCGCGCATGGCCGGGTCGACTGTCTGCCGTGTCTTGTTCATGAGTAGCTCGCCAAACCACTCGAATATCATCTGCACTTGTATGGGATTCGGCTTTTGGAGGTCGGCGATGGTGAAGGGGATGCCGAGCTCGTTGATACAGCCGACGATCTCGCGGTCGGGCAGACGCATGTTGGCGTAGGCCGCCTCCTCCTCCTTCTTGCGCGACCGCGACTGCTGCTGCGCGGTCGGCATTATCGACATGCGCGAGTTGTAGGCCATGGGGCTCTGCGACTGACGAGGCACGGTTCGAGGCTTGGGGGTCGGTGGCGTGGGATCGCGTCGCGTTGGCCGAGATGCGACGGGAATTTCTTTGGTGAGGTATTGACAATGGCGGGGGGTTGCCGAAGAAACCGGACTCAGCTTAAGATTCTTTTAGTTGCATCAGATGTACCGGGTCCGTATTATTGCATAATCTCATGGAGCAACAAAGCATGCAGTGGTCACTTACGGTAGGCTTCGTGTAACTATCAGACATTGTCCAGCACGATGGGATTTAACCCATCTATAGGAGTATGTCTACAACTCTCAGACAGGCTTTGATTTTGTCCACATCTTCTCCAAGTCTGGGCCCAAATCAAATAGCCACTCATCATCCTCACCAGCCACTCCTTCGTCACTCCCGTTTTGGACACTGTTCATTCTGCTTGCACAATACCTGGTTCCGATGGTTGGTTGTGGTAGCTGGCAAGGGTTGGGTGTTGGGTAGACAGCATGTATGCCGCTGTGCAGTTGTGATCTGTCTTACACCACACGCCTTTTCCTTCTCTCCCTTCGACCACATTCATGTGCTCTGTAAGCCCCTCGACGACAGCGCTGCGGTCCGCAAAACGCGGCACGTCTGAATGCAAAGCGCAGATCACTTAGATGGTGAGATGCCGTGGCTTTGTGGTGCGACACCATCAAGCTCTCTCCCCTGATCATGATTGGGACTGGGGGAGGGGTTCCGCTGAGCACGCCATCGCCTGCTATGCCGGAAGCAGTGGCCGCTACTCCCAAGCTGCCTTTTTCTGGAGCTGGGAACGACGGAAGACTACCTGAAGAGGTGCAGGTCACTCAACTATATTATCCACCGTGTAAGGTATAAAGCTGATCCCCGGTTCTCTAGGTCTTCCAACTTTAACTCCAACCAGAACCTCGCGCTCTCTCGCAAAAAATCAACGACCCACATCAAAGAACCGGCGCGACTTACAATAACAAAAATATGGTCGCTACCCCCGTCCAACGAAACGTCGAGTCCGCCTCGGCACGCTATGCCGCATCCTTTGACAAGGGCCACCTTGCCTTGCCGCCGTCGAAGAAGTATCTGGTGCTCACCTGCATGGACGCGCGTATCGATCCGGCACAGGCATTTGGCATCGAGCTGGGGGATGCGCATGTGATCCGGAATGTGAGTTCGCTTGCTTTCATTCCATTGTCAGTGTTTTCTTTCGCTACATATGATATATAGTGTTGGGCGAGTGGTGGTGGATGTGGTTATCGAGTGTGGAGTATCAACTGTGGTGAACCGGGAGTGGTATCGGTGGTGAATGAGTCCAGGTTGATGTGTGGCTGTGTTCATAGGCTAGTGTTTCACTCGAAGTATTCCGTCGGGTTGTTGTTTTTGGTGATGAGCATGAGAAGAACGGATGATATGCTGTGTTGGATGGGAGGGGAAAGGGAGTGATGTGCTAACGAGAAACAAAACAGGCTGGGGCCTCGGCGGTGGACGCCCTGAGATCAGTTATCATCAGCCAGCAGTTGCTGGGGACCGAGGAGATCGTCCTGGTGAAGCACACCGGTTGTGGGATGCTGACATTCAAGAATGCGGATGCGTATCAGATTGTGCGGGAGAGGTTGGGGTGAGTTACTACTTTGTGACGTTCTTCCTACCTCTTCAAGCTCTTCTTGAGTTCTTCCTTCTTCGTTTCATTGTGTTTCACTTGCCGTATGTTATCTTTCTTTCGCCTTACATCGTCCGCTTTCAACTACCTCCAGACCAGTTCTCTCCTATCTTCTTGTTTTGAGTCTGTCTCCCTGTGATCGCTCGATTGGGAAGATAGCTGACCAGTTCCGGCGATAAGAGAGGCCGCCCATGCGGAGCTTCAGGAGAGAAAGCTTGATTTCTTGCCGTTTCCCGAATTAGAGAAGGCTGTTGCCGACGACGTTGACTTCCTCAAGCAATCGCGATTGGTGCCGGACTCGATTGCCATCAGTGGCTGGGTGTACGAGGTTGAGACTGGGCAGACTCGACGTGTTGTTTGAGCATGGTCAGCTTTGATTGATACGGATTTTGCGGCGTAGTGTCATGTTGATGTTATTTTCTTCTCTTTGGACGTTCGCAATTCATTCATGATTTGTTTATCAGTAAGCGAGCACAAGGTAAGGAAACAAGACAGATGTTTGTCAGTCCTACTCCTTTCTTTATCTTCTTCCCTTCCCCCAACCCCTCACCGGTCTTTCTCTTTTTCTTCCCTAAGGTAGGTTCTCTGGTCAGGGCCTGCCCGTGTGCCCTGCTACCAAACAAACCAGGGCTGGACTACACAGTCATATCTCAGAGCTCTAAATGTGCCCTGTAATTAATCTATCGTAGATGGGTTGAATTTTCAGGACAGCTGCAGATCGAGATTCCGATCAATGAGGTACTACCCCTTAAGTGTCGTACAAGGACGAAGCGATCAGTGTACGCAGCCTACAAGAGGACCAGTGGGTGAATCATAAGTAAGGTACTGATCGCGGAGCGGACACGTATCAACATGTACTGACATCCATATGCAAGCAAGCACCCATGAGCAGGGCATGCCTGTGCCAGCAGACATGATTATGCGGATTGATGCTGGCTCTGTGATGCTCCCCGATGTATCACTGATGTGGTTACTCGGCTCTCAGCTTCGTTAACGGTAACATGGCTTACTATTGATGACGGAATGCAGTGGTTGGCCGAAGGATAACTCGTAGGAGAAGGAAGCATCAACAGCTGTGTCCAGTTCGTGCCTCTCGGCGTTGCTGTTTGCTTCCTACGCGAACAAGGACCAATCGATGCCATCCAAACGACCGTTTCTGGTCAAACCAAATCTGCAAAAATGATTCGGTCGTGAGACCGCGGCGGTGGTGCCGCATTTGAATTGCCGGCCGTCCGATTAAACGGGTTGGTGGCCGCTCTTGGACCCTGAGGTCGACAGAATATGGCGAAGATGATACTGCATGATGTTGCGGCTTGTTCCATCGTCGTGGTGCACGGGCACAAATGCAGCAGCGTTGGCAGAGCGCGGTAGCTTGGCACATCCATACACGACGCTGCGCTACTCCAAGCTGCGGAGCGGGGAGAACTAGAAAGGCTGCATGTACCCGTCCTGTGGTGGCTGTTGGCAACTCGCTCGGGGACTCGGCCGATGGTCCCTGATGTCAGGGTCAGCCAAGTGCGTATCGGTCAGCCATACCGTTGCGGTCCCCGGTCCCCATGCAGTACACTACTCTCAAATTAGCCTATTGGAGGAGTGGGAGAGCGTCCATACTAAAACTGGAGTTCGAGCCGCTCGGTTCGCTGGGTCGAAAAGGTTGGAAACAAGACTTGGGATTGCAGCGGCTCCATTCGTCGTCCAAGCAGGGCTGTAACTTGAAACGGCGGTCTCCGCTATATTCGTGTACGGAGAGCGTTCTAACAGGAGGATTGGCTCCTCTGTTGGTAATCTTCAGTATTGCCTGATTAGGTCCTGGCACCCTGGATACCTCTCGTGTAACCCCATAGGCGAGTTGGCCCCCACAGCCGACCTCCCAGTCCCAAAGATTGACTGGTCCGTTCCGTGCCGCGAGGCATGGGCTGCCCAACGTCTTACCCACGGACCTGGCCGTCCCTGCGTCGGTCAAACCAAACAAGTGGATGCGGATGCGCTGCGGAAACACGTGTCAGGCTAGCAGGCCGCGCAGACGGATCGAGGTACGGATAGTTACTCTGCGCTGCAAGCCTTGGACACTGGCAGCCAATGCACACTGACACTGAGCGATGCAGGGCCTGGAGCGGTTGTGATGGGAGAGGGCCGCGACAGGGCTCCATCTGCAGTCGATAGCATTGTCGCATCTGCGAGATTTTCTTCTTGATGGTCTGTGGAGCTTGACGGCGGCGATAAGTCGAATCATGACGCCAACGCCCTGCCCTGTTCCAGGTGGCGAGAGGGTTGCATGGCTACAACAGATGACATAATTTGTTTGCCAGTGCCGTTGCGTCTGCCTGCTACCTTTGTGCTGTCCTTGTTGGTGAAGCATCCATCCGCCGACTAGCCAAGAACCAAACGGATACGGACATCGCAGAGCCGTCCGTATTGGAGGGGCAACCAAATTGCTTGAGGACTGAGCCTCCCGTCCGGTAGGGGGGCTTTCATGCAGAACAGCGAGACTCCACAACCCGCGGGAGCTCTTGACTCTGTCATCAGACACACAACCAGAGATGCTCCTTATTCTCTCGGCATTGGATGCCATGGACTGACCTGCGTGTTACAGTACTGTGGTAGAGTCAAAAAGCCGTTGGAGTAAGACTGCCTCGCCAAGGACGCCGATTCCTGGTCTCCATGTTCACAGCCCAGAACAGGCGGGAGAAGCGACAAAGAAACGGCGGCATAAAACGGAGAACGTAGCGTCCGGTGGCCGTACTGCAAAGGTGACTGTGTATTTATCTGGTTTCATTTCGGAGCGTGGTGCGCAAGACTATATCGATCGGTTGGCCGTCGACGTGGTTAACGAATTCCAAGGCATGGCTTTGATCTGGATGTTCATCGGCTTTCAATAACTGATGAGCGGTGACCAAAGTGCTGTCTGCTCCGTTTCTCGCCCCACAACCCGGTTAACGTGCATGTCGATGCAGGAGCCGGGTACCCTGCTTCTTCTCCCTTGCAAAGTCCGCTCCCAAAATATTTCCCGGTCTTTGTCCTCCCTGCCAGAGAGGCTGCACGGGCTCAAATACCTTAATGCTTGGTCCCTGCTTCGAGACATTCTCCTCAGACAATCCCCCCACCTCCAGGTCGACATTCAGCAAGCGAGTGCTCCGTCATCGAGGCGCAAGGCGATCATCTTTCTCCCTGTCGCACTCCCTCTCCCACCTGCCTGTGTCGGCGCAAATTTCCGTACATTCCAAACAATCGGACTCCAGTTCTTCCACGTTGTCAGACGGAGAACGCTCGAGAACCGGCTCCCTGCATTCCGCTCCTCTCCGTACAGCCCGCTCCCTCTCGGCTCGGATCGTCCTGACCGTTGCACACCGCGAATTTCAGCGCGCTGAAGCATGCGCTAAATCATCCTCTCCTCTTCCCACAAATTTGCCTGCCGCGCAATTATTCCCGCCGACGCGTCTCCTGCGTTCGACCGTTTCAGAATGAATTCCCGCCGTTCGCCGCCGACCGCATATTTTCACACACCTGACCGCATCCCGTTGTCACTTGTCGCTCACGAGCGGTACTGAGATCGCTCCGCTCAGCGAGAAGATGCCTTTGTGGCCTTTTCGACGGAAAAGCCGCCGACGGCGAGGGCGGGCGAATATGGCCGACCAGGAAGAACATGGAGGACTAGCACCCGGAGCTGGGCTTCCACCCCGGAGCCAGACTGTTCCAGAGGTCGCCATGGCTCATGATGATGCCCCAGCACCAGAGCGACAAGGGAGTAAACGACAGCGGACAGAAACAAACAAACTTCATCGCAGGCCTCGGGCCTACAGTTTCTCACCGGGACGTGATGATGCGGAGCGAGTGGGCAGGAAAAAGAGCGCCAGGGCTCAACGAGGGACGAATGCTTTTCTGCCACACGGGTCGGTGCCTCAAACCATGGCCACTCCTGGCATGGATGCTGCGAGGGATGAGATGTTATGGCGCGTGCCCACACTTCACAACAAGAGAGATGGCGATCACCTACCCAGGAAAATGTCGACGAAGAAACGGCGGAAGAATGACCCACAGCGCGAGGCCGAGATCAAGGCCATGAGCAACTTTGCTCCTGTTCGACCAGCTGCCGAAGATTGGATGGCCGGCCGCCCAGTGAAGAAGGAGAGCAGGAGAATGAGGACGGGTATCGGTGTCAGCATCAAGGGGACTGAATTCGACAAGTACAACCGGTCTTCAGATATATCGTTGCCTCTGCCCGAATCGATAGACACGGCCCTCTCATCCGACTCGGATTACATTTCATACAAGGTTTCGGCTCTCGAAGCTCTTGCACCACGGCCAACTTTACGCTATACTACGCACCCAAAACCAGGAGCTTCTGTCCGCGACGGCGAGGGGTTGGTGAGGCGGCCGTCCCAGCCACGGACGAAGCTGACCGAGCAAATTCCCGAAGCAACACTCAAAGCACACAAGCGCATCGACAACCTCGCCGACGATCTCACTGCCAGTGATCTTCGAGAACTCATGGAACGAGACCAGCGGCGGCGGGCACGGAAGAGACAGCTGGAGCAAGAGAGAATGGAGCGGAGGATCGCAAGGCGCGCCGAGAAGCAAAAAGCCGCCGAGGCCGAAGCTGAGAGACATGGGAGGGAATCGCCCCCCAACATGGAAAGAGGCATTCTCGGCCGGGAAGACGTAGGGCTGGGACTTGACCCAGCTTCCGCCATCGTCACGTCATCAAGGATACGACATCCCGATGAGCTGCGGGAGGTGCTGCATGGATCACACGGATCACAGGAACCCCGCGAGATTGCCACGAGTCGGGATGGGAACCAGTCACACCCTTTGTCTGCATTCCACCGAGTCGACAGCAATCCGTTGCAGCCGCCGGAGGCTCCCTCCGAAGCCAGAGAACAGCATGTTCCATCCCCAACGATTGCTCCATCGAAGGGCTCGTTCCGCAGGAAGTTTTCGCGCTCCAAGTCTCCTCAGGAGTCGGTACCAAGAACAGAGCAATCAGAGACGACATCGAAAGCGGCGGAGGGCGGCACTTCCAAAGGCCCGCGCTCTTGGACCTCGTTCTTCAGATGGGGTAACAAGAACAAGCGTAGTTCCGGGGGACCGTCTTCTTTCTCCAATACATCCCGGGACTCGATGCAAATAATCCAAGGCCCGGTGCCCCCTGCACACACCGGAGCGCGTCGCATGAGCTCCGGTGTCCCGAAACGGACCATGTCGCGATTCCGTGAAGATCTCCCCGAGTTGCCGATTTCACCTCCCCCATCTCGCCTGCAGTCGCCTGACGCGGAGGCCATACGGCCCATGGGCAAGTCATCGACTGACTCGCATGCAACTGCCACAGAAACTTACCCATCGCCACCAGCCTCCCGGCCGAGGCGGGACACACTGATATCCGAACAACAGTCTGTCGAGGCGATGCGGCAAACACCTTCAACTTTTAGCCATCCGGATGAGCCTGGTGTCTCACCCGAACCGCAAGCCATGTCTCTGGCGTCGATCGACTCGGAGGGATCATGGTTTTCGGGGAGGCTGGCCAAGAAGCGGAAGTCATCGGGTATCTTGGACAACGCATCCGGTCTGCGCCTGCCTAGGCGGACGCCGGAGTCTGACAGCGAGCGCCGTCCAGAACAGGAACACGGGGCCGAGGACATGGACATTGCCGACGACGATTATCTCTCACGTCTGACCCCTTCACACGGCGAGCGGTCCGCATGGAATCGCAAGTCTACCGGGGAAGCGAGGCCGTCAAGCGATTGGGGCGACGACGAGGCTCACTGGGGCAGCGTCAAAGGCCAGCAGCCCACGGTTGTGCGCTCGCACCCGGTCGGGCGGGTCAAGAGCCGCGAGGGCTTGCTCAAATCGTCCGATACGCTTGAACAGGCGGATCAAGACGGCAGCAGTGACGGCAGTGAGGAGGCCGGGCTTCAACGAGCAACAAGTATCGACTATGGGAAGGCGCACGCGCGACGCATCAGCGCCGGTAGCGCACGCTTGCTCTCGATAACGCCCCGCTCATCGGTCGATGCGAAGCACGCCATCATGGCGCAGACGGACAAGGCTTGATGAGCCTCGAAGGACTGGTGGAATGGGAGGAGACATGCAACTGGCGCGGCAACTGGCTGAACTCGGGACACACCACACTCGTTTGAACATTTCCTACACCTTCCCATTTTTCATTAGACAGACCATCATTCGCTCTTTACGCAGCAGTTTCCTATCATCCCTGCAACAATTTTCAAACCCGACAAAAAAGGTCAAAACCAACAAAGTCTCACGAGTCTTCGGGATCAGCCGCCCAGCATTTTCTCTCCCTTCCTCTCGCCACATCCTCATTTCACGGGTTATCAACACTCAACGAAGTGCAGGTCTGCGCACGAAGTTCCATACGACGATCACACTATGTGCCCGCAGCCTCACACCATGCCGATTACGATCGTCATCTGTTTTATAGTGTCAGGATACCGCCTTCGACAGGGTACGGTTTGCATACCCGGGCAAAAAGCCGGAACAAAAGGCGGAATCTGTTTTGTTTGTTACTTTTTTTTAAAAAAATTCTTTTATTGAGCTGATACCACTGGGTGCCATGTACTTGGGGCAAGGAATTGGGACTTCGAATGCGACACGGACGGGAATGGGGAATGGGTTCAGGATGGCATGATACACATACATACCCCAGCGGGAAGGGCGGACCTTTGAATTTGTTTTCCTTTTTCCGTACCGGGGGCCCAAGGATAGATTGAGCGTGTGAATACACGTGGATGGGAATTGATGACATTCTCGAACTCGAGAATCATGATCTTTTCCCGGTTTACATATGGTTGACAAGGTCTTATCTTGTCAATGATACTGGCCATGGTACACTTCCCGGCCAACTGTAATCTCCATCTCCGTTTCGTTCTCAACCATAACTTCACGGTTGTTTAGCAAATTCCGGCCGCACATTGAGTTGGTTAGATGCATTGAATCCCAGATTCAAAGTCAAGGTGTCCAACTCGGGTGTCCTGATAGAACAATCCAGTGACGTCCTTAAGGAAAGGTAGAGGAATATTAAGAAGATTGGCTTTACACTCTGGGCCGTTTTGCAAGGTTCTCACCCAAGCGGCCAACCTCCAAGCCATTATCCTCATCCCCATCCGTCGACATAAACTTTGCGCTGACGCTCGCCGCGACAGTGATGGTCTTGGGCTCCAACGAAGGCCCCTCCGAGGCGATACCATCACCCGAGGAAGCACTGGTCGACATGGCCCCGAGTCTCTGCGAATTCCTCGCCGCCTGCTGCTGCTGTTGCATCATCTGCATCTGCATCTGCTGCTGATGCTGCGCAAGCGGCCAGCCCATTATCCGCCGACCAAACTGCGTCAGCTGCGTCTCCTGCGGCTTGTCGCGGATCTCGACGGCGGCGACCCGGCGCCCAACCACGCCGGCGTAGTCGTGCGCCTTGGCGACCGCGTCCCGGATGGCCTTGAGCCTCGCCTCGCGCTCGAGCTCGGCCCGCGTGCCGTCCGTCAGCTTCCACTCCGTGTCCGTCACCGACACGTGCGCCGTCGTCGCCAGCTCGTTGGACACGTCGGCCAGCCGCGCCATGTCGCGGAAGACAACCTCAGCCGAGGCGCTGACCGTGTGCTCCTTGGGTTGGTCCACGAGCGGGCGATAGTTGAGGTCGACCTGGTAGCGCGACGTGGTGCTGAGCGGAGTCACGGTGAAGGCCGTCACGGCCGCGTCCGCGTGCGGGAGCCCGTCCTCGGTCTTGGTGGCCAGCACCCGGAAGGCGCTGGTGATCTTGGCCACGGCGCTCTGGACTTCGTGGAAGGCCTGGGACTGATCTGTGCTGGTGGTGGAGACGCTCAGGCGGAGGTAGGCGCGCTCGGCGGTCCGGAAGCTGGAGCCCTTGCCGTCGACGTAGATTTCGAGTGGGGGCGCCATATTACCTCAGGTAAGATACCTTACTGATTCAGAAAATAAAGTGTGGTATTTCTGTTCTGAATGATGCAAGACTTAAGGCAGGAAGGCCATTGAATGAAAGGCCGGGGGGTGTGGAATATTTATGTGATTTCCTTGGTGTGGTGGCGCAGGGTGCCGGGGTGGCTGCAATGCCTCCAGGCTCCAGGTTGCCTTCCTCCAGGCTGCTACATGGAGGACCGATCAAAATCTTCAACTATAAGTATCGATTGAGAAAGATGTCTTCCAATCATACTGTATGTCTCCGTAATAGCCATCCTGATTTTATGCTCAGGCATGTGCCCTGGCCGAATTGGACCGAAGATCGTTTTACATGAAGACAGCAGATTCTCAAAGCTCCCATCACCTCATTCCCAATCGAACTAGCAACTTCATGGTACCTCTCTTACGAGTCCTGTCTCTCCCGAAACATCACGGCCCCTCCATCCCAACCGCGCCAGCTCCCCGATATTCGCCCGCCCCTTTTCCACGAAACCCAACCGTCCATACCACCCCTCCAGTCCCTCCCTCGAGATGAGCCAGGCTGTCTGATCTTCCTCGTCTGCTCGAGCAAGGCCGTGCTTTACCAGCATTGTGCCCAGCCCCTTCTTCTGGAAGGCCGGATGCACCGCGAGCGTGAGCAGCATCCACGCCTTTTGCCGGGCTGGCGGGTCCCGCAGCGGGGGAAGCAGTGCTGGGAACACCCGTTTCTCGGCGCCAGCCACGGCTGGGTCGGCGGAGCGGTACGGCCAGAGCTTGGTGCACAGTTTGATTTGGGGAGATCATTAAGGGGGAGAGCCAGTGACCTTCAGAGCTGGAGAGTTGGCAAGGACTTCCAATATTAAGGTAAGGTCACAGTGACAGGAAACTCACGCATCGTCAGCCAGCCCTCGGTGTCCTGCTTCTTCTGCTCGTCCTGCCACGAGCGCCGCCACCAGGCGAATCCGACGATCTTGCCGCCTTCGGTGACGAGGACATCGACGTACTGCTCTAAGCCTAGGGTTAACCACCGTTCGGTGAGCATGTCCTGAATGAAACGCTCAAAGTCCGCGGGGTTCTTGTTCCGGTAGGGGTGCAACATTTCCATCAACTGTTCGTCCCAGAAGTCAACCAGGTACAAGCTGATGATGGTTGGTAGGTCGGATGATGTTGCGGATCGGATGGTACACTGTATGGTTTGCGTGATGAGGGTTCGGGTGGTGATGAGTCCCAAGACACCTCCTATGTTGCAATGACGAGATGTTATCGAAACGACTGTTCTGTGAATGCCAGCGAGAACGGTTGTTGCTTATACTATTCCGGTTGGGGAGTCAGGCAGCCTGGTGCTTATTCAGAGCCATAAGCATCAGCTCCTGGTTCAGCTCAACTTCCCCAAGAAGGAAAATTTGAGACACTTGGGCTGACGAGGACAGGAGATTGGACATTGAATGGATAACAGCGATAAGTCCTCATTCGCAACAAGAACCCCAGGTTTGTTTCACGTCAAGACGCCCCTGGACTGCCCACTTATTTTTCGACTGAATACGGATGGAGAGTAGCATCATCCGAGTCAATGCTCTTCTCTCCGTGAAGTTCGTTTTTACACGGCCTGGCCTTCCATGTCAGGACAGTTTTGTCTTCCTATGCTCCACCTCCGCGCCAGAGATCCAACCAGCCACAGTCCCCCACCGTCCCTATCCTCTCCTGCAGCGCCCCCGTATATTCCGTCCATTCCTTCTTTCAATCCTGGTCGTCCACGGGCTCGCGGCGGGTGTGGTACCAGTATAGTAAGGTGGTGATGTCCTACATCTCCATCACCCTCTTGTTCCCGCCCATTGCGCGGGTGATGTGGTTCCAGATGCTAGATTCTGAAAGCTGGCCTTGCTCCCAAAGGCATGTGGTAGTGGTAAGAAAGCCGGCGAAGCATTCCAACTCGCTGAAGTTACTCTCAGAAAGTAATCCCTTGACCATCCCCAAGGTTTTTGTATAGGGGGAAGGGGGAACCCATAATCGACGAGAAGCATATACTCAAAGATATAATGGCAGGTAAAGCACGTGATAGTGCTTGTGAAAGGGTTGGCTGGAGGCATGACGTCGCATAATTCTCGTGGCGACTGGCCCGTCCAGTCTTGGTCGTACAGGATGGCGCTGACGGATTCCAAGACACGTTCCAACCGGCCGGGCCAGTCCCGCCCGTCTGGTCCCCGGCACCTCAATTTTAGCAGGGCGTCTGACAATCGCTCTCCTGCTCGGAGTATTCCCGTCTGCATCTTCGTTGCCGCCAGAGTCAGGGTTCCAAGGACCCTTTCGTCTTCCTGGCCATCCCCGGTTGTCAACGGGCTGCCTTTGTTGTCCTTTAGATCCGGCCGCAGGATGCGTTTCCTTCCACCTCTCCGACGCCTCAACAAATCCTTGCTCGGAGTGGAAATGAGTTCCTTGAGCTTATGCAGCTCGGAACAGTCAACAGAACGGTCGTCCGTACCCTGCAAGGTGATTGAATTTTCGGACCGGGTTCCAATGACGTTGTCGGATCGCAAGCCGGGGCTCAGAAAGATCCTTGAACGGATGTGAGTCCCATGAATCCCTCGATGAATTCTGAATTGAGTTCTGATGGCAGAGACAGTTACACTGATTCCTTCGCTGCTTTTGCAGATGCAAACTGGCCGCTGCCATCTTGAACGGGATTGCTGTGCTCGAGAAAAAGATGACAGTATGGGTGATAGAGTGCTTACGAGCGCTACGAACTAGGAGCCTGCTTGAAGTTAGCCACGGAATGGTTTGGAAATGGGTCTGAACTTTGAAGGAGATGGGAGTAATTCATCCAGGTGGAAATGGGCCGACAGCTGGAGAGCACCCTATTTACACACGGCTCTTATCAATACGCACACGAGTCAAAATGTGTCGACCTGAAAGGCCAAGTTCGAGCGCCGTATTCCTGTGCATTAGTGTTGCGTGACTTGAATGTCTGGAAGTGAAAAAGCAGTCTAGGAAACGTCATATTAATATTGAGAATACTCTCAGGTCAAATCAGTCAGAGGCCACCACCCGACTTACATGCATGCGATTGAAACAGAGTACTACATTCGCGACGCATCATTATGTCTTTCAGAACTTTAATATTTTGCTACTGACGGGAACCTTCTTTTTTCTTCCCAAAGGCAGTGTGGTATTGTTCACCTTTGCTTGCAAGTGCATTGCGCCTGACGGCTGTCGAGCTTGGCCCAGTACTGCAGTACTAGTATGGTATGTTGTTGGCTCTCAGGACAGAGAACGAGCATCCTACATTCATGGGAGAACAGGAGAAATTCACGTCGACACCTGTTTAGGGAGCACTTACATTGAGCTTTATATCCTAGGCCTGGGAAGAAGGTGGAAAAACTCGGATGGAAAGAGGGCGGGAAGATGATAGTTAGCAAACTAGGTACTCGTTGCTCACCAACGGCCTCATACAGTACTAATAAGGTAGTTATAATGGGATAGACGTGGACAACCTCTTCTCTTCTTCTCCTTTTCTCCTTTGGCGCACCACCACCATCGTCATCACCAGCAGTAGCAGCAACAGCACCACTACCACAACAACAGCAACAACAGCAACAACAGCAACAATGGCCGGTTTGCGGTTCTTGGTTTTGCGTTTGGGACTTCCTCAACGGTCACTCCAGTCCTCGAGAGCCCACATCCTCGAGACACATGGCCCAACGCTTCCAGAGCACCATTCAGTTACTACCATCCATCCTCTTTGCTCTGAACTGGCATTTGGATAACGTATATATAAACAGCCCCATGCCACTCCGGCCTCGGGTCGACTTGTGTTTTTAACCACCGGGTTTTTGGCGTTTTTCGTGTGCGGGTTTCTCCGCCTTCTGTGTTTGGTGTTCGGGAAGGCGGCGCCAGACCCCGATCCTCCATTCTACGTTCCGCTGCCAACTTCCAGGTTCATCACGTTCACCTGTGCATGGCTACAAGATTTTCCCGCGGCATCGCCTGGCAAGACCTTGGCGACTGTATTCGCCGTTTTAAACGATTCGACTTCTCAGACCAAGAATGTCCCCTCAACTTGCGGCGCTTCCCAGTCCCCCCAAACCGCTTCCTCGGTCCTGGGACCGAAGCTTCCGCCTTACTCGCACCGCACGCACTACCATCCACTTCATTGAGGAGCTCGGTAACCCGGGGTAAGACCGAGAAAGCCGTGTCTGGAAGGTCAAAATCAACGGGAAGGAACCATTCTACGCTCTTAAGATGATGAGTGGCGCCATATGCCCTCCTTCGAAGGAAGCAATCGTTTGGTAGAAGGGCTCACTCCAGTTCATGTTCGACTCCATCGAGTATCTGAGAGATGAGATGGCCGCCGAGCTTACACGAGACCTTGCGTACCTCAGCATTACATAGACTTTTTCGATACGGTCAATTCTGAATGTCGCGCCTACGGCCGACGTAAGAAGGAAAATCGTGAAGACTTCGTCATCGGGGCTCGTGAGTCGAATCCAAGCTGCTCACGGTTCCTTTCTTTGGCCCGGAATGGTGCCACTGACATGTCTTGACAAACGGTTACCACCTGCTCACGCCTCGGCAGGAAGCCGAAATCATCAAGAGAACCACAGGCCAGGACGTCGAACCGGTCGAGCCCAAGACTGAATTAGACGGTGGCAACCCTTGGGGCGGGTATGAGGAACATCGCCATCTCCTCGTCCGGGCGATCGTCAAGGGCTTTCTAACAACAAAGCCCCTTTCTCGCCTTCCCAAGTGCCAAACTTGTGGGAGGACCTTGAAGACCTCCACGAACTAGGCATCCTCGTCCGCGACATCCAGGTCTTCAACTACGTTGGGGCCAGAATCATTGACTTCAGCCGGTCTTGGACCATGCCACATCCGTCGTTCATGCCAACAGCCATGCGTCCCAAACGCATACAGCAAACAAGGGAGCGAGACCCGCATACTTTACGCAAGGCATCGTTGAGCTGGATATTGGTAATAACTTGGATTGGGATGAAGTTGTCATTCCCGAGGAGCTGACGAAATGCGCGTCGGGAAGGGGGTCAGAACGATTCGCTAAGGCGAGGATCCCCGTAGCTACGACTGGCTAAAGTGGGAGAAGAACCCAACCGGTGCGAAGTGTATCTTTGAGCACAAGGTCTTTGTGGAGGCTGAGTCCGGTAGCTAGGACGTGAAATGGAACTTAATTAGACCCTTGGCTTGGCTGCAGCTCTGATTCTCCGTGAGCTGAACGGACAGAGTTGCCACTACTGCGCTTCCGAACTGAGATCTTGTTGCTTGTCGATATTGACGTTAACATTCAGCTGCTGTTAGCGTTCGTGAACACCTGAGGTAAGGTACCTAGTGAATAGGAGACTCGGAGGACGGGAACTTCCCAACCTCCCAAACAGCACAACCCAACATTTTAGGTCCTTTCACCATCAGAACCCCAAAAGGAGCTTTTCATTCAGGTTGCGAATCACGACAACCCGGTGCCGCCTACCCCTGTAACTTGGAAATCCCGGGAAACCTGGAATGTTCCTGACCCCTGAGTCAAAGTTGCGGCACTTTGACATTCAGGCCCAATCCAAACCGAACAGGAGCACCTGCCCTGTCGCCTCATGCTTTCGTCCGCACGGCAGGTCGTACGGATAGCAGGCAAGTACATCTCCTTCTTATCCTGGTGCCTGATAGAGCAAGGAAGGTAGGTAATAAGGCAAGCAGAATGGACTCGGACATGGATTCTCTTTTCTCTCCTTTCCTTTCACTCCGGCTTTCGAAAAAGAACAACAACGAGGACGACGACGGAGGGGCTGGAATGTGTAATTTCTGTTCCTTTTCTTTCTTGTTTTCTGGGTGTGTCTCAGTTTCAGCGTTTTTGTCTGTGTTGCTGTTCTCTTTCTCGTTTCTTGATTTTCTGGTTTTCTTATGTCACCATTCGTGAATGGGTGTTCCTCATCGGAGTTGGTCGCCCGATGCGCTAAGAGGTCAGGGCAACTTATTTGCTCCCGGAAGGTATGCATTCCAGGCTAGAGCCTATACCCATTCTCAGTTTAAAGAACTTTGGCTGACACGTCCAGCATCGTGCGGCGTTCTTTTTTGCGACTTGAGTACATCCTCCAAGTCCAGCATGCAACATCCCCCCTCCGCCACCGACCAAGACTTGCAGGGCCTCCCGGAACGTCATTACGATAATTGAGAGAGCCGTCTCATGGTGCGTTATTTTGCACTGTTCTTGCGAGACCAGGCTGGGCGCCCCGAGTCTACCTTTGGTTGCAATCACAGCGCCCTTGAGGGAAAACTTGTCCTGTCTCGTTCGATAGCTCTCAACTTCCTCTCTTGGGGTCCATTCGCCAGCTACGCCGGGCCTGCCTGAGAAGAAGTAAACGCAGCCTGCCAGGCCGCTTTCTACCAGCCCATTGCCATTGGCGGATACCACGGTCTGGGCTTGCCCCTCCCGCCTGGCGCAATTTTGCTGCCTGGAGAGGAGGCAGTACACACCACAGCCTAACGGTCTAGTTCCGCTTCATCTGCGCCGACGGCTCGAACCAACACCACATCTCGGAGCTTTTCCGTCTAGAGCACGGAGTACAGCGCGGCCCCGGAAGTTGATCACACTCGAACGCACTCCAATCCAGAGTCCACCTCTCCGTACAGCTCTCCGTACAATGGACATCTCGCTTTACCACTCTACTCTCGGTTTCGGCTTCTGGACTCTCTTCAAGTTTTTCCCCGGAAGTCACCTTGCACTCTCGTATGCAAACCACGGGGTAATCGGGGTACCTGACCACTGATGCCGACACCGTGGTTCTTCCGACGCCATGTTGAATCGCCCAACCAGTTCAACCACACATGCCAACGACCCAACACGCAGCGGAATACCTTGAACCCTGTCTCAAATAGCCGCTTGCGGAACATTTGCCGACGTCATCACAACCGGAAACTGCAGAAGCCAAGGAAGAAAGAGAAAGCGAGGAAGCCGTAGCCGCCGCCGTCGCCGTAGAATGTATGTAACTTAGGTACCTGTGAGTTAATTCAATGTAAATAGTACTGTGTGTCTCGCACCCAGCATCCGTGTCCGATTCGTGGCTACCTTCTCTGAACGGCCATCGCTTCGTCCATCAGATGCCAAAACACGAGGATGAGGTCCGGGGAGGCTGTCACGGAAGTTGAACTCTTGAGAAGGCCAAGTCGGCAAAGGCGTTGAAACTGATCGCCCACTAACTGCTAAATACGAAACAGCCTTTGTTATACGGCCAAATGAACAGGCGAGTTCCTTCAACTATTGTACTCCAACTCCCCTACTCTCCGCCGTTGTCTCTGTCCCCCTCAAGACCATTAACGACCCTCAGCGCTCTCCTCGGTCCAAGCACAACACTGAAAAAGCTCGGCTCCTGCCCGTCCAGCAGCCTCTCGGTCGACGAAGTGCTACCACCGCTGACGCTGTCACCCCGCCGTAGTGGCCTCGTCGGCCCAACCCCAGGTGTAGTCCCGGTACCGCTACCGCTATTGCTTCCGAAACCGCTCCCACTCCCCGTGCCGCTCCCCAGACTAGGCCGCTCCTCGTCAAAGAAACGCGGCTCGGTAGGCCGCACCGCCCAGCCAGACACGGAATCGACCGTCGACGTGGAGAAGCGGTTCGTCGCGGCCACAGCCAGCGGAGGAGCACCGGCACCGCTGACCCGCTCCCTCCCCCACGCTCCCTTCTCCGTCTTCTCCTCCGAATCTGAACCAGCCACGACACCCCACCTCCAACTCGTCCCCTTCCCCGCCATCGCCGGAGCCATCCCACTCGCCGGGGGTTCAAGATCCCCCGAGGCGCCGCCCGCGGCACTGTACCGATTCGCGGCCGCGACGTGGCTTTTGTAGGCCTTGACCTGCCTCCGATACAGCCAGGCGCAATACCCCAGATACGCCGCCGTGAGCCCGGCTAGGCCGGCCAACACGCCCGCCGCGATCAGCCCGCCGATGTTGTTGGGAGGATGGCCCGGATCGCCAGCAGGCTGCGTGATGGTGGCCGTCGGGCCGGCTCCCCCAGGCATCGTGACCGTGAAGACGGGGGGTTTGCCCGTTGCGAAGGGCCCTCCCGTGGCGGGGCCCGCGGCCGGGGTCGTGGCGGTCGCGCCGCCCGATGGGGAGCCGCCGATTACCGAAGCGACGATGTCTGGGACGGCGTAGCCGAAGGAGGCGGCGAGGACCGAGTTCTCAGGGTGGTGGTCGGGCGGGTGGTCCAGGGAGTGGAAGGCGGATTGGAAGAGGAGGGATGTGGCGTTGAAGATGTCTGTTGGGGGATGTCAGTCGGGCTTTGGATAAGAGGGGGGGGAGATCTCTACGGATTTTGGGACTTACGGATACCTGGCGACTCGCACGAGGGATTATTGCCGATGTAGCCGCCCACAATGATGATTTGTCCGTCGCGCAGAGTACAGGTGTGCCCAGCTCGAGCGGGAGGACTGTCGGTCGGGGCGGGGACTTTGATCCAAGTAAAGGCGGGGATGGTGAGGATATACATGTCAGAGTACTGGACTTGTTCCCGCTGAGAGGATGTTAGCTGACGAACCTAGGAATAATCCGGTGAAAAGTCAAGGACCTACATAGGGTACCAAATTCTGTCCGCCGTACAAGTAGATCTGAAAGCTGGACGCATCCGGAGCCGATGCAGTGACCGCGCACGGGTTAACCCTCACAGACGGCGCCTCGCCCGTCGTTTCTTGGTGGTACCACTCGGAGCTTGCAATGTCGTACACATCGAGCCGCGAAAGGTCGTCGACAAAGGTGTCGTTGCTACCGCCCGCCAGGCCGATGAGCACCCCTTTTTCACCCCAGCCAGGGACAAAGACCAGGACACCGTCGGCTCTCTCGGGAAACGCGTCGGCAGCCTGCAGGCCGCCCTCGGTTATGTTCCGGTAGGCGCCGCCCTCGCCGGCCCCGGTCCCGTCGGCAAGCGAGTAGACGGCGTCGTTGGTATATCCCGGGTGGGTGAACTCGAGCAGGCTCTTGAGGTAGACACGCGCAATTTGGTTGGACCAGCCCGGGGTAGTGTGCATGTCAAGGTGGCCGCCAAAGTACCAGCTTAGACCCAGTTCCGGTACGGAAATTCCCGCACCCTCGGCAGCACGTTGAACTGGCTGGTTACCTTCAGCATACTTGCCACCCAAAGTCCTGGGCGACGGGTACTCGGTCCAGGTCTGGCTGCTGATGGAGTACCTCCAAGTGGATATAGGGGCTGGCTCGACGAAGGGGTTGTCGGCGAACTGTCCTCCGTAAAGGTAGAGGTTATTGTAGTCATTCCAAAGATAGCCCAAGGAGATGGCGGGAGGCCCGGAGGGTTGAGGGAGGCTCAGCAATGCTGGCGAGCTCGTATCCCAAGACTTTGTAAGATCCAGGACGAGGAAGTTGTTGTCTGGAAATATATCAGCGGGTGAGCGGCCTTTGTTCAATCCAAATTGGGGTGCTTACTCCAGGTGTCCGTCGTCTGGTCCTCGGAAGTCGTCGCCTGGCCACCGTATATGTACAGCGTGCCGTTGAGCTGCGCGCCTGTTCACTGGTCGTCAGTTCCCGTTCATCTTTGCTTCCCAGAAGCAGTCAACTCACTCTGATGGGCCCACCGCTTGCAAACAAGCGCCGGGTTGGAATCGCTGGATGCCCTCGGCTCGAGCACGGGGGCGGCTTCGGCTGCTGTCGGATGCGTCACGCCGGCGCCCGCGACATTTGCCGTAACCTCCTCACGGCCCTGATAATAACTAAAGCCGGGCAGCAGAACGGCAATGAGCAGCGCAAACGACGAAAGTCGTGTAATGGTGGACATGCTGGGAGGCGGCGCACTTGACACAGTCTTGATTCTTGGCCGGCGCACCCGGCTTACACGAAGTGAGCCCATCCGGGCGTACCACGGTCTTTGAGAAGTTGAAGGGGACGTTGGGTCAGTCCGCGACTCGTCTTGATTATCCTGTCTTTGCTGCGTCTGTCGTCTTTCCATCTCGCCTCTGCCGTCATCGCTTTCATTGTCGTTGTTGGCGGATTCCGGCGCATGAGTGCTAGTGGGCGATGTGAGCCCCGTCAGCTCGGTGAACTCTGGCTCGTTTGAGAAATGCCCGCTCGGCGTGTCTGTGTCTAGGCCCAGCTCCGTGAAGACGGATTTCCGGTTTTTGCTGATCTTTGTCGACATGAAGAAGGAAGGCTGGTCTTGGTGAGGCTACACGAACTCGATTATCTGCACATCTGTGTTTTTATGCCATTTGTGGTGTGGTCTGAACCGCGGGAACCTGGCAGGGTGTTGTGGGTATTTCAAGTCTCACGGGGACCTCAGCTGTTGGGCCAAATCACAGAAGGTAGGGTATGATGACACCAGTGGCCTGGACCATTCACTGGCAATGCAAAGCCACCGACGATGATCGTCATGGTGCAAGGGCTGTTTTCTTTGGTACGAAGCTTGGATTGCCACCCACAACAGGCAAGAGGGTGGGCAACTTGGCAAAACGGCGCCAGAAACGGGCGATGAGGTCACAGCACCAGCGTACCTGAAGTACGGATTATTCCCACGTCTTGCCCCTATTAGACAGGTGGTGCAAAGAATTCGATCACTACTGATGGATTAAAAAATCGATAAATGGAAATTCTCATCGGCTCACTCGAGCGGCCGGCATGGTCGGGGTTTGAAGACTGATAATCATTTCACGTATTTGTTGCCGTCTCTTGCCCTCGATTGTGAGACGACAAGGAGAATGTAAAGGGAGTGAAATAGGTTAGGGATTTGGCTGGCAGCAAATTGCTGGGTTGCTTGCCTAATACAGGCCAATAACGTTAGCACTCACGTTTTAATCCGTAGTAGATACGCGATTGGCTCAGGCTGCATTGCATGACCTCATCCACCAGTGCCTACCATGAACATTCCAGGTTTTGGTTACTATAGCCTATAGGTCGGTACAGTATTTATGTAGGTTCTTTTCAGTTGATATTATTCCGTGTAATTTAAGTATGGTATTTTCCCTCCTCCTGTCATTTGATTTCGATGCATGGTACGTCCACAAAATATAGTTAATTAAAAACCATAACGTAACTAACTAACTTTAACTACAGTAGTTAATCATCATGGCTTTCCATATCCTATTGTGGAAGAATCGCTCCTAGACTTGAGTACACTGGACGTAGTCTCTTTAGGCAACGCGATTCTGAAACGCCTTGACTCGAGGAACCAGCACCATTGAGGTCCATATGTGCAAGTGCAGATTTCAAGCTTATTTGTTCAAGGTTGGAACGTGGCTCACTACGCAGCCTGAGGTCAGGGTCACTTCATCGGCAGGCACGTACAAGCACTTCACCGAGCGCTATGCCCTTCAGGTACGTTAAGAGTCCTTTATGCCCCCTTCCAGCTGTCTTGGGAGTCTCGGGAGTTGCTGTGATCCCAACGCAGCGCTCCCAAGTAGACAGACAGGACAATGAAGGCTGACAAAGTTGGAGAGATCTGGAGAGCAGCCGACGGCCATGAATTCATCCTTAATGAGAGACTAGTCGACTTAGAGGGCGATACAACATCCTTCTTGGGGATGGAGGAAAAAGAAACGGGGCCGCAGCTTATACGGATGACCACGGATGACAGGATTCAACTCGTTCTCCCTATAAACCCGGAAGTGGCAGTTATCTTCTGCGACGAGTCGCGATGTTGGGAGTCGCCCTTCGCGGACGCCATCCACCGAGCCAGTATCCCATACCTCGCGAATACCCTGCTCAAGGATGCGCCGCACAAGGATATTATCAACGTCAATATACCAAGCGAGCGGAGGGGCAAGAAGACGTGGCCGGCGACGGCGGCGTGGCGAGTGAGCATCGGCACCCTGTCTCGACAGCACCACCGAATCATTGCGTCTCACTCTCTTGGCCATGCGCGGTCATTCCTTGTAGTTCGACACCGGGCGCGATTTGAGCGAGCCAGGAGAGAACTAGCCGAGTTCCAGCGGGAGAGAGCGGAGACGTGGAAGAGGCAGGGAATCCGGTTTGGCCATCTTGACGACCGGCCATGGCATCAGACGGAGCGAGCTGCAGGTCTCTCGTAGGAACAAATAGCGAGGATAGTAGACAGCCACACATCTGCGCTACGCGACATGAACAATCTCGTCGCAACCAGCCGCGAGCCGTATACTAAGAAGCAAGGAAAACAGCATCAGGTGCTGGCAGGCAATTTCACTCTCGACCGGGCCTCCGGTGCCGGCCTAACTGTCTCGTCAAAAGCAGATGGCACGTCCTCAAAGAAACGCATCATGCACCCGGCTCTCAAGATGGCCTTTGAAGCCGCCTATCCCTCCAAACACATCCCGACCACCGGGACTTCATCGACGTCGACTGTGCCGAGTTTGTATACTCCTGTGTTGGCGAAGAGATGTTCGCAAGGCTCTTCGACGCCATTCACAGGAAAATCCAAGGGTTGGTCCAGAAGGACTGCTTTGAACCCTATTTTGACGCCGCCGTTCAACAGCCGGAGGCCAACAGGGGATTCCAGCCTGCGGCCACTTCACTCTTCCAGCGAGTTGATTTTGCCGGCGAAGGAGGCGAAGACGTTCTGAAAAATCCCTGCTTCCAGTCGATTCCCGCGGCAGCCCAGGAGTTCGATGTCTTGTAGTAGGTGTTTAAGGAGCGGCAGGACATTTTAGCCACGTTTGTGCGGCAGATAGCAATGCCTATGGCAGAGATGCAGCCCTCAGTATTTGGGATTCGTGCGAGGCGGGAATAGGCTCGGCATGGAGCCAAGACGAGCTCCGGTGGTGGGAGAGGTTGGGCATTGGGTGAATAGTTTGATACTGATGTGCCGGAGCATGAGCGAGGTACTAGGTTAAGGCACTTCGACGCATGGCAGCCTTACCATCAACAAGTTTGGCGGCCTATATTTGGGCACGGTACTGGGGAGCAATGTAGGGACGTACCATCTCTAGAAGGCAGAAGACGACTAGCTATATAACCTAGAGGGCAAAGTCGGCCGGGAACGCCACGAACGCATAGAGAAACATGAAAACCCCGCGTTTACTTGGAAAGATCAAGGTCGGCACACACATGCTTTAGCATTGATGGAGGACTATGTCCAGGCTCGCAGCGAGTCCTTGGCGCAGACCATTCATACACTCTGTCCTCTTGGCCACCATAGCCAAGTGGATTCACGGTGGCCTTGGTCTCCAACGACGCACAGGCATAAGTACTGTACATGTAGCTACCGGGTGTCATCCCTCATGAGTTTATGCTATATATCCGTACAGTAACCGTCGTACCATTGCAACTCTGTTGGCGCCAAACACTAGTGCATTTGTGCCACATTGTGTTAGCTGCAGTCATTTACTTTTACAGTATTTCGATATTTTCTTCTTGGCGGCTCACTGGTCGCTGTACAACATGCACTGTATGTCACAATCAGCCCCGAAACTGGTCCGACTGACAACCTGACAATCTGGACACTGATTCCGGTCTTTACTGTAACACATCGTTACCTAACGTTATCCATAATTAGAAAGAGATAACTAAAGGCGTGGAAGAGGTGGAGAATCAGGAAATCAATAAGTTATCAAACTAAGTTATAAATGGACATGAAGAAAAGTGAAAGTAGGAAGAATAAAGTGTAAACGCCCAGTTCGTTACCTCTGAGGAGGAGTTGCGCTTGCTTGGCTGATGTTGGTCCGAGTCGGGCGTTGTGCGCAAATGAGATGGGCTGGCGCCATGAAAATTGCAGCTGGCCATCAGCTGACTGAAATCATATCGCCTCCCATTCGATGTTAGTTATATCAACGTCAACAGTCCCACGAACTTACTTTATGATCCGATCACTCAGTTAATCACACAGAACAACAGCAAATAGCAATTCAAATACTTCACCACATCCAAAGTTTAATACCGGAACTCCCAACGTTCTGTCAAGTTTCGTTAGCATTACAAAAATGGCCGACCCAGCTGAAGACCGAGAAGATTTGATCGCCGAGTCCGCCTTACCAGTCGCAGAATCGTCCACGGTCACCACCCCAGCAAATACATCCTCAACCATCACGACAAAGTCGTCCGCAAAGCGCAATGCCTTTGCCGAACTGATGGCTCCCAAACCAAAAGCGCCAGTCTCGCAAGCCCCGCAATCTCTCGCCAGCAAAGCCTCCCAGGTCATCCGTGGTGTCTGGCGCGGCGCCCTAATCGAATACATTGAACATCCGGAGCGCTTTCCCGACCAGGTCCTGCGCGTAACAGACAAGACGGTCCTTATCAAAGACGCCTTTCCGAAAGCCACCATCCACCTGCTTCTCCTCCCGCGCTCACCGGACCACTACCTCGTGCACCCGCACACAGCTTTCAAGGACCCGGCCTTCCTGGCTATGATGCGCGAGGAAGCCGCAGTCGCCTCCAAGCTCGCAGCAGCCGAGCTTGCAAGACGGCTGGGCTCCTTCTCGGCCAGAAACCGCGCCCGCAACGAGGCCATGGACAAGGGCGTCCCGTTCGACGAGCTGCCGCCGGGGAGGGATTACAGCAAGGAGATCCGCGTCGGGACACATGCGCATCCGTCCATGGCGCATCTGCATGTGCATATCATCTCGAGGGACATGCACTCTTACCGGACAAGGCACAGGAAGCATTACAATAGTTTCAATACCCCCTTTTTCGTGCCCTTGGCGGATTACCCGCTTGCTGAAGATGATGTGCGAAGGGAGACAGGGTTTCAGAATGGGAATCTGGCCAAGGAGTTGGTATGCTGGAGGTGTGGTAAGGGGTTTGGAAATCGCTTTGCAGAGCTGAAAAGACATTTGGAGGAGGAGTTTGAGGAGTGGAGGGCTGAGTGATGGCGCTGAGTGATGGCATCTAACGTATATAATCAGCGAGCGGAATCATCAGCGAGCGGATCATTCTAGCAATTTTTGGTAGAGGTGCATGCAGTATGACGTTAGAAAATTGTTAGTGTGATCTAACAATTTCTTATTGTCCCATTGTGCATGCTCCACCAAATATTGCTAGAGTGATCCGCTCGCTGGTAATATACGTTATGGGATTGCATTGTCAAGGTAGCAATTGAATGCATGTTGCTGGCTACGGGACATCGACGGCCCATTTTAGGGTTCCTGAACTCGGCGTGAGCTTACCACGGATTAAGGTTCAGTCACAGCCTGCCTGTCCAAGGAGTTGTATCGAAGACTTCGTGATATTCATCTTATATACTGGTCTGCGCGCAACTCTATAAGGCAGTCTCCGACTCTGTTAATGCTACTGTTTTTGCTGTGCCTAGTAAGCCAAGGCTGAGGAGCTAGCTCCTTTGGGGGCGTAGCACGTAAGTACCCTGGCTGCTTGGCTGGACGGGATTGTATGAAACCGGCAGGGCCGCTGGCACAACAAAGGCTCCGAGGGCAGCAGTGCTACGACGAGGATGCCAAGGTAACTTGGACCGCCCGGTCCGCCTTGAACCTCATCTCGGGCTCCAACACGCGCTTGAAAAAAGTCTTTCCACTTGGCGTCGACGCCCAAGAACTCGAGGACGGCAAAGATGGTCGAGTGCGGGCTCGAAGGCCGAACGATTTGAAGTCGGACCGGATGACGGTCATCTCTCCATCCACGTCAACCACGTCAGGTGTGATGGGGAGCAGCGGCTCTTCGACCGCCAGGAAGGGTGTTGAACGTTGTTAGGTATTGACCGGTGTCGAGTTCTGTTGTGGGATGGAGGCAGAGCGCACAGAACAGAGGTGGTATTGCGAAGTGCTATACGATGTGGTGGAGAAGGTTGTGGGAGCTGGCTGAAGGGATGCTGAAAGATATTTGTAGGGCAGCGACCTGCAACATATTGACGGCTTCCTTTTTGGTCGGTGCTCCTACGGCCCAATCTCGTGTGATAGGGGCTATACCCAAGTCTCAGAAGTGATGTTACCGGATCAGCGACAGTGGTAGTGCTTCAACAGGCCCTGGTGACTGGCTCGAGATGAAGCGCTGCTTTATTCCTTACCTTTCCACTAAGACCCTCAGTAGGAGCTTAAGCGCACTTGACGACTCATTCCTAGGCCATGCATATGGTAACCTGCTATTCATCTTCTGTCATCTGAGGCTCACTTGGCGTTGCGTGACGGTCCTTAGTTGGACGACTGTGTTGAGACTCTTAGGCGCTGCATCGTTGATGTCACCGACTCTCCAGCGCTGTTGCTTTTCAGCTGCCGGGCTTTCCGGGAATATGCGCCGGGACCAGAGCTCGCTACGGCGGCGGTGTGCGACCGCGAAGCCAAAGGGCCACTTCCGCTGACGCGCCCGCCCCGGACGGCTGGGGGGTTGGTGGCGGACGCTCTGCTTCCGCTTTTACCCCGGATTCTGGAGTTCCAGAGCTCTGGGAACTGCTTTGGGAGCTATTGTTCGAGCTCCTGCCGCTGCTTCCACCAGGGCCACCTTGTCCGTGGCGGCCTGTTTCTTCAGGGCTTGGGTTCCGTTCCAGCCTCAAGGCAAAGCGGACAATCCCTTCAGACTCAGGCTCCGCTGTCGTGACTCGTTCGAGAAACTTCCGCTCATACTCAAATGGATTTCTTCGGCCACTTCCCGCATCGCACGGCCATATTGCGGGTGCTTGCAAACAAAGAGTAGGTCTTCGTAATCGCCATGAAAGCCCCTACCTACCGTATGACTGGAGCTTTGCCTTGACAACAGGTCCAACGTCCAAGACGCATATTGCGTTTCCGCCTTTGAATCAGAGAAGCTCGGTAAACCGCGCGAAGGTCAGACGGCATGCCGTGGCTTTCAGTGCGCCTTCCCTGCGCCACCCATTTCCCTGTTTCCGCCGCAAAAGCTACAATTTTTGGTTCATCTTGACGCCCTCGTCGAACTGCTTCGTCGATCCGTCTTTAGAGGCCCACGTGGAGAGAAGCAAGAACGGCGTCCCGTATGCATCGTTGACCCAGTTCGCTCGCTCGCTCCTTATACAGCAGTGCCGCTCCGACATAGCTGATTTCATTGACGGTATGGTCCTGGATATTGAGTGGGGAGCACGCCACATCGACTTCAAAGCCGTGCAGCGGGCGAGTGACGGGTTTATCAAACTCAGGAATCAACGGCTTCAAGGAAAACGGTTATAGCAGCGGCCTTTCACCGCAGCCCCTGGATGGCGAGAGATAGCAAGCAGCGAGGCCAAACCGCGCCAGATCGAACCGATGAAGCAGGGACGGTACTTCACGCGCTGGCGAAGGATCAAGTCTCCGGAGGACCCCTGAACCAAGGGCCGCCCGGTTTAGCCGCGAATCTGACCTTCGATAGTCGTTGGCTTGAATGACGGCTGTAATGAAGTGTTCAGAGCCTTAGATACCTGGTAGTGTATTTATGGCGACTTGCCTTTGATTCTCAAGCGCTTTGGTTTTAACTTTGACTGACAAAGGCCCTGGCTAGGAGCTTTATACTGAGTTTTATCGTGTACGGAGTGGTTAGGCTTGGATGGAACTCCATCCGTAGATTTACCATGGCCAAGCGGAAGAACTTTGGATACCTCCATCTGGTGATTGGGTGTAGTGGTATTCTCTTCTTTGAGCACAGTGGATTGTTGCACACAACAGCTTGCAAGGTTACTAACCTAATCACCTGGTACCGTTGCTGGCTTCAGCGTCATATCTACGAACATTGTCAAGACCGTTGAAACAAATTTGGGAAAAATCGGAGGGACACTGAACGGATGTGCCCACTGCGCTGTGTGACCAGCATGGACTCAAATTTTGAATGGTTGTACTTGTACTTAATACGCCTCCCCCAATATCAAGTGTCGGTCTCTGTACCAGGTATGGATGGCAGCCGCAATCATTTCATCATGGCTCTCTGGGCTGAGTGCCCCGCAAGTCACAGTGTCACAAATCAATTTCCGAACCACCAGTTAAACCCAACTGCAGCATGCACCAACTGCGGGTCGTTGGGTGATGCGGCCTCGCAGGCGAAGATACCTTGCCTACCAGCGCCTACACATAGTCACAGGTTTCCTCAGCCGGCTGTCTCACTAATTGAAAGCCCTCCCATCATTGTGCTATGCTCTCCAAGCAGAAGGACTACAGTACCTAATGGGCTCCTCCACTCAATGTTTAGTTGTAGGCAAACGAACGAAAAGCTCAACAGCTACTGCTGTAGTCGACAGGCTGAGGTCAGCCTGCAGATGGCCCTGGCCGCGCAAGTACTGAAATCGGCGTAGCAGCAGCGAATTGTCTCCGATCACCCGCCACATCCCCAGAATACCTATACGAAGCCAAGGGTGCGGCTGGCGGGCTCGGATCGGAGTTTGAGATGCTTGCAGAGCTGTAACTCGCTGCACGGCTTCTCAGAGGATCGAAAAAGAGCAGGTGCCAAGGCCAGGTCCCTGAAACACTCAGCAGCGGCAAGGGGTTGTCCTGCAGGTCTCAACGCAGTGACACGACCAGGATGACGTTACGTTAGTTTATTGCCAAAAGCCGTTAGCAGAGCTGGCTGCCAAGGCCTTGGGAAGCAGGATCTGACCACTCCAGCATGGTCAGGATTGTGCGTGTGTTGAGCTGTCCCTCAGCTGGCCATGCAAGAGCCTGGGCAACCTGCAGGCTGTGCAGCTGAATGGCGCATCATGTAAATATTGGGAGCAGGCTGCATTGTCGGCGACCTCGCGGCTCTTCGTTCGGGGTTCTCGACGTCCGAATTCGCAGCGCCCATAAGAAGGCGTCCTTTGGTCTCGTTCTGGTGGTCCAACCGACTTCGATCGTTGCAGTACTCCCACCCAAGAACCAAGATGTTGAACCGAAGGAGCATCTCGGCCCTGCTCGCTGGGGCCGCTGTGACCTCAGCCTGCACTATCCCGACCGAGAGCCTCCCCAACAACATTGCCTACCCTTTTCGTGCCCAGGTTCAGAATGCCTCCCGGCCCGAGGTGCATAACAAGTACATGAACCTGCTTGAGGCCGGAGGCGGCGACCGTCATCTGTTCATCGGCCCTGTCGGCGTGCCAACATTCGACCTGACACTGGTTGACGGTGTCATCAACCACGTCCCCAATGGCGTCCGCGCCGTGATAGGCGGCGAGGTATGACCATCTGCTTGTGTCACTGCCAGCACCACCAAGTTGACCTCCCTAGTTCTCCGAGATCGACCACACCACCAAACTGTTCATGACGGGCCGTGGTGACCCCCGAGCCATCTTTCAGCCCACCTACGCCTGCAACCCCGACACGGACGAGCTTCAGATCGAGCTGCAGTTCGTCACTTGGCAGAACCAGCCCGCCGGCGGCCACATATGCGTTCGCCACGCCTTTGACGGCAGCCACGAGTTCCGTTATTCCCCCCCGGGTAACACGCGTATGTCGATCCCATCAACCATCACGGCTTTTCGGCTCCACTAACACCATCCTAGTCATCGACGTCAACCGCGAATGCATTAAAGTAACTCTCGTGGTCATCCCCACGGACGGCCTGCCCCCGCAAAGCAGCACCACGCTCTCGACCTCCACCATCCCCGCCACCTCGTCCGCGGCCTCCACCACCACCAGCACCACCTCCTCCACCGCCACCTCGACCCCTAACCCGAGCAGCCTCTTCACGGACATGACGGCCCAGGGCTTTCGCTTCCTAGGCTGCGCCCCCGAGGAGCGGTGGACGAGCGACGGCGCGTTCCGGACGCTGTCGGGCGCGACCGAGTCGTCCGACGCCATGACCAACGAGCGGTGCACGGCGTTTTGCACGGCGCGCGGGTTCAAGTACGCCGGCACCGAGTGGCGGCGCGAATGCTGGTGCGGCAACTCGTTTGCCGAGACGCGCCGGCCCGCGACGACGCTCGCCAGCCTGGCGAAGTGCGACTACCGCTGCATGGGGGACCAGGCGCAGTTTTGCGGGGGGGACGCGTGGTTGAGTTTGTATGAGAAGTGCGAGGTTGGGGCGGCGTGTCAGAATGTGGTTTTCACGTAGGCAGAAGTATCCAAGGTACAGCATGGGAGTGTCTTGGGATTCCAGAGATGGGAGCCGGAGCGGAAAAGGTACTGTACCTAAGGCGATTGGCAGCAAGCACATGCCAACCATATATTTTAATAGCAACTGAGGGTCATTCAACCTAACTGCATTCCCCGCTGTGGTCCTCTCTGACCCTGCATGCGAAGCAACTGTACGGATTACTAACAATTGATTGGGCAGAAAAAGCTCAGCATGCCGGGGCACCAGGAGGCATGCAAACAAACAGAAAAATATGCATGCACGCAGAGAAGTATGTACTGTAGCAAGCCAAAAGGGAGGCTAGAGTTTGCCCAATGAGTCCCCCCCGTTTCCTGGCGCGAATTGGTTACAATCCGACTTTGGGTTGATCATTAGCGTGGCACATGGGGCCTATTACTGTAGATATTAATGGGACAAAAGTAAGCAAGGAATATGAAAAAAAAAGAGAGAGCGGGAAAAAACATAACGTTAACGATATAAAAGATAATAAGGGAATATAAAGAGAGAGAGCAAGATGAAGAAAACAGAAAAGAAAAATACCAAAAAAGTCAACGTTAAGTAAAGGAAGACTAAAAACACAAAGATTAAAGATAAAAAGAAAGATAAAGGTCAAGTTAAAGAGAAAGAAAATAGAAAACAGAGTACATGTCACGGGCCCCAATGTGAGCCCTACACTTGGGTTATTGGCAGGCGAGAGACTGTGGATTTCATGGCGAAGCGACATGACTCGCAACAGAGTGAGGATATCTGGAGAGCGGGAGACTCAGATTAGAACTTGGAACTTCGCTCTCCCAAGAATCAGTCAGTTGGTCAAGTGATGCACGCACAATACAGTCGTCTTGCCTGCTTCTCGTTGTAGATTCGGTGCATCTTCCTTAGTGAGCCTGTGTGTGTGTCACGAATATGGCCGTATGCAGAAATCTGGTGGGGCCGCGAGGGGAGCGTCCCGAGCTAATCATTCAGAACAGGAGTATAGCCAATCACGACGGGAGCGCGAAGTCAAGCATTCGCTCCATGGAAGGAGCGATGGAGGCGACGAGCGCTCCTAAGCACAGTAGGAGAGGAAGCTGTATATAGCTCACGATCCCCAGAGCCACGGGCATCACAGTAGTTTCCTCAGTAAGCAATACAAGCAGTCAGCCATATCTACTGTTGAGACAATTGCTTGTGCACTTGTTGTGAACCCTTTGGCTTCACCGAACCTCACCCCGTTGTCAATTATAGCCTTCAGGAGTCCCTTCCAGAAGTTGGGGCTTCGAGATTCGTCACACTGGCGGTAGTTGGTGTGGGGTGCTCCAAACTTTCAGACACGTACTGTACGTCCGTACCAATAGTGGTTTCACGGCATAAGGTGCTTCGGAGTTTCTAAATTGAACCGGAAAGGAATTTCTTCGTAGTAGTGTGCTGACTAGCTGCTGAGTATGGATAGGGGTTTATGAACCGCATCGATAAGTCGTTGATGAGAAATCAGTACAGCTTCACCGCGGAACAAAGGAGTCGCATTCTCGGGCCGGCGAGAAACAAAGGGGTCATCTCTTAGTAAGGTCCCGGCAGGATGAAATACACGTACATGAATGGGAGCAAGATGTGGCATCATGGACCCTGAATGCAGCGTGTTCCTGAGCCCGGTGGGGCAAAGCGCCGTCATGCACTGACAAATCCGGAGAGGTCCTGGATTACATCATTGGCCCAGAAGCATCCACTCTAGCCCAAGATCCTGTCGAAAGTCTTTAATAACCTCACCTTTCCTTCCGTCATGCAATCCCCTCTTTCCAAATGACATCGAGACTTCTGCGACCCGCCGTTAGGACCCTTCGAGGAACTCCGTCAACTATCATACCAATTACCCCAAGACAATTTACCACCAGCTCGTCCAAGATGACGGTCCATATCATCGATTCGTGAGTCTCTTGCCCTTCAGATCGCGAGGTGGTTTATCCCCTCCTGCTGCTTGGATTACGCAGAGAATCACTAACCCAGCTCTGTGCTCCAGGGTCGACCAGTTCAAGCAGACAATCGCGAAGAATCACGTCGTCCTTCTCGACGCCTTCGCCACATGGTGCGGTCCTTGCAAGGCGATTGCGCCCCAAGTCGCTCGGTTCGCACACCCTCTTCGCCCCTCCACCTCCGCCCAGTAACAAACATCTACGACTAACTCCCTCCTCTCTTGCTGTATAGATGGGCCCAGGACCCCGAGTACAAGGGCAAGACCTACTTTGCCAAGTTCGACGTCGACGCCGTTCCCGATCTCGCGGAGAAGCTCGGCATCCGCGCCATGCCCACCTTCGTTGTCTTTAAGGACGGCGAGAAGGTCGATGAGTTTCTCGGCGCCAACCCGCCGGCTCTGCTCAACCTGCTTAAGAAGTACAACCCGGAAAAGGGCGAGAATATGGACGCCGCCGAGGCCGCCTTGGCCGCCGATAAGGCCGAGTCCTCCGACAAAGCCGACTCCCCCGCCACGGCTGAGTCCTCGACGAAGAATGAGTAGGCTTGCCTAGGAAAACTCAGGGTGTTTATAGGGAACACGGGAGATAGGCGGAAGGTTTCGGCTGAAATGGGGGAGTGGGGTGTTGGGGAGGCGTGCGCGGCCGTCCATACTGCAGTTTTGCTCCATAAGAGACCAGGGCATCCAAGGGTTGGCATTCTGCTTTGCGCCGGAGGTTTGGGTTTCTTTGTTTATACCAAGGATAGGAAGACGGTGACCGACATTAATCAATGCCAACTATTCCAATACCGGACAAAGCTCTGAAACATAAGCTTACCAGAGCTGGCAGTCGGCGACAGTTCCTCTTCCTGCTTTAGTGTGGTCATCGCCAAAGGCAGGGTAAGACAGCTACGAGGTTTAGCGAATCCGATCATGTGATACCAACGGCGGGGACAGGCAAAATAACAGCGAAAGGAGTGAGGTTTTTGACTCATTTGTTGCAATGGACAAAAGGCTTCACAACAGTCCCTGGATACCTCCCTGATCAGACATAAAAAATAAACAGCAAAATTGGGGCCAACCGGGGATCGAACCCGGGACCTCTCGCATCAATGCTTCAGGTTTGGTAGCCCTAAGCGAGAATCATACCACTAGACCATCGGCCCATAAAAGTGTATGAAACATTTAAGAAATACTTCATCCACCTACTTGCTCTCTGGCCTCGCAATATCTAAGAAGCTCACACCTCAGCCCTAATCTTTTACCAATAATGGCATGACATTTTCGTCTCATACATTGAAACATGTCGGAAGCTATCCTTCCAGCAATTTCATCCTGCAGGATAGCCCAGCATGGTGTTCGTTTATTAGCCTTGCGTCAGCTTGTTCCCCTCGACATATCCGGCGAAAGAGACGAGCTGGCGGGATTCCAGTAGCATTCAATATAGGTCTCCCTGGAGTGGCTAGACTGGGACTTGGCTGAGGCTGTCTCCTGGGCGTCCCAGCTTCGCCTCAAGACCAAGCACTCCTGTGCAGTAAGCAACTCGGGGTCTTCAGTGATTTCCCCGCATTCAGGAGCCCAACCATATATCGCTTTCCTACTCAGCATCCATTTCGTATGTACAAGTACCTGGCGATTTGCCAGTGTCGACCCTATACCCGATGGCCTCACAACCCCTTTACGCTGACTTGAAACTGCCGCGCAATAGAGGTCCAGAAGGCGCCTCCATACGCCTTCTCACCCTAGCCGATGACCAGTCCTGGCATCTTAGCAACACCACTTTGGCGGCATGTCCCAATTACAAGGCACTTTCCTATCATTGGGGAAACCCAAGTGATACCCTTCCTGTTCATTGCAACGGAGTCGAGATCCACGTCACCCGAAACCTCCATACAGCCCTGGACGACCTCAAGTCGGCATATCCCAACGGACTCACCATCTGGATTGACGCCATCTGCATCAATCAACGCGACATAGTCGAGCAGGCACACCAAGTCGCCATCATGCGCGACATCTATTCCCGAGCCCAGGAAGTCTTGATTTGGCTCGAGCCGCCACTTCTCCCAAAGAACGTCAAGCAGTGTTTCGAAGCCTGCGAACTTTACGCCTTGCGGTGGAACCTTGCTGCACGCAGGATCAAAATCGAGGCGGGCCTGACAGACAATTACCCGGAGGAGGCGTGGGACCTGCTACAAGCCATGGCCATACAGGTCGCTCTCCAGAAGGGCAACCGGGAGATCTTCCCGCCGAGCATTATGGACGGTCTCCTACAGCTCTTCCGGCAGCCGTACTGGAGTCGCGTGTGGATCATCCAGGAAATGTGTCTGGCAAGAGAAGCACGGATACTGGCGAACGGATATTGGCTATCCTGGACCGACTTCAAGCACTTTCTGCTCATGTTGGAACACTGTATGAAGTGGGTTGTGCGGGAAGTCGGCCCGAACTTTCGTGGTCTGATTCGTCTGACAACCATTTTCCACCATCATGGAGGACGGGGAGGTCCGAGCCTGGCGCAACTTCTCGTGCAGTTCCGATGGTCTCAGGCATCGAATCCGCGAGACAAGGTTTACTCGTTGTTAGGGCTGGCTCCCGCAGAAGACCGCGGACTTGTCAGCGGGGATGCCGATGATCTCTACAAGGTTTCGACCGTTGAGTGTTATACTAGGGTCATGTTTGCGCTGCTGCAGCAGACACGCGACCTAACCTTGCTGGTTCACTGCCTGGCGCCGGCTTGCCTGACCAGACAACCTGACCTCCCGTCCTGGGTACCTGATTGGGCATACGACGCCTCCAAGCTACCTTCCCCTCGGTTCGGCTTGACCAGCGGGGTCCCCTACCATCGCTTTGGTGACACCAGGCCCGAGATATACCGCGGCTATCGGGCGTCAGGGGATTCGCGATGCCCGACCCCTCTTCTTCGCGATGGTCCATCAGGCCGGACACTCGTGCTCCATGGCATGACGGCCGGACGGATCGCGATAGTCTGCCGAGCGCTAGAGCTCCACCATCAATACGCACGACTTGAACATCCTAGAGGTTCGTTGGAGCCCCGACCCCCGGGCTCCTGGAACGAATTCATGTTCTCCGGCGAAGCCACAACACATTTCTTTCGCACCCTGCTATTTTACCCCTCTCGTGCGCTGTTTCTCATGTGGCCGGTAAACACCTATAGAAAGGGAAGTGCGTTGGATATCTGTTTGGAATGGGCACGCCTCGCAGAGTCTCATGGGACATGGCTAGGCTCAGATGGTGCCCAAAGGGAAAAAGTCGACGAGTTGACGGCCATGTTCACGACCCTCATGAAAGGTCGGCGCGGCTGCGACTTTTTCGTGCACGTGCTCACTGACAATACCCCTGGCGACCTCACCGCTGAGATGGTCGAAGAATTCAGGGCGCTGCGCAATGCCCTGTGGTGGAATCCCGTTCTCCGCCTGATGGGCTTCCTCAGCATCAACCAACGCTTCCCCGGTCTTCACTGGCTTCTCCTCGGATTCAGCTACGATCACCACAAAGGCGCACTCCCTCTTTTTGCCGCTGTCATAGCGCTCGTACAACTATTCCTTGCCCTCGGAATGGCATACGCATACATCACCGTTCCCGAATGGTTGAGGCCGATGAGCCTCTTTTGGATGGCCCTCGCCACGTATGGGAATTGGAACATTCTTTTGCCGGCAAAGCCAAAGTGGCTGGACGCGGCACTTATCACACCCTTGGACTACGGCATGGCGAGATTGGAAGACGGAAGGCTCGCGTTAGTCCCGCACAATACCTTGCCCGAGCACGAGATTGCGTTGTTCAAGGGGAGTCCGTGTCCATTTGTGGTTCAGAGGGAGGGCAAGGGATGGAAGTTGGTAGGCGATTGTTATGTCTATGGCATGATGGAAGGAGAAATGTGGAGGGAGGGAGAATCAAAGGAGATGGATATCGTCTAGGGCGTGTGCAGACTGTGAGAATTGTGGGTGACGTGAATCGTCTTGAGGTTTTCCGGACGGAGAGAAAGACGAAGACATGAAAGACCCGTCATTCACACACAGCAGCTAGTTAACAGAAGGATTGGCAACAGATGAAACGAAATAGGTCTAAACCCCGTTCTCAACATGTCTTCGCTCCGCACCGCATCCATTCATCGCTGTTTATCTGCTACTTAGCACTGTTAAGAGCAAGTAAGTCAACGGCCGACCTAAGTTCTACCGTGGTACGTTTGGAGCAAAAACCCTAGGACATATTACTCACTCACATTTACTCATCTTACGTTGACAGCATAGCAGCTTGTTCGAACTTTGAGTTCAGGTGCACGATGTAGCGTGTTGTCCAACCTGGCAGACAACAATTGCATCCTGTCTGTGCAAGGAGGCCTCACAGGCAGGCCTACGACTGCCTTGCGCAGCAACAATCCATCATGCGGCTGCAGCTCCGGCTAAGCGAGTGTTATCCATCAGATAACCTCCTCTAGAGCGGTGTGTCTGTGTAACGGCTGTCTTCTTTGTCCGTTTCAAACACGTTTGTGTAGGACACTGCATTTGAAGGGGAGGATGGAGGTTTCGATTGACAGACAGTCAGTCTCAGTCACCGGGCTCTTGAGCAGACGTTCCTGTGTGATGCATCCGTTCCGTCATCCATGACGGGCATAAATATATGCTCCATCCCTTTGTCAAGGCCGATGATGTCATCTTCACTGTCCACGCCTCCGTTCAAACTCTCTTGGGGTGTTTTTAGATCGACCTTTCTACTGCATTGCAGGCTCTCACCAACGCCTTGAAGCACCCCTTAGGAATATGGATCGCCGTTATTTTGATACTTCTTCTGAGCCCTGCCCTGACCCACGGACACCTCTGCGCCCGACTTACAACCCTAACTTCTCGGAGGATTACTGCCCCACGTTCCACCCTGAGACCTCCTTTATCTTCCAGGGCTATGCAGCAGAGGAGCCTCCTTCATCTGACCCTCCACGTCTGGCTGAGCAAGAATCTCCCCGTCCCTTTGGGCACGTATTCCTCGAACCAGCGCTTTCCTACCAGGACTACGTACCTGTATCTGCGGTCGTTCCAGTATACCGTCATGATACCAGTATGAAGGCGATGGTGCCGCACCGCTGGCAACTCGTCACTTATTACACACCCATCGTTGTGCACGACCCGAGACCAGCCAACGATCTCAGTTCCGCAGCTCCATCCCATCATTTCAACCCCAATGACACAACTCTGGCCCAGCCCTACCTCCAAGCCCGGGCGGAGGCCGCAGCACATCTCTCGCCGGTGATGTAGTCGAGGTAAATGGCGACGGACTCTTCAGATCCCAAACCCAAAATCATCCGGGCTCCTTCACCAGTCCGAACCCCTCCGAATACTCAGGTGTCTCTCACATAAGCTCCCACGTAAATCCGCAAGGAGTAGTAGTGAAAGCTTCCGGCTTCCGGCTACCTTATGTACCCCTAAATACTAACCCATCCCTTCCTGCGCCAAGTGGTCCCTCCCCAACCTTGACGAAACCCACCCCCTACGCCGGGTCCCCGCTTCCTTGGTCCGCGGGCAAGCAAGAGCCATCCGAAACCGAATCTTCCTACCGGCGCATCCCTACCCGCACCAGTTCAACAACGTACCAGAGCGGCTCCCCTTCCAGTACAATCATGACCCGCTGTTTGAGCATCCCCTGTTGCCCGATGATGTTATGGCATGGAGTCCCGGAAGACATGCGGGGCAGGCGAGGATCGTGGTGAGTCCCGGGAATTGGGACCGCCCCGAGGTGGTGTATCATGATCCGACGCAGTCGCCGCTACCGCCGGGCACGCGGCCTCCTTTTGCGCTGGGGAATTACCGGGCGAGGGCGGAGATTGTGGAGAACAGGGTGAGACAACCCAGGAGAAAAATCAGGAGTACCTACCGTACTTAAGGTGGGAGATGCTAGAGAATGGTTGATGCTCGGGCACGGGCTAGGGTCGAGCATGATAGAACTGAACAGAGCACGGTGCCGTCAGGGACAAGCACCCTGGGAAGCGGTCACCTTGAGAAAAGATTATTTCAAACGGGATGGGCAGGGTCATATGGTTGATCTGAAAATTGTTTTGGTGGGTTTTGGAAAAACATGGGAATGTCACGGAAGTGGTTGGGCATGGCACATCAGGATTTCAGCCTGAGTTTGATCTAACTTATAGACTGCTAGTACTGGGTTTCTGTCTGGTTTTAAACTGAATCTATAATCAATACCTTGTCTTCGCCCTCTTTTGTCCCTTTGTTGTCATGACTGCCATGGTGACTGAAACGGAACGAAACCTTAGCTTGAAGCCCATGAAGGCCCTATACATCAGCGTGGGCAGGAGAACTTGGGCTATCAAAGATGTCAACCAAGCAGAATTCAACACTCTGGACCTTACATGATTCAGCGTTCACTTCTGATGACGAGTAATAAGGGCTCCAGCGTACATGTGTAGCTCATGGAATAGGACCAGATTCTATACACTGAATCATCACTGCAGTGTTAGTTACAACCCAGTATCAACGCAATTCAGCCTCATGTTCGAAAAGCCTCGCCTAGGAGATGCATCAAGTCGTGAATTGCCCTAGCGGAGGCCTTGTCCTGTCGTGTGGCTCGTGGGTGAGGCCTAAGCAAATGTTGTTGGTCAGGGGCTGCAAGCTCAACCAGGCGGGGATTAGACAATTGATTTGTGTAACGGCAGTTTTCTTTGTTCGTTCCTGACAGCATTATGCAAGGCTCCTCAGAAGAGGCTGTCCAGGCGGTCTCGATGGAGGTTTCAGGAGGCCATCGGGTCAACCCCAGATGGAGATACATGTAGCAGGAGAATGAGCTGCGCAGTGATGGTCGGCACGAGCATATATGAGCCAGGCGCCGGATGCCATCAGCTGCGTTTGTGATGCTCTGCATTCACCTGCCACCTCCTCTAGTACCATCAATACGAGTATCCCAGGACTTCACCATCTTCAACAAATGGATGCAGGCTCCACCGGCTTCACCTAGATAATAAGCCTTGCTTCGTCTCGGTCTGGCTCGTCCTCGGAGCCTACTACACTTTCTGAGTCTACCTCGCCGCCCTTTTCACCCCCTTGGTTTCCTTGGGCAGCGTGTCCTCCAATCGAGCTCGGAAATCCTGAGGAATTCATCCTGAGAATTCCATCAGCGCCTCGGCGAGCCCGGAACATATCCCATTTGCCGAGACCTATTTGAAAGTCACTGCAAGAATGGGTGGATGGAGATGGTGGTGGCAGACTCGCAGTGGCAAGGATTTGGACGAGGACGAGGGCGAGGACGAGAACGAAGAGGACACCGCTACTGTGGTCCCGACGCGCTTGTCTGGCATCAAGAGCCCATCACACGAGTCCCAAGTGAGCGAAGTATCCCATGTAAGTCAATACCTTAGTACTACTCCATGTTTCGCAGTCCAAAGTGGTCCTATCCGATGTGCGAGCTCTACTAACCCGAGTCCACACTTCCCAGTTCTTGTTCACGAACCTCCCCAACGACGAACCCCTCAGGCGCATTAGCGCGTTCGGAGTGCGCTCGCAAGCCATCGCCATCCTGGCAGAAGTGGTGCATGACCGAAAGCTCGGGTACCCGCACCGCTTCGGCAACTACCCCGACAAACTATAGCTCGCCATCCGGCACCCCCTGATTTAGCACCGCCTTACCCCTGACGGCCCCTACACTGCCGGCTCCCCGCCGGGACCCCCCCGCACCGTCGTGAACACAATCCTGAGGCCATGTACCACGATCTGACAAAACCCTCAGGGCGGCCTAGCCGGTATGCTCCCTTTTCGAAGGCCGAGTACCGTGGGAGGGATCGGTTGACGCCGACAGGGTTGGAAAACGACCTTGACAGCCTCGACATCTAGTGGCGCCGTTCAGCGTTGAAGGGGCATGGATTGGAAATTCAGGAAGATTATCCTGTTTGCTTGACAGCTCTATTACGTTTATACCAATCTCCTTGTACCGGCAGGGGTTGCTTAGTGTATTGGATGTCTGCGGCACAGACTGGATTCTTTACCGTTGTCCTGGCCTTCTGCTACTGGACGGGTTATTCTCTCCACATTGTGAGAGGCTTAAAGAGCCGGGGTTCCCGGGTATCGAGCATTCTGGAACAGCAAGTTTCAGGACGTACTGCGTTTGGTGGGTGTTAGTATAGACAGCCAGATTGGAGAGATGTCCTAGGTTTCATTTAACCTTGCTGAATCTTCTCTCGATAAATAGGTAGGTGCTTTAGCCACAGTATCTTGCTTCAGGAATACGCTTACTGTTCCCAACGACAAGCCAAGCTCCCATCCACCCGTATCTCACCGTCTTATGCTCCAAGTCACCAGCCAGTTAATCCGTGCTTTAAACCATCTCTCATATCCCAGTCCCCCAGCTAAATAGCTGTAAGTTGTCTGCTTCAGTTCTCGGAGAAACTACAGCTTTGATGCCCGTTTCGTTTTCCCCACGATCTCGTCCACCAGCTCAACCACTCTCTCAGCGCAGCCATAGCTCCCCTGATATCCCCAGCCGGCATGCCCATAGTTATGGACCACCCACGTCCCATCAATCATCTCCTTCTCGATCCTGACGCCCCCTTCCCTCGCCGGCCGCAGCCCAACCCCATGTCTGATGATATCCAGCCCCTCCACTCCCTTCCCGCCCGTCAACTCCGGGTGTGTCTCGACCGCCCTCTTCATAATCCGCATCGCGATGTTCGGATCCGGATTCGGATCCCAGTTCCCCCTCTGGTACGTTCCCCCCAGTACCGTCCCACCGCCCAGCGCCCGCTGCATCACATACACAAGCTCATCAAACCCGTCGTCGCACCCGCTCGTCGTCGGCATGATCCCGTCGGCCTCGTTCCTCACCAGCACGATCTGCCCCCGGGCGGGATACACCCTGCTATCCATGACCCCGCCCAGCTTACACGCCAGCAGCCCGGAAGCATTGACAACGATATCCGCCTTTTGGCCGGTGTGGCTCATCCCGGCGGCTTCCGAGACGTGCTTGAGCACGGCGCGCCGGAAGCGCACCCCGTGCTTGGCGCACTGGCCGACCAGCCAGGGCAGGTAGATGGCAGTGTTGATGCAGACCGAGGTGAACTCGCAGCCCGAGTGCATGCCCGGGGGCAGTTCCGAGGGCGGGATGTCGCGGAAGCGGCCCATTACTTCTCTGTACCATGGCGAGAGGTCGAAGAGGCCGCCGTCGCCGAGGGCGGCCTTGACGAGGTCTGCGGCGACGTCGGCTTGCCGGCGGAGGACGCGGGCGGCTGGGAAGGTGGTTAGATTGGTAGGGCTGGACAGGGATAGGTGGTGCCTGGGGAAAGGAAGGGGGAACTGACTTTGGACATGTAAACCTGCTTCGGGGACCTCGGCGGCTAGACGGCGCAGTTCGGGCCAGGTTCGCCGTTCCCAGCGGCTATCATGGTCGAGAGCCATGCTGCACAGTGGTGTCAGACGGATAAGGCAACGCCCAGTAAGGATGATGGAGGAGGTGGCATACGGAAGCACGTTGGCGCCGGCCCAGGGCGAGGTATACTCGATGTCATAGTCGCCGGGCATGTGCTTTGCAACCACCGTCACAGCATTGCCCTTTTGCTTTGACAGCAGCAGGGCGCATGTGAGGCCGCTGACACCGGCTCTGTTGTTGGTTAGCTGATGGGTTCCGTAATTGTCCTGATTCCCGGTACCGGAGCTTACCCGAGGACGACGATGTTGGGCATTTGGAGGTTTATTAGATTGAAGTACTTCGATGGGAAACTGGACTGCCACAGATGTCTGTTCGGCGATCGGGTTGTGATGACAATCGGGCAGGTACTTATGGTGACCCAAAGTCCCCAAAAGTCGACGGGTTCACGCCCTAAAAGCCAGCTGGGCACTCAAGATGAGTGCCGGGGTTAGCCGTGCTTCGAGGCGGCGACTGTCTGTAGTGCCCCATCCTAATTCATGGAGCCCCGCCATGGCAAACCATCCTAGAATACGGCATGGAAGGGTCGCCTCTACGGCGGCAGGGTTGACTGTCAGGCTGACGACGGGACGCTCTCCCGTCCGAGGACTGCAGTGGACCAACCCAGCACTGCATAGTCCTCGAACGCGCATAGAGGGCGGTTCATTGCGAACGGTTCATTGCGAACAGGGCAGACAATGGCGGGCCGCTTCCACGATTCTCAGCAACTCCTGATGCCTCCTTGGCCCCACGCAATCTGGCGGGCGAGTTCAAAATCAGGCCAAGATACAGGCTACCCTGATTGCGGCACCGTATCGTTGTGCTCCATAGACTCTCTACCTTACGAATACGGGACATCCGTAGTGCATGCAGCCCCCGCACGCCGCTCACCGGCTGACCCCTCGCCGTCACGCATGGGAGAAGTAACATCGGAAGTCGGTCAGTATCTCCTTAACGCGGTCCGAGAACGGATGTCGCTCAGCTTGTTGCCTGCCCGTTTCGGCATGGAGCATGCAAATGTACACAGTATGTACGGACGTACATCTGTAGTTATTCCCCAAGTTGCAGACCACGCCCCGGGGCAGGCTGCGGTGCCAACCACCGAGCAGGGGCTGTACGGACAACTGCTTTTGAGTTCAACCCATGACTTTCCACTGCCGCAAACCTGGAATGGTTTCAACAGGCTTCCCAGTCCTAACCGTTGAGACTCCTGGTCATCATTTGTTGGAATTATTGTACTTAATTCCAGCCCCTTTCAATTTCTGCCGTTCTCACCACTACGCCATACCTCCTGCTCCCGTCGCAGGGCTGGAATTCGTCCCTTGGATTCATTGGTATGTGGTCTGCCTCTTGGAGAATAGCCAGGCTCGTTATCAGCGGGGTCCCTTCGACTCCCTGCATGGTTTGTTGTACGCTTGCAATCGCATGGTCGGATCTCGACAGTCAGATTGACAGGCCCAGGTAGCGTGGTGATTACCTGAACCTTGCGCGTAACCAGACGTGGAATCTACATAAAAATTTGCGGTGGTTGATCGTCAGGGTTTCATGGTTCATATCATGCTCTCCCTGCGACGGATGCCGTACCCGGAGCCCGCTAAGAGCGGTCACTTGCCAAGAGCTTCGGAGACAGCTCCTGAAGCTCCATATTCTCCGTATCCGTAAACGCTCCTTTTTTCACGACTTTCAGGGTTGACGGCAACCCAACAACAGCAACAATGGCCAAAAGCCCGCCAGCCCTCCCAATCCGCGCAGCGCAGCTAGCACTCGACATTCTCAACGGCCGCCATGCCCTCTCCTGTGTTATCCCACCGCTCCTCTTCCTCACCGACGCGCTCCTCTGCGCCGTAATTATCTGGAAGGTCCCGTGTAAGCCCTCCACCAACTCCCCACATATTCCCAACCCGTGACATGCACAAATCTGACCCCAAACCAAGACACCGAGATCGACTGGATGGCCTACATGCAGCAAATCGCCCATTTCCTCTCGGGCGAGCGCGACTACACACTCATCCGCGGCGACACGGGCCCGCTGGTCTACCCGGCGGCGCATGTCTGGATCTACACGGGGCTGTACCACCTCACCGACCGAGGTCAAAACATCCTGCTGGCGCAGCAATTGTTCGCCGCCGTGTACCTGGCCGCGCTGGCCGTGGTCATGGCGTGTTATACGCGGGCGCGGGCGCCGCCGTACGTCTTCCCGATGCTCGTCCTGTCCAAGCGGCTGCACAGTGTCTTTGTGCTGCGGTGCTTCAACGACTGCTTCGCGGCGCTGTTTCTGTGGCTGGCGATCTTCTTTTGGCAGCGCCGCGCCTGGGGGGCTGGTGCGTTGATGTGCACCCTGGGGCTGGGCGTCAAGATGTCGCTGCTGCTGGTGCTACCGGCGGTTGGGGTTGTGTTGCTGCTTGGTGCGGGGTTTGAGACTAGCTTGCGGCTGGCGTCGATGATGGCCCTGGTGCAGGTCCTTGTTGCCGTGCCCTTCCTTGCGCACAACCCCTGGGGCTACCTTGGGCGTGCGTTTGAGCTGTCTCGGCAATTCATGTTCAAGTGGACTGTCAACTGGCGGTTTGTGGGGGAGGAGGTCTTCCTCAGCAGGGGACTCGCGCTGGCTCTGCTCAGTTTGCATGCGGTGGTCTTAGCTGGGTTTATCACGGCCCGGTGGTTGAAGCTGGCTCGCAAACCGCTGTCGCAGATTGTTACTCCGATTCTGTCTGGCAAGTCACCCTTCACCCAGCAGGAGCAGCGGGCGATCTCACGCGACGTCACGCCCCGGTTTATTATGACTACCATCCTATCCGCCAACGTCGTCGGCCTCCTCTTTGCACGCTCCCTCCACTACCAGTTCTACGCCTATCTTGCTTGGTCGACCCCGTTCCTCCTCTGGCGCAGCGGCGTCCACCCGGTCTTTCAGTACGCCCTTTGGGCGATCCAAGAATGGGCGTGGAATGTGTATCCCAGCACACCTCTCAGCTCCGGTGCCGTCGTTGGTGTCCTGGTCTTGACCGTGGCGCTTGTATGGACGGGCGCCCGCTACGATTGGGAGCCGAGAAGGGCTGCACCCAAGAACGAGGCTGCGATGCGGTGATCGGTATGGGTTTTTTGACATTGCCTTGGGCTCGAGCAACATCACTCCTGTTCTGAATCGCTAGGCGGCATCTTGCCCACGTTCGAGTCCTCGTCCTCGTCCTCGCCGTACGTGTTCTTGACGAACTTCTTTGGCCTGCACAGCACAGCGACGTTAGACGCTGCTCGGATACCCCAGGCGCAATGAGAACATACCAATAAGGCTGCTTCCGCCACTCCTTCTCGTCCCGCACGATGTTGATTATCTCGCCCATTACTCTGCTGGTTTTGGCTCGCTCCTCGGCTGAGGCCAGATCAACCAGCACGTATCCGCCACGCCGAATGAAGATGGTGTTGCGGAACTTGGGTTCGAGCTCGACCAGGATTGGCTTTCCGTTGGGCAGCTCGCATGTGTAGAGGCTGTTGCCCTCGGCCTTGACGACGCGGGCGACGAACTGGGTGTCGGTCAACTCGCCGGGAGGCGTCAGTGACTCCTGCGCCGCGGCCAAGACGGCGCGCTTTGGTTTGCCCATGGCTGGAGCGTGATTCCTGGCTCTGAGCGAGGTTGAAGGCACCCATCACCCCGCCATGGAATTTTATGGTGGGGCAGATCATGCCCCTCAACGCGAATAACCGCGTTAGTCGAAACAACGTTGCTGGAATTACCTGGTCTACGAACGCTTCTTTCCATGCAATATGCGTACTGTTCCGAGGAGGCTTCTTAGTTCTCAAAGTGACCTGTATGAAGGCTCATTTGGAACAATGCTGTAACTCCAATGTCCAGCTAGACTCGGGGCCGACACCGGCCTCGGATCCGGACCTCTGGACTTGAACCCCACTGTTGCGGCACAGAGCGGTGCTGCCAAAACGGGCGGTCAGGGACTCATGGAATTCTCGGTTCACGGCGGAATCTCACCCTCACCTCGACGCCCACCTGTTGTAGCCAGACCCGAGCGTGGATAAACCCTTCCAGGGTTCGCGACTACCAAGCCTCCTGTACTGATTCGACTTCGTCCCCCGAACTTCATCCGACCTCGATCAGGACTCACTCATCACCTCGCTCCTCACGCCGACACTCCGCCACGATGGGTTCCACGGTCCCCATCGCGCTGCCCGCGCTCAAGACGAACCCCAAGTTCATCTTCTTCACGGACTTTGACGGCACCATCACTCAGCAGGACAGCAATGACTTCATCACCGACAACCTCGGGTACGGCCCGGCCCTGCGCAAGAAGGGCAACGAGGACGTGCTGTACGGCCGCCGCGACTTCCGAGACGCCTTCCGGGACATGCTCGACAGCATCAACACGCCCTTTGACGAGTGCATCGACATCCTTCGCCAAAACATTACCCTCGACCCGGGCTTCAAGGCCTTTTTCGAGTGGGCCCGCGACAACAACGTGCCCATTGTCGTGCTGAGCGGAGGCATGAAGCCCATCATCCGCGCTCTTCTGGCGCATATGCTCGGCGAGGAGGCTGTGGATACGCTGCAGATTGTGAGCAACGATGTTGCGCCGAGGGAGGGGAAGAGCATCAATGAGGCGGGGGGGTGGCAGATTGTCTATCACGATGATAGGTATGCTGCTCGACTCGCTCTGGAGAATGGCCGAGGGAGTTACTGACGAGAGACTGTAGCGGGTTTGGCCACGACAAGTCGCTCGAGATCCGCCCGTACGCCAGGCTCCCGGCCGACGAGAGGCCAGTTCTCTTCTACGCCGGTGACGGCGTGTCTGACCTGTCGGCGGCTAAGGAGACTGACCTGCTCTTTGCCAAGGCAGGGCGCGGTATGTTGTATTCTTTGTTCACTGAGGAGCGCGTGCTGATCTTCCTAGATCTCGTCACCTTTTGCGAGAGGGAAAATGTCCCGTTCACAACGTTCAACGATTTCTCGGATATCCATGCGACTGTAAAGGACATTGTGGCCGGCAAGCTCACCGTTTCAGAAGCCGCCACCGGTCGAAAATGAGGACCTGTTCTGATGAGGGCCATTGGATATGAGGGGATGCATTCAAAAATAGAGCCATAGACATAGACGCATTCCATGGATCTCAAATTCCTCCTGCATAGGCCACCGAGCAGCTTTCGATCATGGATAACAAGCAGCCTCCGCTGCCTCCTCGTTGTTGGCCGACTCATCCCGCAAGCCCATCAAACACAACACCATACCTGCCACAAGGCCCAGGCCAACAACGTAATGCCACGCAATCGGCGTCTTAGCACACTGTGCAACCAGCTGACTGCCAACCAAGCCCCCGGCCCCGCCTGAGCTCCCAAACGCAACAAGGAGACTCACGCCACCCAACATCTCGTGCTCACCCATCTCATCCAGCAATACACCCAGCACCAAGGGGTACACTGGCCCCAGGAAGAAGCCAAAAGTAAGCAATGACAAGACCACGTCTCCAGGCGAAGTGAAAGCCCAGTAAAACCGAAATACCAGGAGATAGGCGACCGCCAGCATTCCGCACACGGGCCACTTAATGCCGCTGGGCCCCCGGCGGAGGAGGAGGACACCCCCCTCGCGCAATGACGAGCTCGCAAACCGGCCCACGGCGAGGCCCGTCCAGAAGACGATGGCTGCGACGTGCTCGGGCACAGAAGACCGGTCCCCGTCAGCAGCATGTGCGCTCTGTGGTTGGTACTTGGAGGGCGACGGCGACGAGACCACCCAGGTGGGGACGGCGGTCGCGAAGGCGTGGTGGGCGAGGGAGAAGAAGGCGAGGAGGATTGTGTTGCGGGTTGCTAGAGGCGGGTAGTAGTAGGAGCCGCTGGTGCTGTTGGGCAAGGACGGAGAGGTAGCGACGAGGTTGTACTTTTCCGCAGCGGTCTTCTCCTCGTCTTTGGGATTCAGCTCGGTCTCTTCTCCTCCCTGCTCGGACGCGCGAGCCATGGGGGGGAGCTTGCCGACTAGGAAATGGGGCACCATGGCGATCACGACCATGCTCAAGACAATCATGTGTTGCTGCTTTATATGTCCGCCGGCTCGCTGGTTGTCTGCATCGAGAGCCGCTGCCGCGGTCAGAAGCAGAGACCCCAGCGCAACCATGCCGTACACCGTGCCTGGCGTGACGGCTGCCCTCTTGCAAAGAAGGAGGACGGTACTCAGACAGACACCATGACCGACGCCCATGGCAAACCCGACCGCGACGGAAAGGGGGAGTGTTGTTGTTTCCCTGATCGCTGAGTCCTTCAAGACGATGTGGGCGGGCAAGATTATCAAGATATTGGTCAAAAAGAGGACCATATTGGGCAACCCGCATGTTCGGAAACGTCGTACGGCGGGTTCGAGGAAGCCGGCGGTGAGGATGCAGCCAACGGCGAAGGGGAGGGCGGTGGACAAGAGCTGTGTGATGGAGCTGTGACCATGAATCCGTCAGACAGAGGTAACAGGAGAAACTTCAAGGGCTCGAAAGGAGAATAAAGCACATTTTTCCTGGGTACTCAATCAGGATGGAAGAAGCGATGTCGTTCATGCCGATGACCAGGCATGTCAAGCAGATGACGGCAAGCTGAGCGACCCCGGAGATTTGCCTCGCCGTGGACTCGGACATCGCTGAATCGACAGTTGGCTCTTGTGACCGCGCAGGCTGGGCGGCCCTAGGTTCTGAAAGTGGGAGATCGGATGGCATCATGATGGGATCATGTCCTGGCGGACGGGAGCCCTGGTTTGTTGAAGACTGTGCAGGATCGGTGCAAATGACAGAGGCAGAGGAAGAAGGCGAGGATGTCCTGAAGATAGGGCGTCGTTTATGCAAGGTGTGTTCGGGAAGGTCAATTCGGTCGGAGGATGGGCATGTAGTCATCATGACAATTGAGGTAGCTGGGTCATTGCTCGGTCGTAACGTGGTTCGGTTTCTGTCATAGCTCAGATGCCTTCTCTGAGGTGAACTACCTTAGTTCAGGCCCAAGACACGCACATACTTAAGTTGGGCATTACTGGCCATAATGGCCGCCGAAATGTAAACATGAGCTGCCTCAGTTATGTATCGCATCTCGTATTGTGTGTCGCCATCATGAGCCAAGACGACGGTGCCCGAATGAGGAAACTCCGCCGAAGAGGACGGCGCCAACAGAGAAGAAGATCCACGTCCAACAAATGGCTTGCGGAGTAACTGTTCAGGGGACTTGCGGCATAAGGCGACTGTGCTTTGCACAGAATCAAGAAAATGAACTCATTACATGCTTGAGTCTGCACTCTGGAGACTCGTAAAGCGCACGTGGTTTCTCACTTGACAATGTTCTCAGCCAACTGAAGATAGGTACATGTAGGTCAGCCTGGCCAATCCTGGCATGGTCATCTGATTAGGCTCCAATCTGGTGCTTGGGTTAGATCTTCATAGTATCACACAATCTTAAACTCTTTCAGATCTTCTCCGCCTTCCACAGTTCTCCTCTCATGGCGCCATCCAGGAAACGCGAGCCAATGAGCCGATAGCCGCCTTCCACTTCCCTCACGATCAAAGGTAGCCTCATGCCGGGCACGAGGCACAGAGCATCACCCACTAGGATATGGCTGGTGGCTACACCCAGACGGCCACTCTCGGTGATGAAGAGGCTGTTGCCGTCGAGGCGTGTAATGGCCATATGCTGATTACCAAAAACGTCAGCTCAATCTGATGTCCAGGACGTGGCGGGGCCTGGAAGGGTTTCGGCAGCAAATGTGCAATCTCTGGATGCAAGATGGCTTCTGAGACAGCCATAAAAGGGTATACCGGCTCACACACATGGAAGATTGTCGCTTGCCTGGATTGCAACGCTGGCAGGATCGCTGTCGAGCTTGGCAATCAGAGGAGCGAGAGGGGCTATGGGGTCGGTCACCTCGTCGTCAGAGTCCGAGCCAGCTTTAGCTGTATTGGGACTTGGGGTTGGCGGTTTATCATTGTCCAGTGAGATTGCCGGAGTTGTCGCCGAGGGTTGCGAAGTTCGCAGAGAGGATGGCGTTGCAAACTCGTCTGCAATGGCGTCTGCCCAAATCTCGACAAGCTTCACCAGCCTGGCCCATTGCTCCCTGGATGAGCGAGCTGAGAGGGCGATATTCTGCATCAGCACCATACACAACGATTCCACCCTGCTCCCCCCAGCGGCATCCTCGGCAGCAAGAGCAAAGCGAATCATGCCCTGAAGCTGAAGCATCACCTCCATGATGTCTACTGGGCTGCCCGTGCCCTTCGACTTGACGAAGTTCACAAGCTGCTCGAAGAAGGATATTGTCCCGGTTTTCTGCCGAATCCTGTCCACCCGCTGCGCGTGGAAAAAAAAGTTTCCGTCGCCATCGAACCTGTAGTGTGCCTGGCTGTTCCCGCCGCCGCCGTAAATTCAGAGCCTGGGACCCAGAAAAACCATGCATAGTCGAAGTCCGGCACCCACAACGGCAACTTGAAATCTGGCTGGTCTTGGGACCTGTCCTTGCTATCCGCCGAAACGTAAGACAACAACTCCAAGGACGAGTCATGCTCGATGATAGCCCTCGCTGCATCCTTGAAGGTGTCCTGCAAAGGCCGGGCATAGTACGGATCCGCCAGCCTCACCCCTAGTCTCTGCAAGATGGCAAACTGGCCATACAGCTTATCCTGAGGGATTTTGGCCCCAAGTGATCCCACTAACAAGACGTGGTGTGTAACTCCCACCTCAACCCCGTGCGGCACCTTGAAGGGGCCTAACGGATGGTCCCGCGGCAGCCGGTACTGCTGCGCCGGCAACCGCTTCTAGGTCAATAGGTTCCGCAGTGCCGTCACCGCCCGCACCGAGCAAACGCGTCCCCCGGGTATCGCGTAAACCCGGACACGGCGTTCTTAGCCGTGTTGACGTTGGCGAGCCGCTCGAGTTTTGACCACCGGACAGCTCCAGGCCCTGCCCGGACCGTTGCCCGCCTAGCGAGCACAACCTCTTGCAGCGCCCACACCCGAGTGTTCCACGAGGCCTTGAGCACGGCGCCTAAGGCATCGCAGTCGTCAAAGATGTAAGGAGGGAAGAGCGTGTAGAACCGCCAGACGATGACATGGGCGGCCGACGAGTAGATGTCGGACATGAGGCGGACCTGATGAATTCTCTCTGAGGTGAGCTGGCGTAGGGGGGCGGCGCAGTTGGGCGTGATGAGGAGCTTTTGGTTGTTGCAGTAGACCAGCTTGGTTGGCAACTCGTCATTCCAGGCGTAGGATAAAGCCCAATATCGAGGCGCGTTTTTGAGCGTGGCCTCGATGAGCTGGAACCTGACGGGATCAGGTTTGCCGGCTGCGCCCACGACGGGTGTTTTGAGTTTGAGGAGTCGTACTGACGATTTGGAATCCTTCAAGGGTTGGTGCTTGAACTCGCTTGTCGAGGGTTACGCCGAAGGCGACTCGAGTTCCATAACTTAACTAATCGCTCCCTTTTGCAAGCTTCATAAACCACACCGGAGTTGAAGCTTGGGAGGCGATCCAGAACTCAGGGGATGAACAGGGCAAGGTTATTGTGGAAGAGGCCGCTTTTGGCTACCTGAAGACTGAGGTTGATTTTTGCTTAGGTGCGGCTGAATTTCTGGACAGTGATCTTGAGAGTAAGGCGTACCTTCAAAGGGTTAGTCTGAGCTGAAGAGCAACAGCTCTTCCTCTTTTACGGAGAGAATTGACTATTGATTGAGGCTCAACGCTAAGGCGCCACATTACTCGATTTCTGCAGTGGCTGGAACAGACTGCCTAGGTGCGTATCACGGTACTACTCCCGAGGAGCCTCCTGGATCCAAGATTGAACCTGCTTTTGTCTTCTGATCTTGAAGTCAGTTTTCGTGCTTATGGTGTTGCTGAACCTTGCAAAGAGAAAGTTCCTACTATTAGCTGCAGCAGATTGACAGCTCAACACTCCCTGATCAAATGTCAAGCTCTAATGGCAGGCCACGCTCATAAAAGCTGCCTAAGGTAACGTTATGGCACTTCTCACAACAGAGCGATTGGCCGATTGCCTCTGCGTTACGCTCAGCCGCCAATGGGTGTGAGCTGTGTGCGCCCAACCTGCATGACACACCACATTGCTTCAACTGTGAGGAACAGCCAGTAATCCATCAGGAGCTCAGCCCCATGGAGGTGAGCTATGGGACAGAGCGCCGGACTGTTGGGCAAACTACTGTGGGAGGTAAAAGGAGTAGTCCATCCTGGGCTTGCGACAGTGTGGCCAAATCTCAGCCAGTCTTCGAAGAATTGAAAAGAAACGAGTCGATAAGAACCCCTGGCTTCGCCTAGGTCGACCATACCCTTTCTTCAGCCCAATTCTCTCATAAGGACTTTTCCAGGGTTATGACCCTATCAAGTACCAACGGCTCCTTAAGTATCAAGGGCTGACATATGTTCACCTGACAAAAGCTGCCGGCGTCGCTAAATCCGCTCTGTACCACCAGTACAGCCGGTCGTCAAACTTACACCTCCCGTCATGACGAATCCTTCCTTCTCGCTCAATTCTTTTTACTGTCTCACCACCTCTGCTATCTCGAGCTGTTTCGCCACAACCTGATCTTCAACCCTTCGGTTCTTCCCTCTTTCTCCTTCAGAAATGGAGTTCCTTGGACACTCGCCGCGCTCGCCGTCCGCAGCCTGCTGCGCCGCAGAAAGTGTCAGCGATAACGAAACATGGGAACTGATACAAGCCAGCAAGAACAACGAGACGGCGCTGCACACCATTTACGCTCCGCCGGGGGTCTCAGCGGCCGAGTTCAGAGGTACCATGGCCATTCTCCAGACCTGCGTCTGACTCCGTGTGCTTGTATCTACACGGCTTTACATCTAAACGTGCGTGCCAAGACCGACTTTCTACGCGTTTTTGTCTACAAGACGAAGTGGGTGATTACCGCTCTCATTGCGCCCGGGATTGTGCTCTATATGGTGGCAGATCAGTTTGTCCAAGCCCGCCGACTCAAGACGAAATTCAGGGAGCCGCAGGAGAAAAGCGACTACGTGGACAAGAATGTAAAGTATCTACCTAGTATGGCTGCCCGAGCAGAGTTCATGGTATCTCGGCAGTTCTCTGCATCAACCTTACTATAATTGAGAAGAGGTGTTGACCCAAAAAATTATAGTTCAAATTCAATCTCAGATAACGTTAACGTGCATTATCCGCGAGTCGTGGGTGTCAGCGAGTCGTGGGTGTCAGCGAGTCGTGGCCTCAGTATTTATGATGTATATCAGACGGAAAAAGGTACCGTGAAATTGTTAAGGTGCAACAACAAATTTTAGGTTACTCTTCCTATTTTGCACCTGCAAAAAGCACCTCAGGCCACGACTCGCTGATATCCACGACTCGCCGATAATGTTCGTTATGCCTATTTCGTAGTCATGGGGGGAGCCAAGAATGTGGCTGAGGAAATGGCGAAGCTTGCCTATTTTGAGATCGAGTACCTTGACAATGACGCTTCCCTGAACCCAGATACCGTCATCGAACTGGCTAAGAGAGACTTCTGGATATACACCAAGCCGGAAAGGATTGCCGCCAAAAGCAAAGCAAATGTGCTATAGAGGGCTCTCGTTCTGCTGCAAGTCTCGTATATGGCCACAGCATGCGTCGCTCGCCGAGCCTACGGTTTGCCGATTACGCTGTTTGAGCTTCATACCATAGTCCAGATCATGTGTGCTATTGTTATGTATGCCCTCTGGCTTCAGGTACGTCCTTGACTTCCACTCTTCCTTTTCCTCTCTCTTTCTCTTCTCCCTCTTCCCCTTCCCCTTCCTCTTTTAATAGTTGAAATGTTGGCGTTTAGTAGCAGAGTAGTTATTGATAAACTTAAACAGTTGTTATTGAAACTCTTAGGCATTTCCGAGGCTGAGCTGGTATATGACCCTGAGCAGTCAAACGTACTTGCAGTTCTCGTTCAAAGGTTGTTTTACAGACGTAGCCAACAAGCTTTTATGTTCGCCATGTATCTCAACCATAGGTTTCAGACGAACTTACGCAGGCCCAACAGCCGGACGAAGAGAGTCATGGAGGGCCTGCCTGTGGGAACCTTTCACCAAAGCTTCCCTCAGAGCGACGCTCAGCTGGGGAACTGGCAATCATGGACACGGCCCTCTGACTTTGCGCGGACCAAAGATTATACCGACACCCCGAGAATCTGACACTATAGAAGGCCGTTGCAGCCGACCTTGACTTTGCTGTGGGTGCTTTGCACGGTCGAGATCAAGACTGGACACCATACCCGAAAGAGCGGAACCGACGAAGCTGGTGGGCCTTCAAAGGCTCACCCGAGGCTCAATGTTTGTCCGAGGCCGGGAATCTTCGCCTCTCCTATTCCGCCGCATTCGTCAAACTGCATGAGATGTTGGACGCCGTGACAACCAGACCATTCCTCATCGTGCTTGCCGTCGCGCTCCCTACTGTCTACGGCGGAGTGAACTTGAGCGTTTGGAAATTCGAATTCCCCACGCCTGTCGAGCATTCTCGATCATGTGTTTCATTATGACCGGGGCCGTCCCGGCGATGCTTGTCACGATGGCCATCGTATTTTTCGCCTTTGTTTGCGGTCAGGTAGCTTGGGACTTAGAAGATAGGGGCCAGCGATACCGTCTTGCAACTGGTAGGGCGGGCGTACAAAATCGTTGGAATCATCGTTCTGGTTGCATATGGCTGTGCAAGACTCTATATTGTGGTAGAGTCCTTCCGCAGCCTGCGACGGGTGCCAATTGGGGTCTACTACACTCCGCTATGGCTTCACATGATTCCACATGTGTGAAGATTACGAGACAGCTCAGAACCACATTATAGGGACCGTTTTGAAGATGAAGAGGAAGAGGATGAGAAGGAGGAAAAGTAAGTGACAAACCACGGTTCGGTCATGGCATTCCCATTGCTTGTATTTCCATCATGCTGATTGTATGAATTGTCGTCCAGAATTTGGAGCGTCATAAAAATCTCCGAGACGTTTGTTGTTGATGGGAATGACGAGGCACGGCGAGTCAAGAAACCACGTCAGCGACCGTATCATTCGGTTGTGTACATCGAGTGAGAGTGTCTCGTCACTTCTCGCTCGTGATCCGACTCTCGCTCCTGGCGATGCGTGGGATAGACTCTATGGTGAACACGCTCTCAAGGCCGCGGACAACGATGCTCGAACGAACGGCAACGGCACTCAAATCAGCGAACCAGAGCCGTCCACCGAAGATGAGCTGGAACGAGCAGCGCGGTGTGGGAAATGGGGGCCCACGCGCCCGAGCGAGCTGTTCCTGAGAGGAAGCCGTGTCAAAGAAGCCACGTCCATACTGCATACATAGCTGAAGCGACTGCAGATATACCATGACGCCTTATGCCCTCTCGATCAGGACCCTCTCCGGGCCATGGTCAGCCCGTCACTGATGGGGAGTTATGGGACGGTACCGCTTAGTGTCATCTCGGTGTATGTTTGCCCATCCCTTTTTTTCAAGCATGGCACTAATATCCGAAAAAATGCCCGACATTGTGCGCCACATGTCCAACGTCATCGTCCGCGCCGAGCGAGAGGTTTTCCTAGCGACCAACTACTGGCAAAATAGCGTCGCCTCCAAATACATCACCAATGCCATCAGGGAGCTGGATCGCCGAGCTGGAGCAAGGGGCGTGAGAATCGTCTTGAAGATCCTCTACGACCGAGGGAGCCCGAGGCAACTATACGAGCCACACTACCATGTCTCACCAAAGGAATTTACTGGAGATAAGGTCAACTTGCCCCACCCCAGCGAGATCCAGAATATCGACATGGAGGTTATGAATTTCCACACCCCGCTAATGGGCACGTTCCATGCCAAGTACATGGTGGTCGACCGGAAGATTGCCCTCCTCCAGAGCAGCAACATCCAAGACAACGACAACCTGGAGACGCTTATTCACTTGGAGGGACCGGTCGTCGACTCTTTGTACGACATGGCTTTGATCTCGTGGCACAAGCGGATGGAGCCGCCCTTGCCAAGTTATGACTCTCCGGCTGCTTTGGGGTGGTTAAGTTCGTTTGACGGGACGAGTAACGGTGCCGTAAGCGCATCAAAGTTGCAGGGAGATGTAGCGGAGGAAGGTCAAAACTACGTCTCCCAGCCCCGGGCGCAGGCAGCGAATGGAGCGGATGAAAGGAACCCCAGCTTATCCGCCCTGAATTCCCTCGGGATGTCCAAGCCGCTTCCAGAGCATACAGCCGACGACCCTCAGTACGACGACGACATCGCGGGCGAGGTTGCCCGTTCTCAGGCATCCCTCGCTCCCAAGCCGGGCTTGACCCATCTGCAAGCCGTCGCTCGGTTGCTCAACCACACAGTCAACGAAGGCCTCCCCGGCGACCCGAACGCACCAGAATGCCCCCCGGGTGAGCTTATGACTCCATATATCCCTCATCAGTCTCGCACTCCCTATCCCATGGCCCTGGTCAACCGCGCACCCTACGGCCCGCCCACGCACCGCTCCGTGTCAACACCCCAAAACGCTGCCTGGCTGTCCGCTCTAAACAACGCCAAACACACCGTCTACATCATCTCCCCGACGCTCAACGCCAGCCCCCTGATCCCCGCCATCATCGCCGCCTGCGAGCGCGGCGTCAACGTGTACTGCTACATCTGCCTGAGCTACAACGACGCCGTAAGCCAGCCCCACCTCCCCTCCCTTTCCCCAACCAACCTCCTCCTTGTCAATCAACTAACCAAGTCCACACAATTCCCGTCAAAACAGGGCGAACTCCTCCCCCGCCAAGGCGGCCACAACGAGAAAGTCGCCTCCACCCTCTACGCCTCCCTCTCATCCCCATCCGCCCGCGCCCGGCTGCACTACCACTGGTACGTGGCCAAGGACCAGACGCGCCCGATCCCGCAGTCGCGCCGCCAGCGCAGCAGCCACGTCAAGCTGATGATTGTGGACGGGGCCGTCGCCATCCAGGGCAACGGGAACCAGGACACGCAGAGCTGGTTCCACAGCCAGGAGGTCAATGTCATGATTGACAGCGAGGAGCTCTGTGCCGAGTGGCTGGCGGCGCTGAGGCGGAATCAGAATATGGAGATGTTTGGTCGGGTGAGCACGGAGGATGGGGTGTGGAGGGATGGGGAGGGGAGGGAGGTCGAGGGGGCGATTGGGGCGGAGGCGGGGAGGGTTGGGGGGTGGTTTAAGGGCTTTAGGGGGGCCGTGGAGAGGGTTAGGGGGACGGGTGGTTTTTAGGGCTTCGGGGGGTAGAGGGGGTGGGGGCTGTTGCTTTGTTAGATGATGCTAATATTGTCTTGGATATGACGGTCTTGCTTCATAATTCGGGATGACATCTGGTTTTATTCTAATAGGTGCTGGATAGTTCGAGTCACAATCCTTTTTGACCACCGTCACGGTTTCTTGGAAGTCGTTGGATGCTACTTCTCTCACTTTGTTTGTCCTGATCATGGCAGTTTTGGACTTCTCTCCTGGTTCCACAGACACATCCTGAAACTTGACCCCGGTCCCCGGCACTTGAATTCCGACCACGACCCGGTTTTGAACCTGTTCTCCTTGTCCGCATGCACACGCGACCGCAGCAACTGGTCAGACCGGTGATATCGAAGCCCGGAAGACTACACCTCAAGGTGGATAAACTTGTAGATCGAGATGCCGTCGATCAGTCAGCTCCAACTGAGGCGCCCGGGCTGTTAGTGTGAGAGCCGCCTTCGGAACGATCCTGCTCAGCTTCTCTCGGCCCTTCCAAGCTGTCTGCACTGTAACCGACTCTGGAATATCCAGTGCGCTGGTGACGGAAGTATTCGGTCTCGTCGGGGATGGAGGATCGAGTTCGGCTGGTGACGGTGTTCGATCTCGTCGGAGAATGGAATTCCGAGGCCTCATGGCTCCATCCACCATTGCGCGAGCTAGGGGTGGAGGATGTTGCGTTGACGGCGTCCAGGGCTATCCCAAGCTCAGGGGCCTCAGCTGCTGCCTTGCCCTTGTCCTTCTTCCGCCTTTGTCGAAGGTGCAGCCCTGATGAGGCCCAAAGCGTCGCCCAACGCCCGGACGCCGCCGGCCCGCCCGTCTTCCCGTCTTCGGTCTCTGCAGCAGCTTCGATGGCAGAATCATCCTTCGCGAAGGGACGCCGCAGCGGGTGTCCAAGGAAATGAAAATGAACGAGGAGCCCAGTGAGGAGAGGTTTGATTTTCTGGCGATCCACAAACATGACCAGGCCGATGGCCACAGCGTATGTCACCACAGACACGGCGACGATTGTTGCTGCATACTGACTCTTCATGCCTGTCAGCTCTTCCTCGTGGAGAAGGTCCATGCTGAAGACCGCCTACTTGGGGCAAAGTGATTGATTAGCAAGGTACGGTTACGACTGTTGTCGGAATAGACGGATTCGGCCAGAAGCAAAAACCCACCGTGACAAAGCCGAGTGGCAAGTAGAATATCGTGAGAACAGTGAAGATGATGATGTAACGATTCATCGAGGTGGACTTGGACGCCTCTAAGAGGGCGTTGGTATTTATAATCTGTTTGGAATCAGCATTGCCGTCTCATCGGCGATTGCGTACCTTGACCTACACCATCTCGCAAGCCCCTGATTTCGTTTGTCTTTGTCTCGATGCGCTCCAAGAGCTCCTTTTCCAGCACGGCGAAGTAATCTTCTATATGGTGCCAGTTCCAACTCGCGATATTCTTAGACTCATCGAGCTTTGACGTGGCGATACCCCGGGCCCGGGACATGTACGCATTGAGGTCTGAACTCGCGTCGGTGCTGGTTTTCAGTTTGTGCAGGTCTTCTCTCGTCTCTCTTATCCATAGGGGGATAATACGCAGAAGCTGCAGAAGCTGAAAATATACCTTTGATTGAGCCAACGACCCTTGAAACAGCAGCCCCTCAGTGGAATCTGCATTCAACACATCAACAGCCTTCCGAGTAGTCAGTGGGTACTATCAGGATAGGTAAAAATGACTGAGAGAAAGTGGATTGGGGGAGTGATGATCGCATTCTACCAACCTGTACTTTGATGGAATCATCAATCTCATCAAGTAGGCTCACCCAGCCCTGGTACCAAGCAATGTGGAGGAGATTGATCAAGACCAGTTGCATAATCCCTATACTTTGCATTCCCTCAATGTTGACCTTGCAGTCTAAGTTGGGGTGCTTCCACAATATGTTGAAATGCAAGTTCAAGCCGGGCCCGCCGTTTGAGAGAACGACCATGTTAAATTGGGGAGGGTTGTGGTTTGAAGACAGAAGCAAAAACAGAACACGTCCTTCTGTGACCGGTACGGGTGGCCGCTTGCCGGTTCTTGGCAACCAGCCGGATTCTCGTTGAAGGCGGAACCCTGGGACTGTGCCTGGTAAAAACGACTTTGATGGGCAAAGCCAGCGCATCGCGAAGCGGATGTAGTGGACGACCTTGTTATTCAGCCCCGGATACATGTGACGCAAGTTGCTTTCTGTCCATTCGTGAGCCTTATTCCAGCTGTTGAGGAAGGCAGCGAAGAATGCGCAGTAGCAAGCAAAATCACGGTCATCGACCCCGCTGCCGCGTTCCCGGGCGAATTGGATTCGCAAAGAGAGAATGTAGGCGGCTGATTCCATCGTCACAACATTCCCGGTATGCCAGACGAAGGCCCTGGTAGGCGTGTTTAAGCATGTCAGCTGCGTCCGAACATATCACGAGGCGGCGGGGCTGAACAGTCGACCCATACCATAGCCTTCCTATGTGCATTTCTTCATCTGAATTTCGCCACCATTCGAAATCCGGGTGGCATCCGGGCACGCGTATGGAGGTGACTTTCGTCTGTGGAGATTTCCCATCGCATTGTGCCCATTTTGGCGTTGTGAGCAGGAGCCGGTGTTGCGACGACAGCACGTAAAACCGGAAGTTTGTGAGACAATCATGGTTCGCGCCCCTGAAGAACCAGAACGGGCCTCGCTCCACAGTGACCACACCAGATGCACTGGAAAAGTCCCGCTCGTCATCACTCTCACCAGGGTGTCGGGGCCATGATGTCTTGATGAATTCCCTGCAGTCTTCCAGTTGCCCCCTCACTCTTGGCGTTGCGGCATCAGTCGTCGGATGTAATGTGATCTCCATCAGTCCAGAAGCTGAAGGTAAAGAGGCTGGTACGGCGAGAACGACATCCTGAAATGCGTGGTGCCCTGCCTCCCTTGGATCGTTTGCGACGGCCGACCAAGTCACCCGTTCGTGGCAACAACACGGACTTACGGCCTCCTCGAGACGTTGGCGGATGGAAACTAAGGACTCGGGTGATGGTAACAACTTGGAGTCCAGCGCGACCATCGTATCAAACTCTCCCTGACGCCGTGAATCAATGCTGGCTGATGGGTTGTTATTGTCGTCCTCACCGGTGTCTCCGTGGTAAGGATCGCTCTGTGCCTCGATTTCGGGCACGACTTTCTCCCCGACTGCTTCGTAACTCATACGTCAGCTTGTTCCGATCTCAGGGTTTGCGTCAGGTTGCTTTCTGTCAGCGAACCTTTGCGTCGTGGGTGGTCAAGCGTGCTGCGCTCTCCCCCACCACCAATCTCTGCCTCGTCCCGGTTGACTTCAAGTTCTTGAGGCGATTGCTGCTGCGGGGGTTCTTGGGCGAGTTCGCCGCTCTCGCCAGCCTCATTGGTCCCTTCCTTGTCCTGAGTCTCCTGATCGACACCAGCTTCCGGTCGTGCATGCTGCTGAAGGGGACGTTGGGGGTAAGCTTCGTCCAGAATAGACTGAATGCGAGGGAGCTGGTCACTGAGGTCCTTCAAGTGCCCGAGTTGCCCAATATTTTCGTTCAGCGCTCTGAGTTCGGCCACAAGCTCCTTCAGCAGCGTTGCTTCCCCAGTGACCTGTGGGTTCCTTTCAACCCCGGAGTCCCCATTGCTTCTCCCCCGGGGTTCTTCAGATGCAAGGTCAAGCGTCTCGTCAAGCGGCATTGATGCAAAGGCTGTGGGGAGTGAATCGGAACCGATCGAACGGTTGATTTTCAACGGGCTGTCGGCTTGCCCGACTGCAATCGCTCATGGCCTTGAATGGACGGTATACCTGAATTCTAAAAGCGGGGAAGCAAAGTTCCTCATGAAGCCTGCTGCGCGATAATGCTGCATCATCCAAGCTGCTGCCATTGGCTGCGGGTGTGTCTTTCTGCAGCACCTTGGTGCTCCCCGGTGAATCGTGATTCCGGCCCAATGTGACGCCGGGCCATGAGCAAGAGCTTGGAGACCCGAGAAAGGGGTGTTGGGTTGGAATGCTCGTCAGTAATTGCAAGATGAAAACCGCCAGGAAGAGTCCTGGCAGCCTGGGGCCATCCGACCGGAGAGGACATTGAAAAATCTAACTTTGTTTCGCCTCGTTCAAGGGGACAGTGTTACGCAGTGCGCTTGCTTCAAGACTTGAGTCATGTTTGAAAAGGTACCTAAGGAGTGTCGCGGTTTTCGCGGCTTGACTCTGACATCCTTCCCCAACCCAACCAGATTCTGAATCACCGCATTTCCCTGACGAAAAATTGATAACTACAGTTAATTGTGAATTGAGTTGTTTTGATGGATGTGCCTGACGTAAAAGTTGGGAATATGAATAGACTCCACATTACGCCCCCCTATTTTGCGGCAAACAACCTAAGGTAGACAATTAAGTGCCCCGGCCCCGAGGACCTCGACCGGAAAGGGCAACAATAAATAACAACCAACTTCCGCAAACAGCACCCCTGACACTACACAAAGAACGCGCCCACCGCCACCGCCATCAACCCCGCAACTGGGACCGCAAGCCCCGCCGCCGCAGCAGTAGGCGTGTTCGTGGCCGTGGTCGTCGCACTAGCACCAGTCCCAGTTGCGCCGGTCGTGGTAGTCGTGGCTGTAGTCTCAGGCTGACTCTGGGCCTGCGTCTCCGTCGTCGTCGCCGTCGTCGTGCTGGCGCTGGGGCTGGTGCTGGTAGCCGCCTCGTTCTGCGCGACCACCCCGCCAAAGACGCCGCCCTGGGGTGACGTGGCGTTCCCCGCGTTGCGTGCGAGGGCGGCGTAGGCGTCGAGCGTCATACTGCCGTCGTGGGCCGGGTTGATGACGGCCACCATGCCGTTCTTGCAGTGCTGGCCATTGTTTTGCGAGCAGTAGATGGGCATCGGGTTGGCGTGGTTGATTGTGACGCGGAAGACTTGGGACTGGGTGCCCGGGGAGGGGGGTCTGTTAGCTTCTTGCTAAGATGAGCAGAGGAACCGAGGGGTGCTACCTACATTGACGGTGCCATTTTGGGTTGGGAAGAAGCCCGAAAAGAAGCCGTTGTTTTCTGCTGGACGGCGAGCGTTGTGGAAGTCGCCGGCCACGACGCTGTGGTTGCGCGGCCAGAAGCGGAACTCGATCACGTCGCCTTCTGCGGCATGAATCTCGTTGGGCTCAAAGGTCAGGCCGTTCTTGCCGACCGATACCGGTATGATGTGGCTTGCGGCTCTGGCGAGGCTCGAGGCCGCCAAGAAAGAAGAGGAGGAAGAAACAGGAAGCAGAAAGAGGAAGAAGAAAGAGGAAGAAGAAAGAGGAAGAAGAAAGAGGAAGAAGAAAGA